CCGCCTTGCTCAAGGAATTGGACAATGGGGACTTAGTCCCCCACATCCGAGAAGCAGCGGCCTTAGAACTCAAGGGACCCTGGGCAGAAACACTGAAGAAAGCTCAGGAGCTCGAAAGGTCTCTCCTGAAGACCAACAACCACACCACGGTTGAGAAAGGATACGTGCGAGTAAATGGGAAGCTGTGGCTCCCGCCCAGCCTGACCAAGGAATATGTTCAGGAACAACATGGACTACCCGCACACGGACATCAAGGGGTACGAAGAACGTACCTAAGGATTTCGCGATGCTACTGGGGCGAGGGACTTCGCGCAGTAGTCAAGGAGGTAGTTGGAAATTGTGATGCCTGCATCAGGAACAAGCCAACCAGGCACGCACCTTATGGGCAGATGATCACAGTACCCATACCACCACAACCTTGGAAATCGATATCATGGGATTTTATTGGACCATTACCCATGTCCAAAGACCCGGCCACAGGAGTTAGCTATGATATGATACTGGTCATCATGGAGAGACTTACCAAATACATGAACCTAGTACCAGTCAAATCAACGCTCACGGCCGAGGACCTAGCGCAGGTATACCTTAAAGAAGTGGTCTCCAAGCGTGGAGTACCGGAAGAAATAGTGTCCGACCGGGACAAGCTGTTTACGTCCAAATTCTGGAAGGCATTGACGAGTTTCCTCGGAACCAAACGAAAACTCTCAACAGCATTTCACCCTCAGACAAATGGAGGAAATGAACGGATGAACCAAGTCGTTGAAGCATACTTGCGATGCTACATCAACTACCAACAAGATAACTGGGTAGGACTGCTGCCACTTGCAGAGTTCGCCTACAACAGCTCGACCACGGAAACAACCAACGTAACACCATTCTTCGCCAACTACGGTTACGAACCTGTCGCATACAGAGAACCCAACCTGACGGTTGAGGATAATGATGCGGCTCGCATCCAGGTCCAGAAGATTCAGGACCTACACAAGGAATTATCCCAGGAACTCCAGTTCGTAGCAGAAAGAAACGCACACTACTACAACAAAACGCGTAGCCAGGAGCCAACGCTACAGGAGGGGGATAGGGTTTATCTTTTACGGAAAAACATCAACACGCAGCGGCCAAGCGACAAATTGGACCACAAGAAATTAGGACCGTTCAAGATCAAGCAAGTCAAAGGACCTTTGAATTACGAACTCCAACTGCCGAACACGATGAAGAAGGTATTCCCAGTATTCCATATATCCTTATTGGAAAAAGCACCACCGGGCGCACCACCAGCCCCAAAAACAATCGCAGAACCCATCAATCCGCTTGAAGAATACGAAGTAGAGGAACTGCTGGATTGTCAGTACAAGTACGGTATCATCAAATACCTAGTGAAATGGAAGGATTACCCACAATCCGAGAACACTTGGGAACCTAGGTCAAACCTTCGCTGCCCGAAGCTGCTTGCCAGTTTCCATCAACGAAACCCAGGTCTGCCCAGAGCGGGTCCTCAGGGTCGAAGGGAAGGCCGACCGTCGGGTCGTAGGGGGGGTCGACGTCGCCGGAACTAGGACGTTCCGCGCCTGCCAACTCAGCACTTTTCTGTGCCTCCTCCGCCTTCCGCTTCTCCTCAGCTTCCTTTTCCAACGCTTCGAGAGCGTCGAGCTCTTCCATTGAGTTCAGCCCGGCAGCAATCATCTTCTGCCGCCTTTCGTAGAGGAAACGTTTCTGTTTCTTCAAACGAAGGATTTTCGCCATCGCCTCCTCTTCCTCGGCATCCAACTTCTCGATCTGGGAGTCAAGGGACTCCCAATCCAACGCTGTCGGCATGCGGTTCACGGTACGCACATCGCATGTCTTGTTTAGACGGGCACATCGACCACACCGAGTCAGTTTGGGATCGCGGGGCGACACACAGTCTTTGCAATTCGCATTTTCACATCTGGTACAGGGTGCCATGATTTTTCCACTCAATTCAATCTGTCGCCCAAGCGCAATATGATCGACTCTTTTGGTTGAGCGTTCGGGTGGCATGATGAAAGAAGAAGACGGCCGTGGGCAGTCGTCGATATTTCCTTAGGCATACTTAAGCGTGAGGACACGCTAGGCTGGAAGGGGGATAGTGTCACGAACCAGGCTCAGTCTTGGTACAAGTCACGGGTTGGCACCATAATACTGATGGTACTACCAAGTGGATGGCACCAGTCGGTGTTTGGTACCAAAGGGTTGATGGTACCATTGAGAGAATGGCACCAACAAGAGAATGGTACGAATTAGCGAGTAGTACCATACTCCACGCTCGTTGTCATAATAATAGTTATGTTGATCACGGTGGACATGGGTCACGTGATGTGCTAGCTTGCTAGACGGGCTTGCGGGCTTGCGCGCCCTGCAAGACGTCTTGCACGGCTTGCACAGGAAGTCGGAAGTTCTATATAACGAGTAGGTAGTTTCCTAGATAGTAGAGCTTCGTGCTCAAATCAAATAGCAAGTTTACACCTAGTTTACCACTGCTTGTAACGTCTCAATTCCTATTGAGAATCGAGCGTCTTGTTACCTTACTTCATAGCTGATACCAACCGACGAGTCTGTACTCACGACACCGACCGAGTTAGAAACGTTACATTAGGCGTCTATTCTTTAGCTTTACTACCTACTTAATAGCGTAGTACTATATATTCTCGGGTATCTTCGTGTTATAGAGGATTAAGCGTGTAATCTTAGCTAGTTTATATATCTATTGCTTTACGACTCTATTTAGAGAGTATTTATATAAAAGAGAGGGTTCAGGAACAATTCCACTCTCTTATAGCTAGTTAATAAACTCAGGACCGAACTCTCCCTTGCTATTATTAGTCCTCTAGTAGATAATTATATGAAATTTACTTTACCCTTAAGTTTCAAGCTATAGCTTCAATTTCCGAATAACTAGTTAAATAGTTAATATAGACTTATTAACTAAGAGATCTACCTAACACGTCCTTGTAGTATTATCTACTACTAAAAGGAAGTATTTATAGCCGCGAATTAAGCGTGGTAAGATACTAGAGATATTAGCGTGTAATCGACGAATAGGTACGTTAGTTCTACTATCTAACTTCTTATTAAAGTGCTCTTTCATACGGCCTATAAAGTAAGCCTTGTAACACCTCTTTCTCTTTAGCCCTAGAATAGAAATCGGTCTTATTTTATAACTGCTGTAAGTAACTAGTTTCTTTAAATAGGCGTAATTTATATAGCTTAAACGCCTATAGAGTAGATCTGCCTTTATTTCCTCTGTGCTAGGCTAACTCTTTATTTGTTCCTTTAGTAGCTTTAAGTCTAACGGAATTATGTTATACGTAACTTAATATCAAGGATTCGTATCTAGAATATATAAACCTCTATTTCTTGTGCCTATAAAGGCTAGTTCACTATTCCGGTATCTATTTACTGATATCTTAGTTAGTTCCGTATTAATTCCTTTGTCTAAGAGTTAATATATCGATACTAGCTTTATAGCTCCGAAGTTAAGTACGTATTATATATCTTTAAGGGTTAACCTATTAATAGTAATATCTCTATAACCTTTAGCTATTAAGTACGAATTAGTCGTTATTTTAACGTATTTAGCGTTACGCTAGCGCTTAAGTTACTTGAACTCAGCTAGAACTCTACTGAAGTAGTAAGTAGCGCTAGAGTTAATTTTCTAGATAGATTCTGTAATAAAGATTATTAATAAAGTATATTCTATATCTTTAGTGTAGTAAATCTCTTCCGAAGGGAACACGGGATAAGTATTATTATCTTTAATTTCCTCTACTTTATTAGTGTTATCTCTCGCGTAGGTATTCTTAGCTTCCGTGTAGTTTGCGTACTAGTAGCTATAGCCTTTACACCGGGCACACTGATTTCGGCCTAATTTAGGGCGATTTCCTCTCTTTTCCACGCGCTCTCTACGTCTTTATTAGTTACTACCCCTGCTATTATTATTCCATCTTTCCTATCCTCTCCTATTCTTATATATATTACCTCTCTTATATGAGTAGCCTCTACCTCTCTAGCCTCTACTATCTCTACTACCTCTCTCTCTATTATAGCCTCTATTTATGTAATTCGCGGCGTTACTAGTAGCTATAAGTTAAAGCTATTCCCTTTATTTAATTTAATATTCGTTAAGCTTTCATATAGTATCTCTAAGATCTAGGTCTTACGATTCTAGGGTAAGTGCTATAGTAATCTAAGCTCCGGACGCTAGTAACGACTGTAATAGCTTAAGATGTATATCCTTATTAGTGAGAGGTTTACTATCGCCGCTAAGCTTTACTTTAAAGAGTAAGAGCCTTATAATGTAGTTCTGAAGTGTTTCCTCCCTTAGGATAAACTTTATCTTAAAGAAATCGTCTCTTATATTAGTAAAAGTAAGACTCCCTTAAACTACTTTACTTTTATCTGCGTAAATAGCTTCTTAGAGAGGCTTAGTGTTATTTAGTTTAATAATATCTCTATACTTAGGAAAGAGAAGCTTAGAGATTAAGTTAATAACTATTTTAAAAGCTTCTTTCTTTTCCTTAGCGTAAGTATTCTACTAATTAACATTATTCGGCACGCTAACTTTAGTAAAAACGTAATAAAGAATACTAGCCCTAGCTAGCTCTTGTTTAGTCTTAAGCTCCTATTTAAAGAAGTTATTAAACTCTAGTAGAGTTTTACTTTTTAAGGCTCTAGCGACGTAAGGAATTAGTGCTTTTAATTAGGATAATATTATAGCGTAGTAGCAGATATACTAAGAGTTAATAAAGTAGAGATCTTAATAAAAATAAAGTTTTAAGGTCTTTTTCGATCGATTGGAATTACTACTATATTATAATTGCAGTTGTATAAGGAGCTACTACAGAGAGAGAGAATCTCCTATATAAAGGGGTAGCGTACTTAGTAGTACGGCCTACAGTACTAAGTCTACGCCTACAATCCCCATATTTCTAACACACTGTATGGTCCGTGCTCCTGTCAACATCCTATATTATGCTCAGCTCCCCCTTTGCTCAAACTTCTTGAAACATCAACCTTCTACAACTAATGTTGCACAGGTAATGCAGGTTAATCACTACTGATCTACTTCACGTTTTTCATGAACTCGGACAATAGTAAGTCCACCGTCTTCATCTCTGTTGACCAAAACATTGCAACCTTTCTCAAGCGGTTCTCGCCTCCTCAGACCTGTTAAGGTTATCATAATCTACACCTCTGGTAACAATTTACTGGCGCTATTTAGCATCGCATGTTCAATGTCTCGCTCTCATAACAAAGCTTTCAGCCATCAACTTCGATCCCAGAAAAACTCGGCAGCTGCCGAGTCTTCTGAATCTGAGGAGAACATTGAACTAGAACCGAAGAGACGCGGCAGACCTCCAGGAACTGAGCAAGCACCTGTCGCTACAAAGGCAATCCCAGCCCCATCCACATCAAAACATGCTCCTGGAAACCCCCTTGACCGTGAGAATATCAAGAACCCTGCACAAAAGATTCCTGGAACACCTCCCATCAGAGATGCGAGAGTCCCTTGTAATGGAGCTCCAATTCCTCGTCAAATACAAGTTCAGGTTCCACAGAATAGTGGTCAATCACATCGAGAAAGCATTCGGCCTCAGGTCAACATGAAAAAGAAAAAGGTTCTACCCTTTTGGTCGTGAGTTATCCTCATATCCTTGAACTGATCTGGGGTTGTTTGACTGACCATTTCATATATAGAAAACCTGGCGCTGAATTCGTCCAGCTGTGGGTCGGCCCACAAGCCCAAGTGTTCTCCATTCACCTCGATCTTATTAGCCATTACTCCTCTTACTTCAGAGACGCTTTCAATCGTCAACATGGTATAGAAGGCCAGACCAAAACAATGCTTCTGAGGGATGTCGAAGTCTCGGTGTTTGGGCTGTTTAACCAGTGGCTGTACACGAAACAAATTGACGGCGAAGGAACGGATCCTGACCTGATGGACGTCGCCAAACTTTGGTCCTACGGCAGTGTTTGGAAAGTCTGGCAACTTCAGAATGAAGCTATGAGAGTCTTGATTCCTTTGGTCAATCGTGAATGCGAAGGCCCACAGGAGGAAAATGATACTGTTCTTCAGAAGTTTATCGAATATGCCTACACCACCAGAGAGGAAACTGCATTGAAGCGGCTGGCGGTTCATAGGATGATGTCATTCGTATCTGGTGTTATCAACGTCAAGAGATGGATCGACAACTTTCCTGACGGAATGCTCGCCGACTTCACAGTCGAATTGATGAAGCGTACTGCCAAGCTACCCAAAGACTTTTTCACTACACCAAGAGAGAACCCTATCTTCATGGTTGCCGCAAGGAGAGAGATTGATTTGACAGAATGACCTACTGGAGAGGGCTGGAATGGTAACACTTTGACTGAGGTGAAACGTTGAAGAGGACTCCAAGATTTGCAACAAGATCAATGCGGTGCTGTTAAATGTTGGAGGTATGCTTATACTGCCTTTGTTTCGTTTCTTCACTAACTCCATCAAGCGTTGCAAATATTCATATCAGTCATCGATTGTTCTTTCCCGTCAGAGCCTTCGGATATGAATGCTGGTTGGAACAGGAACAAAATGGTGGGTATTCCGACGTGTTGATAGCTAAGACAATCAACAACTTTCTTTATTTAACACAAGTCACGCTATGACGATGATAACGAACAAAGCGTCCAGTGATTGATCAATGCTCATAAATTGGCAATCAACTGCTTTGAAAAGACCTAGGGCGGGGTATTGTTGTGGGCAAGAACTCCTACCTTGATTAGAGCGTATGGATGACACTGACAGTGGGAGCTTCAATTCTTCTCCAAATGAAAATTGTTGCGCTATTTCAATCACCTTATCGTCTCTATGAGCTGAATCAAATCGCCTCCTACCTCCTATATTCAGGTCATGGGGAGCACTAGAGAGGCTTCCATGTCACTCGATAACTGCCGAGTAATGATGAAGAAAACATGATGTCATCGAGATCAAACAAGAAATTCCCCAGCGTTTCTACTCTATAGTCAGGCACAAAAATGTGGCTGTCCATCTTTGTTTGTCATATATCTCGCTTGACATTCTCGAAATATCTAGCAATGTCTGGCTTGTAAGAACATCTCTCTACTCCCCATAGAAACTCCATCAACTATCCTTCCCAAATATCACGTCATTTTATTGTAAATGGCGGCCACAACTAATTCGAGCGGCTCCAACAAAATGACAACTGCTGATACGCAGCGAATACATCAGCAATACGAAAGCGTAAGGAGCTCCAACTGACTTTCACATTCGTTCACTATCTTGGTTCATCTATACCCAGTACTAACATATCCAAGCCATTCCCACTTCCAGGTCGTTTACACTGCCAGGAGCTGAAAATTTTCATCTCCGAACACACGTCTGAAAGTTGTCTAGTGAGAAGGCTTGATGTGATGATTGTTTCAGTGCATTAATGGAATTCAAGGTGAAAGCCGCGGATACCTCAACCTGTACAAGGCGCGAGTTCTTGGAGGGTGATTTTGGTATGGAGTTTACACAGTCCTTCGTTGAAGTGCTGGACTTATCACTCAAAATCCACTTGAGGCTGTCGTCACGGCCTATCGATTCACTTGATATAAGATCATACCCTGTCGGAAACAAGCAGGGTAAGGAGAAGCCGGTGTATCCAGGACCCACTTCATAAGGAATATCTAGGTAAACTTCGGGGGTGGAAGACAGTAGTGGGGGAGGCACTTGGCGTCATTCTTTTCGAAATTAAACAAGCTGCCTTATCATCAAGCTTGACTCTCGTCTAATGGTCAACCTTGTAAGTTTCGTAATCATTGGCTCATGAACGACCAGTTCCAAGTATTCCTAAGGTAGATACAGAGAACTTCGTTATGCCACCGTACTACACTGACAGTATAGCCCGACCGACAAAAGTGAACGTGCCCATTTCAGAAAGCCTTGGTCCCCCATTACGAAGAATATGCAACATCGAGCAGAATTGAAAAGCAGCAAGAAGCTGTACTAAGAAATCCAAACGCAAAATACCCCCGAAAGGAGTATCAAGCCCTGTAAGTTGATAATGGCCAATATTAAATCATGATGGTCGCTTGAATCTCCAGAAATATCGTCAGATTTGATTCTGGGACGAGCTCCTCTGAGCCAAATTGCGCTTTTATTCTTTATAGATGGACATCTAACCGATTCTGACGTAATTGTCAAGCGTCTGGGCGTAGTCAGTACGTCGGGTTTCGTGGAGAAGAGATGCTTCGCGCTGGCTTGACACAGTGAGAAGCATTTCTTTGCTCTCTCAAGAGTGAGATGGAGTGGTGATCGATATAACTTACCTCGTCGTGATCAAGAAGTTCTGTCTCAGGAATGATCTCGTCATCAGAGTGGTGGAAACTCTCCCCATCCGAGCCACTCTCACTCAAATTTTCCGAACAATATGCAATCTTCTCACCAGGCGCTTCCTCGATCTTATCACCTAGCTTTGCTTTGCGGCGTCGAACTCGATATTCGCGACCACTGAGGTCCTCTCCTTCAAAGCCAAGCCCATTACTCCAGCCCGTCAGAGTAACGCAGCCCTTCATCATAGCCAATGTAAAGTCACTTCGCATCTCATCTGGCATATTCTTTAGGGTTCGGATGATATTATGGTTATTCATAGCCGATAGAGTCTTCGAGATAGCGACATCCTCCAGTTCTCTGTAACGTACCATATATACCGTAGCCTGGAAGTCCTTCAGAGCATTTCCTTTGTCGGTATCTTCGCCAGGTTCAGTGTTATCCATGATACCGAGAAGAATGCTTGCTAGGTCTTCGATTCCTAGTTCCTTCGCCAAAATCCATAGCTTCGCGTGTTTGATGAGTTTGATTGTGCCAAAGGGTCCCTCCATCTTTTGGGTGTAGAACCACTTCTAGAGGAGTCCAAATGTAGACTCGGAGCAGTGAATAGTCATAATGTGCCAATTGAAATCGTTAATCAAACGTTTTCGGAAAGCGCCGGAGAAATGGGCGAGGGAGGACATTGTGAGGGATAGTGAAGATTTGATGATTCTTGGCAAATCCGAAAACGTCAGTCTTGTCGTGATCGACGACGGTCACTTCCACCATTCGCTGGGGTATGCTAAAGTTCTACATGAGCTTCAAGTCATCTAAAATTTAGTTGCTTTTCCTGCGGCAAGACTTACAAGAAGTTGAGAGGCGGAGTAATCTCCTGTGTATCGAGACTTGAGCGACGAGACATGGTGCTTGAGCTTGCTTGCGACATGAGCCACAGTAGCTTGCGCTTTGGTGGAGGAGCTTCCAAGGAATTGATAGCTATACGTTTCAAAGCATCGGGATACTTCGTGGTTGTCTGTGACATGTCCTCGAAAGCTTTCGTGATTTCGGCTGCTGTCGAGAATTGGGTCGAGGAATTGGAGATGGCGTCGGCGAGAGGCTATAAGATGGCCTTGACGAGGCTAGAATGGGTAGTGTCTGAAATGAAATAGCGAGAGTCCGAATGCCTGTGTGCTGATGAATGTGTCTATTGGACTTTGGACTTAGGAGTGGAGTGAATGTTGTTTACTTTCCGCGAATTGGCTCGCTTAACTTTTAGTCTGCGTTAGCAATCACAAAACCATGCCAAGAAGTCGGCGATCTCGATTTACAGAGGCAGTTAGTAATTCTGAGCCGTATATCAAGTCGTATCACTTTATTACGCATTTCAAGCAATGGCCAAGTACCTTGTTTTCGAAATACATTCATTCTTTCAAAGATGGATATTGTGGCTCGTGAAATTCGCACTGACTGCCAGTAACTTAGGTCATCACACACGCCCAAGCATCCAAGTCGAACAATATACCTACATAACGCTGAAATATGGGAAGGCGATTCAGCAACGGGGTAGGCAGACTTGGGATTGGTCAGTAGTATCAGGTGATAAACAGGTCATGTGATCACATAATGGCGCTGCTTATTCTGCACGTTCGTGAGTGTGAAGAGACGGATCTGAAGCCCGCATGAAATTGAAGCCTGAAATTCGCAGTTACGTGCATTGAATTGATGCATTGATGCCCATGTCTTGACTTAGTTGTGAAGTACGTTGTTTCGCATCCTTATGCATCAGCTGTCCATGCGCGATTAACTGCCGGTGTGCTGGACCTACATTCGTTAATCGTTCGAGTCAAGATCGTGGGTGGACGCAACATTACCAGGAAATTGACTCCGGCGTCTATTGATAGGTACAGGTCTCATTTCAAATACAGGGCGGGCGATGGGCTGAAGATCGCGGGGACACTCGAGGGCCAGAAGATCCGTAAGGCTGGGAAGGCTACACAATCCGGGTCGTCCAGCTGCGGCCGCCACGTGTTTGTGTATCCTCAGGGAAGAACTTCGGGTACACCTCACCACACCAGTCTGGAGAGACAACTCATGTCCAGCATTCTTAACTCGATGCAGCCCTCGAGTCTGGGAGGCGTTGCAGACAACAATCGTCAAAGCACTGCCAGCACTCCGGTGAGCGAGGGCAAATTGTCTGCCTTTCTGCAACTTCGTAGGGCCAAAATGAAAGAGCCGTAGGGGTTTTAAAGGGTAACCTTCTCATCCCCTCGACATGTTCTCTTCTTTTGATAGCAGAAATTTCTTTCCAATCTTTCCAAGTTATTCTTTCATTCCGTCCGTCGTTTGGTAGTCACTTGATAATGCGGCCAGCTGAAGGATCCAAAGAGCCTGCGCCCGACCAACTCAGGAGTGGCCAATCTGCCAGCGCGCCAAGGCCAAGCAACAGTACCACGCCGTAAGTCACCATTGGCGAGATTTTCAACATTGAAATAACCGTCTTGCACAGCCGCCGAAAGCGGCAATACAGTCCAGATGAAAGAGCCGAAGTTGCAGAGACTCGTAGACGTGGAGCTTGTGAGGATTGTAGGCGGAGGAAAACTAAGGTGAGTCAGAACAAAATGTTGTTCGGCTTGAAGCTCTAACAGCCTCAGTGTAAACACACGCCAGCTAGATCAGAGGTTTCCTCAAATGTGACGTCAGGATCAGGAAGTACACTGAGTGATATCTCACTTCGTACAGAGAGTGCGGTCTCTGAGCCTCCAGGATTTGCGACAAAGATCATCTCAGGGGATCGAATCAATTGGCCAGCCAATGGAACTGACTCTTTTGACGATCACTACTCAACCCAAATGGAGATGAGAGCTGGAACTGTTGAAACGAAGTCTTACAGCGACGTACCAAAAAGTTTCGCGCGCCTTCCTTCACGGCCGAAGCCTCGTGAGATCATCCAGGAGCCTGCACTATCCAACACCAGCTTTCAGCCGAACGCCAACCAAACATTTCCTGGAAGCCTGTCCAATGGATATGCCCTGGATATGGGATCTCATGTTCCAAATGAGACGCGTCGGCCAAATTCTTCGATGGATTATCCTCAGGTACCCAATCCAAGACCATTTGCTGCTCCCGCTTGGCCAATGAGCCGCGGGACTGATCAAGAAAGACAGTCACAGTCAACCCAGGCTTTGAATAACCCGTCAGAGGAACATCAACAGCTCCTAGCTGGACATATGAGAGGCTCCGCACTGCCTCAATTCAATGGGCTCCAACCGACTGGGACTATGTATCCTCAACGAGGAAGAACTCAGCACCAAGTCCAAGTATCTGACCCAGTGGTTGATGCAACGTATCCCGCAGTGCTTGGCTGGGCTCAGCAACAGGACCCAGGAGTTGATTCCGCTCAAAAGCGTGCCCAGATGTCGTCCCATCCTTCTTCAAGCCAACAACAGCAGTTCACTACGTCCAAAGGCGGTTACTTGTCGTTTTCAAATGTTCGTCTGCCAAACACGATTCAGATGCAGACCGTCCCACAGCCTGTCGCCCACCACCGTGCTGCAGCACAGAGCGTATTACCCACCACCGAGTATCGTTCAATACCAGCTGCGACATCTCCAATGGTTTCAAGGATCCCTAGCAGCCAGATCTCAACTCCGATATCTTCGAGACCTGCTATCAATGGATATCTTGAAACTAGTGACAGACTTCGTGCACGCCAGAACATGCCAGTTACCCCTCCACGACAAATGCAAATGCAAGGACCGCAAAGAAGCTATCAACCGGTACAACACAGCCTACAGTCTACTACAGTGCTGTACAGTCAGCCATCACATACATGGACAGGGAGGCAGAAAGCGCAGCAGCCAACTGCTGACCATCGCCGACTGAAGTCCTGTGAAATGTGTCGAAGAAGCGGTCAAGCACCTGGATCTATCTGTTACCATGTGAGTATTTAATCTCATCATGTCTTCCCTGAATTAATTGACTGACACACAAGCCTCAGTAATTCGAGCTGCAGTCATGATACGATAAGGGAGAAGGGGAAAGGAGCAAAAGAATTGGGGAGGCCTCGCGGCCGCATCAGTCTGATTTCGTCATTTCTTTATCGAGACCACAGACAATAATCACAGAATGGCATGTAATTGTAGCGTTTTTTTCCCGAGGAGTTGTTACCAAGAATATAAATTGCTTTCTGGCTCGACGCACATAATGGTACTGGTAAACACTGACGTCAACCACCCGCCCCGCCGTGTAAGCGAGCGAACCCCTTTTTGCATCGGAATACAAACGCCTGGGAATGCCTCAACTAGGCAAACTTCAGGAACGACTCCAAGATGAATGCCAATGCCTTTGTATCGTTTTCGGAAGTGGATTGGCCACTTTCTCGATCAAGTTGATTCGACTGACATTTAGATCCCTTATATGTTGGGATCAAGCACAGTTTGCCAAATCCGAGATCGTGAAATAAACGTCACCAAAGGGCTATCGATGAAGTTAATCTCATAGTCAAACCTTGAAGAATCCCGATCCAAAAAGCAGGCAATATCAAAGGTCACGAGCCAGCCAAGCACAGCCAGCGGCCAACACCGCCTCCTAAATTCTCTTCCGCCATAAAACCGCCGTCTCGCAAAACCCACCGCCGCCTCCGTCGGGCGCACCCCCTATCTTCCGGTCCTCACATCCAAAACTCGCCGCTCCATTCCACTTTCCGGGAAATTCCAAAATCTTTGTTGCACATCGCTCGAAATCCGCCGATTCCGAAGCCCCGGGTAAGTATTTCCGCCCATTTCCCTATCGTGCCTGTCAGCGGAAAGCTATTCCGACGCATTTCCTCTCCTCGCACGAGCACTTCTCCGAGACATCATCAAACTTGCTTTTGACTGCGCATCGGCGTCAACTCCGACGAGAGTCTCGCTCGAAAACCCGCGGGTCTCCGCTGTGTTGGACGCTCATTTGTAGACGCACCAATGATGGTCTTTGATGGGAGGGGATGGATTTTCTTGTTGCAAATCGTCAAATCCGGCGTAGATCCGACGGCCGCGGATACGCCACGATGGGCGGATAGAAAATCCCGCCATGACTTCTGTCCCTTTCACGTGTTTACTTCATCCGAAGATACTACGATGTTTACTTTTCGGCATTCTACCTTTGCGGCTGGACTTTGATTAACCGGAGAACGTATTTCTCTGTTGCATTTCGTAGCGGAAAGCAATCCGAGGATGGCGGAAGATTCCTGGGCATTTGGCTTCTTCCAAAACTCTCGCAGCTTTGTTGCTCTGACACTTGGCAGAGGACTTTCATGGCCGGCGGCATCTCGCGGATAGAAGCCGCGATACGCAAAGGGAAGTCAAGTACCGTCCAAGCAACGACTTTTCTATCCGCGGCTTGGAACTTTCGCAGAGGAATCAATCAATCAGGATTCCTCCTTTTACATTTCAGACTTCTGTTGCACATCTACATGTAGCCGACCGGACCGCTGCCGACCGCTGCCGTCGCCTGACTTCACAGTTTCCTTCTTGTCGTCGGCTACGGTTTTCGCGGTCCTGGCGGTCCGTTCCACTAGCATCTGCCCTCCGTCGCTTCATGAATCATGTATCGAGGACAATCGTGATTCATGATTCTTGCAGGGCGCCTCAACAACGACCAAGATGCTTTTCTTTCTCTCCTAATCTCTGTTGCAAATCGCAAGAAAACGCTTCGGATTCGTATTCTTGTTTCCATATCATAATCTCACCATTTTCAGTGTCTGATTCCTGTCCGCCACGGTTTTCCCGGCCTCGGATCATGAATGATGCCATAAAATGCACCATTTACCTCCTCATCTCGTTTCTAACCTAGAAAGTTGATAGCTACAGCAGAAAGTCACTCATCTTTGTTGCAAATCGCAATGGAACACTCCGGACTCTTTCCGAACTATTGCAGATCTATCGTCTTATCCTTCAGGCAATACTCCGTCGGTAAATCACCGTCGCTTGCAAAAGTCACGCCACAAATCTCTCCACCCCCTTGATTTCATCACGTTCTCTCCCTTCTGGCTTACATGAACATCTCGGACCGGTATATTAATTCATGGAATTGTTATCTTTGTTGCATATCGTAAAAACCGGCGGCCATCCACTTTCCGGCAATTGATCTGTTAGTGTGGTGAGACTTTCGTGATAAATGTTCCGGACCGGCGAGTTTCTTGCGATAGGGGCGTTCCGCGGAACATATAACTTATTGTGCTGTGATAAGAAGGATGGCTTTTCTGTTGCAAGTCGTAGATTGAGTCTTTCCGTAGCCGCTCCAATCATTCCGGACAGCGCTTTGTCTGCCCGGACCTCCAAATCTCCTGGTGGGAACGTGGCGGTGATTCTGCTTCCGGAGGCGGCAGAGAAAAAAGCTTGGGCAAATGTTCTCTGGATTAGACACGACTTGTGAAACCGAACTCTTGAAATTCTTGCGAGTGGTCCGAGTTTTTGAATCAATGGTGTTCTAAGTCATGTGAAGAATAACGGATTGATATCAACATACAACTCAACTTTGTCCCTCGCTTAAGTTTCTCCGCGACTTGAACACAATCTACTACCGCTATGAAAATCCACTCGAAGAAGCATTATACTTCATTTTCCATGACCTTCGGGAATTCCGAGGACTATAAACTGCTAGAATGCCATCCGTCTTTGTTGCAAATCGCAAAGCGGGGGTTGCCCGAACGCCATTCCCTAGTCTTCCACCGGCTACTTTTGATCCCCCGCCTTGGCCCGTCCATATTGAAAGTCACCTCCTATTCCCACAACATAGCACCACTTCTCAGCTGCCTCGTCCCTTTTCTAGTCTTTGGATTCTATCACCAAACGCTTTATCCCTGCCCAATCCCAAACTTCTCGATTTCCGCTCTCTGTACTCCGTCTCCATACGTCATGTCTGTTGGTCTGCCCCACATCAGCTTACCCAGATCAAAACCTGCCCATTTGCCTAAAATCCAACACCATTTTTCTCGGAACGACAAACGGCGTGACATTTCTGCTTTAAATTCTATCCCGAAGACAATAATTCCGAGTGCCCGCTCCTGTAAACAGCTGTTCCCACTTTCCTTCAAACATCGCTCGGTACATTTCCGAGAACCTCGCTCGCTTCAGCCTCGGAATGTAAACACACCCTTCCGGAAAGATGACATTCAATCAAAACCTTTCGGAAGATCTGTCAGGACTGGATGAGTAAAAAATTCTTGTTGCAAATCGCACTCCGAGACCGAAGCCGAGATCAATTACCGCTTTTTGGAGATATGAAGATAGCAATTTGCGGAGTTTCCCCTTCAGGATTAATCAATGATGGTGATAAACTCGCTCGAGATGTGCTTTGACGCCATGCGTCGGAACGGCCCGAAGTGGAGGGAAATAATGGGAAATGCAGAGATGGGATTCCCGATGAACAAACACATCTAGTTTTCTGGCGCGCGCCCCCTGAAACTCAAACTCGCAGCTCAACCCTTTTCAAAACTACTGTCTACACCGATTCGTGTACCGTATCGCCGCTCTCAACCCGCTTTGACTACCTGTACTGTTACTTTCCACCCAGGCGCTTCGCTTCCGCTACTAATACTACCTTCCCACCTCAACCAAACATAATAAGCACAACCTCCATTAACCTTCCCGGAAGAGGAAACAGGTCAATATCTTCCCCTGAATATCTACACATCTTCCAAGCTCTGTTGCATATCGCAGAAAGGCCGAAGATATCCGCGATACCGATATTCGGTGTTCGCGGTTTCTATTCTTTTTTCTTTAATTTGGTTCCTCGAGTCAGGTATCTAGCGAGCAAAGATGCTGGTCTTGTCTTGCTCGCGAAGCCAGCACGGATGTGACCTTTAAATGTCCATCGAGGCAGGAAATGGTTAAGAAAGATGGATTCATATGGCTTTTTTTTCTTTAAAGATTATTGATTTCTTATGGATGCCGGGCGAGTAGCAAGATTGAATCTTGTTTCCTTTCGGGTTTCAAACACGTGACGCATATCGTTTGATGTACCGGCCTCCGTCGGAATATCAAGCCCAACAATTCATCTCATATAAAAACTCAATATTTTTCTGTTGCAAATCGCACATTTCTCCGAAATGCGGAACGCCGAAATTCTGTTATCATAATTCCAAATGCCCATCTCAAAGGGGTCCAGGCTTGGACTCTGACCCTCCGCTTCGCCCTCGCTTCGAGATTTCGGAGTTTCAGGGGCGACGCTCGGAAGGCGATAGGCGAGTTCGGGATTAAACTTCCATGAATATCCGAAGGCGGAAGGCGAGAGTGGATAAGTTAGGATGGTCAATTAATTATGAGGGTTCAGACTTTGTGTTTGAGAAATTTTGTTTCCATTATACTCCCTTTATTCTTGGGTCTGACAATGGAGTCTCCAAGACAGATCTTCGCTAGGGGGTTCTAACCAGTAGAATAGACAGGATTTCCTGTTCGGCAAATGGATTTTGAAGTCCGAATCTGCGGTAATTAGACTCGTGCGCTTTTCGGAGTACTCGGCAGGCCCTATGAGACATACTCTACCTGAATATTCAGGTCTTAACGTCTGTGATCTCTTACATGACGATGCTTTAAGATTGCAAATATAGTGTTTTCAAGCTTGTTTACCCTGTTTGCATTCTTTTGATCGTGATCTAAAGACCGCATAGAGCTTTTACCCTGTTACTTAGCGGACCCATTGTCAGACCTAAGAATAAAGGGAGTATTGTGTTTCTTGGAAATGAAATGAGTGCAGGGCAAGTGTACGAGTAGTAGCTCATGCTATCCGGGTATCATACTTTGTACAGGTGGTATCGGCGACAACAGTCTCCGCATTTCGCTCCCTATTCAGTCCCGACCGCAGAAATCAAAGCGCATCTGTTCTGATTTCTTGGGCATGATGTTAACGCGAAACCAGCTCAGGGGCCGGGACTGACTTCTTCTCCGACGGACCAGCTCTCCAGTTCAGCACTATGACGGTATCCATCTCCTTTCCTCCACCCTCCCGGAAATACACCTGCCTCACCACCCCATCAACCTTCACACTATCCAGCAATTTATAAGACACTTTGTCCCTTTCACTCATCTTGTCCCTCAGCGGCGCTAGACTATGCAAGACCTTGATATTATCTCCCCACGTATGCTCCATCTCATGCAGATTTATCTTCTGTACCTTTCCGCCTCGCAAACCGGTCGATCTGAGATGTCCGTTGGGATAATGAACTATGGAGAAACCATTGGAGAGGATGATATCTCTTCCGAATTGCCAACGTTGTAAGAAGCAAGAATCGCAGATGTCGGCGACGAGATGCATCTTCTCTATCTCGAGCTTGAATCCTGCTTTCCAGTGATGGAGGGAGATCATCTCGCGGCCAGACTCATAGAATCCAGAGAGGTCACCATGCATATCGACTTGGTGGAGACCAGGAACATGGGTCAGCTTCGTGGAAGAGAAGCGGTAGATACAGTCCATGACTGTGACATCTCCCGCTGTTGTTCGGAGATGTTCTTTGCATTCATCCGTGTGGTCGTCAATCATCTTTGCCAATGGTAGAGATATCATTATTCCTGCGCCACCAAAACCCATCAACCCATAGTTGTTGACAGCCCACCAGTCCTCGCTCAGAGATCCAATGTATTGTTCTTTGCTGGTGTCATATATGGACAGTAGGATCTGCAAGTCGTGCATGCTGGGAAAGAAAGTATCGTCGTCTATGAGGATCATCCATTCAGTCTTGTTATTCCGAGCGGAGTACATGACGTTTACGAGAGAGAAATAGCGCTGAGCGAAAGAGTCCTTCGGTCGTACTGGGTGGATGATGCTGACTTTCATGCCTTGCTCCTGCAGTTCCTTCTCCAGTTTTGCCATCTCCTTGCTATCTGCTGCCTTTTCCTCCGTCTCGATGACTATTGCGAATAGCCTGGCATTGGTAAGTGGTAGCCATCGTACCATATGCTTGGTTGTCTCCTTCAGACGTCCCATGGTGGTCTGTAGTCCGAAGATCATATTTGATGCATCCACCTTCGACGAATTGACATTGGAAACTTCAAGATACATTGGCGGGAGACAATTCGGTATGCCGACTACTGAGGATTTTGCAGGGTCGATGGTAGTAAAGTCTTCAAAGAGCGGTTCGTCCACTATGGACAGAGGAGATCGTTCGGATTTTGCGGAAGGAATGGCGACGATATCGCGTGAGACGTATTTGATGGGATACGAGAATTGGTAGGGTTCTAACCATCCCAATTGATCGGTACATGGGTGAGTTTCGATCTTGAGTTCCGGGCCTGCTGTACCAATCCATTTATCAACTTTGCTCAGATGTCCTCCATCGCGTCCACGCGTGACGAGGAAGAGAGTGCCGAAAACTGTGAGGAATAGACCCAACAGAAAAGGTCTTCGCGGACTCATGGTGGCTACATGAAGTAGTAGATAGCTTCTGGGGAGGAAAGTGGGAGAATGAACTCCTATGGGGGGAGAAGAGAGCAGAATGAGCAGATCGAGACTGTATCTCGAGAGTCGAGAGGACCTACTGAGCTCTGCGAGTGCGAGTCGCCTCCAGATCTAGCAGATATGACTTCATCTATCATTCCAGGCTCTACGAGCTGCGGAGGATGTTTATATGCCGAGGTTTGACATTGGCGGTACTCATTCATTGGATTCGGGTTCAACAATGAAGCCCAAGGGATGTGTTGACAGATGGAAAGCGCGACTCGGATAAGGCTGTGCGACAGGATGATTTCGAATTGCCAAGCCTACCATTCCAACCATGTATTCTGCTGATATATTGCATCTGCTTTTGAGTAAAAATCTGTATATTACCTAGGTAGGTAACAATGGAGAACGAAAGACTTAAGGGCAGTAATTAGGGCCTAAACATATCGCAAGTGCTTCCCCAAGTACAAGGCTGCACAAGGCTGGGCTTGGCAGGCAGGGGTCCGCCTTTTGACGCATTTCCAACCGCCTCGGCATCTCGAGCTTCTCAACGTCACCAATGCCACGCAACAGCAACAGTTAACAAACCACAAGAATACATAGACTCTAAACAGCCACGTATTCTCCAACGTATAATATGCGATAGCATTCTCAGACTTCTCACTCCGTATCCGAACATACACGCCCTGCGAAATGGCTTCACAAGCCCCCGCCCAAGCCTCACGAAGACGATCATCCCCCACTGAGCAGACAGCTTCCTCCCCAGCTGCAGAATCGTCTGCGAGAGAACAGAACACGACCGAAACACAATCTATACCTCTCAATAACCCACAAAGATCTGCCCCCTCAATCTCGGCCACCAATACATCGAAACCTACGGCCGAACCTGCAGAATCCCGGACGTGCTGGATCTGCCAACAAGACGATATAGATGACAGGCCTGAGGATTCGGAATGGAAGAATCCATGTCCATGCTCCTTGACTGCACATGAATCCTGCCTGCTAGAATGGATTGCCGACCAAGAGGCTCCAAAGAGAGGAGATCTCGTCCCAAACTCTACGATCGAGTGTCCACAATGCAAGGCGGAATACAACATCCAGCGTCCTCGTGATCCTATTGTATCACTCTACGGATCGATACAAAGTTCAGCAAAGCGCTTGATACTTCCTACAGCTATGAGCGGTTTGGTAGGCTGCTTGTATTCCGGATTGCTGGTTTATGGGCTTAACTCCACAATTACTGTCTTTGGCACCGAGCAGGCAAGATCCCTTCTAGGAGGTCAAATTGCGCTTGGTAGAATCAATACCTACTCGGCGAGAGGACGAATGGCCAAGCTATTGCATCTCCTAGATCCGTTCTTCCCGACAATTCTCCGAGTCAAGAATTACAGCCTATTCCTATCCATGCCATTAATCGGGCCCTCTCTCGTCCTCCTCCGCACAAGTCTCGCAGACCAAGCCTCTGGCATCCTCCTCCCAATAGTACGTACATTCTTTCCCTTATATCTCAACACCACTAACTATCCGCACTAGTACTTCCTCAGCACCCAAAAAAGCCACCCTCACTTCAACCTCACCTGGCCTCCAAGTCCGGGCCTAACATTCGCCACACTCCCCTTCATCAAAAAGGCCTACAACGCGCTCTACCGCCACACCTTCTTCGATCTCGAAAAGAAATGGGATCGTGCCGTCCAACGCCGTCCCCGAGAAGGCGAAACAGCAGAACAAATCGAGAATCAAGCAGCCGAAGACGACGGCCGTGCTATCTTCGACGTCGAATGGGTCCACGAGGAAGTTGACATCCCCGCTGCCCCAGCAGCAGATGTTGCAGCAGCTGCCGAAGCAAATGGCGGCGTCCGGCTTGAAAATGTAAACAATAATGCCCCTGCCCCTGCTGCAAGACCTTTGAATCGCTGGGCGTTACATCAAGATGTCAGCGCTGCCTATATCGCCACAACAGTCATGGGCGCGCTAGCCTTTCCCGCGATCTCTTCTGCTATGGGCGAGATTGTCAATATGTTGCCTCTGAAGTGGAAAGATAGAATTGGTGGTGGGCTGTTGAGAGAGAAGTGGGGACGGAGTGTGGTTGGAGGGTGCCTGTTTGTGGTGTTGAAGGATATGGTTACGTTGTATTGTAAGTGGAGGAAAGCGAGGGATTTTGGGAAGAGGAAGGTCATGGATTATATGGGGAAGAAGGGGGTGAGGAAGTGAGGCGGGGGAGAACTGGAAACAGGTAAAGACTTGTGTCTTGGAAGTAGAGACGCCAATATCCAAATACTAGAGCATATTCCTCTGGGGTTTGAGATTGCTGGTGACGATGTCTACTCCCCCATCTTAGACGCCGTCGGCGGTATTGGCGAAGAGGTGCCCATATCTCGGCAGAAACATTCAACTTGTTGCGTCCTCTCATTCTATCTCTATATGCTGAATCTGACCAGCTGCCGGAAATTCTGTGGTGTGGAAGCTCAACTATATTGAGATCGACGTAGAAGATGAGGGAATCAGAAGCTGAATCGCTGGCGGCGACAAATGAGTATGAAGTTGTATTCACGAGGAGGTCAAGGTATTCCGAGATCTTCTTTTTCGTAAAAGGCGGCTCAGAAATCCCGCACCTGTTACAAATGAGAGTTTTAAGGACACATTATATCTGACAGACTTGAATGTGGGAGATTTTGCGATGGTGTGTAGTTGTACTTCTGCTGTAATTCAAGTGCGGACGGTGAAAAGAGGCACGGCGAGACCCGAGCAGGATGGGAGTGGGAGCACTCACTTCCTAACTTTTGCTTACAGCCGGAATGAACGTATGTGTAGATCACTATGGTACTGGTAAGATTCCACTCATCTTTCTGTTGCCCACGTCATACGAGACATGTCAAACCAACTCAGTCACTCCAACACCGCGTGTCTCTCAATGACCGGACAGCTTTGTGGATTATTTGTTGTCAATCGCGGGAAACCATCATCTCCAAGTCAGTTCTAGTAGATTATTACGTGTCAAATGAAACTGTAACACTTCTCACCGTCGCTTCCTTGACAACTATTTTTTTCCCACAGTCAATTCAGTCAATCTCACATGATATGCGAATAATCTTCTGTCGACTTCCTATGATTCTAAGTGGTACGTTGTATTTTCTCAGAAACTATCTTTCAGCATTGCATAGAATTTGTTCTGTTCATGAGATGCCAGGTCTTTTAAGGGTATCTTTGACCCTACATTTTCTAAGTAACAATGAAATATGCCGATTTGTTGTGGACTTGCTCCAGAATGAAAAATATCTACACCCTCCATATTCACGGGCTTGTGGCTGTTCATAGGACCATGGCGTCGATTCAGACAGCTTGACCAAGTACACAGTAGCCTCTACTACGTGGAGATGGGGTGCTTGGACATCTAAGCTCCACCGTGGTATGCCAGCCAGGCACATCGTAACCTTTGCTGCATATCAATGAACTGTCCACAGCCATCAATTCGAGTCACATTCTTGTAACAGAACATTCTCTTCCACTCATCACACTTGATGTATCCCACAAACCTCATACCGTCATCCGAGGTGGCTTCATAGTCTCTGGTCTCATCGTAATGGCAGCTGCTGTCACCATAAACTGTCATACCTGTAATTGTAGGTGGAAGACCGTCTGCTGCCTCGTCGTTATCGCCAAGCACACTCCATTCAGGCTTGTTGCCGCAATCATACATTCTTGTCGTTAGATCTGCACGGTAACCCAGTAACTGATTGACTCCATTCCCGCCGGTTCCGTCCCAGATATATCTGACAACGATATCATAAGCGGGAACACCATCTGGATTTCCAACTGGAATGGTGGTCGGAGTTGGAGTCGCCGTTGTGGAAGGTGGAGGAGGGGATGGCTCTTCCGTGGGCCACGTCAATGCTCTCTCAGTATAGGTTCCATTGCGATAATGGTTCCTGCTCCCAGGTCATTGATCAGAACCTGCTGGTTACCAGCTGTGTACCAAGGAGTGTGAGCAGGCACCAAAGGACATCCGATAGTTGTAGTGGATGTTCTGGTTGTTGCGGTGATAGTACAGCCTGTGGTTGGGACACAAGAGGCTGTGGTACACATGGTTGTCACACTTGCGCCGATAGGTGAAGCTGTACATGATACTGCGCAATTAGTAACAGTGGTCGAACGTGTACAAGAAGTCGACTCCGAGGTTGTAGTTGGGTCTTCAGGTGAGTCTCCTCCTGGTGGCGGTCCATCTGGCGGTGGAAGAAACTTTGGGCAATCAACGCCGGAGCAGGTGTTATCACCACCATTGCACCCACGTCCACGGCAAATAGTACATAGGGGGCCGAGACAACCTAGACAACTGATTCCGAAACATGTCTCGCAGAAAGGCGTATTACAACCAGAACAATCTGAGCCCTGTAGCCGCTCAAGTCAGCTCCATATTTTGGGATAGCACTTGCAGCCGAACTTACTTCGCAAAAGGTGCAATAATGCCCATTGCAAGAGTTTGTTGTGTCGTCGCAATCTGAACCATTACACGTATGGCAGTCCGGTCCCTCACCTGAATGAGATATCAGTAGAAGATTCTTTTTTTGATTTGGCTCTGGCTACTCACAATTGTCGCAATTCCGCCCGGTGCACAAACGGCAGTCAGGTCCTGAGCGGGACTGCTGATCACTAGTGCAATCAGAGCCAATCCAACTGGTGCAAAAGAGTCCATTCTAGACATATGTAAGTTTACAAACAGTGAAACGAAACTTATTTGGAAACTTACACAGGAAGTGCAGCCTGACCCTACGCAAATGGTGCCTGATGCAGATTTATTAGAAGATGAGTCTATACTTGTGCAGAGGATTGGAAACCAACACTGTAGGCCCTTGCATTGTATGCTGCCACCAGAACTTTGGCCGCAGTCTCTTCCAGTACATGAGTTGCAGTCACTGGAACTGCAACCAATACATCCTTGACCGCGACAAGAAAAGCATTCGGGGCCTTGTCATTTTCAATCGTCAGCAAATGACACATTGTTCAGACTCAAGCAGTATCAATCGTTTCCTTACCAGTGCATCCGCTACAGCTACTCCCAGAGCAGCCCTGGCAGTTCCCAGTACAGCCGCGACATGATGATCCAGAGCATGGTTAGCATGCTGCAGATATGCAAACAGGATTTGGCACTGGTGCAGGTGTTCCTTCAGGAGGTCCAGGATCTGACGGGTCGATCGGGTCAGTAGCCGGAGGGAGCCCACCAGCACCACCACATGCAACGGCGAGCTGTTCTCCTAGACAGGAAGCAACTTTGTTACCAGATACAGGGCTCGGAGCTGTCACCGAGAGACTGAGACTGCCTTCATCTTCGCCGTTAAAGGCTGAAATCGCCCATGCATAGTTCCAGGTTCCAGGGAACAGAAAATACCAGTCGATACAGCTCGTCGCTGGGCTTTGTCCCGCGTAAGTCAATACACTACCGGCTATGTTGATATTTCGGCTAAATATCCGATAGCCAGTGGCACCTGGCACTGGGTCCCATGTTAGATGAGCGGTAGTTGAGTCGCGTGCTAGTATCTGCAAGTTCTTTGGAGTGCCAGGCACACCACCACCAACAATGATACGTCTGGCCACAAGGGGGAAGCCAGCACCTGCAGAATTCCACGCTTCAATGGCCACTAGGTAGCGGTGGCCTGGTACTAGGCCGTTGATACTCGCAGACGACCCTACAAAGGCGGCACTCAAGAGGAAAGAACACGGTAGATCAAGGTCCCAGTAATAGACGTTGTAGAGGAAGACAGAATCGGAATAGGCTCCTGTGGGAGGAGTCCACGTAATGGTGAGCCCAGTTGCCGTAGCACGGGAGACAACATTATTGGGGGCGCTCGCGGTCTGTGGTTTTGCGACACCAGAAACCCACTGGGATTAACATATGCCAAGATTAGCAAGCCACAACATTCGCAAGATAGCATGGTGAGTCTCATATACTTACTTCAGTCCATCCACTCTTCCGATTGCCAGAACTCGCACGTACACGAATCTGGTACCTGAGCAGTGGGGTATCAGCTTCAAATGAGATTGGCGATTGAGAAACGAACTTACGTCCAACCTTCCAAAGCCCACCTCGTATCCCATCTGTTAGTCGAAGTAGAACCAGGAGAGAAATTGAAAGGGGCTCCGCCATTGATGATATAATCGATGTCGTATCCATAAGCACCGAAGACTATGCACTTAGATAAGTTACTGTGATACCCAAATGATTCATTAGACAAGACGCACCCTTGTCCCAAGTTGCGGTGAGTCCTTGCGGGGACGGGCCCATCTGAAGGTTTCCAGGAATAGGTAGGTACCGCAATGGGACATTGGTCGGAACGACAATAGCCTCACGGCCAATCCCTAAGCCACCAACGAGTGCTCGAGAGAAAGCCCTCGCTATCTTTTGCAAGTCAGCGCTGTATGTAATAGTAGTATCTCAGAACTGACTTGATATTCGCCCAATTCATTAGGGTGTAGACCATCCCAAGCAGCTGGACAACCGTCTCCATATTGTGGCCCACAATCATACTCCTCGCGAATGGGAGCAATGACTACCTGTTTATCCCATTAGACATGACACTCAAGAACATGAACGTGCTACTTGCTGGGGATGTAGGTGTGCTCCAACCAGGGCCTTGAGCCCTCAACATTCGGTTGTATGAGTCAGTGTTCAATACAAGGTCTTGACGACCTCCAATGAATGTCCGATGCGGCACAGTTCCAATAACAAATTTGGTCCTGGGATCTGGAGACCGACTCGTGAGTCATGTGTGATAGTTTTGGGACAGAATGTGCTATACTCACTGGATAGGCGTGCGTTGGCGATTAAGCTTTTCATGCTTCTGATCAAGCCATCATCGTCGCTGTAAAACCAACCCAGATCATTGAAGCCTAGCATTACCAGCATCACATCCGTTGGGTAGCTTGCACTGACTGCTTGTATTTGGCCTCTACAATTCGTAGAATATTAGCTAAGCTGTATTACTGTACAGAAAAAGCAACCAACACTTACTGCACGACTGCTGCGGCACGGCCTGAGATTGCGAAATGAGAACTATTCACTCATCAGAAGTAATTGGCAGATCGCATGACTGGTATCTTACCTATCGAAACTGACTGCATATTTACCACTTACTCGCACAGATTCACCCGGCGCCGATGAGCCGTACAATGGTGGCGGGACAGGTGGCGCAGGTTGCTTTGGCTGCACAGTACCTTCATAAGGCCCTACAAAATCCATTGCAAAGTTTTGGCTTAGAGACCATTCCCAAAGTCGATATCGCCAGGTAAAATCGCCCTCCATGCAATGCGTCATGGAATCGCCGACTGCCATAACTCGGATAGCGCCCTGGCGTTTTCCGACCTGGTCTGAGATATAAGCAGGAAATTCTGTGACATTTTCAATACTTGGTTTGCCAATGAACTGTTGTAGAGGAGGAAACGCCGCTCCAAGCTGGCTGGTTTCATTGTAGTTGGGTGCATCTGTTGGTAACGGAATAGGATTGCTGAGGTTGCCAAGGGCGAGGGTTGGAGCGACTGAAGCTGCAACTGCAAGAGCAGCAGCGATGTCGATCGTTTGAGTTGTAGAGTCCAGTGTATTCGTAGACAAAAGTATACTAGTAGGTTGCGGTCCGATATCTTCAGAATTTGCGAACGGGTGTAAAAATGAAAAGCACAACACCAGAGGTAACCAACCAGGCAGCACGTCAAAGTGCAGTCGCCACATTGTGCAAGAATTTCGTAGCAGAAGATGCAAATGATACATCCAGCGAAATAACAACAAAGAAGAAAAGGAAAAGTTGTAAGAATATCAAATACTTCTCTCTCCACACCTGGGGTGATTTCCAACAACCAGTACAAACCATGTCGCTGGTCTCTTCGCATACTCGATACTGATTCATGTTGGTGGCGCTCGACGAACATGACCCACCACCCATCCTAATACACTATTTGATATATTTGCCTGAAGGTGAGAATGCAACTGTAATTCATGGCTAGCTTGTCGAGTAACGACAGGGAACAGTAGAAATGAAATAACAGAATTCCTAGCATGGTACTAGCAGTCTCAGCATCAAAAGTCATTAACGGCCGCTTGAGGCCACACAGATGAAAACTGAGGTTTGTCCCAAATGGACGTCCGATGACCACACTTCGCCTATGTTGAGGAATCTTGTCAAAATGTCTGAGGATTACCGCCAGAATCTCGACTATTATCAAGTCTCCAAAGACTCGCGTGGGCAAATGCAGTTACTTCAGGGATAAAGTACATACCTCTTTCCTGTCTGGGATTGCACGCAATTCAAAATTTTGGTCTGTGCCCCCGACATGTTCTTCATCGCTTTCCTTTACATTCGCTTATCCGGAAAGTATTCCCTGAAGTGTGGAGCAAATACTACCTAGTAAGAATCAGCCTCGGCTGTTAACTCTTGAATCACATTCTAGCCTCTCATCCATGTGGCGCTTAATCGATTCAATCTCGAATCAAACACCGCTTGCCAGGATAATCATCCGAGATTACCGCCACGGTACTGCGTGTGGCTGGCCATAAACCTCGCTAATAAGTTTCAAATTGTAACTCATGACAACCATGTTCTGGTGTGCATATCGGAATGGAATCCGCAGGCGCCATCTCCAGCACTAGCTCCGGGCAGACGGTTATTTTCTGCATGCCAAAAGCGCTCTCCACGGATTTCATCCCACTTTGGGGGTCTGCCAAGCCTGCCCTGAATCTAATCGCACGATTCATCGAGCGCATTGCCATTATAACCATGGCCAGCCATCCATATCCGAGCAGAATCATCACCAACAAGATGCCCGTGTGCGGCGAGTGCATGCAACGCCCTCGCTTGCACAAGTCACGAACTCCGTGTTCCTCTCCATTCTGTTATTTACCTCGGAGGTGGCAATGAGCTACGAAATTCTGCTAGAGCTGTTGATGGCACATGCTAATGGAAATCCCTGTGTCTTGGGAAAGGCAGAGACCAGACAAAGCATTAAATCCGGGCTGCAGAAGTTGTGTTGGCTGTCATTGCGACTTGACCTAACACAGTAGCCGAGTACCAGTCCATACAGTGATAATTAAATGGCATCCTTTGGCATTGGCTTCCACAGTGATTCGCCACAGCTCTCTCTTGTAATTCATACGTTGTGTGATTCAAGATGACTCCTATGCTGAGCTCCCTTCTGGCTTATGCCTTCCTCCTCTTTATCCCGCTTAATGAAGCAATTGTGTTGTCAAGGTATGGACGAATTTTGTAGGACTTCTTAGGCACAGCTGATCAATTTGCCAGTAACGGCACGTCACTGGAATCTAGACAGGACGTATCTATCCCTTGTAAAGCATACTGTGACACAATTTTTTGCGGGTCTCAGAAATGCACTTTGCAAAGCCGTGGGTAAATGTGTATCAAGAACTCCGACGAGGATTTCTGGTGTAGGTTACAACAGCTAACAAATTATCGCACGCAAGTCACAAGGCAGCTTCTCCTCGCTCAGAACATAGATTTGGCTTTGGTTCGCTAAACTCCACACTGAACACCATTCAACATGCACTACCAGAATCCCAATCAGACGCGGTAGAAAAGCGCATTTTGAGGATCAAACCAGCCGATACGGGCCGCGTCACTCGAGTTCCCACATATCTAGCCCTCGACGTTTCAAACTACCTCGCAGATAACCTCGGTGAAGGTCCCGGTGGAAGATGGGATACTCAGTATATAAGACAAGGGTTCTTTGGTGAGTTATGTGGGAATGCCTATGTCTTAACTGTCAATCCTTTCTGCATAATTTGTAGCTGATCATGATCCTGTAGCTGGTGACATGAGGACAGTCACTCGGGATGGCCAGTTTGGAGCAATACCATTTGAGTTTGGGACAAATGGGCTGCATGGCTGCACCATGCTTACGATAATCTCGAAAAGAGCAGTTTGGATGGTGAGCCTCAACGCCTCATGTGAGCTCATTTGGCGGTGGCTTACTGTTCGTCTCGGGACCCTTTTGAGCTAATGAAAGGCTAGGCACATTTTTGGGAGGCTTATGCTTTCAAAGACAGTTATGATCCTAAGAAGCCTCTTAAAGAAAAGAACGGTCTCATGGTGAGAAGCGACGGCGATCCTGAGGACATACCGAACTTGCAATCATGGCAAGATAGAGCTATTGCAGCAGTGACTGGCCAGCCTCTCTCAGCGCCGCTGCACCTGCCCACCGAGGGCAACCCCATCGACCCTAATCTCTTCAATCGGAGGGATGACAACACGGAAGCCATTATCATGACACCGGCTGAAACAATTACCACGGGTTCCAGAGGTGAAAAGATGGCTGACTATAGGTACCCCAACAAAATTGGGGAGCTAGAAATGGCACTGCGGCAATTGATACCCGGTATTAAGATTCAACGCCAACCTTACACACCTCTAAACTACTTTAATCCAGTTGACATGGCGAAGAGAGACAAAACTGAAGCTGGAATGGCACTTTTTCAGTTTGATCCAAATGCGGATGGTGCTGGTGCGCGTTACTTTCGACTCTTTCATGAGGGCAAAGTTTGGCTTCGCGAGACGGCCTGACAGGCTGCGAAAGTCTTGGTACATAGTGTACGCGTGTGAGAAACTTCACCGGGGTGTCTGTCTATGAAAATTGGAGAGTAGAATCTGTACTGGGCATATATGCATTCGATGTTAGGAGAAAATGATTCCCATGCACGTCGTTGAGTGCTTTGTTCGTCTTCAACAATACTATTGGCTCGGCTTCGTAACCAAATCAATACACAGAACGCTACCTCCCATGCACGTGAAGCTCACCTCGGCAATCAAGGATTGATTAACCTATTAAGGCCTGCAATCCGCCCGCCAGCGATTTAGCACTGACTACTTCTTTCCACTTCTGACCACCCGTCATTCCCCAACAACCATTGCCTCAAAACACATGACTCCTCTCTCAACCACGAATCCTCTGTACACTTTCAAGGCTCCTAGAATGGAGAAACCAAACCTCTATTTCAAATCTACTCCACCAGAAATTATCCGATCAATATGCGCGCATGTCGATTCTGCAGTCTTGAAAAATTTAAGGCTCGTCAGCAGACACACTTGTCTGGTGGCGAGTGGCTTGCTCTTCCGAACTGTTTATGTCAAGATTTCGAGTCGTGAACAGCTTCGATTAGATGTCGACCATTGGACTAACCTGCTCAGCCAGTGGAGTTGTATCGGATCTGTACATCACTTACGAGTTGATGGTATTTTACCAAAAGAGCCAGACGATCATGGCAAGCTTCGTCAAGGGCCAATTCCACAATGGAACGAAAGATGTCGGCAAGAGGAACTGGGAAGATGGCGGAATCATGTTGCATATGATTTTGATGGTAAGAGGATTCTCGACGAGGATCATGGATGGCGTCCATTAGCACGCCTGATTGCGATGTTACCAGCTCTGCGAGATGTTGTTTTCGCTTGCACGAACCAGTTTTCTCCTTGTCTTCTGGAGTCGCTGCAGGAGATTCCGTCATCGCAGTGTAGACTTTATCTTGAGACCTTCCATCTCCGCTCGTTTCATGATCGAGATGTGGAAGGATATGAATATCAGCTCGTCACCTCGCCACATCTGGAGGGAGTCGTGACTGAGCATTACCAAGACGCGCAAGTAGCATTGGCTCTTGCGCCTATGTTGAGAAGTCTTTGTATTATCAGCCGTCCCCCCCCGGCTTCAACCGACAACTTCGTGGCAGCGCCGCAAGGTCTCACGACCCCTACTCGATCCACCTTTCCTCACCATCAGAAAGATATGAAACGCCGTTACCCTCTGGTGAATCTACAGTTCTGCCGCGAACGATTCGATGAGAAATGGGATGAGCTCGTTGATCTGTCTGCACTTCGTACCCTCAGACTGGATTATCCCATTGAAGAGAGAGTTATAAATTGGCTGGCAGCGAAGGCTCTTTTCAGCTCCCTGACTGAACTAGAGGTACCCATCGGCTCTTGGTATGAGCAGAACACCCCAGAGTCATATACTCAGGACTTCGCGTCCTTCATTCAGAGTATCTGCCCTTTACGATTGCTCCGCATCTACGCCAACCCGATAACCACCAACATTTTCACAGCGATCCTTGAACAACATGGCGCAACCCTCCAACATCTTTCATTGAGGACTTGGGGGCATATTGAATCTGTGAGATTCGATGTCTCTCAAGTCCAGAAAATCAGCCGGCAGTGCCCATTACTCAAAAAGTTGGTCCTTAAAATACCGAGATCGAAAGGCGACAAAGCCGAGCAAGGGATATACACTGCTCTAGGCTCAATGTCACAGTTGCAGCATCTAGAACTTGAACTAGATTGCCAGAATCGGACATGTTTAAGGACTCTGCCAAATGGTGAAGTCGAAATATTCAATAATTCTTCCTGGGACGAGTTTCAACAACAGTTTTACCCTAAAGAGGGTTCACTGATAGAGGTGAATCCACGAAACGGTCATGTAATGGATATGTTAATCAACTGTGCTCTGGATGCCAACCTTGCCGAAGATATCTTCTACTGCATTTCGTCTGAAAAAGCACCAGGTGCAAGGAGATTAGAGAGTCTGCAATTGTCTATCAATGGCGGTGGGTTCTTTGGCGAGCCGAATCTGCCTTTCCCGGCTGATGTCTGTGGAGTACCGGAGGTTGTAGACCGAATTGCAAAGACATGGATGGTTGAAAGTGGAGATATGGGTGGGGTGAAGGTGACGGAGCTGGATACGGGAGTGGATTGGGACAATGGGCTAGAAAATGGGACATCAATCGGTCTACATGATCGCATTCAAGATGTTTTAGCCGTACAGGTAGAGCCAGTGAGTCCTCACTCTGCTTTGGCGATGTATATCCCTTAATGTTATAAGTATCTGCGGAGTTACAGTTCTGCGAGCAATTTTCTTTGTTTAATGCCTTCATCAAGAACGTAAGCTGACCCCGATATTCTCTACTAGGTCTTCAGGAGGCTGTGGCCTGGGAACGGAAATTGGCTGGATGAGTGGCACAGTTTTCCACTCGAAGGCTTTCAGAGAGAAAGCCTGCAGACATAGGGCTGGTCTCTTTTAAATGTGTCATGCGTCTTATGTGCTTCACTAGAGATTCGAGCGATTGGCTGGACCTAGGACCGGCGCTGCTAATAGGTCGGTTGGAGGAATCCATGCAATACCCTCCTCTCCTATCTTCCAACCACTCTTTAATCGTCGATTAGCTTGGATTGATTCTTGTATTCAGTCACCAAGATCAAAATTTACAATCTCAATAATGTGAGGGTTTTATTTCGCCCATTGAATCGCCATTTCGGCCACTGTATTGAAATATTGGAGAACCAAAGCAATCTACTTTCGGTATCCTTGCAAGTTTACCACTCAGCATAATTGCCTCCACTAACACCTGAAATATTTTCCTCAAATGCCTCGAAGTTGTACTCACTTTGTCTCGGCCGAAGCGGAAAAGTAGTAATCAGAAGCTTTTCCAAGAGACGGGGGCAATCCATCAAGCTGGCTCTTCTTTAACGCCTGCGCAATATCTCCCTGGAGTGAACGCAAAGAATCTGAATTGATGCAAGTATCGAACTTTGCCCCATCTTTCGTGGCTATCATGGCATCAATGAACATCTTCTTTGCGGATGGTCGTTCTGATGCGAGCTCCGCTGTGGCCCAGTAGACTTCGCGCTCTGCCCAGTCATCCAAAAGCAGTCGCTCGTGAATTTTATCAATGACCATGTTCTCTAGTAACACCACTTGAAATTGGCAGGCAAGTTTCCAGAGGTGTAGCAGCTCCCCAGTGTGCAGATCACCTCCATCTTCATTTTCGATTCTCTGATAGTATAGCCAATTCACCAAGCTGGAGAAAATCTTGACTACACGAGGAAGGAGTCTGAGGTTGTGATCGTCGACATCAGAGGAATTGAAGTGTTTTGCGAAGTATGACGAATAGTGACAGAGAAAGCTTCTGTGAATGTTGAAGACCTTGCGGACAGTCTCCCGGCCAATGACTGAAACCACTACTTTGACGATTGTGTCGTGTTCACTTTTGACTGTCAGTAAAAAGCTGGTAAATGTGGATGGAAATATCTACTGCATGCTTGGAGTTCCTCTCTTCTTCGCAACAGGCTGTGTAGAAAGTGAGCTCGCCATGGCTGTCAGAGCTGGTTCGATATTTGTAGATCGGGTTGTTGTGGAAGTTGAATTAGCTGACGGTTTCTGGAACGAGAATCCACGGGGCAGTTTGAATTTGATGATTAGAGACTTTGGGGGCTCCGCTCTTGCATGTTGTTGGGTTTGAGAGCTGGTTTGGGATTGATAGCCAAGGATCAATATCAAAGTCTAAATAATCAGAAGCGGGGAAGACTAGCGCTCGCTAAGCCTTATCAAACAAACTGCCTAATCGGGATGGCACACTTTGCGCGCTTATGACACCCGACGAGTGGGAAGGTGAGATGAAGGTGAACCTAGAGGGATATCACTGGTATCACTATTCACTTGGAACATATAGTGCTGTCACACCGACACGTCGAAACAGTTGAGCCTGTCCTAGAGTCGCTGATGCCACTCTGGAAATAATCATATGTCTGAAACAAATACACACTATATGCTCAGGAAACAAGTTTGAAGGAGCTCTCTCTCAATCTTTGCGCATCGTACCATTTTCACCCGGAGAGCCCCCACGAGTGCGCCTCATGACCAACTGATTGATAATGTGCAGCTCCCCAAGTTCAGCTCTCGCTTCAATGAAGACGAGACTCCCGTAACATATTTTTAGCTATCCGGTGCGATGATCGACGCTTCTTTGGTTTTGAATGAAACTTGGCTTCTCGCGAAAGGGAGTAGTCTTCATCCCCAGCAATATCGAAACCATCCAAATCATCATAATCAGCCACAGAAGTCGGACCGTTTGAAGGAGTGGAATTTGTCGAGTCTGAAGTGGTATTGACGCCCTTCTCGTACTCACTGTCCTTTTCAAGTGATTTTCCGTCAGCAACGTGGTATCTAGCTGGCTCTATACGACGACCTTGTTCAAAATCGCCTTTGACGAAGCGCCGAAGGAGATCAATTGACCTAACTTCGCTCCAAGCGTTTCTGAGATCTCCCGATGAGATAGAGACCCGATTCAGAAGCATAGATTTCAGTCTTTCAGAATCTGAATCCTGGATGATTTTGGCGGTAGGCTTCACAGTACGGATTATGGAGTTTGACGCAAGACTGTGGAAAAGCTTATTCATGACCTGATTCTGCAGGCTAGGCATGAAAAAACGCTCTGCCATGATCCAAAGCTCTGCTAGAAAATCTGGAGTCATTCGATATCAACATCAGTCGCGATGTTCGGGTGGTATAGCCAATGGACGATGGAACCGAAGACAGTGGGATTGATATCGTCAAATGTCATAGACTGGGGTTGATCTTCGATGAAATGGCTGCTGAAAGCGGCTGAGAAGAAAGGTGAGTAATGGCATATGAGGTTCTTATGGATGAGAAACTTTTGAGTCGTTGAGAACCCCTCGGTGAGATTATGGTCGGCTTTCTGGGCATTAGGGATCGCCATGAGAATGGTAAATACTGGTTGGGGGGTACTGCATTGTGTCAGTCTACAGATAGTGTCACAAATAACTAGAGAGTCTTACAAGAGAGACGGTTCCTTGGACATGTCGCCAGCTTTGAGAGGACGCGGGTCTGCCTGGGTGTTGTAACGGTGATTTGGCTGGTCAAAAGCCATCGTTGATTGTTGAGACAGGCTGGTAGCTATCGCTGTGGTGCTGTGACAGTGTGTGAACCTCACTTAGATATTCGAAGTCTGTTGATTTGCCTGATTGCACAAGGTGATGATGACTTGGAATAGAGCAGAGCGTCGAGTATTTTGAAAAACGAATGTAGCATTGAGGGACTGCTACCTTCTCCGAAACGTGCCTTCTCCTTTGAGTTGCGCTAACAAGCTGCAGTTCTCTTGAGTCGCAGCCTGCATCTCTTTAACAACGCCAAATCGAGCATATATCTCTAGCACCAGCTCATTGAGCCTATCATAGCACCAGCTCATTGAGCCTATCATAGCACTGCCCTTCGTGCCTCTCGGGTGTGACTATCTGTGGAAGGTGAGTTCTTGCAACAAAAAGAGGATGGTGATCACTGCTTGCAACTGTGACTTAGCAGAGAGCTTAGCTGAAGGTTAAGATACAAATAAGATGAAGAAACATGAGTCCGTTCAACCATATTAATTCCATTGCGCAGCAGTTGATATCAGAGAAGATACATTAACTTGAAGCTTTGAAGATTGAAAACACTCTAACAGTAGTGAAGGTTGAAGCCGCTGATGGAAGTTCTGCTGATTGAGTGCATATGAGACTTGAGTTACTGCGCCAGCAGAGACAAGACTTCAGTATAAATGTGTTTAGAATGGATTTCTATTCTGTCATTTTTTATTGCAAGCAGACTCGATGTAGAGATATATTCATTACTGCTCGGCTATGATGAACCTCAGTGCCTTCCACTGAAGGCTGTAACATAGAGCGCACCTTTACTTTCCAGTGATGCGCGTGTGTCCCCGCCATTCTAAAGGACATACAGAACCAATCAAGAGTAAGGCTCTGGTGACCCAAAAGGAAGAATGGAATAAATATTCGCAAGAAAGATAATGAGGGAACAGTCTGGAGTTTTACCGCCATCCTCTATCCATCACCTTCCGAAGCCCGTGGAAATTTGGGATTTTAGTCAAAAAGACCAGCCATATCGGATAAATCTTCGACCGTCTCCTCCCCATCTTCTTCCTCTGACTCATCAGCTTCTTCAAACTCCTCCTCGCAGGGTTCCGCCATCTCCGTCATGTACTCAGATATCTCGTTGCTCTCATCTCCGAAGTGTTCAAAGAGGACACTCTCATCCTCTTCTTCCTCCTCTGCCACTTCACATTCGACATCACTGGTTTCATCGTCCAGAAATTCGTCTTCCACCTCAGGAATTCCAACATGGAATTTTGTTGGGTCGACAACCTCATAACGATCACTGTTGTGGACCAAATCATTATGTTCAAGAAAAGCCAGGCTGATATCGAACAGTAAATCTGGTGGAGCTGACTTGCCGATGTCTTTCAAGACCTCTGGTGTCATATTATGGGCTGCATGGTGTAGTGCCAGTGCACGAATTGGAGTGCCTTCGGTCTCCGTCTGCTCGTAGTTGTGGATAACAAATTTAGCCACGTCAGAGATGTTGATCAAGTCCAGGATTGGGGCAATGCGATCCATGATGGTATTCTGTAGACCTGGCATGCCGAAGTACTTTGCCAAGCTCCAAAGCTTTGTGAGCGGGAGAAGGTGAGTACCGACTACATTCTTGGACGGCTCAGTTGGGCTAGGTTGACGGAGCCGGATCTCTTGTGTGTAAAGCCAGTGCGAAAGAAGTCCAAACACCTGAACATCGACGCCAGGCAAGTCTGCTTTCAAATGGCCAGGCTTGAAGTACTCTCGGAAGTATGGAGAGTAGAAACTGATAACTTCTTGGTGTATGGAGAAGTGTTTGGCGCGAGAACCTGAGCCGACTGTGATCGTGACCAGCGGTGAGGGGTTTCTAACAAGTATTAGCATAGCTGTGATGTGACAGTGACATAGCATTGTGAAGGAGACCCACGAGAAGTCTACTTGAGGCTTTCTTACTCCCATCGCAGAGAGAATAGAAGTCGTAGAAGATGTCATCTTGTCAGATGTAGTAGTTGTGAATGTTGTGTTTCCTGAAACGAGGCTTAATTTGTAGCTGTTAGAATCGATCCGAAGCGGGTCTTGGTGCTGGAAAGATGCCCTGGAACTCTCAATGGTTTTGTTTTTTGTTGATATTTTTGACCCTGGAACGAGTTTGTCGAGTTCTCTATCAAAACCGATGTGTCCAAGCTACAAGAAACTTGAAATCAAGGACGTGATAACTCACGTTGAGTGTGGCAGTGGTCACGAGGTTCATTCTGCCGGTCGTCCGGTTCATCTAGGTACACAATAAACGTCACTCACTTTTAGCATCCCTTTCTGTCGTCTCATTCACTTTGTCGACTGAAACCATCCAAGCCGAGTTTAATTCACTTGGGAATCCTCACCAGACAACAGACCCTACTCATTTGACGAGTGTCACGATATCTAGATGTTCTGGCTATAATTCAATAACTGTTCATTTCAACCAGATCTTATCAGAAATTCGGTGTATCTCTTTACATTCACCATTCTATGAAATCACTCGCGATACATGTTTTGGGAACCAACAATGTGTCCGTGTCCGTTAGAACTAACTTAAGTTTCACTCAGGTTTGGTCGACGTCCTCGCTTAACATCACAAATGAAATCTCTACTGGAGAAGACCTGCTGGTATGAAGAAATATATTTGCAAATTAAGAGCTAACACTTCCTGGCCCAGTGTCAATTCGGACAAGTCTATGGAAATCATTGTTTCTCCTCTTTAGGAACGACAACGGCCTCACCGTCGCCCACATAATACTCCTTCGCGGAGCCAAATGAGCCGAACTTCATCGTCGGTTCGAGGCCGTGAACATGATCCTTCTTCAGACTCATGATGATGTCGACCAACAATGCTTGCGGCAAATGTCCACCTGACATCCAGACCTCAAGTCGATTCGCACTTGTGGCCCATGCCATTCTATCAGTGGCGAGTCTCTGTAACATCGTTGTACCCTTGGCTTCATATGCATAGTGCAGGAAGTTTTTCAACGCTTCTCCTTCAGTACATTCTACTAATGGTCTTAGCCCGTCCATGATGTTGTTCTGGAGGTTTGGCACGCCAAACCGTTGTGCAAGGGTCCAGAGCTGGGAAAGAAGCAGGATGTTTCCATCATGGTCTTTCAAATCAATGTCGATCTTTTGGGTATATAACCACTCCACAAGGATACCAAACGTATCTGAATTCACTTCTGGTATCGTGATTGTCTGTGTCTTGCTTTCTAGATGTTTACTATTGAAAGCATTGGCGAAGTATGACGAATGGTGGCAGATGATGTCCTTGTGGATTATGAAAGTCTCATTGGACTCCTCAGGGCCGATAATAACGGTGACAACGCTCTGGGGTCGTCTGTTCAAAGTCAGTCTCAAGTATAATAAACTCATGGCAGAGTTTTAGAGTGCACCTTAGGCTCGGTAGCCTCGTCTTTCTACCTTGAACTCGTTCTTGGGAAGACTCGGGGACTGGTGTGTCACTCACACCCCTCAAGCTTCTGGAGGAGCGTAGAGCTGGCGAAAGATGCTTCTTCCCGCTTCGATTAGCCGAATCCATGGTGGCTAGAGGCGAAGCGAATGGTGGGGTCAAGTCTGGTGTTGAGCTTGGGGAGGGCATGATGATGCTTGGTAGGAATTTTCGATCTTGTTTGGAAAAGGGGGGATTGGTGAGTGTGCTTAAAATCTCGAGATTTGAAGCAGAAGAAAACAATGCTTGTCCATGATATCTTATGCCTAATTATATTTGACTTGACCTTCGACGACGACTGGACGAGAAAATGTCAGGCTAGTGTCTGAATTGATGCAAGTGAATTTGTGTCGTATTCTCCAAAATTGAGTGAAGCTGGCGCTGACAGCGAGTGAGAATGCATTGTTGTCACTCATTCATCGATGTGTTTTCGCAAGCGGGCGGTGTTAATAAACTATATCAGCTTCTTACCAATGGATGTTTCCGGCTTTCACTTCGACTACTTGCAGCCTTGATTGAATCGTTTTGATGATATGCGAGGTCTGACTGAACATCTAGATGGCAAGAAATGAGGCTTGTGAAAGCCGATAATGATATCATTACTCTGAGTAATTCAAGCTGTACGGCATGCCTGATCGATAACGTCTGGGCGATGCATCGTACCTGACAATGATCGGCCACTCTGGGTAGTACCTGTACATTCCCTCATTGAATGCCACTCCATCGTGAATCTCACCATTGCCAGGTGGACTCTTATTCATAGCAAGTATCTTCCGGGCAATGTTCTGCGAACTAGAATGGGATGAGGCAAATGCAAAATGCGAAGCCGTCCAGCTTGTTGCATCACCTTGGTACCTAATGAGTTTTGCACCCAAGGGCACATCAACCGGTATTCCGACCTGCAAAAGAACATCAAATATGCCAAAATATCCATCAAGGCATGCTGTATTCATCCATGTTTTGAGTTCAGGATCATCATGAGGGACGACTTGAAGTTCTAGGAGAAGATATCTTAACACTTTGCTCGACTCTCGCAGCAGTGCACACAAGAACAATTGGTTGTCCAGTCTGTCGCCTCGAAAGTATCTAAAGCCCCGTATCCTGAGAGAATACGCATAGACTCGACTTTATCTCATTGGTTAGTCGTGGCTGTGTGCCAATGTGTGGCCCGGTCCTTCTTTTCCGTGCATGGGTGTGGCAGACTGCGGCAGGCAGCCCTTTCCGGCACCTACTTTGAAGCTGAAGCATTCTGCAACCTCCAATTCTTCCCTCTTTTGACTTATTCAACTTTCGCTCGATTCACATTAGGCGATGTCTCTGTGTGCCAGCTTCCCCTTCGACCAAACAGTGGCATGCTAAATCGTATTTTGGAATTGGTCTGTACAGTACTATTTGTTTCTGCGGGAGATTTGTGCAGTCTCGGAAGATTACACTGATATCATTAGAACTTAGATTCGAGCTGTTCACATGGACGCTGGCACATTGTGTGAGTTTGATAAATCGTATTGAGCCCCACTTCATGCAATGGACAGGATGTTGGGAAAGGGTTAAGCAGACTCAACATAGACAAAGACCGAAATATGCAAGAGACACTCTTTCTGAAGACCAATGATTCTAATGCTATCATTAACACATAACAACATCCAAGGCATCAGCGTCGTAAAAGACATATATGCCAAGGAGCCACACTTTTCTGCCGGTCTAAATACCATATCAGTAGTCAAACCTGGTTAGTTGCTTTGGCTTCTGGTCATCCATGCTTCTGTGGTCCTCCGTATATTTGTCCTCTCCGTAATGAACATTCACCTCCGTCGTCCGTACGATTCCGCTGTAAGTCATTATCTCTTCCTCACTACCCGACGGGCTTTGACTTCTAATTTGACTTGTCCCTCGTCTCAAATCCTTCATGGCAAAAGTCGAATTCCCAAAAGGGCTCTTCGAACCGTTCTTGGACGTTAAAGTGTTCCCTTTGCTTGAAGTCATATGTGACTTCATCACATCGCGGGATGCGCCCATGTTGCTCTTGCTTCCATATGGTCCTCGAGATACCCCGCTGCTGAGAGATCCAAATATGCTTGGGAACCACGTTTTAAGAAGGGGGCGTAGGGCGGGACCAGAAGCTGTGATGATGGCAAGATTTGTTTCGACAGCGGAGTAGCAGAAGCGGATATCATAGTTGAAATCTTTCGCTGGGAAGTAACTGATCTCGATAAGCCAGGCCATACGGAGAATACCAACTATCGTTACACTAAGGTGAGTTAGAAGATGTCATGATATGAAAGGGCAGCATTTTGAAGTGATACGCACATAAAACCCAGGAGGAAGACGGCCATGAGTGCTATTCTCACTTTCAAAGGCATTTTCAAGCCTAAGAAAATCCAGATTGGTAACGCAAGTACCGCCAAATCGGTAAAGATGGTCAATGCCGCCGTGGAAATGTAAAACACTCCAGTATCAATACAAGTCCCCTTGAGTGTGGGATCCCTCATTCGCTCCCAAAAGAAGTTGACAGGCTTGCATTGGAAAATGACAGAGATGAAGACTGAGATTGCTAATGATATATTGAAAGCATTAAGGGCATGGATCGTGTACCTGATCTCTCGCTTGTGGCCGCCAAGTCGAAGCATGAAGAGAAGAACAGACGTCTTGACGATGGCCAGAATAGGATTGTATAGGATCTGACCGATAAAATTCCACTGCATACCGAGACCAAAATCGGCTGTGGCGAGTGGCACGTCTGCGGTGTGTATTCCCAGAAAGGCTGTTCTCATGCCTGAAGACCAAACGGTTAGCGATATTTGCGTGTTCTAGGAACTTTGCTTCAGTATGGGGTGCAAAGAGCAAAATGATCGGCGAATTCATACCATAGTATCCAGCTACGGTCTCAGCTATGGAAAAAGCCATTGCAGCAACGATCAAGCCATCATCTTCGACGTGAGTCAGTAAACGTAGACAGAGCTTAAACCTAGAGGCGGATCTGCTACACACCCCAACCAAATTGCTTCATCTTCTGACGGCTGTATATCCTCAAGCAGACAACAATCAAAGCAAGTGTCGGAAACAGAAACAATATGGCAAATCCCCCTTGCTGAAGCGGTGACGTTGGAAAGCGTTCTCCATTGCCAATTAGGACCGGCGGTGCAGCCTCTGCCTGCCGACTGAAAATGAGACCACGCAATTGACGCAACTGCTGATCCCTTCGGAACTCCATAACGAGATGTCAAGTATAAAGACAATTCGCAAAGTGAGAGTATAGAGATTGATAGTTCACGATCTGAGTCTAAAAACCTAGATCAATTAACTTTGCCAAGGTCGTTTTGTGAACTAAACAAGAAGATCTTAAGTCAAGGATGGACCCATTGGTGAACATGTGGGGGGATAACGGTTTATAGATACCATTACCGGGAATTTGCACATGATTGAGACAGGAGTGTAGTAAAGGGGAATGTGCACGCGGTTGTCTTGAGATAATGAAGTGAGCAAGGTCACCTCGTGGTCCCCCAACACCAGGAACAGCTTTTTACAGCTCTCAGACCACCAAGCAACCTCATCCGAACTACTCGAAACCAGGATGCCGCAGTTGGCCAGTACTGGAAGGAGTCTCACATGAAACCCCTGACGAGGGGGAACGGCGAAGAGAATCCCAGTTGGAGATTAACCCTCCTCGCCACTGACAGATTCGATTGTGGGTTCGAGACTGGCGCAGAAAAGTTCAGTTTTCTCGAACTACTCGGAGATTGAGGTGATTTGTGATATACATCGTATACCGAAATGCATGCGAATCTTGATCTCTTGCTTTGCCCAAAGTCAAAATTTATCCGCGTGGGAAGCCTTTTTTTGTGCGGACACTTATCCCATTGCAGGTGACAAGACAATTTGATGCATAACCAAGCATTCGTCGATGCCATGCGCCTTGGTATGTTCCTGAACTGGGAAGGATGCGCAGTTACTCCAAGCGACTTTGTGCTGGGATCATATTCTCGACAATCAGGATTGTTCCCATCAAACTCGCCGATCTCTTTCCTCATCCTCTCCGGATCCAAAAGACACAGCCGGTGATTGGAGGTATTCATGGAGAGACAAAAATCTTAAGCAAAGTTCTGCCTTCCGCTTTGAACATATTGGAGCTATCACGAGACAGTTTAGGCTAATTTGCAACAATGTATGGATTTCGCAGCAGCAGTATTTGCTTTGGCAAGCAGTTCGACGCTGTACTGTTTTGGGCAGTAATCAAAGCAATATCACTTTCCCGCACGAAAATGTGGTGGTCCTCCAGGACCAACAACTTGCTCGAAAAGTCCCAGGGTTCGCGATCTAGAACGTCCCAAGCTAGAAGTGAAGAAATCTAGTGGCATCGCAAAGACATTTGGGAGATCCTTGGGCTCCTCAAATAGTTCTGGGCTCGTTACGAAACAACATTCAAAATCGCAATCAGCTCCGGAGGATCACTCCCTTACTTCAATCCTCTTACGAATGGATCCTCTTTAGTACATACGGGCGTGGGCGTGACGAACCAATCAATGCCGTTACCTTTGATGCCGACCACTGAAGAATGAGGCTTAGCGCGAACGTTCCACACAAATGTGATGGATATATGAATGAACGTCCACGTTGCAACCCTGAAATCCGATTACAACGTGCTGAATCGATTATATTGCTCTCAGCAACGTTTTGCAAGAGTATAAAGATTGAAGGTTTCGATGTTCCGCCATCCTTGGAAACTTTAGACTGCGGATGACATACCGGATTTCGTCTGTGCGGGTGGATCAAACAAGGTTCAACAGCGGTGCCAATTTATTCCCAAGCAACATTTGTTGGCTACACGGAGCACATATTCCCTAGTGCCAGCAAAACTCTTGGGACCGACTAGGATTTAAATCTCTTTCAGGGACAACGGTGATGTCGTTTGCGTAAAACTCCTGCGTCAGTACTTGGCAATGCAAGACGACAGAAGAAGGTAGTCCAAATAAGATGGCATCAAGGTATCGCTTTGACTCGTGGAGAGAACTGGAGAGTGGGGAGCCATCAAAAAGGGGATCGTCCCGTGGGGGTGTGGTCCATCCCAGCAAGTCACATCCATAATTTAATCCACACAAGCCGGTTGATTCAGAGATCCGATTGGTCTGAACTGGTAATTTCTTGATTCATCAACTCCACGTCCCGAGTCCGCGAAGTTCTGATCTGGCCAATGCATGAGACACTCCGGAGTGGCTTGAGGTTAGTACTTGGCGAAGTTGGGGTTGACACAAACCACTCGCCAGGAAGTGGCGGTTCTTTTAACAAACAGGGACTTTTGCCGGCTTGGCTTTTAGGAACAATGCTTGTGTTACCTGTTGACAACTGAACAGGCTTACCTTTGAGTTGGCGAAGAACGGGCTGATGGGTATGCGTATCAATCGGACGGAGTGAAAAGCTTATAAGCGAGAACATCAAAATAGAGAGTTTCCTGCATACTTCGTAGAAGTTCTTAACTACGGCTCCTCAGACCGTCAATTGAGATCTCTACCAAGCACACAATTATTACTGCATATTTCTCCTAAGTCTGAATCTCCCTCTATGTGGCAACTGCCGTTGTCAACAAGAAACCGTGAAGTGGACACTGCGTATGATCCTCTTTGCCAAGGGCTTTTTTGCCCCTCGCCTCCTGCCACTGGCAGATGGGCGCATGTCACTCTTCCATCCCGGCCGATCCTACCTAATCAAAGACATATTCCCGATAAATATGTTCTATGAGCTTGACTGGCAGCTGATTTTCTCCGCATTTGTGGACCCTGACATCGAAACGCCACTCGACCAGTCCCTCGGCGTTCTCGAAAAGCGAAAGCTCCGGTCAGAAGTCATCAAACGAGTAATTGGTGCCCAACATATGTACAAACTCAATGTTCTATGGCTATTCTTGAATTTCCGAGAGGGAAGGAAGCCAACAGACTTTTGCTGGTAATGTCCAAGAGTGACCAAGCCTCGTGCGCATGAAGACCTCTTATCTGGGAATTTCTCACAGCCTCCATATGCGAGGTTCATGTACTTGATAGGGGGCTCATTTCGGATCCTTCTGAGAACGACAAGCAAAAAACGTCTGAAAGATCCTTGTAGATCCACGCGACGTGGATATTCATCCCCGATCTGACTGTATGTTTGGCTAGATGGAAAACGTGGCAACGTGAATGGCCGAGCCAATTTCTTTAACCAACTCATCTCATGTCAGTAGTTTGTTATCAAATATTACCCCACCTTTTGCAGCAGTATGCGTCGACTTGACCTTGCATCCATTCTTGTGTCCAACATCTCAAGGTATAACTTGCAAGCGATCTGCTCCAAGATTGGACCTTTGCTCTTCACCCCAGCTCACTTTGGCTTTCTCGCCATCGCCACTCTCATTCTTCTCTATTAGGTGTCTCCTCGCCTATTTCACCCCTCTCGGAACTTTTTATCAAGTTTCATCTAAGGGCAGTCATGAAGAATTTCTGTGTCGCAGCTTTGCTGCCCTTGTTAGCATCGGCGCAAACACTTGTGGTGGACAACGCGATTATCCGTACGTTTCCAATTTGTCATTTAGTGAGCTTGAAAACTAACCCCTTATGAAGCTGCCGATGAGACTACACTTGCACCAGCTGTTTCAGCTGTTGATGCATCCGCTTCCAACGCCACAGCGGATCTCTTCACCAGCGAGACCCTTCAATTAACAGACGAAGTGATTGCCAATCTCACCGGTCTTGAGCTCTCCAACATCACCCTGTTTTCCTTCGAAGACTCTCCGGTTAATGCTTTGAAGAAGAGAAACATCTTTGGAAAGTGCAAGACCTATGCAGGTGACCTCTTGTACCCTTCGACTCCGGTGTGGAAGATTTTCGACATTCTGCTCGGCGGTGCACTCATCAAGACCATTCCATACGCAGCTCCGTGCTACGATGACTTTGGAAACTTCAACAAGGCCAAGTGTGATTTTCTGACTGCGAACTGGGTCAATGGATCTATCTACCAGTAAGTGGATCCGAGAAGTTCCGCTGTCTGGACTAACAGCAACAGCACCGAGGATCCCACATCTATCAATGGAGTCTTGTTCCAAGGGCTTACTTGCATGCCACCAAGTTTGATCCCAAACCCTGACGAGTGCACTGTTGGTGGTTATCCAAGCTACTCCGTTGCCGTGAAGAACGTCGCTCAGATCCAACTCGCTGTCAATTTGGCTCGTAGCTTGAATCTCCGCCTTGTTATTAAGAACACTGGTCATGATTTCGGTGCCAAGTCCACCGGAATGGGAGCTCTCAATATTTGGACACACAACCTCAAGAGCATTCAATTCTTGAAGAATTACAAGTATGGATCCTACTCTGGACCGGCATTTAAGGTCGGCTCTGGTATTCAAGCTTTCGAGATCTATGAGGCTGCTCGAACTAATGGAGTCACTGTTGTTGGAGGAGAAGGTCGAACTGTTGGTGTCATCGGAGGTTACATTCTAGGTGGAGGCCACTCCCCGCTCTCCTCTATCTACGGAATGGCCGTCGATCAAGTCCTTTCCATGGAAGTGGTCACTGCTGATGGCCGCTTCGTTACCGCCAGCGCAACGTCCAACGCAGACCTTTTCTGGGCTCTCTCAGGAGGTGGTGGTTCCACATTCGGTGTCGTTTCTTCCATGGTCATCAAGGCCCATCCAAAGATCAAGGTCACAACCATGACTTATATCCTCCAAACTGCCGATGGTTACAGCTCTGCCCAATTTTGGCAGGCTCTGCGCATCTTCTTCAACGACTTCATCAAGTACACTGATGCCGGAAACTACGAATATTTCCGCATCACCTCTGTCGGACCAGATGCGTACTTCTCCGATATGGGCCCTTGGTTCGCACCAGGAATGTCCAAGGCAGAACTCGAAGCTCTCGTCGCGCCGATGTTCGCACAATGGGCTGCCATTGGCGTCAAAGTCAACCCAGTCTACACCGAGTATGACGACTACTATGATGCATGGCACGCATCCTTCCCTGTCGAGCCATGGGGATCAAATGCCATTCGACAGGGAAGCCGTCTCTTCCCCAAGTCCAACTTCCAAGACCAAGCCAAGCTGAACAACACTTTCAACACCATCAAAGGCCTCGTCGAAGACGGTGCTTACATCATCGCATTCAACATCGCCGCAGCCCCAAAATCCGGCTTCCCTGACAACGCTGTCAACCCCGCCTGGAGAAACACAGTCCTTCACTTGATCACCGCTACCTTCTGGGACCCTACCGCCTCCACAGAAACAATCAAGGCTATTAGCGATAAGCTTACTTTCGACTGGGGTAAGAAGCTCATTGATGCTTCGCCAGGAGCTGGTGCATACATGTCTGAGAGTGACTACATCGAGCCAAACTTCACTCAGTCGTTCTTCGGAGACAAGTACGCCAAGCTCCGTGCTCTGAAGAGAAAGTATGATCCCAATGACTTGTTCTATGCTCAGAACGCTGTGGGATCGGAGGACTGGAAGATGTCGGAGATGATTTTGGGGAACTTGCCTTCGCAGAATAGCAAGATGTGCCGAATCTAGGAAAATTCATGAGTTGTATAGAAAAACTACAATAGAGAATAGACTACACATAAACCTTGACAGTATTGGACTTTGCGTCTGCCTCGTCATTTACATTCTCACCAATTTATCGATGGTATCATGTGTTCCTTCGTACTGGCAAACAGCTGGAAGCTTGGTCCTGGCAACATCGAGCCTCACTACAGAAATAGCACCAATCATACACGAGTTTTTGAGAAGAGATGGAAGCGATGCGAAGGCATTCAGACCTCCCGTGGTATCGCTGTTTTTCAAATCGTCGGTTCACACGATTGGAAGTTTCAACCCGACTTCAAATGTTGAAGCGAGTGATTTTGGGAGGCACATCCTGTCCCTCGGAGGGGAATACAACCCGAGCTCCCCGATGGCTCCTCAAGCTTTGTCTAGTGCAGCGCAAGTGCTGTTCTCTTCGATATGTAGCGTCTTCTTGAGTACCACAATTATGCGACCACTTTCGAATGCGGTTATGCTATATGAAGCAACACAATAGACTTGTGGTCGTGAGTCCAGTAGCGCATATTATTGTCATTGTTCTTTCCAGTGTGGCTATCGCCATCGTAACAATGTTTTGGTATGCCAGGCAGCAAGGTGTGTTACGCGAAGAACCCGTTGGTATCCTTTCGCCCGCTGGTATGGTAATTGGCAGTGATCTTCTGGAAAAGATGAAAAGCTTGAAGGAAAAGACGAATTACGATGGAAAGATGATGAGTGCGACGAAGACTTCTTTCCCAGATCTAGAAACTCGGACCTGTAAGATGGAGAATTCTGCAAACCCCCGCACGGCAAGAATCGTCATGATGCCCAACACTCAACATTCCAGCGATACCGCACGGTGAATACATTGTAATGCACACAGCTAGGGGTCAATAGTCTGTGAGAGTACGGGGAAATCCGTCTCGATTCATCAGATGGATTTCTTCCCTCGAAACACTTTGCAGACCATCCCAGCGGCGCCGCCAGCATTCTCGCCGAGAAATGCCTGCGGGTTCGGACTTTATCATACTCGCAATTCGAAGGCCAGGGTGATGTTGGAACATGTCCTGAACCAAATAATCATGCATCGGTTGCAAATCGGACTCGTTGTTTGCTTTGACTGTGAGGTGGATTTCCCTTAGCTGGGGAAGTTTTGTCAAACATTGAAGCAGCAGTGACTAAAACATGTCAGATCGGCCGAAAGCAATGAAAGCTCCATTTACTCACCATATCGTTCCATCTGAGACCTACTCGCAGATGTGTCAAATGTACACAATTGACTATGAGTCCGGAAAGTAAAGTTTCAAATTCATCATCAAGTTCTGAAATCTGATTGTCTTCTGGATTTCCAAGCGCCAATCTCCTCCAATGTGCAGCGTGAAATTCTATGCCACCGGACCTGGCCAACTCTTCCACCAAGCCCTCGTACTCGTCTCTGACGTAAAAACTATCTAGTGCTGGAAAATCCGTTTGTAGATGTAAGCCAGTGGCGTCGCAATCATAATCGAATGTATCGAAACGGATAGATTGTAGTTTGGGTGCTGATTTGGCTAGTGCAGAGAGTGCTGAATTAGAGAAGGAGTATGGGCTGGACGACGCGAAGATTCCTTGGGCAACATTTTCAATATAGATGTGTTCCAGAACAGAAGTGTTCGTCAACAGATGGATATCCTCAGTCAGAATGCAGCAGGCGCCAAGCTCTAACTTGGTTAAAGACAGTAATGCTGTTGTCGGCAACAGGATTTCTACTGATTGGAGCTTGCCTGTACTGGGATCTTGCGTTGGAGTACGAAACTCCCGACAGATGGCAGGGAAGTAATCAAGAATCTCAATATCTTGCTCTTCGTTCTCCCAGAAAGCCTCGTCCTCCTCGTTGATGATGGTCTCGTTATTTCTTTCCCAAGCTTCACATCTGAGCTCGTCCAAGGATAAACTGAGAGACGTCAGTTTGGGTGAGTTTATCAATACTCTGGCAATACGTCTTGCCGACGCGCAGTTTGGAGTCCAAATGCCGTGGATGGTCAACGATTGGAGGTTCTGGAATTTGCAAATCTGTTCTTCCAACGCTCTATTTTCCACAAATCTGTATATGTCTCTTTTCATCGGACATTCAATGCACAGACTAGTGAGGGACTTGAGTTGAAGCAAGGCAGGGACTATGGTGGTCAGGGGAAGGAGGTAGCAATTCCATCTGCCGTAGGTCAATAAAGTTTCTCGGAAGGTTCTAAGTATTTAATACCAACTCACTGGAACTGTTCGAGCCGAGGGAGTTTCCTGGTCAGAGACTCAATTGCACCCAGCATTTCGTTAACAGACTTTTCGGACTCTACCCCTAGATAGCGATTTCTGATCTCGATCTTCTTGACATTCTCTAGTCTGTTCGATGGCAACTGTGAGAACTTTCCTATATTTTCTATTCGTCTTTCGTTTGAGAGTTCGATGGAAGTCGCATCCCAGATCTCTCTGTAGAAGAGGGGAGTCGCAAAATCTCGTGCAGCTCGTGATACTAGGCACCAGTTGTAAAGATCAGATTTCAGTTCTACCTGAAGACAGCAGTTAGCGACACTGGTATTGGTTGAAGGCGGCTACTATGGGATTACACTTACATGGCGTATTATCTCGCATAAGATCTCGAGTGGGAGCCTAAATGCCATATCGCCAACACATTACCCACGGTGCTTGAAGATATTAAGCTAGACCTCTGGAGAGAAGACAAGGAGAAGATGGTAAGAATCCCGTTATGTGCCTGGATGGAGAGGTGCTTCTTACTCAGTTACAATATGGCGAGGCTGAATGACGGAAGCGGTGAATGCTGTGGTGTTGCTGATAAGAACGTTGATCTCTGAATCACGTGATTCATAGAACAAAATTACAACCAAAAGAGCTAGTGAGCTGTGAAAGGCACCGAAAAACAATATTTCCATCAAGGTAATCTTCGTATTCCACACTAGTCTGGAACAACCACATTGCACGACTCATTCCGTGAGGATACAGTGATCCTCGCTAAACCCACGCATCCCTCCCAGCCTCCCTGCCCCCTTTGAAAGATACCAGAACCTTCAAGCCCGTCCCGAACAAACAAACATTCAGATGCCGAAAATCGACCTGAAGGTAACCGAGAATCTTGCAAGGGTAGGTCTTCTGCCCTTGGCCATTCAATTTCACTCTCATCAATCAAACCATCAATCAAGGAGCCTGTGCACGCCGCTCCACAAGCGAGCTGCTGCTGCCACCAAGGACATCTTACCTTACAATGGAGACCATATATCCAGTCGCGTTTCCACTTCACATTGAAAAATCCGGAATACCGTATGCAATAATAATCAACTGTCTCATAATTAACCTGATGTCGGAACCGAAAGGCTCGGCACTCGAAACAAGCCGGAAAGGTTTACTTGGATAAGAATCGGGAGATTGGCTTCCCCGGAGCTCAGCCACAACTTAAATGTCTTGACCTTCGGCGTTGACACCGAGCTCATTTCTCGGGCGTCAGAACGAAAGAGAAGAGCTTCAATCTCTAATACTATAACGACAGCTGATTGGCGACCACGGATGATGAAGATCGTGAGACCTGTCTTGTGGTTGAAGGCTTAGACATCAAAATTCTTGTGACATCTGGTCTTGCTCTCCGTAATCCACGCCCACAAGGCCGGTTTGAAGTCTTTCGTGTGCCTTTCATAGTTCTCTGTAGTTATTAGTGAGTTGACGTCCGCACGGTCATGGGGTTCCTGCAATTGGCCTTAGCGTTGTCTAGCTTACCAGAGGAACATCAGACGAGTCCTCCAAGTACCTGCATGACTACCAAAGAGTCAAATAATTGAGAGAAAGACTACCCCAAATCTCCCTCAATAGGACCTTTCCTTTCCCCGACATCCAACCCATCGCAAAGAAGATCTATCCCATCGTACAAAGCTGGCAAGGAAATCCCATCCCAAGGGCTCTGTATCTCCATATCTACTTAACCTTCAACTCAACTTCTGTCTGCACTTTCAGCAAGTGTGAAAGCACGGGTATTTTACTGGTTTGTGCTGAGCTTTTTCTTTTCTATTCTGATACAAAGCATATAACCCTGCAGCTGTCTGGCATTATTCCGGCGAACATACCCCTGCATACCTCAGCCCGATATAGCTGCGCATCCCTCAAACTTCTGGGAGCACTTCTTCCACTCTTGTACCGCTTCTTACTTGGTTGCTGCTGTTGCATCACGTCTCTTGAAGTTGGTATTCCGTTCTTTTCCCTAGTTTCATTTTGTTTTTTTCGTTTGAATCGTTGATCGTTTCGTTGGCGGAGGGGCTTCTCGATACTTTTGGAAGAGTTTCTGAAACAGTTCTCTTCAAATTCTTCCGATTTCACCATGAGTCAAATGTCATACACAAGTTAGTTCACTACCCGCGATGAGAAGTGGCCAGGTGCTGACCAGAAATTAGGTGGGGGACGACAAATTCACTATGGCGAGCGAGCGAAATAGATTTGCGCCGCCATCTTACAATTACGGAATGGAATTAACAGAAAGTCCAATGTCAATACAAGCTCCCCGGGCTCCAACATACTCATATACCCCCACTGTACCCCAAGAAAAATACGTAATGCGAGACGAAGAACGATATCCGACAGTGGTGGAAGAGCCCGCGGGACTGATTCCATATGAACCGGTAGCGGAAGATTCGAGCGCTACAAGCGTAACGAGAAATGTTGCGGCTCCCTCATTAGATGACCAGATGTCAATTGCAAAGCCAGAGAACGAACCATTACCAGAAAGGGCGCCAGTGAGGACAATCCTGGGAATGCCAAAGAAGCGGTTTTTCATGGTCATGACGGTCGTTGGAATGGTGGTGTTATGTTTGATAATAATAGGCGCGGCGGTAGGCGTCTCCAAGGGCAAATCGAACACGAAATTCCCATCTATCACTGCAGCGGGTGTCTTTACAGGAGCCAACAACACAGAATGGAAGATGCATGTTGTGCATGCGAAGACAGGGTCTGACCACTTCTCAGTGAAATTCAACAACGGTACAGGACCCTGGTCGGAGAGGCAGAGCTTGAACTTCACAATCATTCCAAAGCTAGACGATCCTATGACCGCGACTAGTGTGCTTGGGAATGATGGCAATATCTATCTGAATCTCTTCTATGTTCACGATGAGAACATCGTTCTGGCGAACTTCAGCTGTATTCAGGAGGCTTGTACGCCGGTATTTAACGAAGTAATCACGAAAGGAATTACTTACCCACTTTCTCATGACTCAAGCCTGGAGTCGGTGTACATTAATTCCTCCGCTGGATACCGAATCTTCTATCACAACTCGGATAAGTACGTCACGCAACTTGGCAGTGCTGGAGACGGTACATGGGATCACGGAGCTGCCATCTCTGGCAAGGCCTTGGAGGGGAGCAGTATCAGCGCGGCTATCATCGACGGCGCTATTACTGTACTTTACGTCGACGACAAAGACAAAATCCTATACAATGTACAAGCCAGAGAGGGTCGCTGGCGCAATCGTAAGTCTCCACGAGCCTCTAATCCTTCCAAACTGACACTCGAAACAGCAACAGCAGCGCTCCCGTCTGCACCTTTCCAATGGGACGCTCTAGCAACAGTCGCAGCCAGCTACCGACCCGGTACTGACGTCCTCAGCGTCTTCTACACAGGCTCGGACGCACGCATCTACGAGCTCTACGCCACGAACGCCTCGACAGAGGCATTTTCTCAGATCACAAGAGGTGATCTTGAAGCAAACTCTACGTCTGGCATTTCGACTGCGGGGTGGAATACGGAGCCATATACGGATTTATCGTGGGGACCAAGCGATGCTCCAGGGGCGGCAATCGCGTCTTTGGCGTGGGATAATCAGGCGAGGTTCCTTCGGTTGATGGGAGGCAAGCTGGCAGAGAGTGTTGGGATTGATGGAGTGTGGTCAGCGAATTTCATGTGAGATTATACTTTGTACTGGGAAAGAGAAGCTGTATTGGATCGGACTGCGTGAGGGAATAAACAGCTGATTTAATGGCTGGTGTTGGCACGCACGGAGCTTTGGCGCATGGCTTGGATGGATAGATGGTCTGTAGAATCATAGAAATTAGATATATCCCGCCTGCAAAATGGCATGTTGAATATAATGAATTTATAATCATACCTTCCCAAACCCCTGTGGACAGATTTGTTCATCATCTCTCAAGTACCAAAGTCGAAAGGGGTCATCATCATGATCGTCACAAAAAAGTACCGCCGTTTTATGCAATGTCGCCAAGTCTCGCTTAAATTATCCAAGTTCTTGCATAAAACATAAATCAACCAACCTCACATCTTCATGGCTTGCCTGACAAGCAGCATCCAGAACATCATCCAAGCTCCAAACATGGAAACGCCATCTGAAGATTCAACGCCTAAGCGGCATTCTAGACATGGCTCGTCGGGCAGAGGTCAGTGATACTATTTTGTTGTTCTTATTATGCTTCTCTGCTTAACTCGACTCCGTGGCTGGTTTCTGCAATGTCTTGATCTTAAAGGGTTGTGAAGCTCTTAGTTTCTAGTCGCGCTGTCGTGCACTTCATCATCGCCATGATCATCATTATACAGTTCTATCCTTCTTTATTCTTTGCGATTCCGCACCCTGTAGCTGCAGCGGCCAATGGTTGGCGATCGTGCTGGCATTCTTCGAAGTCACGTGCTTGTATCAAACCCGAGAACGGCATGTTGTGATCCAAGCGGATCGTCGAAACAAAGTGTTTTCCTCTCAAAGTCATAAACATCGCGCCTAGCGCTTAGCATGCGATATGCAACAACGTGTTAAGATGTTTATTTTGAAATCAACTTATGCAAGAGTTCTCCGAGATTAGAGACTTGTATGCGGAATGCTCCATTCAAATCATCACTGCCGTCTCATCACATTTATCACCCAAAAGGCGCAACTTAAGGCTCTTAGAGATTACTGATGATATTTATTTCTACAGCTCTTCCTCGACGACCTACTCGTGGACCACTTGATATCAACGAGTACGGATTCAATTCCTGCCATAAACCTCCTCGCTAACAACTCCAGCGCACCAATCAGTCCCTCCAGCCCCCTCTCAACAACAACAACAACACCCAAACTCAACAAGGCGCCCTCATCCCTCCTCTCACCAACTCAATCCCAATACCTCACACCCCGACTCCCCTCCCCGGGCCCAGGATCCAACCTCTCCAACCTCTCATCCCCCTCCTTCCGCACCGCCAAGACCTCCCTCTCCCCCTCCCGCTCCAACATGTCCGGCCTCACCACCAGCGCCTCAGCCAGCTGCATAACATCCAAAGACTTCTCGTTCCTCCTCCGCCCAGAGATCTACCACCCTCTCACCCTACTGGACGTGCCACCCCCCTTCCGCGTAACATCCTCACAGGTCGACCCCTTGACACCCCTCAACGCGCTCATTTCCTCAGGCCATTTCCGCGCTGCTGCCATCAAAGCCGCCTCAATACTAACGTCTACATCGAATCCAATCTCGCCATCTGATCATATCCAGATCTTCGACCTGGTATACACCCGTCTTGCGAGCCTGACGCTGTGTAACCAAACCACTCTAGCTGCCCAGGAGGTCAAAGCGTTAGAAGATCTGAATAGTGCGTATTACCGCGACGAGAACGACGGGTCGCATCTCGTGCCGTGGGAGTTGAGGGTCCTGGCTGTGAGGCTGCAGGGGATGGGGTTTAATGATGCGAGGAGGGGGGTTGTGGGGTATTATGATTTGGCGAGGGAGGCGAGGCTTGTTCAGTCTTCGTTGAAGAAGAGTCGGCGGGAGATGAAGGCAAAATCTCTAAATTCTTCTGCAAATATCGAGGGTGCTGAATCTGATGAAAGCCAAGGAGATGGAGAAGTCGACCAAAAAATTGGAGAGGTGGACCGCGAAATCCAGCTTTGGGAAAACCGTCTAGCAGAACTGGGAATCCGCGTCGCTTCTGCACTGATAGAGATGGAAGACCTCGAGGGCGCTACACGTTTCCTTGCCTCTCTCACTCCACCCCAGTCCACATCCTCACCATCTTCATCCTCATCCTCACACCTCGCCATCCAAAAAGCCCTCCTCTGGCTCTGCATCGGTGACGTCGAAGCCGCGCGCTCCTGCGTCATTGGCGCCGCATCTGGATCCGAGAACGACCAAGGTCGCATCTCTACCTGGCAGAAAGTTATTCTTGCGTTGGCGAATATGGCGGATAGTGAGTTTGAGAGGGCGGTGGAGGGGTGGAGGGCGTTGATTGAGGGGGATGGTGAGGTTGAGGGGGGAGATGATGGGGTGGAACGGGAGAGGGAGAGGGAGAGGGAGAAGGCGATGTGGAGGCAGAATTTGGGGGTGTGTTATTTGTATTTGGGGAGGATGGATGAGGTTTGTCTTTTTTCTTTCCTTCATCTTGTTTTCATATCTCCCCCCTTCCCCCTCCCCTTCTGGCTTTCTTCCTCCCTATACCTATTCTTTCTTCTTACGTAGCTGTTATCTAACAACCCACCCCCGAAAACAGGCCCGCACCCTCCTCGAATCCCTCATCAGCACATCCCATTCTTTCCACGCTTTGACATTCAATTTATCTACCATCTACGAGCTTTGCACGGAAAGGAGTAGGGCGCTGAAGATTGGACTTGCGGAGAAAGTGGCTGCTATGTATCAGGATGGAGGTGACGAGAGGGGAGGGGGGAGGGAAGGTGGAAGCGTGGGATGGGAGAAGGTTAATGGGGATTTTAAATTGTAGCGGTTTGGGTAGGGCGGATGGGTGGTGGAGGAGGGGGAAGGAAATGGTGTATGATACATGGATATAATCGACCGCTCCAAAGAAGTCGATAAGAGATTTCTATGCTAGGCGAAAAAGTATTGCATCAAATATACATCGTAACTAACCTTGTCAGCGAGTGCAGAAAGTTTACAGAGTAGTATTGAGTCATTTGTGATATTTAGCATCCAGTTTCTCCATCAAGTCTTTTCAGGTAAGCAACGAGTGTTTTGAGAGACAGTTGATTAGTTTCTTTCGGTCTATATGCAAGTATATCACGCTATCTATTCATCTAACCACCATTCACCCCTAACCATGCATGCAATCATCCCTCCCATTTTCCACCACCCAATATCTCAAGACTCCTATTCACTAATCAAAGCTCCCCTTTCCACAATTCCCAATCAAACCACACTCTCTCCCTCAACAACAAAAACCGCACTCCCGCTCCCAGGCCTACTAACCACCACTGCAGCACTCTTCTGCTCCTCACTCAACGTCATCTTACTGTAATACTCCCTCTCCCACGCCTCCCTAACCGCCTCGACCTTATCCGCCGGCACAAGATGCACACTACAGCCACCCCAGCCCGCACCAGTCAACCGACTCCCATAACTACCAGCCTTGCGCGCGATAGCGCACAGCTGGTCGATTTCCGGACACGAGCACTCGTACACGTCGCGACAGCTGTCCTGGGTGGCGTTCATGAGATCGCCGAGCTGTTGGTTGAATGCTGTTGTGTCGGCGGAGGAGGTGGATTTTGAGGGGTTTTCGAGGATGGAGAGGAATTTCAGGACGCGGAGGGATTCGGTGAAGACGTGGAGGGCACGTTGGCGGAGCTTGAATTTCTCGGCGCGGACGGGGAAGGTGGATGTGAAGCGCTCGTTTAGTTCTGGGACGGAGAGGGAGATGACTTCGGCGATTTCTTCGCGGGTGTAGCCTTCTTCTTTGGTGAGTGTGGATTTGGTGAGGGCGACGAGCTCGGTGAGTTGGTCTTCGTTTGAGAGATTGCTGTGGGAGAAGTATGTGGATTGGAGACCGTGGAGGGAGATTCCTAATGGGCCGGAATCAGATGGGAGCGGTGTTTTGGTCTTGTTGAGGATGGCGTTCAGGTAGGCGGCTGCTAGACTGCATTCTACTACACGGAGGTTGTAGCAGACGGGTCCGGTAACTTGCTTGTCGGATTGGACAAAGCTTTGAGCGATCACAAAGGAGAGTTCTGGGTTGGTTTTGGGGAAGTAGACGGGTCGTGCTGTGAGGTTTGGGACGAAGGAGACGAAGAGTGCGGAACCTCGGAGGGAAAAGACCGAGGCAGATTGGTCCATTCCACCAGAGTTCACACCCACAGCACGCTCGCTGACAATGGCTAGCTCGGTCAGAGCTGTTTTATCGACTTCCTTCTCTCCATTGGCGAACATGACTGCCAGAGCAGATGCGCTGACAAAAGCCGCAGAACTGCTTAAACCACCACCAGCAGGCACAGAACCGTCCATCAATATCTCCATACTCTTCGGTTTATATCCTGCTCCATTTTTCGCTCGCAGAAGCTCCAATGCGCCTCGTAGGCCAGATTTGAAATAGTTTGTCCATTCATGGACTTTGGCATCGATTTCGACGGTCTCGTAAGGAATATCGAATTCATGGGCGGGAAACTTTTCGTACTGAACGTTGGAGACTTTGATCTTGTAGCTTCCTTCTGGGGCTTGTGAGTCGTCAATCACCCGTACTGCGAGGAGCACGTCTGCCGTTATAGCCATGGGAAGGACGGAGTAGAGGGAGTAGTCGATGTGCTCGCCGATAATGTTGACTCTACCTGGTGAGCGCGAGACGAAGTCTGGAGTGCTGCCATAATTGGATTTGAATTGTTTAAGAAGCTTTTCCCATCTTGTTGTCTGTGTAGAGAGGGCATCTTCGGTGTAGATGTCCTTCAAGGACTTTGCGACTGGAACTGTGCCTGCCATGGTGGGGGTTTTGGTTTTGGCGGGGTAATTTGTGGTCGGACAATGGCTTCAGAGTTGTGGGTTGTGAATCTCTAGGAGAAGATTCTATTTTATCGGCTTCAGTGAATGGCGGGAAGATCGTGCGCAAGAGTAGAAAAAGAAACAGCCGTCCTCCCTGGTTTTTGTAGGCAGTTCTGTTCCATCGCGTGACGGTTTGGGAGGTGGTTCCTGGCGTTGAAGAAGGAAATCAAACCCGCCGCTAACAGGTGGGCTGTTTGATTAGTGCGCTTGGAGGAGGGGAGAAAGGGGGTATGAGATGGGGCATTTTGGAACCACCTGTGACTCGATTGTACCACAGATAGAGGGTAATAAGGAAAGGAGAGGATTATCATATGAGGTGGAGAAAGTGGTTCCGCGAGCTTCCCCGGTGGTGTTGTGCATTCAATGCCACGAGACAGGGAAGCTCGATTACCTTCAGAATGGCAGTCGGAGAATTGGACTCTTGAGTGCTGATGGTGTCCTACACGGCGTGGCCGCGTGTGGTGAGGTGAAGTATGGAGAAAGTTGTCATCCCGTCGCAGCCTCGTTGAGCCTTAGAAATAAATAGATGGAGCGGAGCGGTATGTGCGAATCTTGCATGCAGATGCTTCCCTTCATGCGGTTCCGAAAGGAGTTGACGATCCCAAAGCAATGTGGATGGACGGGCAAGAGCAGCAATTGTTCATAACAGTAGATGGCACGATAGGACTAGAGGCAACGGTAACAACAATTGCTTATGTTTGTCCATTGAGGCTTTGGACATCAAGCGCAGGCAAGGCTGAAGATAAATATGTGATGTGCTGGGTTCCAGTCCAGTCCAGTCCAGCCAGCTCTTCACTCGTCCGTCTCGCGTCTTTCCCGACCTCGGCTGGATGAAAGTAATTCCAGCCACTGAGCTAGAAGGATCTGGCTTACCTCAGCCATTATCCAAAGTCTCTGATTGGCTGCATCCGTCCACCAGCAATGCAGGGATTGCTTCCCCACACTGTTGGCCGAAAACCGCTGCAAAGGAAAATCAATCCAATTGACTGAAGTGAAGGCCAGCCCAGGGCGAGTTCCGTCCATGACTCTACTCTACTTCTCCTCTCTTCCTCATAACAATCCAATACCACAATCATTCTCGCACGACACGACACACAATCCACTGGCAATTGTGCGAATAATATACTTACGAGAGCTGAGCTGACCTAGCCAGAGGTATCTCTTCTCTATCCTCTCTTTCTCCTCCATTCGCCTCCACTCTCCACTCCCCCGACCTCAAAATGCTCAGATCCTATCCTGCGAGGAGCGCCGCCGCGCGTGCCCTCAGACAAAAGTCAAAATGTCCTGCACAACGATTCTCTACCTCCCCAGCTTCAGCCTCCATTGGAATGGTACGGAAAGCACCTGCTACGACGACAAGATCACAAGCCACTGTTGCGACAGCTTCATCGCCCTCGCCTGCGACGTACGTGCTCTCTCCCATGAGTCACTCTATATACTTACGAGCTGTAGGAAAACAAGAGAAAATCCAGCTCCAACGTTCAATACCACCACGAAACAAGAGAACCCTTTACAACCCGCCCATAATGCCCGGTCACATTCAGAAATGGATGAGTCGTAAGTCTTGAGTCACCGCCACTCGGGTCGACTACTGACAGCATAATAGATTTATTGGCAAGACGGGAGGAGAAATCTTTCATGAGATGATGTTAAGACAAGGTGTCAAGCATATCTGTCAGTACTTCTAAACCTCCTTTATGGAATATTACTGACCCCGCATAGTCGGTTATCCTGGTGGTGCGATTCTTCCCGTATTTGATGCTATCTACAACTCAAAACATTTCGAATTCATCCTTCCAAAACATGAACAAGGTGCTGGACATATGGCTGAGGGATATGCGCGAGCTTGTGGGAAACCCGGTGTTGTTCTCGTCACTTCCGGACCTGGGGCGACGAATGTCATTACGCCAATGCAGGACGCCCTCTCCGATGGAACCCCAATGGTTGTGTTCACAGGTCAGGTCGTCACATCGGCAATTGGAAGTGATGCTTTCCAAGAAGCAGATGTTATTGGTATCTCCAGAGCATGCACGAAGTGGAATGTCATGGTGAAGAATGTTGCCGAGATGCCAAAGCGGATAGCTGAAGCATTCGAGATTGCTACTTCGGGACGACCAGGGCCCGTCTTGGTTGATTTACCAAAAGACGTTACAGCTGCTGTTCTCCGAAAGGCCATTCCTACTGGTAGCACTATCCCAGCCCTGCCAAGCCAAGCTTCGAAAATGGCTCAGCAACATGTTAAGAAGCAACTTGAGGCTACGATTGGCCGTGTAGCGAAGTTGATCAATGGTGCAAAGAAGCCCGTCATCTATGCTGGTCAGGGTATCATCTCCCTCCCAGAAGGTCCAAAACTCCTCAAGGAACTCGCGGACAAGGCCTCTATTCCTGTAACAACAACTCTCCAGGGTCTCGGTGGATTCGATGAGCTTGACCCCAAGTCCCTTCACATGCTTGGTATGCACGGCTCAGCATACGCCAACTTGGCCATGCAAGAAGCAGACCTCATCCTCGCTCTTGGGGCTCGTTTCGATGATCGTGTAACTGGAGCTATTGCCAAGTTTGCACCAGCTGCTAAGCAGGCGGCAGCTGAGGGACGTGGTGGTATCGTGCATTTCGAGATTATGCCAAAGAACATCAATAAGGTCGTCCAAGCCACAGAGGCCGTAGAAGGCGATGTTGTGGATAACCTTGCCCTTCTCAACCCTCTCATCAACACCACAAGTATGTCTGACCGAAAAGAATGGTTCGACCAGATTAACCACTGGAAGGAGAAGTTCCCTCTCAGCTCTTACCAAAAGGCCGAGAGATCAGGTCTCATCAAACCCCAGACTCTCATTGAAGAGCTTTCAAATCTCACCGCCCACCGCAAGGAAGATACCATCATCGCCACTGGTGTCGGTCAACATCAAATGTGGACCGCTCAACATTTCAGATGGCGTCACCCAAGAACCATGATAACATCTGGTGGTCTCGGGACAATGGGTTACGGTCTCCCAGCTGCTATTGGTGCTAAGGTTGCTCGTCCAGACGCTCTTGTCATTGATATCGATGGAGATGCTTCGTTCAACATGACTCTTACTGAGATGTCCACGGCCAAGCAATTCAACATCGGTGTCAAGATCATCGTCTTGAACAACGAGGAGCAAGGTATGGTCACACAATGGCAAAATATCTTCTACGAGGACAGATACGCACACACGCATTCCGAGAACCCAGATTTCATGAAGCTCGCCGATGCTATGGGTATCCAAGCAAGAAGATGTATCAAGCCAGATGATGTCAAGGATGCTCTCACATGGTTGATCGAGAGTGACGGACCAGCTTTCTTGGAGGTTGTGACAGATAAGAAGGTTCCTGTTCTTCCCATGGTACCAGCTGGTAGCGCCCTACATGAGTTCTTGTTCTACGATCCAGGTACGTTATTTTCTCCTTTCCCCGACTCTCCAATCACTTACTAACAATTTTTCAGCCAAGGACAAGGAGCGCAGAAAACTCATGGGCGAGCGAACAGGTGGAAAGCACGGAGGCGACTAATTGATATCCCATCGCACCGCAACCGGTGCTCGTTCGGTTTTCCAGCGTGGTGGCTTTTCTTTTCTTTGCAATGCAATGCAATGCAACGCAAATGCAAATGGCGGTGTTTGGACACGAAAAAGTGAAAAGTTTATATTTTTTCCCATACCAGAAGAGCTTCTTCTCAGGGTTCTCATCAATACATATTGAGAATGTGATTGTTGATGGGATGAGATGCGATGAGATGAGATGCATGGGTAGTTCTAGTTGGGATGGATGGATCGATCGATCGAATGATGGACTTTGTCTGTGTGTTTGTATATGTAAATATGGGGCAGTCATTTGGAATCAAAAACAAAACAAACCAAAAGGAATCGAATCAAGGAAGGAAAGAGATTCTTCAACAAAATCCCTCTGTACATTGGATACCTCTCAGTTGTAGTTCACCTGAGTTCTTTTTTCCCACTTCCTGAAATCTTCTTCCTTCTCGTCCTCGCTTCTCTTACTTCACTTGGCCCACTGGTATTCTATTCTATTCTATTCTTTTTATTCCCGCACTTTTCTTGCACATACTACACGCTCACTTTATTGTTATCGTCTTGAGCATACGAATCGCCAATCACCACCAATCACATCCTTTAAACCCGTTTCCGTGTTTGGTATATATTTGGTTAGATAGCATCCAAGCCTCGACGTTCCACCTGAGGTCACACACACACACAACCTCCACTTCCGCATCCGCTTCCGGACTCTCTTTGCTGTATGCGCGCGTGCGTCCGCGTTTCGGAAATTGCCTAGTAGAGCGTCGGGTTGTGCGCGCCGTCCCTGTACAACATCATTCATACCTTACACATACTGTACCAAAAATCAGCTTCTAGGTACAGAACCCCACATCGCTTCACGGGAGGGCTTGTTATTTCACCTACCCTCCAGAAGAAATGTGAAAAGTGAAATGTGATATGTGATTTGATACCGGTAGCTTTCTGCTGAGTTCATGCGTGTTGATATTTTTATCTTTTTTCTTTCTGGTTTATATAGTTGGTGGTTTGGTTTGGTTTGGTTTAATCGAGTGATCAAATGGTGGCTGGGGAAGAAGAGGGGAGGGGACTCTCCTTCGATGTCGTGCGTGAGTGCGTGCGTGCGGTGCGTTCCCGTCTCGCTTGTTTACTTATCTGGGAACCTAAGCAGTGTGCAAATAAGGGAGCGAGCTGCTAACTGTTGGTGCAACTTCCCGTCTCAACCACCGCTCACCGCCGCCCGCCCCCCCCTTATGCGGCGTCGTGTCTGTCTAGGTATCTTGTTATGTTCCGAGAAACGGCACCGCCTAGGAGGTGAGAAATGGGAATTACCTTGGGTAGTTACATTAATTTTGGGATGTTCCGCATATGGTTGATTGGAAGGGGGCCAACTAAGCTGTGGTTTTTTCGGGATTTGAAGCTGAACTGATCTATGTTTGAAGAAATATACGGGTTGCGTACGTAGCCTTGATGCCGATATTCAGTATCGGTATCTGCAATCAGTATCAACACCATACATAACCACCATGTTTTCCTCCCGACGGCATATACTAAGATCCCTTTGGCGCGCCCAGATCCAAGTTCTCCTTCTGCTATGTGGCAAAAGCCTTGTCTCCGCTGTAGTACTGTCAACGGTCTTCGAGGATTTGCAGGGAGGCGACAATGTGACGATTACTTGGAGTGGTGCCGTTGGCGGCGCAGCCTTGACGTTGAATCCCAGTCGGCAGGAGGACCTGGGGGTTTTAGGTACTATTGGGTGTAAGTCATATATCCTTCTCATCTTCTGGATTACCACTCCCTATACATTGAGATATGCAACGCCTCTCGGTGTCTTTCTTGCTGCGCAAGTCTAGTCTAAATATGGATCGACTAAGTAAATCAAGCTAACCACCACTTTCCCACTCCTCGCAGCAAATCTCCAGGGAACATCGTACATCTGGAACGTTCCGTTGTCAGTCCCTACAGGCACCTACTCAATCGAGATCCAAGATTCAATTGGCGATAGCGACCATATTGTAGACTTCCAGATCCACCAGGCTCTCGGCTTTATATCGTCCATAACATCAGACTTGCTCGACGTACTGACGTCGACTGTGACTGTTGGGCTCCGGCGGCGGCGGCGGCGGCGGGGGAGTTTCTACAGCTGCCAGTGGTGGGAGTAGATCTGTTTCGTCTTTCGGCCCTTCGAGTATAACCTCGTCGGCGAAATCAGCGACGCTGGAAACCTCAACATCAGCATCATTGATAGTTTCGGATTCAGATTCAAATTCAAATTCAATAACCTCACCGTCCGTTGCCGCCACAGCGTCCTCCTCGTCCTCTTCCATTACAGGCCTCCCTCCTTTTGCAGCCTCGGATTTGAATACGAATAGCAGCAGTGCGACTGGCAGTGGGAATGGGAGCCGCCTTTCCACAGGAGCTAAAGCAGGCCTAGGTATTGGTGTAGCCCTGGGATTCCTGGTGTTCGTTGCCTGGGCGTTTTGGTGGGGGAGACGTACAGCTATGAAGATGAAGCAGAAGGGCTTGGAGGAGGCGGATAGAGGAGATGGGAACACAGGTGCTTATGATAGTAACGGTAATGGTAATGGTATCGAGACTGTCAATGTGCTGCATAAAGCGGAGATGGATGCTGAGGGGAGGGAGAGGGCTGAATTGGAGGGTAAAGGGGTGGAGGAGGGTGTGAAGGGAGATGGTGAGGCTGAGGGTGTTGGGGAATTGATGGGGTGAAGAGTATTACTGTGAGGTATGAGATTGGGTAGGTGCTGGTAGGTAGGTTCGCAGTTGAGAAATTAGGGACTGCGAATTGGAGAAGGTGCAGCTTTTGGAGTTGATAAATTCTGCGGGCAATGCCTGCTAGGTTTTAGGGATTCGCTTAACGGTTGTTGATTTTCGCATTCTATCTAAAGCTCACTAGAGATAGATGGCGCTCGTGCTTACTTTTGGTTACCAAACAGTACTCTAAATGATAGTAGAATTCGATTGCACTGAATTGGAGCAAATGACCACTTATCGGAGTCGATGACTGCAATGGTTAAAAGTTGAGATGTTGAGATGAGAGAGGAATTGCTAGCCATATGATATGAAAGGATGGGCTGCACGCTTGGTATACCTTGGAGTGAGAGTATGTATAGCTTGGGCTCGACGTCAGAAATGAGGATGGAGACACTTCAGATTTTAAGCAGAAACTTGGGTTTGAATTGGATTAATTTATATTACCTGTTCACGTGTGCAAAGCCCCCATGCTTCAGGCTCAGTACAGTTAACTCCACATTCTTCCACTTGGGACAAATTCGTTACAAGGAAATAATTCAATCCATTTCAGAACTTGTCCCCAGTGCACTTAGTACTCTCTTTGAGATGAAAGAACTCACATTATCATACGTTTCTTATGTCAACCTTGTCCGGAAGATCAAACTTTCAGAGTTTCGGCTTATTGACTACTGGAGGCCACAAGGCTGATTATGTTCATCTGTGCCGGAACACTAAAGAAGTCTGTTGAGAATGTCCCCGGATTAAATACCATGATATACCCGCTGGATGGGAGTTGAGATGTAAGTGGTGTTTTTACAGAATGGCGAAAATAAATACGGGACTCAATTATAAGGACATATATACAAGTATAACTGCTGCCCCCTCATCAAAAGAGATTGTTCATCGAGACAGCACCATAGTTTTGTCCGGGCAGTGGATATACAACCACACTAATCCTAAAAGCCCTTCAAAATGAAACCAAAACCCCTGGCAGTGCGTATGAGGCTTTCAGCCGTTGTCACCTCTCATACGTCCAGATTATCGGCCAATCATTATTCTCCTGTCCAGTTTAAACGACAATAAGATGCTTCTTGTTTTACGAGAGTAGTAGGACCGGCGTGAGTTATGTGCATCGTCTCAATGTCCCCATTTCCTCGTTCACAAGAATGCTGCATAAGCTTTCATCGCTTAGAAGTTAGAAGCGATGTTATCCCCTCAACTGCCGAAAAAACAGTCCTCCAGGGCACAACGCTGAAGCGAGGCGCTAAGGCTGCCCTGGACGACAACGAATTTAAGCGTTTTTCGCTTACGAAGTTAAGTACAGGGTTTCGCTACAGGTGTGTTTGATACGGCAATTAAGGGGATATTGCTGGTGGTAGCACTTCAAGTCTTTAGTTATCTTTAAACTTCGAATTTCCGTTTCTTTTCGAAACTTGTTATCTCCATGACTTACACTTGAGGTCTTGTCACAATTCATTCTTTATACAGATGCTGAAAAGCGATTTTATACCCGTGGGCACATATGGAACTTCTCTTGCAACTACTCCTCTCACTCTATTACTAGCGGGAATAGACTTCATCTTGGAAGAAAGGCTGAGGTCAAATGAATTTTGTCCAAATCAGTGTGCTGGTATCATCTTGCAGTGGAGAACACGGGCAGAGAATATTATGTATGGATGGATGAGTCGGTAAAAAAAAAACTATAAGACCGTTTCTTGTGCTCTCCCGCTGCCTGCAACGACTGTGCCCTGTGGAGGTAATTTACAGATGGGTTAGTGGGGTACTTGGGTGCTTACAGTTCTTCCAAAATGGGCATCTCTGTGAAAGGCGGTCGTCTGATCATCGGCGAGCTGCGAGGAGTGCAATATATATCTGGCGCTGCTGTTCTAACAAGTTATTCCGTGCTCGTTGCGGAAGAGAATCGCTAACAAGCTCGAAGCCAGTCCGTCGTTGATATACAAACTGTCTTTTTTTTTTTGAGAATACGCAACGCAGTAGACACGGTGAGCTATTTAAGAGTCCATTCATCACATATTATTTTCCAACGTGCCTGAAGAGTGTTGATATACTTAGGGGAATATTTGATTACGCTACAGAATGAACCTCGGGGGAACCCCTCTAACTATATACAAGAAGCTGCGGAAGCTAGTCTTAGCTTGCACATAAGTATCTCGTGTCATATTCAACAATGAAAATTGACAGGCTGTCAGGACACGTCCAAGAAGAGAAATTATCTAATTATAAGTCCGCCTGAGAGTACTTGGTCAAATAAGTGCCTGATAATGGGGAGTTTTCAAAGGCTATGTAAAATATCCGCTCGAAAAGAATGCAAACATATTAATGGGCTAACAGCCAGAAGAAAAGTCCGAGAATGGCCCAGCCGCTCGGTGAGACGCTTGATGCGCTGGAAGAAATGACGAGGGGGTAGGTCGGAGCGGCGGTAGGGCCGGCAGGGACACCGATGGCGGTATTGGTTGTGTAAGCAGCACCTCCGGGACCTTGGACACCTGTTGGAACGGCTGGATATCTACAAAAAGTCAGTTAAGGCTTCTTCATAGTGTGGGGAACTTACGGTTGAGTGATGGTAAGAGTCGGTTTTCCTGCACACGGAGTGCAGACAGTCGTTACAGCTGTGAACTGCGGGGGAACCACAGCAGGATTGATTGGAGTGAGACCCGTACAAGTTTGCGTCTGCTTGATCAGCATCATATATGTGATGTGAAGTATTTATACTTACCACGGTGTAAGTAGCTTCCGTCAGACCGGTGTCACAAATACTAGGATAGACTGTAGCATAGGTCGTCGTATATACTCCTCCCTTGGACCGTCAGCGAGGCAAGACAACTTTGCGAGGGCTCATACCTGGGTTTTGGCAACATCGCAAACAGGGCAATACGTGCTCGTTTGAGGCACGACGATGGTGACGGGGGCCTGATAATTTGTCGTTGTACAAAAAATCACTTCGCCAGTGGTGGCCAGCGCCAGAGCACTGAACAGGAAGGAGTACAAGGTGACCTTCATTGTTGCTGGAGTCGATAAGCTTGACAGTGACAGTGATAGTAAGAGAGCACACCATCCCTTCTTATAACACTATGATCATGATCGCGATCCGTGGTGCATATATCTACATTCCTGCGCCTGCCCCAGCCTTCCTTCTCAATCTTGATCTCTGGTCTCGAAGCCCATTCCAGAGATACTTGAAGAGAAATTGGGTGTGTTCACTCGATGGCCCCACGAAAGGGTTCATCCTGGTAGCGCCCAGCAAGATCTTGTCCAAATTCGTCGCCCTAGCTGGGAGTGGCGGCCGGGCCCCCCTTGCCGAGATCCGCGTACCTGGGACGCAGACAAGCAATAGAGTTCTCCCCGCGCCCGTTAATAACGTTATTTGGTGGAGACGTTCTGTCAATTTTTTAGACTTGAAATGAGAGGGTTAATGTTGTTTTGTGACTTGGAGGTAACGTGATCCGATTCAGGTATGTTGCCACAGCAAATATTAGGAGAGGTTCCTTTGGCACCGTAAAAGCAGTTGCTAGGAAGCCAGTAGCAATTTGACGTTGGGACCCTAGGGGGGCAGAGGGACGAAAGGCCCATCTCCGGCACTGCAATCTCGAGGAGTGAGACACATTAACACCTCCCATCTCCAGCGAAATCGAGTCCAGTCCAAAAGGCCATCCTTTCATAATAATTTGGATCAACAGGTAATCTTACAATCAGTACGAGGAGGAATGAAATCGGAGATATGTCCGAAGAAAGAGGATAAGCTTTGTTTATCGAACGGCATGGAAGCTTGGCTGACACCGTGTTCTGGACTTACTATTGCTTGATTGGGTTTCAATACAGGCTAGTCAATGCTAGCCCTCGCACTATCAGCCACTCACTTCGGACCTCTCTTAACAGCACATCAATTATATTGTACATTCACAGACAAATTTTTGTATTTGGAAGAGGATAACGTCGGGTCTCCCATAAGACCAAAGCATTTATGTATAATGTTGAATGTTGTCAGTAGGAATACTTAGCTTTCACATCAGCGAAAGTTTTCTTATCGCCTTGAGGCTGGGGAAGTCTCAAGGACTGTAGGGAGTAGAAATAGGGACCGAGACTCCAGATAGTATCACTCAGATCGATATCTTTCCGATGTAGTCTCAGCTGGTGTATTCATTCCCCCCCCAAAAATGGATCGGAGCTAAGCGAGGTTGAGTCACATATTATGAAGCTAATCAACACAAAGCTTGAAATCAACGCGACAAAGAGAAGGTGAGGAATAAAACAAAAACAGCTGAAGTCGGAAGTTTCCGAATGTGATCCAGCTCCGGTTCAGAGGGGCTGGCGAAATGTACCCAAGCATTTAGGTAATAGCCACCAAGTGAGGGAGAAAAACTTAAAATCTTTAGTGCTTCTTGCAACTGAAGAAGCGTATTGTATATTCAGATTAGTCCTGTTATCATTCCTTAGATTGACGTACACCAGCACAGATCAGCGCAGGAGCTTGTGTTGAAGGAATGTTCTAAATGTCTCTTGCTTGTGATGGGAATTTGTGGCGCCCTACACAAGATCTGGTTATAAGTGTTCAAGACTTCCTCACCATTGATTTTGGGGCCTGCAAACAACAAGGACACAATCAACATGAGAAATTGGGCCAGGTTCGCAGGATTTGCGTACGCGACATTGTTCGCTCCGAGAGGAGCGGCAGAGTCACTCTCATATGATGTCTGCCCACCTGATGCAGATGTTGTTGGGGTCGACGTTATTACCCAGGTCAATGTTTGCCCAGTCCAAGTTAGCAGTTTCTGCAGCTCGAATACTATCATCACAATCGGAATTGGGATGACCGTGACTGTTACCAACGCTCCAACTCTTGTGATAGCCACCGGCATCGTGACGAGCACTGTATATATCACGAGCACAGTGTATCCACCGTAAGTAAGGACAGCGAAAAAGGAGGCATGACTGACAGATACCAGGACTAATCCTGGCTACATAACTACAACAACGACGATTCCAGCTGATCAGCCAGGCTACACTTCAACTATTCCACCGTCGGGAACTTATCCTGGAGTTGTCATTATCGGAGATCCTCGTGGAGGCTATGTGACAACAACTTCCACAATACCAGCTGGACAGCCAGCCTACACGTCAACTATCCCTCCCTCAGGGACAAACCCTGGTCTTGTGATTATTGGTCAACCTTCTGCACCCGCAGGATATATCACTTCCACTACAACAGTTCTTCCAGGACAGCCTGGTTTCACTTCTACGATTCCTCCATCAGGCACATATCCGGGTGTAGTAGTTATTGGGCAGACCCCTGGACTTCGGTACGTTACGACTACCACGACTGTTCTTCCAGGCCAGCCTGCATTCACTTCTACAATTGCTCCATCAGGTACAAACCCTGGCGTTGTAATTATTGGGGAGACCCCTGGTGCGCAGTACGTGACAACTACTACAACTGTTCCCCCAGGCCAGCCTGGATTTACTTCGACAATCGCTCCATCGGGTACCAATCCTGGTGTTGTAGTTATCGGTGAGGAACCTAGACTTGGGTATTTCACAACTACCACGACTATTGCCCCGGGTCAGCCCGAGTTCACTTACACAATTGCTCCATCAGGCACAAATTCTGGTATTGTAATTATCGGTGAAACTCCAAGACCTGGATATATCACAATCACTTCCACAATTCCAATTGATCAGCCTGGTTACACTTCGACCATCGCCCCTTCGGGCACATTCCCCGGTGAAATCATCATCGGTGAGCCTGGCTATCGATTTATCACTACCACCTCTACTATTGCAGCAGGTCAACCTGGATTTACCTCAACTATCGCACCTTCGGGAACATACCCAGGTGTGATTGTTATTGGTGAGCCCTCCGGCGTATTTGTTACAACTACTTCAACCCTTCCACCTGATGCTCCTGCCTATACATCTACAATCCCCCCCGCTGGAACAGTAGCTGGAACCGTGATCGTTGGGCAGCCTGCACGGCGAATAGTGACCACCACTTCTGCCCTACCACCAGGAGTCCCTGCATATACATCAACATTCGCTCCCACCGATCCATCGTCACCAATCACTGTCGTTATTGGAGAGCCTGCAGGACTTTACGTCACTGCCACCACAACACTACCCCCAGCTTTTCCTGCGTACACTTCAACTATCCCTCCTGCTGGGACAGTCGCTGGTACAGTGCTTATTGGGGAGCCCGCAGGAGTTTATGTCACTGCCACCACAACACTGCCTCCTGGATTCCCTGGTTTTACTTCGACTATCCCTCCTGCTGGGACAGTCGCTGGCACAGTGCTTATTGGAGAAGCTGCAGCACGCTACGTTACTGCCACTACAACACTTCCCCCAGGATTTCCTGGGTACACCTCAACTATACCTCCCTCTGGCACAGTTCCTGGCACAATTCTTATCGGCGAAACCCCTGGAGCCTATGTCACATCTACATCTACTTTGCCGCCTGGGTCTCCAGCCTATACATCAACTGTGCCTCCCGCTGGAACAGTTCCTGGGACGATCATTATCGGTCAGCCTGCCTTGGGTTATGTCACTACTACCTCCATTTTGCCGCCTGGATCCCCAGCATACACGTCAACAGTGCCTCCTGCTGGGGGAGCTTCTGGTACGATTATCATCGGTCAGCCAGGCCTGGGTTATGTCACTACTACTTCGATCTTACCGCCTGGATCCCCGGCTTACACGTCGACTGTGCCTCCTGTTGGGACAGTGTCTGGCACAATTATCATCGGTCAGCCTGGGCTAGGTTATGTCACCACTACCTCCATTTTGCCTGCTGGATCTCCAGCTTACACGTCAACTGTGCCTCCGGCAGGAACAGTTTCTGGCACAATTATTATTGGTCAGCCTGGGCTAGGTTATATCACTACTACTTCGATTCTACCCCCTGGGTCTCCGGCTTACACTTCAACTGTACCTCCGGCAGGGACAGCCTCTGGTACAATTATCATCGGTCAGCCTGGGCTAGGTTATGTCACTACTACCTCCATTTTGCCCCCTGGATCTCCAGCTTACACGTCAACTGTACCTCCGGCTGGTACAGTTTCTGGCACAATTATTATTGGTCAACCTGGTCTCGGGTATATCACTACCACGTCTACACTACCGCCTGGATCCCCACCTTATACCTCAACTTTCCCTCCTTCAGGCACAGCTTCCGGTGTTGTTGTAATTGGGACGCCGGCAGCCGCAGGATTTGTGACATCCTACACTACGATACCCTTTGGGCAGCCAGCCTATACATCTACCGTTCCTCCCGTCGGGGCTATTTCAGGTACCATCATTATTGGAACACCAGGGGCACCTCCCTTGCCGACTGTGTACGTCACAACAACAAGTACAATTCCTGTGGGCCAATTGCCATACACAACAACAATCCCTCCTTCCGGCACCGCTCCTGGTCTTATCATTATTGGGCAGCCAGCAAGTGCAGTTTTCGTTACCACGACCTCGACCCTGCCACCAGGCGTATCAGGCTATACTTCCACTGTGCAACCTTCGGGATCCGTTGCTGGTACAATCATAATTGGTCAACCGACTTCTCTAGCGTCTACATCAAGTTCGCAAACCTCAAGTACATCATCCACAATAGCTAGCTCGAGTACATCATCAACGATAGCAAGTTCAAGTACATCGTCCACAATAGCCAGCTCGACGACATCATCGACTATCGCCAGCGCGACCACATCATCCACCATAGTCAGCTCGAGTACATCGTCTAGTATTGCCAGCTCGACTGTGCTTACATCGTCGAGTGTTTCCTCAAGCATTTCAACGACTACAGCTCCGGACACATCCAGTTCTGCTACGTCTTCATCTACGTCGTCAAGCTCTACCAGCTCGGTTCTTCCAAATCTGGCCTGCCCACCTCCAACGGTTGTCTGTCCACCGAACGGAGTCAACATTGCCCATTATGCGAACCCCTTCGACTACCCTTCAACGTTTGGTTCGCTCCTTGGAGTTGGCCCAGATTATTATATGAGCTTGACTCCTCTAGCATTGAGTTTGATTCAGAGTTTTACTGGCCCCGAGTTAGCTGAGCCTCCTCTGACTCAAGCCGTGTTCCCTCCTAATTCGCCTCCATACTTTCCCGGTCAAACCACCGGGACATGGGCAGGAATCACATACAACCCCAACAATTACACGTTCGTCTACACAGGATATTTCCAAGCACCATCTACTGGATTATTCTCTATCTGCTCTGAGGCAGATAACGTGGCATACCTTTACGTGGGCCCAGGCGACGCTTTCCCATGTGGTGGTACTGTAGATGTAGCTGGCGCCTCTTACAGCCTCATCTCAGGTTTCCTGTACACAGCACCTCTTCTGCAATGCACATCAGTCAACTTTGTTGCTGGTAACTATTATCCGATGCGCTTGGTCTATGGCAATAACGGACTTCCTTCGGAGAATAATTTCACCATCACAGCGCCAGGAGCAGTCACCCCTCTGGCTCTGACAGGCTCCTTGTTTCCGAAAGTATGCTAAAAACCTCCGGCATTTCCAGGTGTCAGGCTTTTCCGCTTGAGAAATCCCACCTGTTTGTCGTATGGCTTGGTCGCATCAATGCAGGTGGCGATGGTTGATGTCAATTGCCCAGATAAGGACTGGGTACTAGATCTTTGTATGCTGTAGGCTGTCACAGCCAAGTAGCGATTGTGTATTTCTTTTATTGGACGCTATTATCTTCTATAGGCACTGGGATGATATGTTATGACTTGACGGCCGGGTGTAACTTGGAGTCGTGGCTGTGAGGGAGCTATAACGTCGCGGCGCTTTTTCTTACTTTGGTCTGCGCTTTCAATTCTTTCGAAGGATAATTGGTTTATGTCAAAATTAATGCGATCATGTTTTCTACACCATGTATGTAATTCTAATAGTGGTTTGAACTAAATTGATTGGTAGTTGTAGAGCCTTCCCTGGCAGCGAGATACAGTTCCAACACTCCGGGCAAATGAGTTTGCGTGTCCTCAAAAGCTGTATCATTCTTCCTCATACAAAATCTCATCCCTCTGCAGAGTGTAACCTTTTCACTTCTAAATCGATCGAAATCAGCCTGGGTGTAAAAACTAAATATGCCTTCACACTCGATTGGTGGCTTCCGTTTTTAAAGTATCTTCCATTGACTATGCTAACATACGGGCCTTCACTACGTCATGGGTACTGGTAATTCTTTCCGCTCGAACTGAGAATCTAGCTATATAAGTCTAGCCCTCGTTACTCAAGTAAATTGAGTTTTTCCCCTTGAGCATCGTCCAAGAAAATATCCTGCCGCCTCGATCATCCGGACAAATACCATCCGGTACCAGCAACACCGACAAGTGCGCACCCAGCAAAGTCGCGAACAGGAAGAGACAACCATTAGTGAAAGGCGGTCTTTGACTTTCACTGTATTGTCTTTAATTGAGCTCCACTTTAAATCCTTCTCTTCCAAATTGCTTGCCATGGGCTGTCCTGAAAAGCTTGCTCTGTCTTCAAAAGACCGTGAGGGGGGATATACCGCCAATCGTAGTATTTCCATGTCTCCGGACATCACCGCTCCCTTGATAGACCCAGGTCCAGTTTTCGCTCGCCAGTCTTTCCACCAACGTGAACCTCGTGTCGATGTCTCTTCAAATTCAGGCAAATACTCTTGGAGAAGTTGTAGCGTACCAACATTACCTGCCCATGCGGCAAGTTGTGAAGGTGCCGGAAAAAGAAAATTGTCCATGGTGGGGCAGTAACCTTCATTCAGAAGTTCCGTCGCCAGTCTAATGTCGCCGAGATAAGCGGCAGCGCTCAAGAGGTTCAACCCCGGATCTGGTATTTTATCTTCAGGATCATGGCATCCCCAACCTTCATAGTAGCCTGGTGCACAGCTTCCTCGCTCTAGTGCCAGCCAGCAGAGAGCGTCGAGGGTGACGGCATGTCCGACTTTGTCTTTCGACAGATTTGCTCAGTCACCTGGCGCAACTCGACGAAGCGGCCTTTCCCTGCAGTGGTTGTGAGCAGTTTATTACGCTGCTTGTCATCTGAACCTATCATTCATCATGAATTTTATGAAGTAAAGTATAAGTAAACTAAAAATTACTGACCTGGATCCCTCTCATTTTGAACGCGATATGATAGGTATGAGTACCACAGCTTCTCCGCACCGTACGTTCGACGAACGTACCATACCTCGAGTAAATTGAGTCCACTGTTGACGCGAGGCGAGGGAACATGTTCGTCTAGAAGTCGTGTTTCGAACAGAGCAGGCTGGATTTGGGTATAAAAACTTTCTGGTATTCATCAGCATATAAAAGGGCCCATGGTGGCCTCCTCTTACTGCACATGAGCTTCAGCCTGAGACCTCTTGCGACGCCACGTGCTATGATGGAATTGCATTCTCCCGGCGGTACTGGTTGTCAGCAATGAAATAATTGACAATAAGGAGTTTGCTATGAAATAGGAAGTGCGGTGTCGTTGTATGAATAGCATGTATAATCTATTAGACCTGGTGAGAGATACTAGAGAGTCGGAATCGTTAAGAGGACAGTGTTGTAACCAACAATGAGGAGTCAGAACTAGATCCAAAGGGGTATAGTGCGCCGCGAAGGATCGCTGCATGTGATTGTTTTCTCTCGCTTAATAGAGGCCCCTCGTGCCATTGGCCAGGGCCGCATAATGATATTGCCTGGCAATTCGCGGGCAACATTACAGTATTGCAGAACTGAAGTTAAATCAAGTTAATGACGAATCATGGAGCTAGTTGAATATGTCAAGGGGCCTTGGAGAACTTTGAAGATGGCTTACCAGAGGCTCTTCGTAACCGGAATAATGACCTAGAATGCAACTCCACCAATTTTGCATCAGATATATCTTACCTGACTAGGCTCGGCACTCTTGGACAAATCTTTAAACTCATTAACACTATACCGTATAATGTACACTTGTTTGGCGGATCTTGTCAAACTTTTAAATCACCAGAATCTGAGAGGATTCGTGTGGAGTGATTGGCGACATTGGTGTGATTACAATTGATGATTTATTGGGGTTCATCGATACTGAAAATGCCGATAGAAGGACAGAAACCCAACTTTCCTTCTCGTTCGTTCACAAAAGTGTAAAACAGTCTTCGGATCTGAAAAGCATTGTGCTCGAGCATTTCAGCGAAGGCAATATTGCACCAATTCTCAAGGCGCCGGCGGAGGATGACTCCTTGCCCCAATTCTGGTCTTGGCAGTGTGCAGAGCTCATCGGGCACGGCGAAGCACAAGTCTGGTCTCACTCAGGTTTGTGAGAACGGGCTTTTCGTATCGATGCCATTCTGTTTTGCTGAATTTGGCATCAGCGCGGGGTAATTTGATGCATTACGGAGAGATTGAAAGATTAAAATAGGCGACTGATTGATCCCGACCCCGTCCCTTCCTCCATCTTTCCATCATACTTCAACTACGGCTCTTTTCCTCCACACAAGCCTCCACCCCGACGTTCTTGCTACTTCCTAGGGTATTTCGGTAGACAATTTCTTCCCATTGTGACGATCCAAACTCATATTCGCTAACGATCTCCATCAAGGGGGACTATATGTTACTCAGTAGAAGCAATGCCATAGACTCTAATCCCTTTTCTTCCTGTTACCTTGCGATCCCTCGCAGTTCTTTTTCACCCCAATCTCGAAGGTTCAGAATAAACTCTACCATCGCCGTGTGTTCGAGCCGTAAAGCGTTTAGAATCGGTTCCCAATTGACGTCTGCAAAGCTTGCAACATGTGCGAGAAGTTTGGGCATGATGGATAAGCTGCCTCCAGAAGTAGCAGCATGTAACGGACAGCCAAGCACCTGCGCTAAGTAACATCCAGGATCTGCCCCGCGCTCCAAGAGTAGGTCAACAATTTCTTTATGACAGTTACGACACGCAATTGTCAGCGGGTTTTGGTCAGATCTTATTCCTCCGTCGACGAGTGCACCTTTTTCAAGGAGATACCGTACTATCGCGATATTACCTAGCTCCGCGTAATGCGCCAAAAGGGCTGAATATTCGCGCTGTGGTTCGTTGAAAAAACCCTCGACAAATTCGAATACTTCCAGAGTTTTGGCACTGTGAAGAGAATTCTTCAAATCCACCCCAGGCAAAGAGTTCGGATCCACATGTCCAAGTCGCAAAAGAGCGAAGTCTGTATTGGGAAGTTTGCCTTGGCAAGGGGGCCATATTGCCAGGCGCAGCATATCAATGTCGCCTCGCATCATTGCCCCCTTAATTGACCCTGGCCCAATCTTGCCTCGCCAAATCACTGGATCTTAACGCCAGGAGGGCGTTGGTCTTCGAAATCGGGTAAATGCTCTTGGAAGAGTCTCAATACCTCGCCTTGACCAGCGTACGCCGCAAGTTGCATTGGTGAGGGAAACAGTGGTCCCTTCACAGTTGGGCATAGACCCTCTGAGAGCAATCTTCTTATCATTCGGGTATGTCCCAAGAACGCTGCTGCACTTAGGAGACTCGAGCCAGCATTCATTGTCTTGTCGCCTGGTTCAGTCCAGCCCCAGCACTCGGAAAACCCTGGTGCATTGCTTCCGCGCTCTAGCGCAAGCCAGCATAATGCATCAAGCACCGTCTCTTAGTCTGCTTTCGCTTGTTCACAAAACTGCTCTGAGAGCTGCCGTATTGCAACGAAGCTACCTTTGTCTGTGAGGTGTCAGCACGTGAATGCGGGCAATTTCTCATCCTAGGAATTGGATTGTGCTCTCTGGGTATGCTGGAACCAAAAAAGTAGATGGCAAAGTAAAGGTGATCTACTTACTTGGGTCGGCCTCATTTTTTACTCGATAAACAAGATACGCTTGCCATAGCTTCTCCACCCCATGCCTCTTCCGGATGTACCAATCTTCCATAAAAAAGAGTCTGCTGCCAATCCTTGCCTCAACTAAGAACCCGTCAAGTAGTCGCGATTCAAAAAGGGCAGCCTGTAGATAACGTCGGAATTGTTCTAAAAAGTTCAGTTTAGCAAGGCCGGATACTTTTGGTGGTCGCACTCACTACACACGAGCTTCAACCTCAGAGCTCTCGTCACACCGCGCGCAATGACAGCGCAGAGGAAGATTTCATGAACAATATCTACTGGAAGATCAAGCAGGGCCATGATTTTGTTTTGGTGTTTCTCGCACAGTACAGAATATTCAAATTGCCTTTTCTACATATTGCGCGAACATATCGAGAAGAGGAGAGAGTGAGGGAGCAGCCTTGACCTGTGATGCATCAATGGGCCTTGATTACCTCAGCGAAGCACCGTGCTAAGACCAAATTAGCATAGCACAATATTTTATATTTACTTCGGCTAGGCTCACACATCTCAGGGGTTCGTGTGGTTCCTGGCCGCCTGGCCACCACCAGCACCAACATACACCAACAAATGTGGACACATACTGATAGACATCAGATTCCGAGAGGTCAAATCAGACAGATCTGCGTATATCAGTATTTCACTACGTACCTGTCGAAATCTCGAAGCACGGAGGAGAAGGGCAACAAAGCGCCTCATGAAGCATGGCTGAAAGGAATCAGTGGAGATGCGTGAAGCACTATTGTCCTTCTTGGCTACAGAGAGACGATCTGTCCGTCATTATAATTCCTCTGCTGGTTAATAAATGCTACATTGATGTTTAACAGTAGGGAGTGTTGAAGACGTGAAGGTGGGGGGCATCTGGTTTTAGCCCACGAAGCGGGTGCTTTGAATTATGCGAAAACAACAAGTACAAGAGAATGCGACTGGGAGGCAGATTCCTGAAGCCAAACACTATCACTATGTCAAATTCACCTGCTTTTACCTCGTTTTACTAGTCAGCTTCCTCTACACGAGAGAAAGAAGGCTTCAAGGACGTCATCCAATTCATCCAGTCACGTGCTCCAACCACACAACAGACTTGAGATTGGTTGGTAAAGAGTATTCACCAGTAGTCGATGCAAAAGCCTTACATAGTCCACGACCAAGCAATATATACTTATCTGATATTGGAAATAGTTTCTGTCTGTTGCATGCTCTCGTATACTTCTCAGCTCATGTGCCCTCTCCATAGAGTCATGATTCCTGGAAGAAATTGCTTGTTTTTTCGGATATTTGTTGAATACAAGAGCTCATTTGACAATGAGTAGTGGGAATTAAGTGTTATATCTGATGAGTTGTCTTGAGCCTTAAGCTGTAAGCACTTTGTGGGCGGTCCGAGTCTCCAACCACGCTTTGGAAACCTGTCCCCCACAAAACAATGGAGTGTTGTCTGGCATCGCAACTGAAGCAAATTTTTCAGTTTCGGCCTTCTATAAGTGGTGAGTTTAATAAGCTTCTCATTGTCGGACTTAGGCTCTTATCGAGTCTCCAGCCACTTCCCCTTGACTGGGAATGGCACAAAGCTCTATCCCATCAACGTACTGTTTCCACTTACCGAGGAAGAGAAGTTAGAGTTGGGTAGAATAAAACAAGTGGGGGTGGCTAGAAGTCCTGCGATTATGGTTGCAGAGTGGACGACAGGAAGGCACGGAGAGAGAAGAGAGTTGGAAGTTAGGCGAATGACAGTGAGGTTTGAGATTATTTGAAAGGAGGATGACAACATATTCCTTATTCTTGAATATCGATTTTCTTTCCTCCTGAAGTTCAAGGGCGGCGCACTATTGAACGTTTCATTTGTACCTTTTTGGTGGATGAATCGCACCCCATCAGAGATTCTTAGTGGGTTCAAGCGAAGACCGATGCTTCCTCTCGGTAGGCTCACGAAGCACCATTTTCCATCAGTCTTACATGCCTTTCTATCTAAGCAGAAGATCTGGGTATCTTTGATCTGCAGGAAATCACGAGATGCATGAGGAATATATGTGGTCCTGGAAATGAAGCAGGGAGTGAGTAGCGGTATACTGAATATCTCTTTGTCGTAGAATAGAACTGCCGGGTTCTCCCTGGACAGTGAACTCAAAAGTTTCACGAGAATGGACAGACGCGACGCGAGGTTCCGTGACTGTCTCGCGCTGGAAATTGATGTTGTGTGTTGTACGGCCATGCATAATCATGCCACTATATATCGTCTTTCCAGTGCATTAGGAGGAGCCCTAGGAGAGGGGTTGATCGTGGTGCGTATAAGTTCTAAGCATGACTTTGAGGTTTACTTTTCGTATTAGGTAATTATTGTTCTCGTCAGATATTTTGTTTTCAGATCGCTTGATTATCTGCCACCCGGGCATGTCGGGGGTCTAAACCCCCTTTAGGCGCAACTAAAAACACAACCCAAACCCCCAATATCCAACTGCAAATGCAATTGTCCATATTCATAGTCATTTAATTGTTTGTGAAAGAGGTTCTCTCGTATGGCATGAAAGTCTCAGCGTTCAGCGAAGTTCGTTCAATCTTCTCTGGAAGCAATTAAGGTGTGGACAAAGCTCTTCTTACATGACCAATAAACCAGCCTTCTGATTACGAGTGGATATCTTCTATCCACCTGCATGAATCTTGGCAGCGAGTGTGCCGGATCCTTCGTTTCTTCGGATGTTCTTCCTGGAGCTCTTTGACTTCTGGAAGGGAGAACCCTGCTTCCGGAGGATGCTTCTTGACTCAGGTCAATGATGTATACGAGTAAGTACCGTGCGACTTCAAGACATCACGAGAAGAGATGAGATGGTTGCCAGAATCTCTTTGGTGTAAGATTAGGACCATATCAAGTAACTTAATCGATAGTCTCGATCTGGCAAGGCCGTACATGTAAAGTACATCCGGCAACTCCAGTGTCTCTCTTAGAATAGAACAATGGAGATCATTTATTTTTCCTGGGGTGCAGTAGTGAGTGATCATCGAGATATCATCTAATCGCAACCCTCATTTCCCAAAATGATCTCACTCAGTCTGGCTGTGTCAATGGAATCGGACTAAAACTCCGTAGCGCATCTCGGCTTTCAGACAGGTCAGTTCTCAAATAAAGGTTCAAAAAAGTTTCTCTACAGCCTGAGAACGCTCCGTAAGTATACATATTGTTTCAATAACTGCAGCTTTGTGCACAGCGCTATCACAATCACACTGCATTGCAGATGCGCTGTCATAAAAAAGATCGTCAACTTGAGAAAAAAGGGGTTGGTGAAAACTGGCCTCGCTTGTGGGACACGTGCCTGCCGAACTTCTGGCGGCACATCCGCGTCTGTGGATCTACCTTGGGTGTCAAATCATCCCAATTTCCGAGTGCTCGGTCGCTGACCCGACAAGCTGAATCCCAGTGTTTTCTTCTCTTTTTGTACATGGGGTACGTTAATGCACCAATATGACGGACAATGGGGCTTCCACTGGTCTCTTTTGAGGATGGTTCCCGCCTCCTCCATTCTGTCATTGGCATCTTCTTCTTTCAGTCAAGTTCAAGCTCTTCCCCTTCTGTCATCTTTTTTGGGTTCGTTTAGGAGGTGTTTTTCATGTTGCATTCTGGTGTGTACGATAATTGAAAGGGTTGGGAAGATGTTACCACGTTCGCTCCTTTATATGATTTTGGCGTACTCCGCCCCTTGCATGGGACTTGCCACACCCACAAACACGGCTTCAGAATTTCAGAAAATACAAGTTGGGTCTCCATTCACTATAACTTGGTCGGGTGCGACAGGAGATGTTACAATTGCTTTGATGCTTGCCTCTGGCGCCACAGTCGTTACCATCGGAAGTATGAATATGGGGCCCTGAACTGTGTAACTTAAGGCTAATTGGTTCATAGGCGCATTAACAGGAACTTCATATGTTTGGACACCCCCAGCATTATCAACGACAGACACATACACTCTACAATTCGTGGATGCGACGCTTGTGACGAGCAGGTCGGCAGACTTCAATTTTAGTGAGGATTCGGTGGCAGCAGCTCGGGATGCTTCAAGTTCACAGGTCCGTATACAATGGTTCACTGGGCATTCCACATGTTGTACTCGGATACTGGTTTCACAAGGCTAATTCTTGTATTGAAACATAGTTACCGAGCACAACCCTCTCAGCTTCTGTTACCAATACTCGATCCCAAACTACGAGCACGACTTCAATGCCAAATTTGACGATGAGCTCGACTCCAACTTTCACTTCAGAGTCCCAAACACCCACATCAACAAATACACCTCCTTCAACTTCCGCAATCACGACATCGCCAAGTGAAAAAGGACTCTCAACAGGTGCAAAAGCAGGGATCAGCGTTGGCATCATCATTGGAGTTCTTCTCCTTATTTGTCTTGTGATATTGGCTTTTTGGATTGGACGACGCTCAGCCCGAAAAGATGCAATGAATAATGACCGAGGTGTGAACGACATGGAGGTTGGCGGTGCTGGCCGGGGATGGCCTGGGTGGGAAAAGTCAACGCACGATCCGGGAAGCACGGGGAGCAGGCATAACTTGCTAAAGAGGAATGGCGAAGGAAGAAGCTCGACAATGGGGACAATGATGACAGACGGAAGAAGCTCGAGGATGGACGCGGCGACATTCACCGATGGAAGGAGCTCGCGGCTGACGATGACTGATGGTCGAGACTCCCGAATGGACACGATGTCAAGTATGCCATTGTCTCCCTTAGCTATGTCACCAGTAGATGGAAGACAGTCACGAGTCAGTGTGCTTTCGGACGGGCGGACTTCAAGAATTGGCCGATTTGAGTTTGAAGACTCGACGGATGCGAGAGGTTTCAGTGGAGGGATTCGGATTGTTGAGATGGAAGAACTCAAGATATGATGCCCGCTGCATGATTACGATGATGATTAACGATTAGAATTTCCTTAATCCAATGAAGAACATTGTACAAAGCCCATGAAAGAAGGCATTAAGAAGGTATATTCAACTGTTCTGTCTGCACGTGACCCGGAGCGCCTAGAAATACCTATGTACCTGGTAGCTTTATAGGTCAGCTACACTGTAGACTCCTTTTCTTATGAATCGGTTGAGACAGATAATTGACCTCTGAAGCTATATCAGTTTCTGGCCCTACCTACGCAGTTTCGCAGCGTTCTCTTGAAGGACTGACTTCGAGCAATTCGCTTCACGCGACTTGGTACCAGCCTGGCGACTAAGCCACCGTGAGCGGTTATTCTTCCCCGAAACGATCAACTAGCTCTTCTTTTAAATGTCTGGTCCTGATTCGCGATGAGTTGCATTTTCACTCGTCGGCTCATCATATTAATAGACGCTCCACGCTTTCCCGTGTTGGCAGGTCTGAATCGGCAAAGCTTCGGCAAATCTACTCTATCACGCCCTTCAAGTTTAATGCCTCAACAACACTCTACCACGCCCTTTCGATACGACTAGATTTTCACTGAAAAGACATGACCCAAGTATGTATAAGTATTTTGACATCCAGTATTCAAGTTCTCATCCAAGATCATCGACAAAATATGGCCTCCTCAAAACCACAAGTTGAACTCATCCCTTGGGATTTCACCTCCCCTGAACATGTCGAACGATTAGTTCAGCAGCGAATTGCGTGCGGATGGGACTCTGACGCTGTTGAGAGCTGGAAACCTAAGCAAGAGAGCGGAGTTTTCAACCTGCAATGGATTGTAAGTACAGCGCTTTCCCCTAAATATCTTAGCTAATATTTCCACAGGTCCTCTCAGATGATTGTCCGGACAAGGACAACAAATTGCTCAAGCACACGTCCACGTATCCATATGAAGCAGTGCATCTACAAGATACCGCTACTTCATATGGCGGTAAACCACGAGCCATTACATTGCCAGAGAGAACCTTCATTCCAGTCGGACACATTTGCCTCGGTCCCGCCCCAGCATACTGGGATGATCCCAAGGAGCCTTTCGCAGAGGGTTCATACTGGATTTCCAATTTCTACGTTTCTCGAGCGTTGCAATTCAGTGGAGTTGGAAGAGCAGCAATGGATACCGCAGAGAGAATTGCCACTTCCGAGCCTTTGAATGCTCGAATGCTGGGTCTCAATGCCATCAACAAGGTTGATCCAAATTGTGAGGAGAAGTATGAGGCACTGAAACTTCCAATTCCTCCTGTAAGTAGTTTTTTTTCTACTCTCACTCTATGCCCATCTTAAGTTTAGAGCTTGTCGGCTAATTCTGTGTGGATAGTTCTCAAATCAGGGTTGGTACGAAAGGAGGGGGTACAAAGTCTACATGGATATTCCGAAAGCCTTCTCGAAGACTGATTCAACTGGAAAGGCGTGGTTCTGGGATGCCGTATGCTTGAAGAAGACGATTTTGTAGCTGTTCAGGGAAGGACAGAATAACAATATATTTCCGTGGGACTACCATATCAATATTTGCCTGGTGGGTATACTCCCCGAGCTGGAAGTCTATTCGTAGTACTTTGCGATGTCGGATCAAAGTTGAGGAGTTTTCAGACCGTCCATCTGTGTAAGCGCGCATTATGGGGCGCGTAATTGGGGTTGAGCACGAGCCTAAGGTTCCATCCATCGGATTTTCTCTTGATGCTCACAGGCTGTAGTCATGGTCAATCGATCTTTGGAAAATGATTTCTCTGCTTGATGTACTCTACGTTGAATTATCTCTTCATTGGACATGACTTTAGGTAATCAGCAACCTTGAAGTCTGTCAAGCCCATCCAATCTCTTATTACGAAGCTCACCTAAGCTTCCCCCACAAAACAGGCGAGAGACGCAAGAATTAAAACTATTTGAAATTCAACGTCGTACTCTGAAGGGAATGTATTACATATACGAAAAGCAAAGTACACGTCAATACTGTAATAGTGCTTTTGCTCAATTCAGGAACAGTAGTTTCTTCCGAATTAGGAATGCAGAAAGCTACTCGTATTTCTGAAGCTGACAATTTGTTTGCATCTATTGGTTCCACAATCATCTAGAATAGTGCCTAGCGCTCAAAATAATAACAGCCATAGACGTCAGCTAGAAGGAAATCCTATGAAGATACTTACGAGGTAAGATGTAAGATATCCTCCCCCTGAAATCGTGTTGATGACAAGTCGTACAAATTCGTCGGTGTGCTGACGACTGGGTCCTCTCAAGCGGGCAAAGATCGACCAGAACAAATCCAAAGATGGCCAACGTTGCATTTTCTCGTACTCACAGCTACTTCAGCGTCAGCATAATTGCCATTTGTGGTTGTAGGGGAGCGCTGACAGAAGCTTAGCCAAAGCTTGTTATGCACTAAAACTCGCTTCTTAGTCAAGCGGTTTGTTTACTTTTGCCGAAACGGGTGAAAGCTCGAAACAGGGTCGGATTCTCTAAATTTCTCACTCAGCCGCAGGATTCAATCTTTTTGTGGGATTATACGAGATTTGGATTGTTTTTGAAGACCTATATAAATCGTAAGGAACTTTAATGTTAAACATACTGGATACAAGCAATCTATCCTCAAAAGTTTTGACACCTTCCCCCAAAGACCTACAGACTTGGTTGCATCACCATTGTCTGGCATCACACAAAATTTCACATTTAGACTTCTTGTTACCCTTCTTTAAGTAACATGCGCCCCACCACTATCCTGAGAGCCTTTTGGCTGTTTACCTCGGCAACACTTGGCCAGGACATCTCACATATAGCTGGTCGAGGAGCAAACGCAGGACTAGCTCTTCCCGGTCTCGAGGCACACTACAACGACAACGTAACCGAAACCCAACTTGACAGACTGTATCCAGGTCACAAAGACATCGCATTGACCAGTTTCTCATTCAAAAACGCCGGAATCTATCTCGTTGGATTCATCTACGTCCAAGGCGCCTCGGATGTGAAAGCCGCCATTGCAAGCTGTAGCAACGACGGTTCCAAGAGTGGCACGGCGTATTGTATCATCGACACCGGTGTGGCTTTTATTGGCCATGCGCTTGTAACTATGGCTGGTGGCTATGCAGGAACCACGATCACTCAAAGCCTCTCTCATGTTTCGAATTATGCTATAAATCTTCCCATCCCACCTACGTCAAAACGCTCACTTTCTAGACTTACGGCCAGGGCGGGGGACGGTACGGTCTGTCCGAGTCAGACGAAAGTGTGGAATACGCCAGGCAATATCGACTTCAATGAGGGCTGGGCCATAACTGGAACGACGACGCTGGGGTGCCCAGGTGTTGAGCCACCGTGGGATGCAAACTCTGTTGGGGTCGAATATGCTGCGGAACTTGGTGGCGTGGTAAGTTCTTTTTCCCCTTTCGGCTCCAGATATAGAATGCGGATTTCCGAAGCTTTTGGAAGCTGAGTTCTTGTCTTACTCCTCGAACCCTGCTGACTTTTCAATAGCTCTTAGATTACATGGGACAATCCGGTGGATCACACGTGCAATTCACCATATATGACAGCTCCAATGACAAAGTCTGGATACGCACAAACTTGGTTGTCATCAACGGAGGTAACCTATGCTCCGCTGTTGTCACTGGGACAGGGTGCAACTATTGAAGGCCATGTCGGGTCGAACGCTTTGGGGGCAGCGTCGCTTATGATACTACTGATCCATCAATTTCTTCTTGTCATTTAAATGCCGAACACCTAGCTGGTATCACTGTCATTACAAAATTATTGTAGAACGACAGATTGCAGCTCCTGTCTTCTAATTTCCTCATAGAATATATTTTTTTACGATTTGGAAAACCTCTCAGACATATTCTTCCTCCATGATTCAGTTTATCGAAGAAAACAGCCGTACCGCAAAGCCTGCGCAGTAAAGCGCAAGAATTGTATCTGTGTCACAGATGGTTGGCTTCTATTTATCCTCTCGATTTCATGATAACTAAACTGCCCGTGAAGTGAAATCATCCATGGGTTAGTAAAATGAGAACAGAAGTAAACACCGACCTCGCTTAGCACAGCGCCTGACTCGCGCGACAAACCTGGAATGGTCGGGTACAGCGACCTTCTCAATTACCCAGCAATCCCTCGTACACTTCATTTCACTCAGCTATCCACCAACCCACCATCAACTCTATACAAACTCCCCGTAACGAACGAAGCATCTTCACTGGCCAGGAACAGAAATACCTTCGCTACTTCCTCCGGTGTACCGAATCTCTCTACTCATCAAACAAGTCAGTACTTTTACATCTCCACCAAATCTGTCACATCCCCTCCACAAAACATCTTATTGCATCTCACAGTCCCGACAAGACGCAACGAAAAGAGTTGAAGACCAGTTACCAAAAAAAAAATAAGAAGAAATCACTCACCTAACGCACCCTCCCTCCCCACCCTCCCAGAATCCAACCCCGCCCCCCTCAAAAGCGGCGTGTCCACCATCCCCGGACAAACAGCATTAACCCTAATTCCAAACTTGCCCAATTCCTGAGCTGCGGCGATAGTCAGTCCTCGGACGGCGAATTTCGACATGGTGTAGGTTGAGACGCCGGGGCGAGAGCGTAGGCCGGAGGTGGAGCAGGTGAGGAGGATGGTGCCGATGGTGGGATTTGAGTTGGAGGTTGTAGTTGGAGGTGAGGGTAGCGGATGTGTTTCGAGATTGTGGTTCTGCTCGTTGATCTCAATCATCTTCCGGGCAGAGAGTTGAATGCCAATGAATGCTATGCACCATCAATCATAAACCAAGTCTCACCATTCATCCCACACCCCCATCAGTAGATCCCACTGTTATACATAGAGCCAATCTGCAGTATGAGAAAGAGAAAAACTCACGACCAAAAGCATTAACCTTCATAACCCTCTCCCACTCCTCCCCACTCACCTCCAGAATCCCCTTCACCCTCGGCAAAACCCCCGCATTCAAAACAACTATATCCAGTCCTCCAAACACCTCTACACATTCGTCAATTGCGTCTTTCAAACATGCACTGTCAGCTGCGTCGCCTTGCTTGAAGAGAAATTTAGAACTTGTATGGAAACTGTTCTGAGCGTCGGAGCGCGGTGGTGAATTGGAAATAGATTGCGCAGAGGGAGGAGGTGAAATAAATTGAGGAGGGGAAGTAGATGGAGACGGAGGAGGGAAGAGAGACGCCAAGTGCGCGCCAGCAGTAGCGATATTTTCAGCAGAAGAATCGAGGATGAACACATTGGAGCCATGGGAGAGGAAAATGGAGGCGATTGCGAGGCCGATGCCTGAGGCGCCGCCGGTTAAGAAGGTCGTTTTGTTGGGGAGGCGGGACATGGTTTACTCCTTTTATTATTTTGTCCGTTTGATAGGGTGAGATGAGGGAAGTGAGAGGTGGTGGAATGAGAAATTGAGGAGTTGGGATGGAGCGGAGTAAGGTCAGTGATTGTTGTTTTGAGTGCTGCTATCCTGAGGTGGGAGGGGGATGCGATAGTGTTGCATGATGGTTCGGGTGGCACAAAGTGCGGAGAAGGGAACTGTAGAACGTTAAGATCTCGGTGGTTCGTGCATTATTTTTTGGGCAGCTGAATGAGATTCTGAGGTGGTTTTAATATCGCTCCAAGTATTTGAAAGGACAGCTGCACCTGCAGTACGGTCGCAAAGCTGAATGCAAAATTGATCTCATCTACTAGGCAGGCACTACATCATCACATCTGAAATCAGAACTAGTCATCGCGGACAATCATAGAATTGAGCACGAGTGATCTCACTTGGCTCCAAAAGTAGATAGTGAGTAAGCCTCACGCTAATACAATACTTTCATCTCCCCCATCTGTATGGCAGGCACGGCATCAGATTGCCAGCCCAGAAAATCCAGCGGCCTCATCCATCGCACACAAAGTGTCAAAAGTAGCAGATCGATCGTGTTAGGTAGGCAGGTATTGTTGGTATGGTATTGTATGAACGACACGAAAAGGACGCCGTGAAGAGAGTCAAGACGCCAGCCAGCCAGTCAAATCAGAGGGCCATGCAAAAGATGCAGTGATACAAAGAAGAATATTCGTCCCGGTTGGATCTCGTGGAAGTAGGCAGGCAAAGTCATTGATATGGGAATGATGTATTTGAGGATGATTAAAACAGACCAGGTGGTGGACCAGGAAAGCGAGACATGGTGCTATGACCAACGATAGGACTACCAATCTCCCCAGGGGCACCTAACGGTCGATGAGGTAGGACATCGTTCTCATATCGAATAGACTGAGTGTTCCCATCCTGGCGAATATCGAAGGACCCACCGCCGTTGACTGCATTGCCTTCGGTTTCGCAGATGTCAAGCAATTCCTTCTCGGAAACTGGCTGATCACCAGGCGGATTCAGAAGGTCAACTTTCTCTTTGATGAGATTGATGTCAAAGAAGTTGTCGGCGGTTGTGCCCTCTAAGCTTTTACACGCGCGGCAAATCATCAGTCGAACAGCAACAGAGCGAGGCTGTGATGGGCGCATTGGCTGGGCCCCACCCATCGCCCCAAAGGAATTGTTTGCAGAGCCCCAGCCACCACCAAGTCCTCCCATGTAGTTCGAACCAGGTAGAGACGATGGGCCGAATGGATTTGGGACGCCCCAGCCATTGTAACCATTCATCGGACCACCATATGCAGCAGGGTCGATACCGAAAGGCGTGACAAATGGCTGACGATTGATACCGCCAGGTGCCGCACTTGATCGTCTTGGTCCAGCACCTGAGCTGATCGGCTCATCGGAATCATCCAGTAGAGCACTGCTTCCCAGATGGTTACTCAGGTCATCCATATCGGTCTTCCCATTGTCACCATGACGCTGGCCATGAACAACACTACCTGGTCGACCAATAGGCGCAGGCCGAGCTATGGGTTGAGCTTGCGAACCTGGTGCCTCGTAGGTCCCGGATTGCTGTCTCGAATGAGATTGTGATGGCGGTCCCTCCTTCGGTGCACCAAAAGCTTGTCCGATACCTCCAAGGCCATTGGGCATCTGTTGTGGAAATCCAGGTGGTCCAAGAGGCAAAGGAAAGCCTCTGCCCTGCGGCATATGCATACCGAGTCCAGGATGGAGGGGCATCCCGTTGGGTCCAGGCATAGGTCTAAATTGGGGTTGGTGAGGGAACATGGGATCATGTTGCATGCGCCCAGCACCAAATCCAGGGGCCATCATTGGCATACCTGGTTGAAAGCCCATTCCCATTGGCGGCATGCCCCCAAATGGGTTTGGCTGTTGCATTCCAGGAGGACTCTTCAGAGCAGCGTGTATTGGCGAAGTTGCTTGAGGATGATGCAGGTACAGATTCTGAGCTGGATTCTTTCCAGGAGGTCCAATCGGCCCAGGACTGCCTTGCAAAGGCGTTGATGGAACTGGGGAAACGTTCTGACTCACGCTGCCGGTCTGTGGCGTTTGAGGCACCGAGGAATTAGAATCTTGCTGAGACGAAGTCGTTCGAAGCTTGATCGGGGTTGGGACTTTTGGAATCGCCGGCGTGGCAACTGGAATTTGGGGAGAAGCAACGGTATGAGGTTGCAAGTTCACAGGTATTGGTACTGGTGGTCGCTTCGCTTGAGTTGCAGCCAGAGCAGCTTGAGCAGCAGCAGCCTGCTGAGCAACGAGCTCCTCACGCTTTTGCTTCTCCTTTGCTTCTCTGTCAGACTTTGCCTTAGCCTCTTTCTCCCGCTTCTCATTTTCAAGCTTTTCTTTTCGTTCCTTCATCTCACGTTCCTTGGCTTCTCTAGCTTCCCTTTCTCTCACTTTCTGCTCTTCTTTTTCTCTGCGTTCCTTTTCCTTGGCTTCACGCTGTTTGCGATCCAGTTCAGCCTGTCTTTCGCGCTGTTCTTGGAGTCGCCGCTGTTTTTCGAGTTCTTTGCGTGTTCGCTCTTCCTCCTCAGCCTTCTTCGCAGCTTCTTTCTTCTTTCGCTTCTCTTCTGCTCTTAAGCGCTGCTCCTCGGCCTTCTTCTCCTCTGCCTCACGAAGGGCAGCTTCTTCAGCGGCTTTCTCAGCATCCCGCCTAGCTTTTTCTTCAGCAAGGGCTTGCTTCTTCTGGGCCATTTTCTCCTTTTTCTTCTGGGCGTCCTTGGCTTTCTTAGCTTTCTTCTGCTGATCAGCCCTACTCTCTTCCTCCAATTCCTCGAGGAGCTTTTGTTGTCGCTCTTTTGCGACCTTGTCTTTGTAAGCTGTCAGGACTCTCTGCTCAAACATCCGAGCTGCAAATATTTGGAACATCCGGCGTCCTTCCTCCATTCGCTGCTCTTCAGTCATGGTATCCTGCTCGCTGTTAGACTGACCACAATCCGGACATCCCTCACATACCATCTCCTCTTCGTCATAGTCCTCATCCTGGCTATCGTACTCGTCCTCTTCCTCATCTTCATCATCGTACTCATCCTCCTCTGGCGGAGGTGGGTGATTATGTGCATGATTATGAGGGTGCATAGCGCCGTTTGGTGGATGACCATAAGAAGGATTGGAAAATGCTTCCCGAGCGTCTTCCTCTCGTGCCATCCTACGTTCTGCAAGCTGCTCCATCATCTCTATGAACTTCTTCCCGTCGTTTTTTAGCAGATCATCCGCTACTGTCAAAATTCCCCCCTGAACTGTGAGACTATTACCAAAATTGAAGAAGTCGGTCGCGTGGCTGCGCGGAAGTTCTTCCGGTTCCTCATCGCTGTAATCGTCTTCATCTACATCATCGTCACTGTACTCCTCATCTCCTTCTTCATCTTCTTCATCATCACCAATTTGTTCCACTATTCTACCACGTGACGGCTGCTGGCCACTAAAGGCTGGCGGTAGGCGATTTGGAGGTTGTAGGCCGCTCATGGCACCAAAACGTCGAGGCGGGGGCATCATTGGCGGTACACCATCTCCTTGGTGATTTGCGTACTGCTCGAGCTCTTCGTAATATGCATCATACAAAACCTCGAGCTCTTCTTCAATGGCCGTACGTTTGCGACCGCAAACAGTGCAACTACACGAGTGTCTCTGCTGTTCCTTCATCTTCTTCAGAACTGCATCCTTCTCGACCTTGACAAGCGACTTGCGCTCATCCTCTCCCAGAGATAACCAGAACTCCTTTATTCGTTCGCGCTCTTCCTGAGATGATGTATTCCATATCTTCTCCTTCGAGATACCAGGACCTCGTGGCATGTTTGTAGCTAACGGAGGCAAGGGAAGCGATACGTGATTATGAGATAGACCATTCATTCCGTGGTGCATATGAGTTGGGGGTTCCGGCTGAGAGCCTTTGGACTTCTTTTTCTTTTTTGATTTCTTTCCGGAGGGATTCGACGAAGGCATTGCGTATCCGTTCGTAGGGGATCCCTCTTGACCATATGAACCCGAGTACGCATCTCCGTCCTCATCACTGTAATATGGCTCACCCTCTGCTGGATCGAACTGACCATTCTCGTCGTATTGCTCGTCCAGAGCCTGGTCCCGAAAGCGCTCCTCCAAATCCTGCATCTGGCCTTGCAAGGTCCTCTGAGATCGTGCGCCATAAGTCTGAGGAGCTGTTGGCTGTTCGGCAGCAAGTTTCGCAGCTTGCTTCTGTCTTCGCTTTTGTTTCTTCCTATTCACAGCAGGTGCAGAACCATTCGTTGCCGGCGGAGAGTTTGGCATTTGGCCGTTTGTCTTGGTTGCAGATTGTGCCATGGCTGGGGAGGTCTCAGAGGAATCGGAAATGTTCGTCACTTTGGGGACAGTTATGAACTTGGAACCATCCTTGTTTGTGTACTTCGCAGTTGCTTTTGTGGAGGGAGACGGGGGAGATTGGGCAGTCTTTTGCCGTTGGTTCGCGGGCATTCCGATGAGAGGCAAGTTGCTTCTGGCTCATGAACGAGTGGCAGCTGTTCCCACCGCACGTATTAGACTCTGTGACAAGACTTCCTCCCACGAAGAACCAGGCCAGAGGTTCCAAAGGGATCCTAGAACTCACAGGAAGGGTGTAGTGGATATTTCAGGTATTGCCCCACCAAGATGTCTGTTCTTCCGGCGCAGTATCAGGGGGTCTGCGAGGGATGAGGGCACTTCGAGAGTCCGCCGAGCTCGGAATCGAGGGTGTTTTTGTCGTGGAATGGCGAGATAATCGTGAAGTCGGAGGGCGACGTCGAAGTCCAGGCGTGGATGTGGATGTATTGGGATCACAACTCTCAGATGAAGTTGCTTGTTCGTCAACATGAATGTGTGCCTCAGGCCTCCAAGATCAAACCTGGTGAACTCCCTCGAGACTCCCACGTCAGGTCAGGCACAACATCACTACGAGTAGCGCGCCAGATTTCTTGGCATCTAAAGTAGTGCAAATCCCAGCGCACTACTCGTATACTGTAAGTACTACTGCACTGCGAGACTTAGTACTGCGCTGCTCTCGCTCTCAACAGCGATGTGCACTGGACTGACTGAGCTGTGCTGCGCTGCGCTGCGCTGCAGGTCAACTAGCGAGCAATACCTAGGTAAATTACAGGGTCGGTGATTATTCACTCGGCCGTGACGCGAATCCTGTTCTTCCCTCGGTTTTCCTCACTAATAGGTAAATCACAAGTCAAGTTTATGAATACTCGTAGCCTCGTTTTATTACCGTGACTCTGATCCTCTGGTCCTCTTCTTCACGGCTTCAATACCCTGACTAACTTTCTCGCCCTCACCCGCATCATCTCTCCTCCGCATCACGAGCCCAGTGCAGCGATCGTCAGCGCCGCCGTCTAACCACAAGAGGAGCTTCAGTGCACGGCCACCGGGCTCAGCCCAGCGGGCGGGTTTCCAAGTTAAGCCGCCGCAGCGCAGCGCAGCGCTGCTCTTCTTCAAGAATAAATAAATAAATAGTCGCCCTGCCCTGCCCTGCAACGCAAAGGGGATATACTTCTGATCCATTCCCCACGGCCTAATACACGAGAGTGAAGCACATCATCACCAATCCGCCCGATCACTCATCTCGTGCGGTGGACGACTGCCTCCCTCCTTGTATCAGCTTATCCGACTAGGTTTGCCTACAAACTTCCCAGGCTCGTATCGACGACTGTCTCCTGGTGGATAACCGCCCAACTCGTGCAAAGAGGAATTGAGCCCCTTGACACTTCTCCTTGCCTTCGCTGGTACAGGTCCTTCGAGTTCTCCGTCTCCCAACACCTCCTACTCTTCGAAACGCATCATACGATCCCATCGACGCCATGGCTCAACAACAGTCAAATGTTATGCGGAGGTACGTGGACAAATCTTTCATAAGGGGGAATTGCTTGGGAAGTGTCTGGTACACCTGCGAATATATAAGCCCCGGAGATGTCGATCAATTCTGAGATTGCCTCTGGGTTGAGGCACATGAAGATCGATTGAGGGGATCCTTGGCTACATGCGGGCATTGAAACATTCCGCGTCGTCGGCAATTAAGATGGAGGACTTGTGACATTCCTCGAGCTCTGCTGACAGGTAAACCAACAGGAAACTCGTCATCATTGGTGACGGCGCTTGTGGAAAGACCTCACTCCTCAGTGTATTCACTCTTGGCTATTTCCCAACAGTAAGTTACCACTTTGAACGTACAAGAAGCCTGCTAACGTGTAACTCTAGCATTATGTGAGTCGGATATGCAAGCCAGGACGATATTCCCGGGTACTAATTCTTTCTAGGTTCCCACGGTCTTCGAGAACTACGTGACGGATTGTAGGGTGGATGGAAAGAGTGTGCAATTGGCCCTATGGGATACGGCAGGACAAGAAGACTACGAAAGATTACGGCCTCTGGCATATTCAAAAGCCCACGTCATCCTAATTGGCTTCTCAATCGACACACCGGACTCCCTGGACAACGTCAAGCACAAGGTAGGTTTTGCTCAAGGCACTTTTGAGTAGTTCTAATGCCATACCAGTGGGTTGAGGAAGCGAACGAACGATGTCCCGGTGTCCCAATCATATTAGTCGGACTGAAGAAGGATTTGAGAGAAGACCCAGTCGCCATTGAAGAGATGCGGAAAAGATCACAACACTTCGTCACCACCCGAGACGCTACAGAAATTGCACACGACATTGGAGCCCGCAAATACCTGGAATGTTCGTCATTGACAGGAGAAGGAGTGGATGATGTATTCGAAGCCGCCACAAGAGCAGCTCTACTTACATTCGAGAAAGGGGAGGGCGGCGGATGCTGTGTCATTCTATGAACGGGATTCCCAAACCGGGCGAGATGAGAGATACCTACGGCGGCCAGAGACACAACACCCACAGGAGCGGCCAACCATACTTCGAACGTACAATTTTTTCTAATGGACGAACATAATCCGACTTCTCTTCCAAAAACAAAACACAGGTGGCTGGATCTCAAGGATGTCTAGATTCTCACCAAACTCACCACCCAACTAACTGACTGACTATTTTATCTACCTGCACAACTTCGACTGCGAGAGACTGACTCGGGAGGCATCTTCTGCGGCCCAAATTCCACTGGCTACTGCACTGCACATACCAAAAGTTTTTTCTTTTCCTGCAGCCGGATAATCCGTCGAAATAGAGCGCGAATTGGGAGCCCCCCTTCAAATTTGCTTACTGTGTTATATTTGGTTCCACGAAAAGAGGGTTTAATTTTTGCAAGCATGCGAGAGATTTTGACTGGGATACACAATACATGCCATGCATACGTACATGCCTGCAGAATATGCCAGATAGAAGAAACTTTAATGACTGATCACGTCTGTTGGTGGTCTTTGCACTCCTTATTCGAGCTGAGTTGGTTGTTTTGATTTGTTGCATCCTCAGTTAGGGAGATCTCAGTGTGGAAATCTGGGATGGGATGGGATAGGATGGAGTGGATGGGGATCTTGACTTTGCGGCATGGCTTGCGATGAATAGGGTTGAGTTGGTTTTGCTCTGGTTGAATGGTTGGTTGGTTGGTTGGTAGGTTCGTCGGTCTAAATGGCCTTTGTACATAATATATACAGCAAGCAAGCATGATGAACATGAGCCTGGTTCACTCTCCCTCATCCCCTCCTTTTCCCACAGTTTAGTTGTACACAACCCGTCCGTCCCTCTCCCCTAAATTGGTACAAATCTAACCTCCGCCATCTCACTATATCCCTACACAAAGTCCCCATTCTCGAATCTTTGTCCTCTCCAAATGAACACCACATCTCCCTCCCCACTCTCTACCTCGTCCACCCATGATTCCAAGCCTCCTTCCCCGGCGTATCCGTCTGAAACCTCGCATACTCAATCGGCACCCCTCCCTTCCCAAAGATCCCCTTCTTCTCCATCGCGATCCGGTATAACCTACCCGAGTCTTTAGATCCAGGCGGGTCCATAGTCCGCAGTTCTTCGCAGGCAGAGTGGATAGATTGATACATCCTGTTTGGAGAAAAGAGGAAGAGAGTGTTAGTGAAAGAATTTCTTTGATTGAGTTGAGGTGAGTTTGCAGGTGGTGTCTTCTTTTCATTTCGGTGCTTTCATTGTCTTCTGGAACGGGCTTCCACGTTTACCAGGACGTGGAAGTCAAGTTAAGAAAAGGAAAATATAACAAAGGGTGAAGAAAGTCTTACCTCATCAACTCCCTCTGCTCCCTCTCCCTCTTATTCCGCCTCTCAATCATCCACGCCCGATGAATCGTCCAATGCCTCAGCGCGCGCATCCGACTCAACTTCAGCGGCCGCGGCGTCTCAGGATGCTGCATGTGGTATCTGATGAGCGTTATCCGTGGGTCCGTCTTGTTCTTCTTGTCGTCTTTGCGGGCGAGGAGATCCGGTGTGCTGGAAAATGCTCGTGTGCTGGTAGTGGAGGAAGAGGAGGGTGTGAGATGGGTGCATTTGCTGGAGAGGGTGAGAGAGCGGAGGGCGGAGAGGAGGGTCGGTTGGGGGTGGATGTGGAGGAGGGACGACATCTTGGGGTGTGCTTTTCGAGTCGTCCTGGTGGGGTTCGTGGTGGGTGGGTGGTGTTGTTGAATTGTATGGAGCTTGATGAGGGAGGGAAGCTCTGGACAATTTTGCGGGAGGTTTCTATGTCACGTGCTGTAGTATGCCGACCCTGGTCTGGGTGGATCATAAGGTGGATCTATCTGCTCACTTCAAGCTTCATCCCAATCCCGTCTCTCGCTGACTTCCGCTCAACTCAATCAGTCTCACTAAGGACATTTATTGGTGATTCGCCCGAGTTTGGTCTTACGTGTGTACGGGACGCTTACCTAAATTGTTCTGCATTACTGAGAGTTGCTTATCTTCCAAGACAGCTAGATCTCTCGTTCTTCTCTAATTATTCTCCGTCAATCTTCTTCAGAGCCTGAGTTTTCAATCTCAATCGAAACTCTCATCTGTTTGTATATTTGGGAGACTTTGAGTAGGATACTTGCTCAGTATGTCGGGTCCAAGAAAGGGACTCGTTCATCAATATGTCAGTCATTTCTTTTCAGTTTTCCATTGTTATTTGTTATATTCAGCTTACACTTTTCTTACTTTATTGATATTACATTAACTGAGAAGCATAAAACTATCATCTTTCACAATATTTTTATTCCCTTTGATTCTATCAATCTGCCCTTCATCGCTCGGTAACTGACCGAAAGCAGACATCCCGCCTCACAGCTTTCGAGCACACCCCCACCACACCTCCATTACCACCCCAAAATATCCTCGTCTTCATTGGCGGTCTCTTCGATGGCCTTCTCACAGTGCCCTATACGACTCCGCTCGCAGCCTCCCTCCCACCAAGCTGGACTCTAGCTCAAGTCCACCTCTCATCCTCGTACACTGGCTGGGGAACATCCAACCTGCAGAAAGACGTGGCCGAACTCTCCAGATGCGTCAAGTATTTTCGGGGCATCAAGACCGGGAAAATAGTCCTCATAGGTCACTCCACCGGCTGTCAAGATATCATCGAGTACCTAACCGGCTCTGGACACGCCTCTCGCGCAAAAATCGACGGCGGGATCCTCCAAGGCCCAGTAAGTGATCGTCAAGCCATCGAAAGCGGACTCGATCCTGCTCTCTACTCAGGGAGTTGTGCCGCAGCTAAAGCCATGGTTGAAGCTGGTGACGGAGATGAGATCCTGCCTTCTAAAACTATGAAGAGTTTCTTTGGGCCGGCGCCTGTGTCTGCTGAAAGATGGTTGTCGCTAGCGAGTCCGGATCATGATGGCGATGATGATTTCTTCAGCTCGGATTTGAATGACGAGCGGTTGATGAAGACTTTTGGGGCTCTACCGAGAGAGACACCTTTGTGTGTGCTGCATAGTGGGAGTGATGAGTACGTGGATCCGAAACTGGATAAGGAGGGACTCATTCGGAGGTGGATTGAGATTGCTAAGAAGGGAGAGGGAAGGATAGATGAGGCCAACTCCGGGATATTGGAGGGTGCGTTGCATAATTTGAAGGGAGCTTCGGAGGAGGTAATGGATGGGTTTGTGAAAAGGGTATTGGGTTTCCTGGAGAGCTTGGAAGGGGCACAGGCGAATCTGTAAGTTATTGCAGACACTCGACAGAAAACAGCTCATCGGTCAATTCACGCCTTAATTTGTCCTAGCTCTGAGATCTCAGCATACCTGAAGATAGGTATCTAGGTAAGTACAGACAGGTGAGTTCTTGAAGCATGTCACGTGGTGATGTTTACTCGCAGCAGTTCCCAATTGACCTTCATCATTGGGCATCAACGCAGCATAATCAAACTTACAGCCTCGTTAGCTGGTTCGCCTCATTCCTTTCTGCACGCAAAATCCGAATTCGGCAACTCTCAGACCGGGTTACGAAGTGCATGAAGCCATTGGTTGGGAACGTCCAGCCTTGCAGAGAACAATGCCGCAAATTTCCTAATGAAGTCACCGGATCGTGAAAGTCTCTGAGCTGGCGGTTTTGAGTGCGAGGATATATACCTCACTTCAGTCCGCGCTTAGAGTATAGAGTCAACTCTTGGACCTAGCCCGGTACCAGTAGCGAAAACTTGTATCAGAATCTCTACCACTGAACGGAAACGGCATGGACGATCCCAACTATTGGGAACAGCCAGCGGCTGAATGGCTCGATTTCTTCGGCGATCTTAACTTCGACATGGATTTCAGTGCCGGCCCATTTCTCGGTCTCGATTGCTCATCACCGATTCAATCCAATGCTTCTGCCCATTACAACGTTGAAGATAGCTTGAACACACTTTCAGGCACAGCCTCGCCAAAGAGCTCTCTTGAAAAAATGCAACTCCCACCAACTCTAACGTGCGAAGATGCCACCGCTATCAAAGCAAGTCGCCCCACGTCCCATAGCACGCCTCGGGATATTGGCACAAGAATTTCGCGTCAATCTCCTGAAGCGCCAGATTCGGACAAGCGGTCATCCTCTGCAGGTCTCAAGCGAAAGATAGATCAATCGGTGACTGTGTTCTCCTCAACGTCCAGCAAGGAGGTGACTCCTAGGAAGCGCAAAACCTTCTCGGCATCCCGAAAGAAGGAGGTTGCTTTGAACAGAAAGGTGGGGGTTTGCATTCAATGCAAGATTCGAAAGAACAGGGTGAGTGGAAACATGATTTATTTCCACTTGTCTGGAAGCTATGTTCAAGACGTTTTGGATGATGCGATCGGCAGGCTAATCTTACAGTGTACTTTCGGACTACCATGCGAGCCTTGCATCACGCGGGCGGGAGGTGCTGCTTTGGGCCATCAATTGTGCATGAGGCAAAGCCTCCTCTCAATTCGCTTCGATAATGTTGGTGGGTGTCTCTTTCTGTGAGAGCACCGAATGAGAATTAGCACTGACAGTGAATTCCCAGATCTCGTGAATCAAACAAGGATAGAGTCAGATACGAGGGAGATCCGGGCGCTCCATGACATTCCCTCAAGCAAACCCGCATACCTCTGGTTTCCAGGCAGCCCACTCGTCCCAGAAGCTTTCCTGAAGATTCACGTCATCGAATTCCAGTCCTCGGGATATCAACCGACTCGAGATGTCATTTTTCATGACTATTTCCACAGCTCTGCGTCATGTGTCCCGAATAGTCACCTAGCACTTGATCCCAGACGTCTCCCTTCCATTGAAGAAATTTTGAAGATCTTCACCCTATGTTGGGATGGTGTTCGGCTTGCTCCAGGCCCGTTCTCGGGTCTGCATAAGGCAGTCGAGAAGTTCGTGGAAAGTTACTGCAATCGAAGATCGGATATGCCCATGGTGGGTACCTTTCATTCCTGTGCTTTCTCCGGACTCGTGCTGACCAAATCCCACATAGAAGGACTTGCTAGCCAAAATCACACGCTTGTATCGTCTCTTCGGGCTGTATCGTATCATTCCGTACACTTGGTCAACCCCAGATTGCGTCGAAGGCGAACTTGCTTCTCCAGTCATATTGGCACAACTCAGATTGCTCGTATGTGGAGAGCTGAAGTCCGTTGAGATCCAAGTGTTCTCGGCTCTATATCGACTTATATATGACCAAGGAAATATTGGAAGGCAGAACTCATTGGCGGTTTGGGCGTGTCTGTGGGCACTACTGTTCACATACAAGCACCACATGGTATTCACCAGGTCTACGCTGCCCGAGTACGACATTAGTCCAATGATACGTAAGTTACACGCAATAATACCGTGCCATGGTGCGCTTCGATTGTGTGCTGATATTGATATCAGACGCTGCAAGATTCCAGCTGAACCAGCATCTGTACAACACCTTGACATCGACGTATGCGGCGCTGTACAACAGCACCTCCCCACTGACGCTGGACTGGCGTACCGAAGAGATAGCTTCGCTGCTAGATCGCGACCCCGAGTTGATCAAGCTTTTCTGCAACATAAAGACAGAGATGTTCTGGTTCTGTAAGTTGTTGTCTCCTTCCTCTTGACGTCACTTTCGCTAATAACACTAGATGCAATCAAAGATAGCCTGCTTGAAGAGGATACACTATTCAAGAGTCTGATTATCGAAAATGAGAGTAAACTGTTACGGGCACACATCAAGGCGGCGAAGAAGAAGGGTATCTTATAATGACCTTGCATTGATTTCAATTCATTAAAGTCTCAATGAAGCCATCTCCTCCAGTCATCTATTCCACTCTTGCAGATCTCGCAGTACTGATCTTTGACCGACCATCGTGTATCCATATGCCGAGTCTGTGTCAAATACCAGTGAGCCAAATAGCTCTAGAGATGAAAGCAGATCAGTTCTGCATCCACCGATATTGATCACAGAGCAAATTCCGCAGTGAACACAAAGCATGGCAAAACAGATTATCAACATAGTGTGAAGGCACAAGAACGGCTGCGAACGAAAGTCAACGACTTCAAGATTCATCCTCCAAACGCCGAAATTGAAACGCGTGAGTCGTGAATGCAATGATCTCTGTACATTAATCAGCATCATATCAATACAAAGCAGGGTGATCTCACTCACTTAAATTTCCCAACTTTCTCAAACACGTCTTCGTTTGGATGCTGAGCCCCTCGTGGCTGTCTGGCTCTTAAAGAGTGTATCAGAATCGCTCTCAGACACATCCTCAACAGTAGCAGCCATTGACTTGTATTTTGACTCCGTCGATCTTCCTTGCCCACCATTGACTTCTGGTACCTTCAAACTCTTGCCATCCTTTGAGAGTAATGCTTTCTTGGACAGAATTGTCTGTTTGAGTTCTCGGACAATATCTAAAACAGGCTGTCTGGCAAGGACGTTGGAGATGAGACTCAATTCGGTTTGTTTCTCGGCGAGGGACTCTTCAAGTCGTGTGATATCCTTCTTGATTCCCATGACAGGTCCATCAATCTCAACAGTTACTGTCGAATTGGCAGCATCGGACTTGCCACCCTTTGCGCCACCCTTCGCGCCGCCATTGCCCGTTTCACTGCTCTCTTCCTTCTTGTTGCTGTATCTGCCAGTTTCGACATCGCTCTCACCAGCCGCGTCGCTAAGTCTAGACATAAAGTTCTTCGTAGCTACCATCCTCTTCTTTGCTGGTGTATCCTTCCGAGTAGCGATACCCCTGCGGATCGGGATTTTCTTCTTGCCTCCTTCGCTATCGCTACCTTCGACGTTGGGGTTCTCCTTTGCCTCGGCAAACTCAGAATCTGATCCCTCGCTTGAAGAAATATGGATCGCATCGTAGTCTTTCAAACCACTGGGAGATACGGTGTAACTTGGCTTGCGCTTAAACAGGGTTCCGGCGCCGGCCTGTTTCAGTCGTCCGGTGAGGTTGGAGGCGCGAAAACCCGAAGATGACGTCGAGGTTGGAGTTTTCTTATTCTTATTATGATCCTTGGGCTTGGTTGGGGTGTGATATGGATCAGCAGAGTCGGAGTCGTAGGTGAATGGACGCTTATTACTGGAGGGTGGATTGAGTGGAGAAGGAGATGGCGATTTGAGATCGGCGAGACCTTTCATGGGGTATTTGCTTCCAGCGATTGTGACCATTTGGGCATGATGTCTTGTCAGAGATTGCTTCAGTTCAAATGGATCGATATTTCTCGTTGCTTTCAAGATAGAGGTGAAGGCTATCTCCTGGGTCTCAAGGAAGTCCTCCAGCTCGCGGAGATTCATGGTCTGAGTGTTGCCAGATATTAGCAGAGCCTGGACAGAGAGATGAAGGTAAAGGACTCAATTACTGGACCTACTGCGTTGCTGCAACTTGAAGTTGCGAGGTTCAAAGTAAGATGAAGTGGCTGTGACACGTTGTCAACTTGAGGTCGAGAGGAGAGGAAGGGTTGAGGTCGCAGCCCTAAAAGATAACAAGCGCAGAATTTAGTTGCTAGTCAATCAAGGCGCCAATATCTCCGAAAGTGAAGTCCAATATGCTTTCCTAGATCATAAAATTGCTGCCTGATCTCTTCTGTGCAATTCATGCTGTGTTGTTGCAGGGATCGTGGTGGTCAACAAGCTCGCTTAATTCCACAATAGTCTAACCCGGATCTCAACCTCACCAAAGTCCATTTCCGTCTTTGGACCCGAGCAGTCGAAAATTTCTCTGTTATCTTAGACTAGTATTCTCATATTCCCAGTCTCAATCTCGCCTCTTGAGCTTGTCTCAATTACTGAAATAGCTTCGGTTTTTTTTTAAGTCTTGATGTGTAGAAGCTGGGAATTCAAACAATGGTTACTGGGTGATTCGATAAGGGCGGATATTTGTACCGCGTATATTGGAAAAGTGGTTGAAGTAAGACTAGGCTAGGAGACTGATAACGCTAGTAAGGACTTTTGATGATCAATGTACGTGGAGCTCTCTTCATTCTAACTGTGATATCTCATGCTGATGCATAGATTACACCACCAACCCCTATATTAAGTAGTCTACAGATACCATTCATTTGGAGTCCGACATTCTGGTGCTGGAAATGCTGTCTTCCCAGTGAGAACTTTGGTTGGAATGCCAGCGTAGGTCAGAAACTCCTCCGCCATCTTCATGAGCATATGTTCTGATCCTGGAAGCTGTCAGTACTCTTCCTGGTACTCTATACGATTGAAAAAGAGTAGTACCTGGAGCTCCAATGAATGAAGCAGCCACTGGGGCGTACTCCTTCCGCTTCGAGATATCAGAGAGATATTCGCACTGCCCGACTAAATGATTTTCAATTAGAACATGGGTTTTCTCTTTTAAAACAGCGAGAAATAGAATTCTCACTGCACATAACCAACTCTGGAACTCCGGCGAAGCTAGTGCTAAACTCTTGCAAAAAGCCGTAGTCCCTACCTATATTCGGTGCTCTGCTACACATTAGCTTCTGGATGGCATGCTGCTGGTGTGGATTCCGTACTCTTTCAAAGTATCGCGGTAGTTTGGCCCCATCCAGCTCCAGCGATCGACCATGATCGCATTTGAGAATCGGTCGTCTTCGGGATGTAAAAACGTCTTACAGAACCAATCTTTGTAAACCCTTGCCTGCTCGTGTGCTTCGTCAACTTCTCCTTTGGTTATGGTAGTCACGTATGGCCTGAATTAAACGTTAGTACTCGTTTCAGTCTTCAATGTCATGATCTGCCGTACCATCTGTTTTTCAGAGTCGGTGGAATATGGGGCATGTCCATTCTTCTCTGCAAAATTCTTGCTCTATTTGAAATGGAAGTCTAAAGTAGCAGGCCCGTGGATCCGTTCGTAAGTCTGGACACTATGAGCACAAATTCTTCAATGGGGTTGGAAATATTACCCTTAAGAATTCTTCTTCGAATGTTTTGCCTGTTTTCATGGGATCATCATTGGTCCAGCCCTCTTTCACATTGACATTGATCCGTTTCAACTCCATGAAGGCCTCTAGGTTCACAACAAATGAATCGAAGATGGCTTTCGCAGGATGGTCTGTGGAGGAATCCGACCAGTCTGGATTGTAAAAGAATTTCGTTGGGAACTGTGATATCGAGTAAGCCGATTATTTCAATTGTAATTCTCTTCGAACCTACCTTTCGTGTTGTCGGCTTCCTCTTTGTGTCCATACCAGACGCCTGAGACTAGTTGCATTGTCTTGATATCTCTAGCCAGAAGGCCTTCTGTATCGAATTCCCTTCCAAGATTCATCAGCTTTCATCTATTTGTTCGGAGGTATGAATACTGACTTCACAAGTGGAGTAACATTCTCCATGGAAGCCATTCCATACGTTAGACGAAGTCCAAAGAGCCCTTGTGCTCCTGCAGGCATTCGTAGTCTAGCGCTTGCTGTAGTTCTCAGTTAGAATTCCGAGAGATGGAATACAATAACCCGCTGTCAGTTCCGATGCTAAAGTCGAGCCATTCCTCACCTGCCAAAGCAGCGGCGCTCCCGGTACTGCTACCTTCCGGAACAAGATAACCACAGGCTCTAGGATTGAAGGTAAGATGATAATTGATCCAGTCCGACGAATGATATTCGCGATCTGCAAATGCAGTGCATTTTGTTTTCCCAACTATGACAGCACCTAGGTCCATGAGCTTCTGCACCGCCGGCGGAATTTCGGAGGCTGGGGAGTGGAATTTCAGCCAGTCTTTCACCCTGTTACTTGTGTGAATCCCTTCGATGTTCAATATGTCTTTGACAGCGACTCGGAGCCCGTTGAGGGGTTTGGCTTCGCTGGGCATGAAGTAGAGACGTGATGGCACTGCAATCGCGAGGGCCGGTGGAAAAATCCCCGAGAGCTCAAGTCGTGAGTAGCTGGAACAGTTAGAGTTCAGTATCCATTTGGCTTGTGCTGAAATGCCTCTATCATGGAATTACCTCTTTCTCTCCCCACGGTTGAGCTTTGTAGCCACAAAGATGGAGTCGATAGTATCAGGATAGAGCCTCCATGCTTCAAAAATGCTGCCATTGAGAATGAAGTATGGGCCCTCTGGCAGGACTTCGGGGACTTCAAGACGGAAAAGCTCCCCTTTGTCCTGCAACATCGATACGGCTGAGGAATCAAGGCCTCCGTTTAGCGACGCATGTTGCTGTACAATGATGGTTGACGAAAATTCTTTCGTGTACACATCGTCAGAGGATTCGAACTGGGCCAAATTTGCTGCAACATCAGAGGCATTCAGTGACCCCGTGCTTCTGAATGTCAGGACTGTCGCTGGTCTCGGAACCAGTCCGCTGTGTGGAGTGTCTATCTTTGCCTTGATGCGGTCAGCCAATACGAGTCCTCACAAAAGCGTTGAATTTGATGACCTACTCGGGCTTCAGGTCGCAGATAGTAGAAACTATCCCCAAGTGGAACTGCCATCCCTTGGATTGGTGCTAGATTGAGTGCTTCGGACTTGAAAACAGTCTGAATCCCAGGAGCGAAGGTCATTCTGGAGCCAAATATGATACCCTGAGCGATCCAAGCAAAAGCTTTCTGCATCTGGTGGAGGGGGATGTGGACAGCTCAATGACTGTCGAAGTGATGGGCAGCTTGGACTGTTTTGCGGGGTGTTGAGTAGCCAGCGATTTGACAATTGGAGCATGAAAACGCTCCGCGGCTGGACATAACTTTATATCGAACCATCAATTCACTCGACACCTGTAAGGCTCGTGACGTAAGGTCAGAACTATCCACGAAACTTGGTGTACAGGGTTTAGTGGTAGGGACTCTTGAGGGGAGTGGCGATGAGCCAAGACACTACAAGTTTTGTAACTTTCGCTAAGTTATGCCCCAAGTAGACAGTGCTACGATATTTCAACTACGACGACTGAATTGCAAAGGGCCCGCCCTCTCGTAGTCAGAAGCAAGAAAAACAGAGAGCAGTAAGCCTCAGGCAGACCCCCCATTCACTCTCAATGTCTGCCAAGCAACCCAAGCACTCTGCTCACTGCACAGAAATAATATCGCGTCGGCCGTCTCTTCCGGCGTCCCAATCCTCCCATACGGACTAAACCGCTCAATGGCCTTGATCACTGGTTCCGGCTTGCCTTTAAAAAATGCTTCTGTAGCTGTGGGACCGGGTGCGATTGCGTTGACAGCAATACTGCGGCGGCCCAAATCTTTAGCCATCAGCCGCGCCATCTGCTCGATTGCACCTTTGGTGCTACAGTAGAGAAGCTTGTCGGCGGGAACTTGGGAGGTGGTACAGAGGGAGGAGGAGAGGAGAACAATGTGCGAGCCGGGTGAGAGGTAAGGTGCTGCTTTCTAAGGTTTTGTTAGAACATTCCAGGTCGTGGATAGAACACCTACCTGGACGAGGAAGAATGATCCCTTCACGTTCATTGAGAATGCAGCGTCAAAGTCTGCCTCGGTAGTTTGTAGAAGCTCCTACTGGGCCACTTTGTCAGTTTTGCCATTCACAATCTCACCCAAGAATTTCGGTTTTTGACATACAATTGCAGGTGAACATCCCGCATTGGCGACAATGATGTCTATTCGACCAAAATTCTCCATAACCGTCTTAATCAATTCATCAATATCATCCAAGCTCCCCGCATCAAATCGAAGACTCAAACTGTTGTCTTGACCTAGTTCCTCCACTAGGTTCGTGCTCGCCTCGTGATTCGTGTTGTAGGTAAATACCACGGTAGCACCTTCTTTCACCAAGGCAACGGTTGTAGCACGCCCGATGCCTTTGGAGCCACCTGTTACGATGGCTATTTTGCCGACCAAGTCTGGCATGATGGGCTTCGAAAAGATTTGTTGGGCGATTCCAAAGATGGGGCGAAATGACTACAGCGTGCAATAGTGTGAACTTCAAACCCGGGAACTCGAGACCTTGAAATGTTGCGAAGCCAGTCAAATTAATTCGAGTCTGGCATTTTTGACAATGGTCACCGGCACCCGAAGTCCGTTTAATATTTGGAGAACGTGCTTACTCGGAGCCGACGCCCGGAATGCTGTTGTGAAAAAATTGCTGTATATCTCAGAAAGTCATTTGGCGTCTGACATTTAAGCGAGGCATAAATGAATGTCAATAAATCTCCATTTAGGAGCTGAATACCGACTATGGATCAAGAACAATACAGCTTAAACAGCTTGAGTACACTACACGATTAAACTTGAGCATAACACCAATTTTCAGAGCAAGCCTACAAGCCTGAGTCAATCTGATCCACAACATGATCCACTGTCCAAGAGGCCCAATCTCGACACGTCTGCGCCATGATACCTGGAATTTGCATTTCCTTTTCAATATCATCAGGTCGCTCAAGAATTACCATTACGAAACCATCAGAAACATGCCACGCAATGTGACAATGAAACGGCCATACACCCGGATTATCCATATCGAACTGCACAACCACATAACTCGGGTCTCCCTGATAGTCCGACTCTTTCGCCGTCCCAGCATTAGCAACTGCTTTTTGTACATTTGGCGTGTCCCTACGCATGGGGTTGGATGGGTTGATAACAGTGCTATTGTCGGTCCAGTTCCCGACACCCGAGTCTAGAATATAGAAGTTGTGTCCGTGGATGTGCATGGGGTGAGAGGCCAATGCCATGTGGTTGTAAACGACCATGCGAACGCTGGTGTTAGAGCCAAAGTTATACACATTCTCTACTTCGGGGAAAGACAGATTCCCAAGTTTTGCTCGAAGGAGATCGGGATCGTTATAGTCATCGAGGTACGAGATATTGTTCATGTACCACACGTTGTGGGTGCCATTGTTCCATAGGACACAGTGCACTTCAATCGTCACTGAGGGTTCCGGGACGGGCATAGCAAATTCGGGCACAGATAAGCTTATGTCATCGTTGTCGCAGAACATGAGTTGCTCGCCTGTTGTGCTCGAATTGGTGAGAGGAAGCGTCGTGGTTGACGCTCCTTCGTAGTAGACGGCTGCTAGACCCGTGAGGTTGTCGAGCCCGACGTCAGAGCAGAATGGGGTTGTCTCGGATCTCATCCAGTAACTTTCACTTGCTTTGCCAGTGGCTTCTACGACGACGTCTGTGCGCTGGCCAACGACTAGTGTGACAACATTGGTCGCGTAAGGAACGATGGGAACAAAATCGACGGCGATGACTGTCAGTGTATGACCGTCGATGCTGAATTTCTGGATGGGCTCGGATCCACTGTTGATGAGTCGCAGTCTGTGTTTCTTTCCTGACTCAAAGCGGAATTTGGACACGCCAGCATCGGGTGTACAAGTCAAGTTGGTGAGGCTACAGTCATAGTTCATCTTTCCGTTGATCAAAATGCTCTCCGCAGAGAAGAAGCCTGCAGATCCGAACCCATTCGGCAACATCGTGATTTCGACCATTGCCCAATAATCCAGATGAAACCAGTCGCTCAGCATTACTGGCCCCAAGTCGATGTCATAGTCGTAGTTTGTCGGTACGTAGATGATCATGGGACCTTGAGCAGCGGCGACGTACTGTGCACTGTAGTGAGAATGCCACCAAGATGTGCCGTAAGAATCGGCTCGGAATCGGTAGGTGAATGTCGAGTTTGGGGCGATGGGGCATTGTGTAACCCCAGGCACGCCATCCATCCACGGAGTTTCTCTCTGGAGAAGACCATGCCTTACTCATGTCAGTGATGGAAAACAGCGGAGATTATTGATAGAGTACCAGTGCAGCGAAGTTCCCTCGCAGCAGAGATTATTTGTGATTTCCACTTCGATCCAGTCCCCCCAATTGGCCTCCAGGAGCGGCCCGGGATATGCTCCATTAATCGACAGAGTGTTGTTCATCACAACTCCGTCAGGGGCAACCGTTCCTACTGAAATCTCCCATTTATGAGGTCGAGTAAAACCTACAAGAAACATCAGCCGGGAAAATCCATGAGGCCCAGGGATTTACAAACCTGTGTCTGGGAAGTCTGACGGGTTGGTGTTCCACACTGTACGGTCTCTCCATGGAGAGCCCCCTTTTAACATTGGTCCAGGAAGAAATTTGGGAAGCGTAGGTGCTCCCAAAGTTCCAAGCTCGGTGGCTCCTATGTTTTGTTAAGCATGAAACAGATCTCTCAGATGGGTGACGAACCATTGGTGACAGATTGTGGCAAGGCATTAATCAGGAAAGCAGTGCCGTTGGCTAATGAATCGAAGCGCATATTGAGTAAAGACCAGTAATTGATTAAATCTTGGCGTGGTTGACGTGAAGCTGGCTGCAGTCGAAAATAATTTATAAGCTGAAGACAGATGAATGTACCTGGTCCACAAGCTTTCCACCAACGTAGTGGCGCAGGTACTTCACAGAGCCACACCAAAATCTACTGCCCAATGAGTCCCTTGAATTTATGGCACTGACATGCATTCATCTTTCTGGTAGTTGGATGGGCCTCCGGAATTCGGCTGCCGACTTCAGCTCAGAAAGGTGACGAGGGAGATAGGCGAGATTAAGCGAGACACAGGGTCATTTGCGCAGGGGTTGATAGCTGGAATCAAGCTGCCACCAAGAAACAAGTCAAAGTTCGGGCCAGATATGAAGTTATCGACGGATATCATTTAATACCGAAAAGAAAGAGATATGGACAATTCGGAGTTCAAAGCGAGAGCTGGATGTTTAAATATACGCCCGTTGAATAAGCATGAACCTCGAAGTAAACAATAGACGGATATGAAACAATAAATATTAGATCCAGCGGATAGGGATATAAGTGGCTCCATCATCATGTATTTCCCGGTCATTTTGAACAGTTCAATCGCATATTTTGCAAGAGAGAGTGTAAAGGATGATTATTCGATATTTAAGGTCACCAGCCCGATACCTTTATATTGTTTGACATCACATATCTAACTCAATGACATACCGACCAGGTGGTAGGTTCTCTTTAACATAGAAGACAGTACTGCAAGTCAAGACCCTTCTCTACAACTTGAACATCCATTCCAGCTTAACACCGATGACTAGGGATGCTACATCAAAGGGCAAGCCATGCCAAGACCATGCCACCAAGAGGAAGAAGCATCCTCCCATAATTCAAAGCAGCCCATCGGGCACATAGCATCCGGGTCTCTTCGATTGAATTCATATCGTCTCTCGTATTTTGGATGTTTTTTTCAGTCGACTTCTTCGCGAGAGTAGCTCCCTTAGCCATCAATTTCTTATTCGTAGGCGAGACGAAAAGGATTGTATACGGGACAACACTGAGGTTCAGGAGAGCTGCCGTGAGGAGGTATGATGTTGAACGGCTGTCAACTTGGGAAGACAACATTGCAGATGCAAGACAGGCGAGTCCTGAGGGGACGGCCAGAGGAGGAGAGAGACGGAAGCCGCGAAAGTAGACAGTGCGCCAGAGGTCGATCAAGTGAGTTTCTGGGAGGTCGACGCTGAGGAGGGCTGGAATGCTGATATAAGATAGCGAAAGTAGGACCCCTTAAAGTTGTTAGGCGATGAAAAGAATAATGTCTTGGGAACACAGAGAAACTTGTTAAATGAAATGGAAGGGGGTCTTAAATCTCATTCTTACCAGTCAACGTAGAACTGGCCGTGATGCTGGCCATGAGCAGAGCGGTTTGGGTTGAATCGGGCAGCATTTTTCAAGCTTTTTCTAGTATCAAGTATTGTAGTCACTCGGTATATCGCAAACAGCTGGATCGAAAAGCAGAGAAAAATGGGAGTATAGAGATGTATGTTCCGAGCTCTTTGGTGTCCTGAAACCAGGCTCTGGGGTACTTTACTAGTGCTACAAAGCTTTTAATTCGGCTCGATACTAAGAGCTCGATACTCTGTCAACTCCTCAGTTATCTTGCATACGCTGACGCACACTTTTCCAACTCTTGTTGCCGCGTGGAATTCCGAGCGGAACTCGGCCGCCGAACAGCGCGTAAGACGTTGCAGGCCCTACATCTCAGAAGTTCATCGCTGGAGCCCCTGCGGCTAGTCTCACACTAGCAAGGAAATTGAAACTTGATTCGTGATGCTGACGAGAGTTCGCGAGTGTCTGTTGGTGTACCTGGATCCAGCAGAGGCTGGGCACGTGACACTAGGCTTTTGTCCCGATCTCGAGTCATTGAAAGAACTTTATCCGCTATGAAATAGAATAGGTGGTATTATTATTAACTACTAAATTGGTGATAATCTCTCAAAAATAGTCGTTACTTTCGTGGTATCGGGAGCAATGTGAATCATGTGAGCACCAAATCCAAACTGGCCAGGTAGGCTGTGATTAGGTGGTGTCAACTTCATCTCCTCAAAATATTCTTGTCCGAGCATCAGCAACGCGTCGCCACGACCTCAAGCGCGTCTTGTCAATCATTACCGCGAGAGAGCATCATGGCTCCTTCACGCCTGGACACATGACTTCGCTGTAGAGCTTCGAGTCTTTTGGTCACAATATATGCGACTGATACCGGCGACAAGGACTGCAACTGCACAATAAATATACGCATTTGCTATCGGAGGACAGATATCAATCGACTATTCCAGTCCAATCTCGATCACTGCATCCATTCCCAGACGATGAACAGCTACCACTTGCATTCCAATTGGCTGGACCAGCGACGCCCATTCTTTCTCTGTGCGCTCCTTGCCCGTCACATCCGCCATCATCCACAAGTCAAAAGAAGCTTGGAAAAGATTGACGTCTGTCTCTTTGATGACGAAATCATTGATAAGGATTCGGGAATAGCCACCTTTCAATGCGCCTTTCATATTGCGCAAGATCTCTTGACAGTCTCCATCCGGCCGGCCATGAAATATGGCACTGAAAAAGTAGTACTTGGCCCCTATACACCATTTCCTTCAAGTCAGTGACCGCGCAAACTGTGTGGTTCAAGGTAACAAACCGATAACCACCTGTGGTGTGAATATGTCATGTGGCATGAGCTCAATTCCACAACCCTGCAACCCAGCAAGCACCTCAGGCTCAAGCGTACTGCTTGGTAAGACGTGGGGCAAATCCTGGAGAATCACTCGACCAGGAAGACTGGGGTATCGTGTCTTGAGGTCCTTAGCTCGGTGTCCAATACCTCCGGCAACATCCACAAAAAACACCTCATCTTCAGGCAGCTGTAGCTGAGTCTCTTTGGCCCAGGGAAATATATCAACGAAATTCTCCCTGTTTTGTTTGAAAGCCATCATCACCTTGTCGAAGATCTTGGATCGACGTGGCTCAGCCTCGAGATGCTCCCATAGTGGCCTTCCATATGTGAAAGAGTGGGGTCCCATGACATAGCTGTCTGGTTCCTTGAAGCCGATGTTCTGCAAGTACACTGGGAGTTTCGCAAAAATTGGATTAACAATATCACACCTTCCAAAAGCCGTCAGCTGAATGCGAGTGGGTTGTTGGGATGCGCAGTGCGACTTTTGACATACCCATGCTTTACGGCGTCGGCGATACCTGGCTGGAGGAAGGCTCGGGATAGATCATTTGCTGCATATGTTTGAGCAGCAACCTCATCCGCCATTTTAGCGGCTGTCAATATTCTCATGATACGTGCTTGGCTGATCAGCAAGTGCTCGTCACCAGAGGAAGTCGTCTCAGACTTACCGACAAGCAACGGTGCAGATTATGTGCGCTCGCCAATCTCGTCTGCTGTCAGAATCTTTCCCTCTTCCAGCGCTTGGAGATATCCAGCCTCAATGGCAATTCTCATAGCCACCATAGGTGGAGACGTCTCGAAGACAATACGAAGTGCTTGTTCCACGGGACTCTCAAGGGAGTCTGCAAGCACTAGCGCTGCTGTGCGTATCTCGTATCGTGTGGACTTATCAATGGACTCATCTTTTGCCATAGCTGTAGCTTTCCGAGCGAGAATTTCAATGGATGCCAGAAGCTGTTCCTTGTCGTCGACAGCTGGAACAAGCACCGGATTGGCAGGCATCGTGTCGTTGATTGTCGCAGGAATAGGTTTTGCTTGACCTGCTGTTGCATCCAAAACAGCTACTGGCAAATGATCCACCTCGATGGCTTCTCGCATCGCTTGCTTCTCTTGCATAATATCAATTGGGGCGGTTTGAAGGGAGGTAGCCATGATGATTGTTGAACGTACTATCTATCTGAAGATCACGCTCAGAAGTTTACAAGGGAAGTTTTGCGTTCTCTGGGAAGTTGAGATGAGAAACGGCATTGATAATACGTTTGCGGGGCACCACGCCGGAGCTTGGAACTGTCAATTTGCCCTACAGTGTATCCAGGGGATATTCTCTAGCGGCTGACAGAAGTGATATCTCGCTCCCGTATTCCAACGGTCTCGGCAGCCGAAACGCGAAGGAACTTCGGGATTCAACAAAGCACGCTAGACCCAGAGGTCGAGAATTACCTCCCACGTGGGGGTAAACATATCTGGGCATATGAGATATCATCATGGGCAGACTTGGGACAGATTCTCATGTTCGCTGAAGCGTACAGTTCAACACACAGCAAGCAAGGCTACTCAATAGTCTGCGTCTATCACCGCAATGGATCTTCTCCTTTTTGGAGATCAAACTTCCAACTCGCTGTCGTTTCTGCGGCAAGCAGCAGCATCCAGAGAAACCTCCATCAGTGATGTATTCCTTACCCAAGTGTCTTCACTACTGCGGGCGGAAATCGAAAGGCTGCCCTATGACTGCCGATCACAGATTCCACAATATGTCAAAATTCTTGATCTCATCGCCTCATATCAGGAACATGATCTCAAAATTCCCGAGTTGGAAGCAGCATTCCTGACGATATCTCAGATTGCTTGGTATATCAAGTAAGCATTTCTACCTCGCTACTGTGAAGCTGTCTGTCTGACAGGTGCAGGTATTGCGAGAACAATCCGCAAGAATCAGTCAGTAGATGGCGGTGCGTTGCTATATGCACTGGATCGCTAGCTGCAGCAGCCATTGGTAAGTTGTCATCATGCTTCACATGCATCTGTTCTTTCCATGAATGAGAACGATGCAGATATCGCTTCTTGTTCGTTCCATCGTCTATGACTTTTTCTTACTGATACGCTCCAGCTTCGTCCGTGTCCCTCCACGACTTGACCATCTTAGGAGTGGAAGCTGTGAAAGTAGCGTTCCGGGCTGGTACTTGCGCCAGCATCATTGGCCATGCTGAAGAAGAGAGTAGCTGCAGCTGGTCCACCCTGATTACCGATATCTCTGCCGAGACTGTACAGATCTCCCTTGACGAATTTCATGCCAACGCAAGCGTCCCCAAATCTCGGCAGGCGTACGTCAGTTGTATCGGCCCGAACTCTGTCACGATCAGCGGTCCACCCAGTGTCACTCGAAGTCTCTTCAAAACTTCATCTGAGCTGAAAAGTAATACAAGAATGATACTTCCAGTATACGCGCCCTACCACGCGAGACACCTTTTTCAGCAGGAAGACATCAAAGGAATTCTGGATGATGAGACACTTGCAGTTTTGAAACGGTTCCGCTCCACCGGGGAAGTCTATTCAACGGTGACAGGCAGATGTCACGAATCCTCAGACACTGCAGAACTCTTTGCTATTCTCCTTGACGACATGCTCTGTAAGCCAGTTAAATGGAAACAAGTTATTGAGGCGATCACAATAGACTACAGCGCGGATTCAAAGACATGTAGGTTACTAGCGGTCGGTCAGAACGCCTTTTCTAGCGGTCTGATATCTTCACTCAAAGCCTCGGGTGTGGACGTCACATCTCTCGACAATCCGCGAAACCTCTCAGGCACTGAGGGTCTTAAACTTTCAGAATCACAGAGTAATAAAATCGCGATTGTTGGGATGGCTGGGCGCTTTCCGAACGCAGCCAACCATGAACAATTGTGGGAGCTTCTCATCCAAGGCCTGGATGTCCACAAGGAGATCCCCAAAGACAGATTTGACGCACACGCACACTATGATCCGTCAGGAAAGGAAAAGAACATAAGTCATACTCCGTACGGGTGCTTGATCGATGAGCCTGGACTGTTTGATCCCCGATTCTTCAATATGTCTCCCCGAGAAGCAGCACAAACCGACCCTATGGCCCGTCTAGCACTAGTCACGGCATATGAAGCGCTTGAAATGTCTGGCTTCACGCCAAACAGGACGCCTTCGAGTCAACTCAATCGTATCGGTACATTTTACGGCCAGACTTCCGATGATTGGAGAGAGATCAACGCCGCTGAAAATATCGATACCTACTTTATCACGGGCGGTGTGAGGGCTTTCGCGCCGGGGAGGATCAATTACTACTTCAAATTCGGAGGTCCGTCCTACAGTATTGATACAGCTTACTCGTCAAGTCTTGCAGCAATTCAGCTTGCTTGTACTTCAATTCTAGCTGGGGAATGCGATACTGCCTGTGCTGGTGGTGTCAATATCCTCACGAACCCTGATATATTTGCGGGTTTGAGCAAAGGTCAATTTCTGTCGAAGAATGGTCCTTGCAAAACATTCGACAACGATGCAGACGGATACTGCCGTGCTGATGGGTGTGGTACACTCGTCTTGAAGCGGTACACGGATGCTGTTGCTGACAATGATAACATCTTGGGCTGCATTCTAGCATCGGCTACCAATCATTCAGCCGACGCTATTTCCATCACTCACCCTCATGCTGGAGCCCAAGAATCTCTATACAAGCAGGTCCTGGCAACCGCGAATGTATCACCGGATGATGTTACTTATTGCGAGCTTCATGGTACCGGCACGCAGTCAGGAGATCATATAGAGATGGAGTCGATTACGAATGTGTTCGCTTCAGAAATAACACCTCGTCGGCCCACAAACACTCTTTACCTTGGCTCTCTGAAAGCCAACATTGGCCACGGAGGAGCTGCTTCGGGCTTTAGTGCCATGGTAAAATGTTTGTTGATGTTGAGAGACGATACGATACCACAGAATGTCGGCATTAAAGGCATCATCAATCAGACATTCCCGCCGGATCTTCAAGCACGAAACGTCAACATACCCCTCAAGAATGTGCACTGGCCGAAGTCGCAGCAGAAGAAGAGGACAATCATGGTCAACAACTTCAGTGCCGCAGGTGGGAATACTGCTGTGATCCTGCAAGAAGCCCAAAATCCACCCGTCTCTACAATGCCCGACCCAAGAGATGCTCACGTTGTTTCTGTCTCTGCGAGAAGTAGAGGGGCATTGAAGCGGAACCTTGCAAATCTGATAGCATACATTGACGAGCATCCACAAACACATCTCTCCAGTCTTTCCTACACCTCCACTGCGAGGCGCATGCAGCATAACTATCGGATTGCTGTATCTGTGACCAGCCTGGCTAAGGCGAGAGAAGCACTTTTGGCTCGTGTCAACGATGAGCATCAGCCCATGACAGTGACCGGTGCAAAGGTTGTGCTGGCTTTTACAGGCCAAGGAACAAAGTACTCGGGGCTTGCAAATTCTCTCTATACAACTTTGCCTAGCTTCAAGACTTCGATCGATCGATTGAATCGATTTGCCCAGACAGAAGGCCTTCCATCATTTCTACCGCTGATCACAGAGAACAACATCTCGCAACTATCACCAATTATTCTTCAAGTTGGCTTGGCTTGTATTCAAATCTCTCTGGCTAAGATGTGGGAGTCTTGGGGAATCAAACCAACAGCTGTAATCGGGCACAGTCTTGGAGAGTACGCCGCACTTCATATCGCTGGAGTCATCTCTGCAAATGATATGGTACGGTTGGTTGGGCGTCGTGCGCAACTAATAGTCGACCACTGTTCTCCTTCGAGCCACGGTATGCTGGCCGTCAAGGCAAACAAAGAGACGATTCGCGATGTTCTTGGGGTCCACATGCTTGAAATTGCATGCAACAATGGTCCTTCTGAGACTGTACTTTGCGGGACCGTGGAAGCCCTTGAGGCCACCGCCAAGAAGTTGGCAAGGTCAGGGCTGAAGTGCACACTATTGAATGTCCCTTACGTCTTTCATTCTGCCCAGATAGACCCGATACTGGATGGATTTCAAGACTTTGCCAGCAGAATTGAATTCCGCAAGCCAGAGATTCCCTTCTGTTCGACTGTCACAGGAAAAGTCATCTCGACTTCGAAACATGTTGGACCTGAGTACCTCACCAGACATGCTCGTCAAACAGTAAACTTTACTGGGGCTTTGCACAGTGTAGTTGTGGACGGTCTGGTTGACGGAAAAACTGTTTGGCTCGAGGTCGGAGCCCATCCTATCCTCGCCGCAATGATCAAGGCCACACTCGATTGGGCACCGAGGGTTTTCCCGTCACTGAAGAAAACAGAGTCTGCATGGCAAACGATCAGTTCCAGCATTTGTGGTCTTCATGAAAACTGGAGCAAGCATCAATTTCAACGAGTTTCATTCAGAGTTCAAAAGTTTTCAGCGCCTTGTGGTTCTCCCCACATATGCTTTCGACAACAAAACTTACTGGCTCGACTATCACAACAACTGGTGTCTTACTAAAGGCAGTGTTCCGACATCAGTAGGTTGTGATCCGAGGAAACAAGTGTTTCCTTCAACAACCTCATGCCAAACTATGGTTTCTGAGAGCTTTGATGGTGATACTGGACAATTGATAGCGCGATCCGACCTCGCGGACACGAAACTCGCAGCACTTGTCTCTGGTCACCTGGTCAATTGCGTAGCTCTGGTTCCTTCCACCCTGTATGCTGATATGGCCCTGACTATGGGACAGTACATGTACCAGAAGTTGAGACCAAATGACGAAATACCAGGAATGAACGTTTGTGACATGGAGGTCTTCAAGCCCCTCGTTGCACTGCGGCGTCCAACACACAGTGGTCAGCATATCGAAGTTGAGTCAACCGCAAACCTCCAACTTGGCGGAATTCGTTACTTGTTCCGAACTGTTTCTTCCACCGGCATTCTCCTGGCCGACCATGGTACCTGTATGCTGAAGTTCGAAAATGTGAACGCCTGGCTCGATACTTGGAAGATCAATCAGTACATGGTACAAGGCCAAGTCGATCAACTGCAGCGGAAGCTTGAAAATGAAAAGGCTCATAAAGTGCTCCAAGGTCTGGCGTACAAGCTGTTTTCGGCTTTGGTCACTTATGATAAGAAGTATCAAGGAATGCGGGAGGTCACCTTGGATGCGAAAGAGACCGAGGGATCCGCTCAAATTGCTTTTCAGGCTGATGAGACAAACGGAGCATTTTTCTGCTCGCCATACTGGATTGACAGTTTATGTCACATTAGTGGCTTCGTCGTGAACGCTACGGATCTCATCGACTCCGCTACGGATGTTTACATTTCCCACGGCTGGAAGAGCATGCGTTTCGCGCGTCCGTTCTCGGCTGGCAAGCAATACCGGTCGTATGTTCGCATGCAGTCTCGGCCGAAGAACATTAAAATGGGTGATGTTTATATATTCGAGGGCGGTGATATCGTTGGCAAGGTTGGAGGTGTCAAATTTCAGCAGATTCCTCGCAAGCTGCTCAACACTTTTCTTCCTGGGCCAAGTGTTATCTCAGGTCAACGACCAGAAATATTGCAGAAGCCTACGGCACGCGCAATAGTCCCCAAATCTCAGCGCGCTCAAATATCCACATCTGAGCCAACCCAAACCCTCGCCTTGAGGGCTTCAGACATCGTTGCAAGCGAGACTGGCGTTGAACGATCGGAATTGGTAGCCGATACTGCATTCGATAACCTTGGCATTGATTCGTTAATGTCCATCTCGATGGCTGCTAGATTCCACAGCGAACTTGGAGTTGAATTGTCAACATCGATGTTTACAGATTTTACGACCATTGGCGACGTCTTGGAATTCTTCGGCGTCCACGATCGCCTATCTGGCAACGCTGAACAGCATTTTCCCTCCGGGTCTTCATCTTCACATACGATAAAGCCCTCCTCAATCAACGATGAAGTTATTGCAACTCCACAGTCTGGGTTGAGTCTTGAGGGATTGTCCCTGGATTCCGGTAATGTGAGTGGCGTTCGGGAGATCATTTCGCGGGAGATGGATATTGATCCTACAGAGCTAGCGGATGATACTGACCTGTCTACCATGGGAATGGATTCCCTCATGAATTTGACTATAATGGCAGCTCTTCAGGAGAAGTATGGGGTCGAACTTCCTTCGATGCTGCTGGTAGAAAGTCCTACCATCAAGGATATCGAACTTGCAATGGGCTTTCGAAGTCTACCCATTCTCTCACAACAGCCTACCCAGCACAGATACGTAGCTAAGCCAGGCTCACAAGAAGTTCCACTCAAAAAGCACATATCGAATGCTTCGAGCTCTGGACCCAGTAAAGTTTTGTCCGACTTGTCGCAGTGCCCAACCTGCAACTTCTATTCTGCTTCAAGGCAATCCCAAGAATTCGAGTAAGATTCTATTTCTCCTACCCGATGGTTCCGGATCCGCAACATCCTACCTGCGCATCCCCACCATCTCCCATTCTGTTGCGGTCTACGCGCTCAACTGCCCTTTCATGAAAACACCACATGATTTTACCATCGGTGTTCCCGCAGTGTGCACCCTCTACCTTGCCGAGATTCAACGACTACAAACTCATGGGCCATATCACATCGGTGGCTGGTCGGCAGGCGGTGTCATGGCATACGAAGTCACTCTCGGTCTCGTAGCGATGGGCGAGACTGTATCTACTCTCTTCCTCATCGACTCACCTTGTCCCATAGAGCTGAAGCCACTCCCTGTGCGTCTCTTTTCGTACTTCGACGAGCTAGGCTTGCTCGGAGGCCGTGGCGCAGGATCGACGCCGGCCTGGCTGATCCCGCATTTCGAGTCTAGCGTGAGGGAGCTGGCAGCGTACGAGCCTCGCCCCATGCCGGCAGGGACGAGTCTGAGAATTATAGCCGTCTGGGCCAGAGATGGAGTATGTGAAGAGCGTAAAACGCCGAGATTTGAGTGGACAGGTAATGGTGAAGAAGAACCGCGGACGATCAAGTGGTTATTGGAAAAGAGGACTGACTTTGGTCATAATGGGTGGGGCAAGCTGGTGGGACAGAATAGGATTCATATTCATGTTGTGGAGGGAAATCATTTCTCGATGATGGGTGGAACACAGGTAAGTTTGGAGAAAAGAAATGGTATGTATCTGAGCTGCGTGCTAATTCATGTGCAGGTTACCGCCCTTGGTGATCTGATCAGGCAGGAACTCATGGCTGGATGACGGTGGATAGAGGCAACTTTCGCGCACGGTTGAACATTGTCATTTCATGTGAAAAGTGGGAATTTCTGATTCAAGATGTATCAAAATTCAGTTGAAGAAATCTTTGTGACTTTCATGACCTGTCTTTTTTTGTACGACATGATCTATGGGTCTCATTCATTGAACTTCGCCGAGCCTCGCCTTTCTACAATCCTTTGTCCTCCCAAAGACATCGAGGAATTAGTGCTTAAGGATGCTCAATTGGAGGGCTCAAATGTATTGAACCACGTATCCATAGGCAGTGATTCCGGCCAGATGGCACCTATCATTGGATCATTCCATAGGGTTGCATTTTCGAAATCCATGCCCGCCATCGAGAACTGGTCATTCAGCAACGGTTCAGCATCAGCTATACCTGTTGTTTGAGCTTAGACTCTACCCGGTTCTCGACGAGAGGAGAAAGTGCCCAGCCCATACGAGCCCAGACTCGCAATCGCATCGCCGTCAGTGCACGATATCTTGCATTGTACTGCTGAGCAGGATCTGGGGTGGTCTGGGGACCTAAATGGGAAGCGTTTAAGATAGTACTGACTCGAAGATCAAAGACTCGGTCAATCAGATCACGGCTGAGTTTCGATTCTTCCTCGGAATCGGGACAACCGTTCAAATGAGTGAGCAATATCATCAAGGCATGTATCGGCTGGACAAGACCTGGAAGGAACCAAGCGAGGCCCTGAGCCCTGGAGATTGTTGACAGGCGCAGGAAACCGTCGAGAAAGGACCGAGATGTCCTGTGAATCTTCTGTGAATTCATGTCCCCAGAAAAATCGGCATTCCAAGGTCTACTTACTTGACAACCTCACTCTGACAACTTGTTCCTCGAAATTGCTCAACTTGCCAGGATTGCAGTCCAATCATGCAATACGCTCGATCAATCAACATTGTAAGATAAATATTTGCCCATTCATACCATCTGCAATGTGGATCAAGACGATGCAGTAGATCTTGAATGAGCCGCTCAAAGTGGATTATCTCATGTTGCCCGGGCTTCTTATCCAGCCATACATGCATTCTGGATGCCCACTGCCAATGACCTTCCATGGCTAGCTCCATAGATGACGAGGAATGCTCACCATGCGCAGAAACCCCATTAGTCAACTGCCGCTGTGATTGTGGACTGTGTCCGGGGCGAATAATGCTTGGGAGTCCGCTGGCGATTGACGATTCAATATCCAAATAGATTAGATGCTGCCACAGTCTCCCAAGCTCTGTATTCTCTTATGGATTATCAACGCTCTGATCCGCATGGACCTTGAGATTCTGCGCAAATCTGATGGCTGCGGGCAGGAATCCATATGCGGTGAAAGGCGGAAGTTTGCTGGCTTTGAACGTGTTCATGATGACGACGCCTTGCAGAAGCCAAAGCGATGCAGAGAGCGATTTGACATGATACGTTGGAAGTTCGAGAGCTCCAACTAGCATGTCGTAGAGTGAGATGAATTTCAAGCACGTCGTGCTCGGCTCGCTTGGATCAGTATTGTTTGCGCCGGTGTACAACGTCGCGAGGACGAGAACAAACAGCTCTGCCGAGGTATCGAAGGAAAGTGTGTCCCAAAATTGACAATATGTTTCACGAAGAGTCGCGATATCGCATAATGACAAGATGGGATTAAGTGTTGAGACATAGTTTTCGAAGTGCTTGTGGTATTCATCTGCTGGCTCTAGACTGTTGAATAATGTTGATAGAAATGGATCGCCCAGCGAGCCAATTCGGATGACTGGATTGAGAGGAGAGAATGAAGCAGTGGGGTTTTCATTCTTCAATTCGTTATGCTCTTACAATTATTAAAACGTTCATCTTCTTGCGCTTCTCAACAGCACGTACCTGATACTCCGCGCTCCAATGGTGTTGGTCACCGATTGTACTCTGACTTGATCTTCTACCCTGTCGTAAAGCCCCACCATGAACAACAGGGGCTGCTGGAGAAGCCGCTGAGAGTGAGGGGTTGGGGTTCGGAGGGGGCTCGAACAAAGACTTCCAGGTTTCGGGAGGACCACTCGCAGACGGTACACTGCTGTCGTCTGGACCAATATTTTCTGTGATGAACTGAATCTGGGTAGACGGCAGGTCAATGTATTCGCACAACTTTTTTCGTTTGCTGCACTGGAGACATGAAGGGTGGTGGCGGCTGCATTTCACCTAGAAATGTATGTTAACATCAACATTACACTTCTAAATCGTATCAAGTGATCATACTCTCCTGTGTCGACACGAAGTACAAGCTGTAGCCTGGCGTCGTGGTTTCTGTATTACTGACATTGCCTGTGTTTGATGTCAGTAGCGATGTATGTGAAGGCATAAACTGGTTAGAAGTAGCCCTCGCGGTGTTGTTCCAAGCGTTATCTGATATGGAGCCGCTCAGCGATGTGGATATTTGAATTATTGGTCTGGTCAACATTGATACCAGTCACTACCGTTATTCTCAGGGGACGGTGAGTGTGAGGGTGGACGAGATGAGGCACAGTGAAACCGGACGTCATTGTCTTGAAATATGCAAGACTCTGGAGCGGATGTGGCAGCACCAATCGGGCGAAGCTGACACCCGGCTCAGACCCCATTGGAAAAAGCTTACTCTGTCCTCGATTTCTCGAGACATATTCGCGTCACGTCATGTTGATTGCGATCACATCGCTCAAGATGAGAAAGAGTGGAAGTGTTTGAGGTGGAGCGGGATGTTTTCTACACGATCTACAGCAATCGATAACCTATGCTACAAGTCCACCGCCACCGCTATACCGCCTTCATGCCTACTGCATATCTTCCGGCATTTATTCATTGAAGCCGAGATTGACTACTTGCCATACGTGCACGCATCACATGGCCGTAGCGAACAAAGAGCCATGGTAAAGGGACAAATGCTAGTGCGATAAATCCCAACAGCGAGTTGCCCCAACCATAGCCAAGCGAATTTTAAAGTGGCAAGCCAGCGAGGGGTAAGACAGCACCCACGACAGACTGAAAGACCTTGCTTGCTGCCAAAGCAGAGGCAGAATATTTCCCAAAGGTTTCGACGAGATACATATTGATTGAGAGCTGGATATTATCAGTCAGTACAGTTGAAATAGAGGTCTCCTAATTGAAGAGGTTGGAATTACGGCACACTTACAAACGCCGGCATCATACCCATGGAGAACACTGCGGTGCTGATGATAGGTACAATCCAGTGCACATTTTCCTCGACCGCCCAGCCATATGTAAAGAACGCGATTGCAACCAGTGGCCCGGTTAGCATCATCGAGGGCAGACGATATTCTGGCGCCGTGGATCCGTTGTTTTTCTTTGTGAGCTTCTGGTATGCTGCATCGCTTGTCTTTCCTGCAAGAACTAACCCAAGGAACGAACCTACCCCAAGCCAAGATATGCCAGGCCACTGATGCTTGTGTTGAAGTGATATTAGTTCTGGAATACAGAAGGGAAAGTGGTAATGAAGAGGTAGAGTTCTCCAAACAGCATTGCAGTGAATAAGGAAAGCAAGAAAACGATAGGCGATGTAAACAACATCGCGATCGGTCTCGTGATTGCTTGAGACAAAATACGCGGCAAAGATTCTTGATCTGGCTGCCTCATCTCAAGATACTGGCCACCAGCTTCCTTGTTCAAGTCTGTTATCCGCCGCTTCAGCAAAACTGGAGCATAAGTTTCGCGAAGAACAATAATTCCGACGATGAGAAGAAATCCGGTGAGAATTGCAAGCAGCCAGAAGACCCATCGCCATCCTTTGGCAGAAGCCAAGAAGCCTCCGATCACTGGTCCAATTGCTGGTCCCAATTGAACTCCTATACCCCAGAGTGCCATTGCACCACCTCTTTTTTCCTTCGGAAACATGTCTCCGATAGTGGCGCCGCCGAGTGTGGTGGGCGTTGCGCCGAAACAGCCAGCCAGAAATCGAAATACGATCAGCATGGGAAGACTGGAGCTCGTTGCGCAAGCTATGGTGAATACCAGGAAGAGGGCGCATGACAGCAGGTAGACCCACTTGCGTCCGTAGACCTCTGATAATGGAGCAGCGAAGAGTGGGCCGACAGCGAAACCCAGTACATAGATCGAGACAATAGTTTCACTCAGGATAACATTTGCCGAGTCGAATTCCGTCATAACTTGACTGACAGCTGGAGCAAACAGGGAAGATGCAAGTGGACTGGAGTAAGAGTGTCAGGGCAGTGTTTTCCCCTGTTTTCATTTAACCAAGTATACTCACGTAAGAACCGTCATTGCTGAGACCACACCTAGTATCCTCCATCGCTTCGCAGCAGGCCAACTGACAGCATCTTGTTCAGCCTGGAGTTGTTCCAAAGTCATTCGTTGGGGTCTGTCATGATACGTCCCGGGGCCGGGGATTGGTGGAGTAGATACTGGGTAACCATTTTCAGCAGCATCTGCCGGTTTGTATGCTGCAGTCTTCTCGGACATGGCTGCGGTTGGCGGAGTGTGTTCGGCGTGGGGTGCTGACTGCATACAGTTGTATCGTGCAAAGGGCACTGGGACAGGATCATCAAGGGATTGAGATCCGTCTGTCGCAAAGAGGCGCGGTCAAAAAAGGCAAACGATATCGAGTATTGAGAGCGAGGAGCGGAACGAGACACCAGTTATAGGCACTCCCTCGTTTCCCCTCGTACGAAGGGAGTGAAAATGGCATTGGGTAAACAGCACGCTAGTCCGCATTTGGACGTCTCGCACGAGGTTCATGTTAGCCTTGGCGGCCATTGTTTAGATACGGCTCGCTTATTGGCTTGGCTGTGTGCATACGATTGCTCCCTGCGATGCCTTGCATTTTGCATTTGCACTTGCACTTTTAATTGCTTATCATTATTTACGTACATGAAATTGCTCCAGCACTGGCAAATTGTGGATTGCGCTCATCATGTGGGTGCTGTTGATGCCTCGCGCGATGCGGACGGCTGCGGGAAGGCCCGCAAACGCCACCATTTGTACCTTGGGGTACGTATCTCGAGACATCGGATGTCTTGATAGGATAACCCTGTATCTGCGCCGCTCAGCGGCAGGACCGAGACCGAGTAACCGATCTGATTGTCAATTGGCCAAACGCTCGAATGTCACATCGCTCATTGGATTGATTTCCTGCATGTAATTGTGTTTACTTGTGGCGGAGGTCTGAAGAATAGAAGCCTCCTGCAAGCAAAAGCAGTAGTGATCTGCCGAGCTGGGGAGAGATTGTGTGTTTCCCATCATGACATATTACTGATATCCAATGATCTAATAAGTAGTCTCGATGCCAAGTCAACACAAGCTTTCCAGACCCTCGGAATTATTCAAACATCCCCAGAGCTTGGCATTACATAGCAGACATGGCGACAAATAAGCGAGGATCGTACTCATCAACACATACACCTGCTTGCGACCAGTGTCGAACTCGTAAGATCAAATGCGATAGAGACCGACCTCTGTGTTTGAACTGTTCCCACGAGGGGTCACTTTGCAGCTACTCGGATGCTGGAAAAAGAGTCAACCATGTGAAGCTGCTGTGAGTTTATTCGCTTCCCCCTTCAATCGGTCTCATAGTGGAAGCATTTTTGAAATCTGGAATCCTCACAGATTTTTGAGTCCTAACGGACGGGAAGCTAACGCTTATTTGAGCTTGGCGATGAAGAGAAAACACACATGCTGATTGTTTTGTAGAGCACAGGGGATTGGTCGAATAGAAGACCGCCTCATCAACGTTGAGGAAACAATTGAACTCATCAGAAAAGCCGCAGATGTGGTGAACCATAATTCAAGAGGTTTATCCGAGAGAATCCTCTACAGCTGGCAACCCCAAAGGAACATTTCAGCATTCTGTCTGAGATTGACATTGAAGCGAATAACGCGAGGCCAATCGTTCGTCACGTGGTACATCAATTCACCGACTGCCGAGATCTATATCATGGCCCTGGCAGCTTGTTCACCCTCTCCAAAGAATTCGGACTCGCTCTCAAAGATCAGAAATTCAGTTGCGAAGTTCCCACTCTAGAACAACACTTGCAAGAATTGTACTCTGCCACTGTTGAGAGCGGAAATGATGAATTTAGCAGACCAATTCAAACTTTCACACTGCCTCCAAAACAGCTTTTATTGATGGCATGTTCTGAGTCTTTTCAACAAGAAGATATCTCGCTGCAGATTTTCTCTCCAGCAATTTTCCACGCCAATGTACACAGAATATATGGCAAACCGCCGACCGGAGATGAAGATGCATGGGGAGTCTGCTGTAATATCATCGTCTTGCTTGTGCTCGGAACGCAGAGAATCAGCTTTGGCCATCAACCTACCCAGGGGCAAGACTTCTGTCAGCCCTTCTTGGCAGCAATGGAGTATGCTCTTGGGCGGTTGGAGACCTTTAAGCTTCCAAAGCTGATCAATGTGCAAACCTTGGCGTTACTTGTTAGTACACCATCAAGGGACCTGAATCAAATTTCCGGGACTTTTCTACTAGACTTCAAGCTAAATGACAGCAGAGCATTGCGGCAAAACCGTATTTTGAACCTCATGTCTCCAACAGAGTTTTTGAGCAAGCCTGCCTTTTGGCGAGACGTATGGGTCTTGGCATCGCCTCTCGCGAGGAAGGACTGTCCACAGACGCGGTTGAGGAGCGTTCAAAAGTTTTGAGGTCCCTGTATCTGCAAGATAAACCTATATCACTCAATCGCGGCACCAACTGTCTCCTCCCTTCCTTCGACTGCGACTTGCATATCTCACTCCAGGAGTCCAGCCATGGAGAGACTCAACTATGTGCAAGGTATCAGCTCTCACGCTGTCTTGAGGATATATATATCCGTCTCTATTCGAACCACTCGCACCAACAGTCGGCATCACAGCGCAATAAAGATATCGGTGTTCTTGATAGCTCACTCCTGGCCTGGGCTCGCACTTATGGGCAAAGTCTCGACTCCTACTTACTGATGGAATATATCGAAGCACGCATTGCTGTTCTTCGCCAGAGTGGCGAAGATGGGCATCAAACAGAGGTCAAACAGCTTTCACGGATCAGTTGCACTCTTCTTGCTCCCACAGCGACAATCGCACAAAGAACTCCTCTGTTTGACTCCAGTGGTGCACTCGCGTCTTCACTAGCTGTCACACAACCCGCGAATCTACAAGTCCCACCGGGTGCTAACCACTCCGAACCACCATTTCGAATTCGCAGTCTCGTTGAGAAGTTTCCAATGTCTGCATTTTTCACGCTTGCTAGAAGCATCATCAGTCAAAACTGCGAGGAATACGTCGTGGAGGACTTGGAACTAATCCGGATGGTCAATCGCACTTTCCAAGATTACTTCCCTCATGTACAAGTGAAGACAGTGTACAAAAGCTCAGAGCAAGCAGTGAGCAATGTGCTGCGGTTAATTCGTATCGTCCGGCCAGAACTATTTCCGGAAGATGATACCTCAGCTGCTCTAACGGCAAACGAATCCCCTGGATTTGAAGCCAATTCCAGCACGATCCTATCTTCATTCTCGAACACTTCTGGCTGTTCCAACGGGCTTTCTCCGTCAGCTATAGAAAGACTGTCTTGGCTTGATAACTGCGATAGCCTAATGTTCAATGATGGATTTGATAGGAGCTGCATATATACCGATCTGGATATTTCTGGGGACTTCAACATGCCATTGCTAGAAATGGGATCTCAGGCTGTTTCCCCCGACCCGTACCATGCCGATGGTTACGTAGTGTGAAAAAGTTCACTTTGAGATTATGCATGCGGTATTCGCATCAAATTGGTTTCTTACATCAATGGCGACCTGTACATCGTTGTCGGGAGCTTGTAGAGCTAGATTTGCCAAGACTGTTCAAATTACTCGGGCTTGGAGTTTATCAAGCGCTCCCTGAATTAGTGATTCTCTCTTGAGACCAGTCTGTATACGAAAGTACATTATAGAGACACAATCGAGGATCGCATTGAAAGTTGTTAGTAAGGCTGGTATGTGACAAAGCTGACAGACTCATTTCTATGACACCTTCATCTGCGAATGGCAATCAAACAGTTCAGATCTGTAGATGGACATTAAAACAGGAATTTAAAGGTTTTCAGCAACGCGATGTAGAGGTATTGAAACCCCTTTCTGAGTGGTTTTATTTCAATCTATATTGTCTGCCTTACACATATGTTCTGCTCAGACAATTACCCAAAGTTCACCACTGAACTGATTCCTCGCTTGACGCCCTCTTTATTCCTCACGGATATCCCTCCCCACACTGTTGAACCAAGGTGAGAAAGCAAGAGATGACTTTGCTGTTTTGCAAGAAAGCACGACACAAGCGAGTTACGTTAGGAAACACTCGAGTACAAGGGAAGGCAACTCCGCCTAAGATCGCTACACCGACAAATTCAGAACTCCGTATCAATTAATTTTCTCAAAGAGCACAAGGATACTTCTAATGAGGTCGAGTTTCGCTTACATTTAGCTCAGCTACAGCTGTTCCCATAACTAGTTAGAAACCACGGCTGCGCGCCAGCCCTTATCAAAAATCGTTCCCCCCCTTCTCTAGAAACCTACCTACTTGTATCTTTACGAAACGCTATTATAAAACACTATAACTATATCAAAATAAACTAGAACACTAATAAGCTAACTTATAAGTTTTTTAGTTTTAATTAAATTTCTATTTATAAAGTTATTAATTAATTAAGTTACACAAGATTTAAGGCTCAAAAGTCCAAAGGAAGCCTAAGCTCGCCTAAGGTTAGCTTAAGGTAGCCTAAGCGTAAGGCAAGCTGAGAAAACTGAAACTCTTAGTTTTAAGGAAATCAAATTAATTCTATTAGTATAACACTATTAATTAAAACAAAGCATTAAAGTTAGTCAAAATATATTAATCTTCAATTATTTCAATTATCTAGGTATCATATTAAAAGGTGGTTGTGATACAAGTAGTAGGACTTAGAGAAGGGGGGCGGGGGGGGTGGGGGGGGGGGGGGGGGGAGATTTAGATGAGGGTGGAAAATCGGTCCCGTGATTTCTAACTAGTTACTGTATGGGAACAGCTGTATGGAATCAGAAAGCCGACGCTTGACTTTGCCCCCGTGGCGTCCCTCCATACACAGAATATATGCAAACAAATCAAGCGTCGCAGAAAGCGATTTTCTGACACACACCAAATGGTATAGACCTGACATCTGTTCTCCATTTGGCAGCCTCGCTTAGAGTGCGGGCTAACATTTTCCTTTGTTTACTAATTTCCTTTGTTTACTCAAACGTGTCTGTCTTTGTTAAAGATACAGCTCGCTAGAACACACATTATCCTTTGAGACTTCTGTCTTGAAGTATTCATTGTTCAAAACATAGGCACAAAATGCTATTGTTCAAGTCTTAGCGTCTTGTCTCAATACAGGAAAGAGGGTTAAAACAGCCGTCTCAGAACTCTATATAGAAATTGATATTTCCTTCTTCCGACAAATGAAGGGGGCGAAGAGCAATCCTTCAGGAGAGATCATTGGCCCAAAGCTGAGCAGTCTCAATCATGTCCAACTTCGTAGTTGATCAATCACAGTACCGGCAGGACAGATCTATTTTCCTTTGCCCTCGGCTTGGGATAGTTCCCGATGGCGATCCTCTTCTGGAGGCTCGACACAAGTGTTGTGTCTGCTGGGGCACCTTCCCAGGACTCTCCCAAGATCAAGGTGAGAATTGTGTTGGTGGAGGAGCTCGAGTTCTTCCTTGCGGTCATGTCTTCGGCAAGTCTTGTATCAGCGAAATGTTTTCATCCAAGCGCGGCGTCTGCCCGCTATGCGAAACTAAATTCAAAATCAGAAAAGCAGGTCATTTAGTCCATACCGATCTTGTTGACGAGATCTTGAGTAAAGGTAGACTAACCAAGTTCGACCGCTTGCAACTGGCCATCTTGCTCGTGGCTAAACCTACATTCCTTCTAGTTGAGAGGACAATGGGGGTAGCGAGGCGGCGTCCGGTCATTCACGGCTCATTGCGGGAGCTGGGTGCGCTTCTACTCAAGTGTTTCTTGATACAACTCACTGGCGTCGTGCTAGTCTTACCAGTGATTTGGTCGCTGCTGTTTCTTCTGTGGCTTGTGGGACCCATTGCGCGCTTTTGGCGTAATGCACACTCCCTAGTTACCTTTTGGGTGGCATATTTCAAGATTGTATACATTTATCCTGTCATGAGCCGCCTGGTAATTGCTCACTACTGTGTACACCACTGTGTACTTACGACATTGATTGATGTAATAATTTGGGCACTTGTCCGAGGCTACTTCCCACAGGGCTCTTTAAGACGGGTCTACTTGGACCGATTTGTGGGCATCCTGAAGAATTGGTACTCTGTATAAAAGTTCAATTCTCATTCCCCAAAGAAATCTGCCCACATTTTCGCGAAGAACCACCAGGGGAGGTCGTCCATTAAAATTGCCGAAACCTCAGTCAATAATGAACTTTCAATAATTTGTCGTCCTCTCTCCCACACGTGACAATTTGATAAATATGGCTCTGCTGAACTAGTCTACATACATCTACATACATATAGTAATAAACTGGCGGCCGATAACACCCAAAAGCTTCATGCTAAACAAAGACAGTATTCTGATGCATTAAATGGCGGAGGCATCCCGAATAGCCACCAAGTATAACCAAAAGCAAGTCACATTCACTGTTCACTGTCCTTCTCGGAAAACAGCCAGAACTTTTACATCATAAAAAGGCCTGCGTTGAACTATATAAGAAACAATGACTGAGACGCCAATTAAACTGTTCAGGCCAACTACGTCCCGCCAACCATCAAGATGAGGAAAGTAACCAAGTCAGATATGACCACCACCAAAACCGAGACCTTCTTCTCACAGAGCAGACACATCGAGTTCACCGACGCTCCAGCAGATGAACACACACCCCACATGGCGCGCATACACAGCGCCAAATGTCCACAGTGTGCCGTATACAATCCACACATCATACCCAGCAGCGAGCTCTCCCTGGAGATCATCTCCGACTTCCAGCTACGGTACGCAAAGCTCCGATACTTAGCAGTGACACTAAACAACCGTGATGGTTGGACGCTGGACAAGACCATTTACCTTTGTCCTCGGCTCCGCATTGTTCCCATAGGCGCATCAATCCTCGAAGAACAAACTAGATGTTGGATTTGCCGATGCCCGTGGCCCAGCGATCCAAATGACGACGAGGACGATGATGCTGCTGCCTGTGAAAGTCCGTATCCGGTGATGCTTACATGCGGTCAGATCTTCGGATTAGAATGTCTCGCCGAATAATTTGATGAAGGCTTTCCTATATGTCCAGTGTGTATGACTGTGTTCAAACTCCGAAGAGCTACAGAGACAGGTAAGTATCTCAAATCTCATGCCACTGACTTGCTTAGAGATCATAATCTAGGTCCCTATGCGTTCCGCTACTTCGTGCTGGTTTGCTTGTATCCTTGTCTTGTACTAGTCGATGCGATCATGGGCTGTGGACCAAAAGGGCAGGCGCCAAAGCGGCTTTGGGGAACTTGCTTAGCTTTGTGGGTGGCGATCAAGTTCCAGATTTGCGGCTTGATTGGTGCTCCTTTTGCTGTTGCTGGGTACTTGTTTCAGCCTATTGCCGAATCAGTTCTTGGTGTGGTTTATGATTACGTGCACGATTCGGAACTGGTCCTTTTGTTTGGGTTGCTAGACTTCTGAATGGAGATTAAGATAACGACTAGGGTCTGCACAAATAGTAGATCCGTGGCGCCCAGAGCTGTCAGCCATGTTCTCGTGGATTGATTTAAGTACATTACTTACCAACCCATATGCTATAATGAATTGCTCAGACGATTGTATAACGAAGCAGAAGTAATAAATAATAAACTTGCCTTATCCAAGCTCAATGGCTTGTTCGAAGAACTATTGCACCACCACAGGTAAATCAGGAAGAGTACGAAAACATAGGAACAATGAAGTATAATGAAGCAAGACAATATATTGAAGTGATAATTGTGATATCTATTGAAGTGAAGACGAGTGAAATTGACCCAAGGACTGAATATAAAGTTTTTTGAAGGACATAATTGTTGACACTACCGCCAAAGTCCTAGAACGTTCAACTGAACCTACCCAAAGATTCGATGCCGGAATCTTAGGTTATCAAAAAGACCATATATTCGAAACGGTGTCTTTCTTGTTATTGAATAGGAAGTCTATCTCTTGAAATCTTCTGTTGAATTCAGAGTAAGAGTTGATTTAGGGACTTTCCGTACTTTAGACCATTTGAATATAACAAGACCTTACCCGTCCTTTACAAGCAGAAGCGAAGTACTATAAGCCTATCAACAATTCCCTTCTCCTTTAGTACTTTTTCTCTAGTGGCGGGTCGTGATGGGTATCGCACTTGACAAAGAGCACGCGGAGAGACTATGGTCATATCTTTGCGCAACGGGATCCTTTGCTGCAGCCCAATTACACAAGTCATGCATGGGTGGAGGGGGGAATCATTGTCGAGCCTCGATGGGAGAGGTACCGAAGATAGTAGCCAAACCTGTCAAGATCCTCAGCCCCTGAATCACTTCTTCGGCCTCTTTGAACGCTTCAAAATCCCTTGCGGCTTTGCCCTTGGCTTCTTCTTGGACGATGCGTGGCTGGTAGACTCGAAAGGATCTGCCTTGCATGTGTTCGAAGGATATTGTGATGACGCTTCATAGAATGGAGGAGATGCACTTCCTGTTCATAGCATGCCAAATTGGGGTGATTGGCCAGCTATTCTTCGACTTTGCCGCACCTTTTGATAGACCTTGGCTCGTCTTTTGCGGGGCTTCGGTGCCTGCGCAGCATCCGGCTCTGACTTATCTGATTGGGTTGGAAGCGGCTCTGGCTCTGCGATGTGCGATTTCTGGCCACTGTATTTTAGCTGCTTGTTAGGTCGTCCTTCTTCTGTTGCATCATGAGATTTGCGTTTGAGCGGTGCCTCATGTCCTGCTGTTGGTGGGGACCACTGCATCGAGGAGGAATGCTGAGGAATAGTTGGGACGGTAGAGATGCGGGATGTGTGTTTGGATAAAGCATGCTTCCCATCGTCCTCTCTCCGCCGCTTCGAAGCTCGCTCGTGGTCAAGATCATCGATGGGGCTGCATTTGACTTTGTTCTTGCCATCCTCCACACCTGACCCGGTCCCAGCCACTTTCGTTTGGCTTAACTCAAGCTCGATCAAAGGAATTTGCTCTAGAATCCATCGCAATAGTATGCGGCGGTGCTCGGCATCCTCGTTGGCGATCTGGTAATTCTGCGTCTTGTCAAGAAAATCATGGATGAGGCCATTTCGTCGCTTGATCGAGTCGAGCGATTTGAGTGCGGCGGCGAGTTGAGAATGAGCTGCTGCTAATGTCTGCTTAGTCGCGTGCTGGGCGGACATCACAACTAAGTTGGCGGAACGCACTGCCTCCTCAGCCCGTTCTTTATCACTTGCTCGCTGAAACGCAGATTTGACATCACATATGAACTCCTCTGTCTCGGAGGGTCTTGAGACTTGAGAGCCCACGAGCTCCTTCCAGGCTGCGTCATACCGCCGCTGAAGACGCTTGACAACTCTGGTATCTGTATCCTGCTTCCAGTACTCGTAGTGAAGATATTCGATCCAAGTAGCCAATTTGTCCTGGCGGTCTGGATCCTCGTCGAGTTGGAATTGCCGTATGAAGCCATGTCTTGCGAAACTACGCTTTACCGCATTGAGATATATAGAAAAGCGACCTTCCTCTCGATTGCTTCGTTGATACTTGCGAAACTTTCACCATTCGCTCATCTGAGGGTGGAACACTTCCCAATCTTTCAAGCCATGATTCCAGAATGATAGGATCTCGCGGTACTCTCCAGGGTTCTCCAGAACGTCTCGGCCAAGGCTGACCGGGTGCGAGGGCCGCCCGCCTTCACGCACAAGCGTATCATAGAACCTCGTCTCCCTCCGCAGAAGATGATGATACCATTCCTCGTCGTCTATTGACTCTGTCGTGGATCGGCTACAGAAATCCGAGCCCGCTTGTGAGTGTTGCGGAGGCTGCGCTAGCCTAGATCTCTTCGGAATCACGCCCTCAAGGCGTGCTGTGAGGTCGTTGAGATCGATCGGGCGGGAGAGCGCGCCGCCTGTTCGTGCTCTGACACGATAGTTAGAGGAGGATAAAGGAGGGCGGAGACGGAGAAGAGCCGCTTAGCAATCCTGGAGATCACCAAATGTTCCCAGAAGGAAAGGTCCTGACCGTCCTATCTTTTCTAGATATTGATCTAGTTCTGCATCACTGAAAGCAGCAATATCGCGAGTATAGAACATCGGACGCTGCGTTTGAACGGGTGCCATCTCTGGCGATGCTGATGCTGATGCTGAAGTTGCAGTGTGAAGTTGGAGCCTGAAGGTTGGACAAGGATAACTTCGTAAGGACAAAGACACGTGGGGAAGGTGGGGAGACGCGACGGGATGCCCAGGGCAAGCGCCTGCAGTGGATCCCGTCCCGTCGTGCTTAGTGTGCGGGGGAGGGGCTGGCTCCGAGTTCTTTATCCCCTTAGGCAGTTAAGGGGGAAAACACTCCATATAAAAAGTGTGTTTGATACAGCTGTTGAGGGGATAACTTGGCGATGCTGTGCATCCTGACTCGTTTGCCACTATCTAAATGCATTTAGCAGTGTTCTAATGGGAAGGGTGGTGTAGAGTTTGAAGTGGATTCGACAACTCTGCCACATTGCCAATATGGGCATCTTCCGTTCTCTCTAGGTTTCATCACCAGCTATCGCTTCACCCGTTAACCATGAGCCCTGATCTAAAACCTGTTGCTGGTGGAAATCGTCTAATGTACCTAGGTTCATTGCCGAGGAGATCCCTTGTTATTTCGAACAACGAGATCCAACCTGATTGTTTTAAGCAAACGTGAGTCACTTTTATGAATGCATACATTTACTTCTTGATTCACTTCTTATCGTAATCTGAGAGCCTTCAGACAGCTTACGGAGTAAATTGCGCTGAGCTTCGAATAAGCATTTTTACAGTCACGACATAATCGTAGGTAGGCTTATAGACTAATACAAGAACACGTCTGGTCAAAGTAGCTTATTATAACACTTTCACCTTAAAGGCACTCATTCTTGTAAGAACAATTGTCATCGCAATGAATTCCACAACACCTAAAATCTACACCAATACCTAGGTCACCCTTCTTTCCCCGATGGCACGCCATTCAATTCACTTGCAGAAGTCACCCTCACCACATAAGCCGACACCTTATATCACTTAAACCCTGCGGCGCCAACCAGCTCGCTGAATCAGAACCCCATCATCTTTAGATCGAGACGCACATACGTTTCTGCATCTCACCAACGACTGCAATCGTCTTTTACGGCCATCAACGACACAATGATCGACCTTGTCGCTCTGTCCGCTGCCGAACTTCAAGAGCTCCAGATTGAAGGAAGCTTGACCAGCACTCAGCTGGCAAAGCTGAGTCTGCTGCAGATCGAGAAGTATGACAAGAAGGGGCCGGAGTTGCGTGCCATGATAGCCATCGTTCCTGAAGACATCATTCTTGAACGAGCTGCGTTTTTGGATGAGGAGAGACGCGCTGGTAGATTTCTGGGCCCATTACATGGCATTCCAATCATACTAAAGGTCGTGGAAGCCAAATTTGATTTTGTTCTGTTGGTTTTACTGACCTTCGCTGCAGGACATTATCAATACTCCTCCCGAGTGGGGAAATTAACCACACAAGGATCCTGGGCGTTGGCCAAGTCTGTCCACAAGGCTCAAGCCCCTCTTGTGCAGAAGGTCTGCAAAAACAGCGTATTTCACAGACTTTTTACTGATTTCGAGAAGCTTTTGGATGCTGGTGTTATCATAATTGGGAAAACGAGCTTGACGGTGAGCTGGTACAATACATCCACAAATCGACGCTAATTCTGTATAGGAATTTGGCTCGGCAAAGTATGCATGCCCTAAATGTGTAAAATGGCGGCTCTCATGATATTCCAGGGGACCTGAAGGAGTCGGCGGTTTGTCAGCTATAAACGGTCAATCCCAATCTGCTTATGTCGAGGGATTTGTAGACCGAAATGATGAACCATTTGCCCATACAGTGCGTCGCTGCCTTTGCCACAGCCCCAATCATACAAGATTAACACTCCCAGAACCCAGGAGGCTCTTCCACGGGATCAGCGATTGGAGTTGCGGCTGGTTACAGTCCGATATCGATCGGGGGCGAAGCGAATGGCTCCATCCAAACCCCAGCTAGCCGTTCGAATTTATACGCTTTGAAAATCACGCCTCAAACCCTCTCCACCGAGGGAATTTTCCACATTGTTCCTACAGTCGAAACCCTTGGTGGAATGGCAAAGTCAGTCGCTGACCTGGAGGCACTAACCAAGGTGATTCTTCAGACCAGCAAGAAACCGGTTAAGATCAACGTTGATCATTCCACGACGTGGCAAAACTATACTACAGGATTCGTAAATGCAGACGACTGGCGCCTTCCAAAGGATCTATTCACTTCGACTGAGGAATATCGCCGCCAAATTGTAGGTTCTGTATCAGTACGTAGACCTTCGTCTAATCTATCCCCAGGACACAGCTTACACTGGGATCCAAGAAAAGATCAAGGCATTGGGTGGGAGTGTAGTGTATCCGGTGAAACCTCCTCATCCATCTAGCATTGATGGTGGGTTTCTAGCTATCGTCAGTAAGTTGCTACCCTCGAAAGCATACTTACGACAGCATTCTGACTATCTAAGACGGCGAGTTTCGTGACACAGTTGACGCCTATCTTCAAGGTCTCGAACAGTCAGATGTAAGGTCTCTGGCAGACATCATTCAATTCAATAGAGATCGCCCCGAATTGCAAGCTGGCATCAGTAAGTGTATTCGTAAATGGTGCTGGCCATCCTCCTAACAAAGGCACCAGGTCAGCCATGGTTTATCGGCCCACAGGAGTTCCAACAAACACCAGAGGAATATACCAAGATCCGCGAACAGGTTAGAGAGGATGCGGGGAAGAATGGGCTCTTTAGAGTTATGGAAGAGCTCTCACTCGATATCATTAGTGCCCCAACAGATGGACCGATCTGCGAAATCGCTGCCTTGGCAGGTACGTTCATTCTTCCGGCATCCAGCAATGTCTTCTCATATGACTTGAAACCGCAATGATTCTAGCTACTCTCAGGTGCTCCTACGGCGACAGTTCCTCTCGGTATCTTGGAACCGAGCGGTCGACCATTTGGGTTGACATTTGTGGGAAGGCCGGGATCTGAAGCCTTGTTGATACAACTCATGCACCTCTACGAAGCTGCTGCTCCAAAGCGCAAACTTCCCGCTCTGGTAAAGTGATAAACTTGTCACGTAGCTTTCCGAGCGGCTGATTCGAGAAGTCCAGGTCCGCTCATCCGCGCTGTTATGGTGTCTGGTGGTTGAGATGGCTTTCAATGTTATAAAAAAAATGAATACAGGCTGTCTTGTTCAAATTCAATTATGCACACCGTCTGATATGTAACGCAAGATGACTGCTAGGGTTGCTTTTTACAACTAAGTTGTGTGCTGTCTTCTTATCAGGATACTAACAACGTCAAATACTAATGTTAGGATCACATACCGAGCCCGGTCTTACTACAACTCTTTCACCTTAACAGCACTCGGTTTCGCAGGAACAAATGCCTTCGCAATGTATCCAATGATACTCAGAAACTACATTCATAAGTAAGCCTTCTTCCACATTCCATTCCAATCCCATCTCTTCCGCCTACCACCAGGTAATGACAAGCTTACTCACCACATAATCCAAAGTCTTGAAACCACCAGGCAGCGAAACGAACGTATCGCCATCATAAAAAGCCCGCATAGCCAGCAAAAACCCAGGCGAGCCTTGTTGGAAAAGGTCTTGGAAGAAAAGCGCCTTGAATGTACCCGATGGCTTGGTCCGTTCGGTGAACCGGGCGGGTTGGCCCTTGACTTCTGGATGTCAGCGTGACTGGTGTTCTGGTATGAGAGAGAAAGTGACTTGGGTGGGATACATACTAACAGTAAAGCCATGAACATGGCCTCGTGGGATAAGTATCGGCGGGTCGCCGGCTGAAGCGACGATTTTCTTGCCGTCGAGGTAGAATATCATTTTGCCCTCTAGGACTTCCATGATTTCGTCGTGGTCCTATGTTGGTAACAGGTAAGCTTATGCATGGCATATGAATCATTTGAGTGGAAGCATGATTGACGTACTCTGTGCCAATGATTGGGAATAGCGAGGATTTCCGAGTCGTCTTTACCGTCGTACCTGGTATCTACCCAGTTGTGCTCCGGTGAGTCTTGAGGCTTGCTCTGTAGATATATGATTCAGGACTGTGTTCAACGACTCTGATTTGGATGGTATTGAACATACATGGTCGATAAATAAACGCATGCTGATGCCCTGTTCTTGTTAGGCGACGGCATTATGTGGAGATCTGCCCGGGCTCTACCTTTCCTATTGCCAGGGGCATCAGTTCTTCTACTTGAGACGACATATTGTTCTCTATCCTCAGAAGCTATTGATCAACACCCAGCTTGATTATAGAACATTCTTGGAGACCTGAAGCTCGCAACTTGGATCTTGTTGGAAGGCGGAGTCGGACAATGGGATAAGACAACAGGTTTCCTTGCTGTTCCCGGATTCGGTGTAGGTAGCGAGTTTCCCGTCTTGGCTGGATGGCTGAATGGTTAGTGGGGTGGAGCGCTGAAGCAGCCACATTGGTCATGCTGGACAGTGTTTCTGGCGGGGTCGACGGACTGCGTTATTGGTTGATCGTGAACAGTAAATGGGATGACAGCAGAATGTCACAACTTATACTCCTTCATAGTACCGTATCAAATTTGCAATAAGTTGCATAACGCCGGAACCGGAAAAGCATAGGGCCAACAGTTTGTTATTCAGCTACATACCTCCTTCAACCCGCAGCTATCTCCTCCGCCTCATCTTCCCACTCTCCGCGCTCCTCCATTTCCTCATTTAATTCCATCTCACCATCTCCCTCAAGACCTTCAGAATCCCACTCATCGACATCCATCACGTCATCATCCTCATCATCTCCCTCCTCAGGCTTGGCGCCCTTGGCCTTCTTCTTCTTCTCAACATTCTCCTTCTGGATCTTTTTCCTTGCCTCTTTTTGCTGTCTCTTCTGTTCCCACTTCTTGTCCAGCGCCTTGACCTCTTCCTTGGACTTGCTGATGTACTCGTGCCACATGATCTTTCCGTTGCAGACTCCTTCTTCGACTTTGGTCATGCGTAGCTTCATTCTAGGACCCAACTCTACCAACTTAACGGCTCGCTTCTCGACACCACCTCTGGAGCTGTCTTTCTTCCCCTCTGCTTCGGAACGGTCCTTTCTTCGTTTTGACAGAATCTTCTTAGCCCGCGTCTCGACTACCTCTACTTCTGCGTCGGTATCCACTTCACTTCCACTGGTCGCTCCGTCCGTGACATATCCGTCCCCCCCTTCACCACCGATCATGTAATCCGCAATATCTGACATCTTGCCAAGGTTTGGTAATCCGCCTTTCTTGGTTTTACCTGACTTTTGTGAGTGTAGCAGCTTTTCGGCAGCATTTAATCTGCGGAGAGGTTTTGATAGGCCCATTGCCTTTGTGGTGATGGCATAGTGTCGGAGGTTGAGAGTATATGTTCCGTCGCCCTCCTTGGAAGGTTCGCGATTGAGGAGTAGGACTCGCCGGATCGAAGAGAGGGGTGTGGCTTGCGGGGCGATTGGAGGGAAAAGGGACTGGAATATCGTGGTAACAAGAGATTCAAGATGCTTAGGTACCTTGTTGGGCGAATCTGATTCAGAGGCTGGGGATGTGAAGTTATTCATGACAAGCTGCAGACTTCATTAGTACATGTGCAAACTGGCTTGAATAGCATGAAAACATACCAGTGGTGCCGTCAAGTATTCTTTTCCGCCACCTTTAGGGTGCTTCAGAGCTTTTCTGATATCCTTACATAAAGAGTACTTCTCAACGTTGAAATGTAGTGTTGGTCCTCTTGGTGTAATCGCAAGTCGCATATTCGTATTTCCGGACTCTGATCTCGAGAACAGCATGAGATGGCTCACACCGAGAGGCCCAGCCATTGTAAGGTAATCCCTCAATCGATTGGCTCTTCTTTCCTTCAGCCTTGAGGCAGTCCCTGGTTCCATCATCAAGCGGGTATCCTTCACCAATTGGCTAACACTGGGTCCGACTTCTCCAGCTCCAATTCGAATAACCATACTCTTCGGCGCATTCGAGGGTTTCTTAGAGACCGCTCCTCCTCCACCAGCAGAACCATTGTTTGCGCCCACATGGGTACGCTTCTTTGTTCGTCTTCGTGCCATTGTTGTGGATTTGTATGTGGTGTAATGGTCTGCAGAAAAGAAGCTCAGAATAATTTTGGGTAGCAGAAATAATTGCGCAACCAATCAGAGTAGCTAGTTCGATAAGCGATAAGAATTTTTATCCTCTACACCAACCACGCAATCCGACTTTCTTCTCTTCCTCCCAACCAAATCAGCCAGCTTCGCCCATCACAATGTCTTCGGTCAAAAGACGCAAGGTTGACGAGAACCTGCCTTCGGGCTTGCTGAAGGAGAAGAAAAAGCACAAGAAAGAGAAGACCACCAAGGATGTTGCAACAGAACCAGCAACCATGTCTGGCTCCTCCGACCCAGAGCCTGCTTCCGTTGCGCACGAAGTACCAGAAGAGAACACTGCAGGAGAAGGCGAAGATGGAGATAAAGAGCCGCCAAAGTCTTTTAAGGATCTCGTATGTGTACTCTGGTCTAAATTAAGGTGTTGGCTCATGTGATTTAGGGAATCGTCGACGAACTATGCGACGCATGCACAGCACTCGGATACAAAGCACCTACACCGATTCAAGTCGAATCTATACCGCTCGCACTCCAGAACCGAGATCTGATCGCCTTAGCGGAAACTGGAAGTGGAAAGACAGCTGCGTTTGCCTTGCCAATTCTCCAGGCGCTCCTCGATAAACCACAGCCATTCTTCGGACTTATCATTGCCCCAACTCGCGAGCTCGCATATCAAATATCAGATTCCGTCGAAGCACTAGGATCGAAGATAGCGGTCAGATGTGCTGTCATTGTTGGAGGAATGGATATGGTTCCCCAGGCCATCGCGCTAGGCAAGAAGCCTCATATCATTGTAGCCACACCTGGACGATTGCTAGACCACCTAGAAAATACCAAAGGATTCTCGTTGCGAGCACTGAAGTACTTAGTGATGGACGAAGCCGATCGCCTGCTGGATCTCGATTTTGGCCCAATATTGGACAAGATTATAAAGGTCATACCTCGAGAACGTCGAACTTACCTCTTCTCTGCGACAATGAGTTCGAAGATTGAGAGTTTGCAAAGAGCCAGTTTGAGAGACCCTCTCCGAGTCAGCGTCAGTACAAAGTATCAGACTGTTTCGACTCTGATACAAAACTACCTGTTCATCCCTCTCATCCACAAGGACGTCTACTTAGTCTATCTTATGAACGAATTCGTCGGCCAATCTGCCATCATATTCACTCGTACGGTAAACGAAACACAGCGACTAGCCATCCTGCTACGCTCTCTAGGTTTCGGCGCCATCCCACTCCATGGTCAGCTCTCTCAAACCGCTCGTCTCGGAGCTCTTAACAAATTCCGTGCTGGTACCCGGAAGATCCTTGTAGCAACTGATGTCGCTGCTCGTGGTCTTGATATTCCTTCAGTGGATATTGTTATGAACTACGACCTACCGCCAGATAGCAAGACATACATTCATCGCGTGGGTCGTACCGCAAGAGCCGGAAAGTCGGGACACGCATTCAGCATCGTAACGCAGTATGATGTGGAAATCTTCAAGCGCACAGAGGCTGCACTGAAGATGCAACTAGATGTGTACGAGCCTGTTAAGGAGGAAGTCATGATTTTCAAAGAAAGAGTGGACGAGGCACAGCGACATGCCAGAAACGAGATGAAGAGTCTGCATGAAGACCGAGGTAATAGGGGCTCCGTACTAAAAGGTCGACGTCCAAAACCTGGCGGCCAAAAACGAGGAAGAGACGACATGGATAGAGAAGAGGGCTGATTTTCCCCGGAACCGAAATCAAATAATCTTGCAAAAATATTGATGCTTCATCGCATGCTTTAATACAATTCACTGTATTTTCTTTGCTTGGCTTGCATTCTTTCTATACTAATGATATTTGCATCATGCAGACCCATTTCGTCTTTGTTTCTCAAGCGGGATATGCAACAGGAATCTGGTTCTTGCGATTATTTGAAGCAAACCCAGCAGAGCCGTTCGTTAGGATTTGCGATATTTATAGCTCTCGCTTCATGTGTCATGGCGTTCCCATTACCCCAGATCAGTCTCTTCAGACACGCTACTTCACCCCTCAATTCGGACTTTAGCACATGGCAAGTTTCGGCAGTCACCCGAACTGATAGCCAAGATCTGCTCGAAACCACAAGTTCTTAGCCTTTTCGGTTCCAGCTCCCTCTTTGCATCGTGATGGTGTCGCAGTTTGGACCGAAATAGCTGCATTTTCTTGGCTCTGGTATGGTAGCCGAAGCTGCTTCAGATGACGGCGATCATTCATCTTGGCGGAAGGTGGAAGCGCTGCCACTCTTGAGAACTTTTACCTATGTATTTAATTGTTGTTAATTTTATTGCGGTTTCTCTTCGTTAGCAGGAGACCTATAATCTACCCAAAGTATGATGGCAAGTGCCTCAAGCAATAGAATCTAACGAAACGACCAGCTGGTATTTTGGAACTCAGGTCACCAGTATTCTTGTCTTGTTTCGACATCTACTTGACAGCTGTCATGAAAACCCCACGACAAGTATAACCAAATCTTGTTTTTGATCTTGACAGGTCTTGGGCGTTTCCCCACCCGGCGAAGTTTCACTTGGGTTCTCCCAACCAGCTTCATGTCAACATAAGCTTAGCCAAGTCGTCTCGAGAAGCACATTTTCAACTGCGATAGACCCCAAGGTCGGGTACTCCAAGGCAAGAAAGTCACCACCCATACACTCTCAGGTTCAAGATGCTGGGGAAACCCTATCATTGGGCTGAGATAGTAATCAAACTCTTGTGGGGTTTCATATGATACAGTTATGTGTGCCGTTCTCTTGGACGTCCAAGAATAGGGTGGGGAAGTAAACCTCATCACGCTCTGATATCAGTCGCTGCTGCTGTTGGGCCCTGGCCAATCCTACCTCACAAGGGAGATGTAGACTAAGTTGTTTGACTTGGACTCAAAGGGAGGGAGCAATGTCATGAAGTCCCGTACATATAGACTTCGTGGACTGCATATCCCAACATCCTCACCAGCAAGTCTGGAGCATATTCTTTTCTCTTCGTTTATCCTCTACCAATCTGAGTCAATAATATCGCATCTCTCTCATCACCAGACATAGACCACGAACATGCTCACTCTATCCTCCACTACTTTTCTCTTCCTCCTCGGCCTCATCACCTTCAGCAATGCACAAACCACCGCACCCTTCTCAGACCCAGTCACTGGCATACAATTTCAGCGCTTCTTCGGCGCAAGAACACAATTCGGATTTGGCATTGCACTCCCCGAAAACCCAACTACAGACTTCATCGGACAGATGACTTTCCCCTTAACAGCAGCCGGAGGATGGGGCGGCATTGGACTCGCAGACGATATGGTCGGGCCATTACTCCTCGCAGCATGGCCCAATGGCAACACTGTGGAGTCATCATTCCGTCTTGCATCAGAAGAAGAGGCTTCACCGCCTGTGGCTACGGGTAGCTTTTCAGTGGTGCCTATACCAAGTGGAACAAGTGTAAATGCTACGAACTTGTCGTTTACTTTCCTTTGCCAGAATTGTATTGATTCCAGGCTTGGCTTTTCGGCGGGGAATACGCTCGGGACTTTTGGGATGGCGTGGGCGCTGGCTGGGAGGCCGGTGAGTGATCCTGCGGATGGGGCGACGGAGTTGTCTTTTCATGATAAAGGTTGGTGGCTTTTAAACTTCCTTGGGACATTCTCGTATTAGTTCGTGTGACTGACTTAACTACAAATAGGATTTGATACATTTGACGCACAGTTGAATGCGGCAAGAAGTCCTCTCTTTGGCGAGTGGGCTCAATTAGCTGGGGCCGACATTGTGTCGAACGGATCGACTACAGCTGTGACGCCGGTTGCACCTGGTACTGGAGGGTTCGCTGGTGGAGACGATGACGATGATGAGGAAGACGACGATGATGAGGCCGGAGGAGCAGCCGAATCAGATGATGATGATGATTGATATATGTCTTTGTCTCTATATATCTCTTTCTTTTTTACCTATAGCTTCCAATACCCGATACGTTGGTCTTTCTTTTTTCCTTATGTGGTTAATTTCACGATGTTTGATTTGGTCGCATATACAAACAAACAAACCTTATCTTCAACTCGTCTCACAATTGTATATTTCTGCAGGACTTTTGCTGATCTAGTGGTCATAAAATTCTAGTACTGTGTAAACACCACGACTCGGTTTTCATTGTCTTGTGATTCTACTCATAGATATCTCAGACTCGTTCATCTCATGATATCAGGATCCCCAATTGCAAGGCATGGAAATAGCCGTACACTTCCCCAACAAGGCAAATTCGGGACGCACCTAACCGCTCCCGACTCTGCGGGGTTTGCCATATCAGCCCTGGTAGCGTTGTTTTTTAAGTTATTTAGTAGTGTAGCTTAAAAAACCGAAACCCCTGAGCTGAACGCAAAGCATCGGATATACTCAGCCCTATTTCTGTTAGCATCTTGCTCTAAATCCCAATGGTCAAGCACGGCTCTTATTTCCACGTTTCTATTGGAGACTGCAACCTCAGCCTCGTTGTGTCCAATGGCTCCCAAGTGAGGGGTTTGAAAGGAACGTGCCGAACTTAGATTTGCTTTCAATCAGCTGTACGCCTTATGGCTGCGGCTCTGAGTTGTCTGTGGACGAAGCTTTTTAGCGTGTGAAGTTCCCCGTAACCATGCAGGAACAGAGTTATTCTTGCCGAGTTCAAGCAGGACGCTATTCTGCCTTGGTGAGCGCCACCAATAAATCCTCCAGTAACGTAGGCTCCCCGTGGCTGCTGCAAAGGAAGGAAACTTGCCGTGAAATCCAATGACCATCTCGTGATGTGTCAAAGGCTTGCTCGATGGGAAGATGTGCTTATTCCCCAAACGGAAGAGGAAGTCTGAGCAGAGTGCCCGGTCATGATATGAGTTGTTCTTGGCCCAGCTCCGATGAGATGCATACTTGCACCTGTTATATTATGTGCGGCTCCTCTTCATTGAAGTATAAGAGATAGTAGTTCTTCTATTCTTCCTCTCTTTCATTCATCAAAACTCCCCAAATCATACTTTCATTGAGCAGTAAAACGTTACAGACGTCTCCATCATGCAGCTCTTCAGAGTTATCCTCTTATCCACTGCAGTCAGCGCAGCAAACATCAAAGAGCGTACTGGCTCAGGAGGCTGCAACAGAGATAACTGTCTCCGCGCCGTTCAAGGCACTGCTAAGGGACCTGCTCAAGTGCAGATTGCCCGCACTGATTGTAGTTCTTTCCTTCAGGTGACTACTACGGTCCCTTCAAGGTCAGTGTTTGCCGAAGATTTCATTTTATTTTAAAATAATGTATTGAGATTCTGTGCTGATATGAATCCTTTTCAATTTAGGACCGCAACTGTTACTCACACAGCAACCGTTACTGCCCCAGCTGTCCTCCCCAAGCGCAATAATGCTGCAAAGACCGTCCCTACTTATGCATCTGCCTGCTCTGGAGCAGCTCGCTACTCAAGTGCCTGTTCATGCTGGGGCATTACAGCTGGCACCAAGACAATTACCAGTGGGGTATGTTTAACTTTACTCTGACACAAACATCTTACATATGGATGCTGATTATGAAATACATAGGTTACCACCAAAACAGTCAAGACAACCGTCACGGTCCCAGCGAAATCATCATGCACTGTAGCGCCTAAGACCGACAAGTGTGGTGATAAATGTGTTGATCTGAAGAGCGACCCCAAGAACTGTGGTGCCTGTGGAGTTTCTGTAAGCTCATTCACTTGCACATTCCTTATTCCATTATATCTAACGTATTCCAGTGCTCAAGCGGAACTTGCACCAACGGTGTCTGTGCCGCCACAACCTGTACCAATCTCGGAACCTGTGACAATTTCAGCACATGCGGTGCTGGCGGCGCCTGCGTCTGCGCCTCGACATCTGACAATACCGGTTTCTGCGTCAGTGGCGATACACCTTGTGCTGGACTTGCAGATTGCCAAACCAGCGCTGATTGCGCGCTTGGAAGTGTGTGCGCGGTTGGTTCTTGCTGTACTCGGAATGTCTGTATTGCCGCCGATGCTTGTGGTGGATCCAATCTACCGAAGTTCTTGTTTGCACGGGTGTCTTATGACACGGTTGGACATAGAGGCTCTTAATTGATTGATGTGAGAACATCAATAGTATATGGTAATTTGTTAGTGGAGCGGCGATGATAGGGACGGAATGTTCAGTGGAACGCATGCCAGATGGTACGTTTACTAGTCACTATTTACCAGTCGTAATACAGGTCTGCGATAAGTATGTATCTATATCATGGCAACTCAATATAGGACTTAATCGATACCACATTCTGTCACCGACGGTCTACTCCTGAAACCCTCTTGAGTCGCAAAATTCCAATGATCAAGCAAACGTATGTCAGAAGTTCTCAGACCATAGCATCTCAAGAAAGGTGGAACAAAGATGCTAAGCGAGCCTTGTGTTTCCCGGGATTCCGTCTGATAGGGCACCCAGCAATAAATCAGCTCCACCATTCCACAGCTCGGCGAATAGTACAGTCAGCAAGTCAATCCTTGATTGCCCATTAATCGTATGTCAGCATGAAAAGCCTAGAAGGACATCTTGACGGTTGGCAGCAACTGGAACGCACAGACGTCGGGCCTTTACTAGGTAATAAATCGGCCATATTGTGGTATCTCCGGATTTTCCAAAACCTCATCGCCCACTACGTTAATTGAAATAGTAGTTTTCTGGGAGACCTGGGTCTTGTCAACCGCTCTGGCTGTGAAGTGACGTGAAGGCGTGAAAACTTCCCTTATTTTTGGCAATGACTAAGAAACGAGCAAGTATACTTCAGGATACACGCAGCACTCAGAAATTATCTCAGCATAAAATTTTATAGAGCTTAATTTCAGGCATTCATGGAAGCGCTTTACAAATGTTGTCTCAATTCTACTCTGCAGCCTGCCAGCCTCACTCGCCAGCCGATATTGCCCAGGCGGTAATGTGTCAAAAGTACCTACAACCTAAAACGGAAGGAAGAAAACAACAGAATTCCTAAGATAACCCATTATCCAATCGCATCCTAAATCTGTTTTGGGGTTTCACGACTGTAATTCAGCAGCGGGCTTGATTTATCATCACTCGTGTTCCTGGCTCGTACCATTGAAGTAAGTGTCTTTTCACTGCAGTTACGCTGTGCAAGGACATCAGCTCCACTCTGGGCCTTGGGAAATCATATTCAAGCTAACCCTTTTACCAAAACAAGACAAATTCGCTGGTCTCGGGTCATGTCATGTAGGCTATAGGAGATATTTGGAAGCTGCCAAGACTTGCTTGGTAGTGAGATGCTCGTCATGATCCTGTAAGATATGTTGGAACGAAGTCCCAATGAGTCTGCAGTGCTTGAATGATTCTTATTTATATGAGTGATCTGTGATCTGTTCTAAAATCGCGATCACACTATCAATCCATCATCAGTCAACACATCACTGTCCTGCCACAAAAATTCTCTCTTGATCACTGATCTGAAGTAAACACATCTCTCGGTACCACAAGATGTCTGCTGATATCCCAGCACAAGTCGATATTATCATAGCGGGCGTTATGTCCCTCTCTTCCCTTCCCTCCTTCTACCCATCTCATCCAACACAACTGACACTCGTTGTCCCCCACAGGTGGAGCAACCGGCTGCCTCCTCGCCTACCGACTCTCAACCGCACACCCCACCCTCTCAATCCTCCTCATCGAAGGCGGGCTAGAAAATAGAGACCACTCTCAAATCGTCAATCCCGGCCTTTTTATAACCAATCTAATTCCCGGTTCCACCTCAGCACGTTTCTACACATCCGCAGCTGCCAAAGAGGTCAGTGGACGGGAAGTGTCTGTTGCAGCGGGACGATGTCTTGGTGGAGGAAGTGCGGTGAACTTGATGTGTTATGTTAGGGGAAGCGCGAGTGATTATGATGCGTTCGGGATGGATGGATGGGAAAGTAAGGAGGCGGTGGAGTTATTCAAGAAGGTTAGTTTTACTGTCCGTTCGCTCGTGTTTATTTGGTAAGCGAGTGCTTGTGCGGCTTGGGACTGACTTTGATAACATAGCATGAGACCATTCATCTTCCCAAAAATGAATTCAATGCCCAGACCACGGTATCGATAAATCAAGTCAAAATTGATTTATTTTTGATTAATTGATTAATTAATCAAATGATTTAGAATGAGAATTTTAAAACAAACGATTAATTATCTTAGCGATTTATAAATCGAATAATTAATTAGATAATTCAAAGGTATTTGAATTATACACGTGATAAAATTATATTAGAAATCTAGATTTTCCATGATAATTTAACTTAAAATATTAGCTTATAAGTATATTTAGTAGTGTTTTATATAATCATAATAATAAAGTTTAAATTCTATAGCTTTAAATAAGAATTATAAATGTTTATTTTATTAAATATATCATGTTATTTTTTGATTTCTTTTAATTTACTTTTAATATATTTCTATTCTAATAATTAGCTAGTAATAAGATTACGATTAGTTTAAAACCTTTTAAACCCTCTTTTGATAAGGCTAAAGACCTTAAAGGTCTTTTTTAATTAAATATTATAAGTTACTTTTTTATTTATAAATCTTATATTATAAATTAAATTATAAATCAAAATAATTTAAATAATAATTCCAAATCATGATTTAGAATCATCTTTTTGAAAATAAATGATTAATCGCTAAGACAATTAATTTTCTTAGCGATTTATTAATTCTCTTGGCAATTATTCAAACTCAAGCTTGACTAACGATACCGTGGCCCAGACTCATGGCTGGAGCAGAGAATTCCAGATTTCCCAAGGTGGGACGTATCACCAGAAAGAATCAATGGAAGACTACCTCGACGCTTCAACGGCTGCTGGATGGGACCGGACGGCGGATCCTATGGACCTGAAAACTGGGAACGCATTCGGAGTTTGTACTCTCTACTTTGATCAATTGACTTGTGCTGATGTAAACAAAGCCGTTAGCAGCATGGATCGATCCCAAAACTGGCCGTCGTCAAGACGCAGCTCACGTTCTCATCCACCCACTCATGGACTCCAAATCTACCTCCCTCCAACTCCTCACAGACCACGACGTCGTACGCGTCCTTTTCGACTCTTCTAAGAAGGCAAACGGCGTCGAAATCCTCTCTCGTCAAAACCCAACCACACGTATCACCATTACAGCACGCAAGCTCGTCGTCCTCTCAGCAGGTGCGTTCGGCTCACCACTCATCCTAGAACGGTCAGGACTTGGAGGTCAAGAAGTCCTTGACAAGATCGGTGTTCCATCCGTCTATGTGAACCCAAATATCGGCAATAATTACCAAGACCACCCTCTCGTAGCATGGCCATATCTCTCGTCCGGCAGTCCAGAAACATCCCTCGATTGCCTCCTCAACGGTACGCTTTCTGTACGTGACGCACTTGCGAAAGATAAAAACATCCTGAGCTCCAACCACATTGAAGGCATCGGGAAGATCAGACCTGATGCAACTGATCTTGCGGGCTTTAGTCCCGAATTGAGGGAGTTCTTGCTTAGAGATTTCGCTGACAAGGAGGATAAGCCTGCTGCTCTTTTACTACCGGCGTCTTTTCATTTCGGTGATCACAAAGATACGCCGGGACAGTATTTCTCGATTGGATCAGCGCTCGCGTATCCATATTCGAGAGGGTATGTACATGCGTCCAGCGCTGAGGTAAAAGATGCGCCCGAGTTTGACGTGGGATTCTTCAAGGAAGAGGTGGATATTGAGATATTTGTTTGGATATATAAGAAGCAAAGAGAGGTTGTGAGGCGGATGAAGAGATATTGTGGGCCGTTGGGGAGTTGTCACCCTGTGTTTAAGAAGGGGAGTGAGGCCAGTTTTGAAGTGGCGGATAGTGATATTGGGAAGGTGGATGTGAGTGAAATCAGGGATGTGAAGTACGGGAAGGAGGATGATGAGGCGATTGTGGAGTGTTTGAGGCAGAGGGTGGAGACGATGTGGCATTCGCTTGGCACGTGTGCTATGAAGCCATTGGAGGATGGGGGCGTTGTGGATGGTAACTTGAATGTTTATGGTGTAGAGGGGTTGAAAGTGGCAGGTATGTTTGAAATGACCCGACAAATGAGGGTAGAAGGCATTATTCAACTAACACTACTAGATATGTCAATTGTGCCGAAGATGGTGGGAGCCAATACTTACTCAACGGCATTGCTTGTAGGAGAAAAGGCAGCGGAAATCATTCTCAAAGAGCTGGAGCTTTGATTTTCTCTGCTTCGAGAGGGCATTTCTTAATGGAGTTTCGTGAAGAGATATTAAGAACGCAATTAGGAAGCTATACACTAGGGTCATTAGTTATCAAGTCTTTATTTTTTGCAACCTTGGTAAGGAAAGCAGGTGTTGAAGCAGGGTGCAGCAACGCTCAGGGTAGCATACATATCCTCCGTTTTTTTGTCGATAAAAGCAAACTTCATAGCAACTCCAGATCTCCCAGTATGCCTTTTTTTTTTTTTTTGCAGTCATTTCAAACTCATACAATCCATCAATGTCATTCAGCTCATCGAGTTTCACCCCGTCATAATGTCAGGACAACGCCAAGCAATGCTGCCAATGCAATGCCCCAGGAAACACCCCTGAACCCATCATAGAAGCACACCACCCAGAAAACTCCCTTTATGAAACCAGCATTTAAACAAAGAACGGAGTTGCTGAAGCTCATTTCACGCCCGTGAAAACTTCAGATGAACACCATTCGGACAGGCAATGCAAGACTCAACAAGACCTCTAAATGCGAAAAGCAAATACATGACGGTCAGATCAAATGAAACCTTCTTCGTCCTCGGCCTCTGGGACTGGCAAAGGGGATTCGTTTGGGTTAATTCCAGCCTGTAGGAACTTTGCCTTCGCCATTTGGATAAAGTTGTCAATCCAGAGTCTGGGCTCGTCTTTGACAACTTGAATCCCTAGCACCTGCCAGATCGTAGTACGCTCGTGATGCACAGTCCAAGGAGCAGGGCCAACCTTTCTTCCAAAGACTGGATTCTCACGAGTGCTGAACTCCGTCATGTCGTGCTTTAAGAGGAGGAGTGTCAAGCGAATGATTTGCCACTTGATCGTCTGGATAGTCTCAAGAATGATGGGAGATTGGCGATTCAACCTTTGGACCATGGAAGCAGCTCTGAACAGCTCCCAAAGCCACTGGTGGAGATCAGTCTGTTGACTATGGTGAAGAACAGTGAGGAGATAAATCATGTTCAATTGAACCGGATTGTCCCAATTCATCATCTTGAAGTAGTGAACCGCTGTATCAATCAAGGTTGTAGGTGGAAGGTTCCCCATGTTGGCGAGAGGAATGCTTGTGACCTAAAGTACACGTAGTAGTCAGCAAAGGATCTTTGGGTGAAGGAGAAACTCTATGGTAGAACCTACATCTTGGTAGAAATTCTCATACAGGATTTTCACGACCTGTGGACCAAGGTATTGCGTATAATGCTCCCCTGTTGGGTATTTGAAAACATCGAATGGAAATCTCAATGAAGGAGTGATTGGAGAAGGGGCTGCAGGTGCTAGTGGAGGTGCAGCGATCATTGACGGCGGCCCTTGCAGACGATCCGGATTGGGAATTGGAGTGGGTCCGAATGCATCAAGATGGGAAGTGGCAGCGAAGGACTGATTGTTGACTGCGAAGACATTTTGTGATGCCCGAGGATCATTTGATTGGAGTTGGAACATTCCCATTCCGGGTTTCTCAAGGCTGGGCTTTCTTGGTGTGGAAAACTGTTGATTGGCCATTCGAGGTTGTGGTCTCAGAATACTGGTCGCCTGGTCCATGTTTTGAGGCTGGGCTCTCGCGACCTGACCCCCTTGAGATACCGGATTGCTTTTAAGAATCAACTGTTTCGGAACTTCAGCTAGGTTGAGTGTCATATTTCGACGGCGTCCTCCTCCTTGGCCTTCCCGAACTGTGTCTGCTTCAGCGGTGACCCGCAGTCTCTTTGAAGCTCGTCCATCCCTTGCGCCCTTGTCGGTTGCTTCCTTGCCGCGGGGATCAGATTGTGTTGCGGTCTTGTCTTTTCTAGCAACATGTTGTTGACGGCGAGCTGAGAATCCATTTGGGCTTGCTTGTGGAATATTCTCTGGTCCTGTATTATTCAGAGTATTTGTGGTGTGAAGTTCAAGGTCAATGAACTCATTTTCTGTGGCGAGCTTTGCCTGTGTAGAGACAGTGCTTTCAAATCTAGGAGGTTCTTGCAGATTGAACGACCCGGTCCGCATTTTCGTAGGTTGGAGTTGCTTCTGGAACCGATACATGCTAAACTGTTCGTCGCTGGCAAACACATCATCCAACTCAGCGCTGACCTGCGTGGGGGCCGGCGACTGCTTGGAGACCGATGGCACTGTTAGACATCCAGACATTTTGTTAGGTTCACCTGCTTGAACATCTAATCCCTGTAGAGATAGTCTAGTTAGTGTTTGACTCTGCCGTGCAAGCTCCGCATGATCCAGTATTGACCAGTGCCACTCATAAGAGTAATAATCATGAGAGTCTTGGAATAATGGTGAGACGAAGAGAGTTCTCTGACACTTACCGAGAACGAGGACTTCTCTCGCGTAGAGCTGTCTTCTTCCACAATCCCGGAATCCACCATTTCCATGAAGAATTGTTGATAACTCTCATCGCCGCCGTTATTGCCATTCTGGCTGTCGTCTACGTTGAGACTTCCTAGGGCGAATGGCGTTCCGTGAGGCTGGTCATAGTTGAATAATGGGTCAGGGAAGCTGCTAGGAGCCTGTCTGTTGCCATCAAGCTGTTGCTGGTCTTCGAAGATCTGCTGGTCTAAATCGATGGAAGCAAATGTATTGTTGGCTAGATCATTCATACCATCGTCCTGCTCTTGGTTGTTACCGCTGTGCTTGTCTGCTTCTTCGTCCCATTGTGCGTCGTTGTTCGTAAACACAAACACATCGTTCTTCGACACATCTGAACTTCCAAAGCCACTTGAGCCTTGGAGGTATTAGACCATGTGAGATGAAAGCAGGAGGAGAGAAGCTAGTCTTACCTGCCAGCTGAAGGCCATGGTCATCTGTTTCACTGTACTTCGAGGTACCGATCATTTTTGTGACTGAAGATGAATTCGAGATCCAGAATGGGAAGAGAAGGGCGAGAGGAGTTGACGATGCACAACCTGTTGTCGACGGCTAGATCGGACATAAAAGACGTTTCAGAGAGAGTGAGAGTGTAGCAGAAGAAGCAGATGACTGTACGTTGACGTGCTGTGCCTAGCTGGAGGGTGCTGGTGAAGATGAAGAAGAGAATCACCTCGAGATGGATCACAGCGCTTTTGACCTCGCCTCGCCTCGGGGACCGGCCGCACTTTGTCCCTTCCCAACATCAATAGAGTATTGGACTATCACCTGACACGCTTATTCAATCTGTATCCCAATTCACCCTTTCTGAGCCAAACAAGTCCTTGGAACCTCCCCTTTCGTCCATATTCTTCGCCGAGACGCTTCACCTGAGCTCTTTCCAGCAAGCAGGCGGCTCTTGTAACCCGCTAGCAAGTCACCAGCTAGCAATGTGACTCAAACACTGGTATAAGCTCATCCAGGCAGATACAAGTCCTCGCTCAAGACAGGCCTTTTCCTGGCTAAACAGGAAAGTGCATATTTCCGGAAATTGTGGACTCCGTCAAGCATGATGATGTGATCCGAGATCCGAAGCCATCTCATATCCGTAAGTCAAGTGGTTGCGCTCCGAAAGTAGTGTTGCGTTTCAGTATATATTTCCTTCTGCTCAAGCCACTCAATATGATGGAGCTTCCATGGTAAATTGAGTCTCTGTTCTCGTTTCCCGTTTTTGATCCTCATCGACATCGTACTTGTGAATAAATCACGTCTTTCACAATCAGTCGGCAAGGTAGAGTCCAGCAGTAGTCGTTCTATCATTTTTTTTTTTCAGTATCAAGGTCACGCAGACCTGACGGTGATTGTTCCTATAGCCACTTCATTTCTTAACAGGCCATTGGTTTAAAATGGCACAGTGGGATGCCGGATGATCGTAAAATGATCCATGTAGGCAAGTTTCGCCGCCAGTCCCATTGGGATGATAGATTCAGGAGGACGTAGGAATGTCTGCCAATCATGAAGCTAGCTGTAGTGCCAGGGAGGATGTCTCTCATCATATGATACGCTCCATTTCAAATGTCTAGACGTCGTCTCGTGCCATTTTGCTTTGGTGGCTAAGATCATACTCCGATAGGTAGCTTAACTCAGAGAGTGTCGAATCTCGCCTAGATTGTTTTCCTGCTTTCTTTTATCAGCGGTGTATGAAAGAATCAAGGGGTCAGTTGGAGGGGAAGGTCAAGCTTGTCATGTCGTTAACAAACGACAAGGGGCATGTAAACCTGTACTTGTGATCCATACTCACCAAAGAAGTCTACAGTAGTCCTGTGTAGCTCCAGGTCAGACTTGTGAGTCGTGACATCATTCTGATATCTCCCGCTATGAAAGCTGAAGAGTATTTTCTTTGTAGCTCTGAGAATTGTTCCTCTGGGCACGTCCATGCAAGACATCTGGCTTGGCCTGGCGTGAAGGAATCCTTTCCCCAGGATCGTCTTCGAAGATGCTGGATTGCCACTGTCAATCAAACTCAAGACACTGCTAGAAGCGCCACGTTATCCAAAAATCCTAGAGCAAAGCTGTCTTCGTTCGGTCTTGTCTCGTCCTGCGGACTGCTAAAGAGCCACGCAATGAGAGCGAAAGAATGGAAGACTGTCGTCCGTACCCACGTGTCAAAGCATGACATTTTTCAAGCTCTACAGAACGAGTGCTGCTGTAACAGTAAGTGCTATGTTACACAACTGGAGGACACTTCGAACTGTTTCCTCCTCTTTGATTTGACAGTGTAGCTCACAACTCCGAATGATAATGTGATCGGAGAGCCATCCCTTTACCGAGGAAATAGAAATGATCTGCTGGTGAGTAGGCGGGCGGATATCTCTCTGGAAGGGTTATTATATGTCTCATTGTGTCCCACGTCGTCGGAGGGGCGGATGTTGTTCACTGGTGCTGGGTATGCTGTGTATATGCCTTCCTTAAGGCCAGATGGCCAATCAACTGGAGTCATTTCCATGGGAGCTCGAGACCACGACTCCAGAGTGCGAGTTCCTTCGATATCTAATCAACATGAGGTTTCATATGTGTTCATCAGCAGTGCTGAAGAGAGGTGTTCATCCATCAAAGGAGCATTTCCGAGGACTTCTTCGGAGTGTCTTCGAAGCGTCAACTCTTTAGGCAGTGCCTTCTCTAGTGTCCATGGACAAAGTTTTGGGAATCCTTAGAGAGCAAACATGAATGGGTTTTGGCCGTTAGTGTTCATTGTCGCTGTCTTTGGATGACAAGATAGAAGAAGGGAAGAGACTGAGAGGTTCAGAAGAGAACGAAGTTCGGTCCATGTTTTAGCGCCAGAAGTACTAGCTAAAACATTACCATGACAGCACTAGTAAAACAGCTCTCGAAGCGCAATGAAAGACCAATCAAGATCAGCCTACTCCACCCATGGATATTCGAAGTATCATACATTTTGCTGGTGAACTTCGAATAGCACTGTCCCCGATACGGTAAGTGGGGGAGCTTATGTCTCAGCTGTCCAGCCTGTCAGCGTCAGAGCTTCCCAACCTCTTCCTTCATTACATCTGCATCATAACTATCACAGCTTCCCAATACTGCGCACCTTTTGGGCCACAATTCAAAAATCGACCGGTTCTTCGTGATGGTGAGTACAAAAGTACAGTGTTAGCGGTAAGTAGGCAATCACTTCTTCTGCTTTGTACAGAAATGTACCCCGCTATGCCCTACTCTCCTCTCATATCTCCTTCAGCATGGACGGTTAACTGCCTCAATTGATTTTTTCAGTTTCTTCTAAAGGTCACTGATATAGGTAGATACCCTCCCTAGCTTCGAATGCCCGGGTTGATGCCGTTCTCTCACAGTCGATGCCATCCCAGCAGTTGCGACCGAGCCACTTCGATGTTCATGACCCCTAAGCCTCACAACACGAAGACACTACCAACATTCTAAGATACGTCCACGTTCGTCTGCCAAATTTTCGAGAACAGTTAAATAAATACGACCATATCAAACATTGCAGACCAGCTACGTTGCTCCCGTGCAGCGAGAGCCGGAGCTCCCAATCATCAAACCCTCTCGAGTCTGGAAATTGGAAACCTCTACAACGATATATACATGGAAGCTCGCGATAACCTTTCCCCCACATTTATACTTCGGGAGAACCTCGAGGGCGTAATCAGCGAAAACAAATTGAGATGGGTAAGGTGCGAAGCTGAACGCTAGTGACGAAGCAGGCTCCAGACCTGGGCAACAACGACAGAGTTCAGCGGGATATATCACAACTATAGTGAGGGTCCATGGCCTAAATAACGGGCAAGAGAATTACAATTTGTCACATAAAACTGTCAAATTTAGCAGCACAATTTGGAGCCAGACTTCAATCGTCGTAGGCATCTACCTAGTCCTTCAAAGCACTGAGTCCGAAATGCTCGAAATATACTCAATAAGGATCATACAAACGCACTACAAGTCACATGCTTGATTATGGAGTCAATACTTGGGCCTCGTCGCGGCAGGGACATGAAATGCGTGCCGATCCAGATTTGCAACCGCCATGCAAATGAGCAGAGCTGAACACTATGTGGCTGGAACGCTGTTTTACCAAGGGAGCCGAGACCAGTGTCCGCGGCGATTTGCCAAAGGAGTCAGGGAGACTATTCGATCAGAAGCTATGGGTTGCTTGAGGAAACGGAGTGCTCTCCACCGAACATGCAAACAGTCGAACGAGACGAGTGTCTTTCTCAGCAGGACCTACGAGTGTCATTGAGATAGAGGCTCCAGCGAAAGTCATGGTCTCATTCACGAGGCGCAAACACATGGCAGGGTCCTGCATCTCCAGCTTATCACGCTTCTTCATAGTTTTTGATTTCCAATGCGCTTGCGCTAGTCATCTGCCCTTTCTTCTCTGATCATACGGGAGGTTTCCAGCTCTAACGTTTATTCTTTCTCGAGGCACTCACATCATCTAAGCATTATGCTCTAAGCTCTCACTCTCTCATTCCGTTTTGTGATTCCAAATTGACGTGTTGCCTTTCAAACATGGCTCGGCACGAGTCTTAATGTCGCTTTCTTGGAACCTCTAAATCTATCCGTCGGATGGGATTGGTATGTCCACTGCCTTATCTGGGCTCATACGTTTTGTATATGACCTCTAGTGGAGACATAGAGGCAATTAATCTGCACAGTCACTTCTTGGTACAAGTCTTCCTGATGGCAAATACAAAACTAGGTTCATAATTCTGTGCTGAATTCAAGTTCTGGGTAAAAGGTAGAGAGCGTGTCGCACATCCCTAGTAGGATGCTGTCGCATTTGAAATCTGCCTTCAACTAGATCCCCAGATCCTTAAGGCCATATATGCAGGTGTTACATAAGATCCAGTCGGTCTTTTACCTCTGATATCTGTTGTCGTCCCTGTTACATCGATGCTTCAAGCTGATGTCTTAGCAGTATGCTGGTGTATGAAGGAAATGAGAATGCCACATCATAGCTTGATGTGTGGAAGATGAATGCCCTTGAAAATACTTGTCTTTACGGAGCGTCCATTTTATGCAGTCAATTCACTATTGCGGAACGGAAGAAATTCTCTTCGCCCACCTAGATATTCGGCTCGGAGCCAGCAACAAAGAGGCTTCCAATAACTTCAATAATCGCAGATCGGACGTGTTACACCGCAAAACGCAACTCCCCTTAATAAATTGTCATCCGCAGCACAACCTCTCCCACTCTTTTATCACTGGGACCAAAACTTCAGCTACACATCCGAACACCAATAAAGTCATCCAAAATGAACAGAACCAATTCCCAATTCGGATTTGCTATGGGACTGGACCTCTCCTCGGATGTTTTGAGAGCGATTGCGTACCATGAGGGCTACGGCCAAAGAGTAAGTCTATCCTATCGCTCTCGCTACCCCTAAACCCCCTTGTCTTTACCTATACTAACTCTTCTGGACACCAAGATTCACAATCTATACGCAACCGCGGCAGGAAATTCGGCCCATCTAAAAACCCTCCTCAACAACATGGCAGCCGAGCTGCAATACAACCTCACAAATCCCGGCCTAGATATATCCATTCTCCAACGTGCCGTCACTCAACTCCTCCTCGTGCAAGTCGGAGACATCAAACTCCACAACACCGTCCAGCACGTCGAGGATCTGGTTCGAAATCTCCGTGTCATTCTCGCGCATCCGATGAGTAGTGGGGATAGGAAGGTGGTGATGTTTATCCAGGGACAGGCAGATAGCGAAAAAGCGAGATTGGACAATCTCGTTAGGGAGCGGAAGTTGAGCATTCTAGCAGGATTGAGTCAGAGTTCTGGAGTGACAGAGGAGGAAAAGGAAAGTGAGAAGGATGGTGAGAAGGGAAGAGGGTTCTGGAAGAGTGTTGGTCGGAGGATTAAGAAGTCGTTCAGTGGTGGGAGCAAGTAAGGGCTCTAATGTTCGGAGAGGTTTTTGAGACATTGGAATCAACACGGCGTTATGGACGATACCCAGGATACGTTCAGGAAAGGAGGAGACGAATCCTAAGACAAAGTCATTCACCTGGAACAGAATATGAGGGAAAAAGTTGTTATCGTGACCTTGGCTTGGTCCCACTTGATCTAGACCGGGCCTCGCAAGCTCGATTTCCCAATAGGTAAGCTCCAAAGTCGTGAAATCCTCTCAGAGCATTCAAAATCAAAGCTAGGAGCCTACTTAAGTGGTACAGTCATCAGAATCTGCATCTCGTTCATAAAGTCGTTAATTCTTAGCTGTGGTCCAGCCCGTCCTGTTTCTCTAACCCCATTCAAACACCATTTTCCATCCGATCGCTTATAGTCCCGACATATGAACAGGGTGCTCTTTCCAAACCTCTCGACCGGCGATATCCTCCTTCACTCTCTTCACCTGCATACCCCTCCTCTTCTTAACAACTAGTCCCTCTCCACTCTTAACCCCCAGCTTTCCCCTCTTCACAAACTCTTTATTCAACCACTCAACATGCTGCTCCCCCCTCGCACCCCAAAAGCAGTCTCCATCCCTCATATTCGGCAACTTACTCCTCTCACTCTTGAGAACAGTATCCAACCCCACCTCATCCATCATCTCACACGGCCCCCTCTCCGCCCCAAAGAAATCCCTAAACAGCATATCCACCTCCTCTGGGGACGCAGCACCTTCACTCAACACCGTCAACGTCTCCTTCTTCATGGCTCCCCAAATTCGAGGGAGGATTAACCCTTTGTTCAAAATCCCGTTGCCCACACGATCCGGTACCACAATCGGGCGGAGTCCGATATCCAGGAGTTCCTCAACGAGGAAAGAGATGATGCTAGGTGACGTATATCCACAACTCAATATCTCGACGCACTTATTCCGCGGCGGAATATAATACAACGTATTCAATACCCTCTCCTTATGAACTACCTCAGCAACCAACTCAGCACTCCTAAATCCCGCGCTATTCGTCGCAATCAGAACATCTTTCCCAACAAGTCTATCAACCTGACCGAGTAGACTAGTTTTGAGATCGAGATCCTCAGGCACGCATTCGATCACCATCCAGGCGTCTTGAACTGCATTTTCGAGTTTGGAACTGAAAGAGACGTGGCCCGGGTGTGTGCCCTGCGAAAAGCAGTTATTGGCGAGTGAGTCGGCGATGTATGACCGTGAGGATTTCAGAGCTGAGGGAGAGTTATCGTAAAGTGTTACGGAGCGGGATTTTGATGCCCAGAGGACTGCCAAGCGACGGCCGAGGACGCCAGCGCCGAGGATGGCGATGGGCTTTTCTTTGATGGAGGGTGGTGGTGCCCATGCTGGTACTGGCGCCGATGGCTTTAGGGCGGAAGGGAGTCTCACTTGTGTTTGGTGAGTGGCGGTAGAGTGTGGTGATGTTGTGAAAGGTCGATTTTGCTGCTTGCTGTTGTTGAGGTTTGAGCTTGTGTTTGAGTAGGCCCGGATTTGCTGGCTGTACTGAGGCTGTTGGCGAAAGAATGAGCTGGGGATTGTGTGGTTGGTGAGAGAGGCTGCTGGGCGGGATAGACGGTTAGGTCTTGTTCTTCTCATGGATTTTGGTTTTGGGACGGATTGCAGGGTATTTGGTGATGTGGTAGAGAGGGCTTTGAACGAGGCGGAGAAGATGAGGGATGGGAGGGCTGCCTGAGAACTTGAAAGGTGGTGTTCTACCCCTGTGAGAGCGCCTGGTAGCCATGGAGGCCAGACTTGAGAGACAGTTCTGAGTCTTGATGCCGACATTGCGTTGAAGTAGGTGTCTGTATTTTCCGGCTTGATTTGAGAGATGAATGTCCGGCGTCAAGCTCAGTGTCTTGAATTCGATAGTATTGATTATTGTATTAGAGAGTTGGTGAATGTGTTGTATCTGTCTCCGGGACATTGATTGATTGATCGTTCAACGATAAAAGACCTGCTTGCTTGATTGTATGAGTGAATGACAAAAGCCATAGAGAGATATCAACAGTACTTATCTCCCTTCTCAAGTCAGCCCATGAAACACGCAACAAGTCAGCACACAACTCCCATCCCACATCTCATCCGCACAACCAAGTGCCAATGACATCCCAAGATAGAAATGATCCATCCAGACATGGTCTTGAAGTCACCTCATACCTCTCACTCTTCAGCCAAGTCGAACATCACATCGCATGTCGTTGCAGCAGTGGGGTCCTCGAAACAATCACCCCACTTGCACGTTACTTTCCTCCCCTGTCAAGCAACCTCAAAAATCGTGGGTTGATTCAAGATCTCGCTTCCAGAACCAATAGGCTTACTTCCGGCAGTTTGCTATCTCGAAACAAAAACAATTGGATCCTGAAATAGTCGCATCAAATGCCAATCCACCATCTCGTCTCGTCTCAGGCTTTCTTGGCTTTAGAATGTTCATTGCATGTTTATGGGTTTCTTATCAGAAGCATAGTTCTTGAATCTCTTGGTTTCCTCGGGAGTTACAATCAAGACTCTTGGCTCCCGTCCAAGAGAAAAAGTTTCGCTTCCGAGGTCGGAGAATGGTCCGTGAGAAGAGTGTTGGGACCAGTATGCAGCCTGTACGGGTATTCTCCGACGGGTAAGTGGATATGGTGCATATGTATGGTATGGGAGATCGACACGGCTGGATCTGATTTGGAACTTCCTGAATCTAGATCGTTCAGCACTGTTTTATTGGGCATTGATAAGGTATGCTGAACAATAATATATGAGGTCGTAGGACTGGGAGAATAATTCGGTCATGCAACTCTGCTAGAGTACCTTATAAGACAACTTCCAAAAACGACTTAGTAACTCATACCTAAGGACTACCAGCAATCTATCAAGTTCTCATGCAATATAAAAACGTGAGAAATTCCCGCGAAAACAACAAATGCATACCCGATCAATGAATCCGATCTTAACATTTCCATTTTCACATGCCATAAACTCAAACTGCCTCAAAATAAGATCCACAAGACGGAAAGGGATATTTTTAGGTTCTGTAGCGAGGCGCACGTCCTAGTTTGAGATGAGGCTGAAATCGCTGGGCGTCGCCGCATCGCTTCAGGGATGTTGGCATGGAACTGTTCTATTTATGTTCTTTGTGAGTTTGGATTGAGTACGTTGAGATGAGGCAAGAAGATCGGTTGATTGTAGGAGAAAGCTGAGGAGTTTTGGTTCCGGTCTCTTGGGATGGATAGATCGAAAGGATTGAGGGATGAGATTAATTGTGTGTGGAATGACGTCTAAAGTGAAAAAGGTCGTCAAGAATTGAGGGTATAATTATTCTTGAAGTTCTGAAGGTTGATTAACATTCAACGCCTTGCATCGAAAAGAATGCAACCCGAACTCAGGATCCAAGTCCTGGGAGAAACCCAAAATATCGTACAGGAAAGAAACTCGCCAACATGAAAATCATCTCGTCACAAATCCACCACCTGAAGCTCCCAAATCAAGCCAAAATAAAGGTTCAGGCTCTACCATCATAAATAGAGTGTGAGATCATAACTGTAGTATGAGGCTGGAACAACAACAACCAAGTCCAACCACCCGAGCCAGATCTCCCCATATCAACCGACCAAGCCACTCCCAATCCCGTTTCACAATGAGTAGCACGTCCCCCAAGCAGGCTGGCATCCAACATCACAGTAATCAGCCGTACTTCCACAGAACGAGAACCGCGAGCAACAATCTCCGATTCGGCAAAACACTCCATTGCCACAAGACCCATCAATAGTAATATTGCTACAAATCCCATAGCCTGGTTGACAACCTGTACCGCAATGTGCTGCATCACTGCCGCACGTGTCGTCGCTTCCACAGCATGTTCCGAAGGGGCTCCCGTCGCAGCTGGATCCGCCGGCTGATGCGCCGCAGGTGTTGGTGGATGGGATTGGTGGGGAGGTGGTGGTTAGGGAGGCTGTGGAGGAGGTGGTAGTGATAGTCGTGGGGGTTTCGACTGGGATGGAGCTTGAGATTGGAGCCTGGATTGTGGATGGCGTTTGAATGGTTGGAGATGAGATGTCTGGAGAGGTCGAAACTGAGGGCACTGGGACAGGAGCTGAATTTGACACTCCGACGAGGACGCTTGAGGAAGATCCAGCAGCAGCTGTCGAACTTGAGGTTGAGTCTAGTATCGCCGTTAACAGAGGATCTTGACCAATGGCGTGCTTGTAAGGCTTTCGCGAAGGGGAGTTAGTCTCGCACCTTGAAAATCAGAAGTCCTTGCAATCTCAGAGCTATGCTTTGTCCTTACGAAAGTACATGGGCAATCTACAGTGCATCAGCGACATCCGATTCCGCAAACGCCCAAGTTGGAATAACTCACCAGTGATCGTAAGTGTAGTCGCTTTTGTGACAGTATACGTCTTCGTACCATATGTAAATGTCGTCGGACCGGGGCATACAGTCGTCAGAGCATCAGTAGTAATGGTCGTATACTCAACCGGATGTCCAGTCGGCGCTGGTATGCGCGGATTGAGAGTCACTGATTCAGTTACAGTAGTATCAATGCATGTTGCTGAAGAGACAGTGGTAGTACAGCCGTAAAATATGGCTACGGTACTAGACGGAAAGCAAGTGCTGATATGGACGGGTTTCTCGACAACAGTCCAGACAACACAGAGACTGTTCATAGGCTCAAAGATCATGGCCCCTAACTGAGAGGAAAGTGCCAGAGTTGGTAAGGCCAGGATCGTGAGTTTCATGATTGCTGAATGATAGAATAATAGCATAGATTGGGTGGTATAAAAAGGAAGCGGAATATCATGTATGAAAGAGAGTATCGCGAACGCGAATGTCTTACATAACCAACTGGAATGCTTAGCCACATCAGATCAAGCAGCGCAATATATACGACTCGAAACTCGCATGTGAGAGCAGTGGTAAGGGTATTGCTTAAATAAAAAGTGAAAGGTTGAAAATAAACATACTCATGGAAGTGGCGTCGGGGCTTGCCTTGAATTCCTGAGGTTCTGTCTTGCGTGTAAATGTTGGACATACAAGGAGAAGATTGCACTGAAACAGAATCGAACCGTGAAGAATGAGAAAACTCTTGAAAGTACCTGCGAGGTCCTCCATTGCATTCACACAATAGCAAAAACGAATGCTTGAAATTGAGAAAAAATTTGGAAGTGCTTTCAGGGCTTGCTTTGAATTCCCGAGCTTCTACAGGTATATCCGATTGGGGTTGGACTGCCACTCCTTACCTCTTAAAGAATGTCAACTCGACGCCAATGAATGCAGTGTACAGACCAAATAGCAAACCTCCAAGCCATCTTCTGCCTCCAGTCCATGTGACAATCATCAGCAAGATTGAACAAGCCCAAACGGTCCAGACCTCGAAGGCAACGAGATTATCAGTGAGCAAACCTGTTCCGAGGCTTGGCGGGTCTCCGAAATCATTATCAATGTCACCTTGGCTTCCGCCAACGAAGACAATCCCAATGCAAAGCGTCAAGAGAAACATATTCGAGCCTGCTGTTGTGGCTGTCATGACAGCGGCATGGTTTTGCCAGCTGTGGATAACGGCGACGATTTTCTCTGGTAAAGTAGTTGACATGGACACCAAAGTGACACCGATGAGAGTGTTGGAGATATGGAATGAGCTTGCAAGTGATGCCGCCGATTGTACGAGAGCATACGCAGCAATGAGTAGAGCAGCGACGCCGACAAGGACGAGTATGACATGGTAGTCAATTCTTGTGTGCCGTGGATCTGCTGCAACTGTATGAGGAGAGTATGTAAGCAATAGGGGGGCAGCTTCGGTTGGGTGGCATTGCATTACGGACGGGTATATAGAGACATGCAAGTCTTGGTGATCGGTACTTGGAGTAGGTAGTGGCAGGTCTCCAATGTCCTCCGCCCCCAATTCTTCTGGGGTAGGAGCCAGAATCCCATCATATATGGCCGAACAGATCGACACGACATATACAGCGCATCCAACCATGAAGAATATGCCCCCGGCCAAATCCAACAGTCCGGTGAATGCAAGTAGCATGAATATCGTCGATACCACGAACAATGCCCCAGAATATATCTTCGCGCTGAGGTCGAAGATGATCGAGCTTCTGTTGAATAGGAGGCCAAGCGCAAATGCGCCCATCACATTAGATATGCTTGATCCAATGACGTTTCCAAGTCCGAGAGAAGGGCGCTGTTGTACAATCGAGGCTGCGACGATTGCGAGCTGAGATGGTCAGCGTATGCTTGGAGATGTCGAAATGTTACAGGCCTACCTCTTCCCATTCCGCCCCATCTGTAAGCAAAGCTATCAACATCTCAGGTATTCCACATCGCCGTGCAATGGTGGCCGTGTTGACTGTGAAGAGAAACGCGCCTGTTTGGAGGAGGAAGAGGCTGGCGATGAAGGCACAAATGTTGAATAGGAGACTGTTGTCGTCCATGACGCTGTGCACACATTACGCAAGTCGCAGATGCTGAGTTTTAGGCCATGCTCTCGAAGGAAGCGATTTTGGGTTTATGGTTTCTGTGCGAAGCTTCGTGGTAGTTGGCTGCGAGAAGGTACGATCTGGAGATACCGAGAAGACGGCGACAACGAAATGGAAGGAGAGTTTCTATTCACCTACCGTCCCGTCTGCCCTACCTGATACCAAACCAAACCATGCCATGTATTACTAGACACAACCGAACCACTGCATATTTTCGTGTTGCACGATATCGACGAGCACTTTCGTCATCTGTATGGCGTCTTCCCTTGGCAACGTGCGAGGCTCATGAAGGAGGTAGCGTCCGAAGAGACATTGGAGGGTTTTCCGGGCTTCCGTATCGCTGTTCCACAGCACAAAGTACACAGCCGTGTATGCATTGGATCAGCCAGCCGTTTGGAACACCTTCCGGGAAAATTGATGCTGTTGATGTTGTTGGTGGTGGTGGGGGACGGGAACAGGGAGAGAAGTGGTGGGGAAAAGAAATGGAGCTTGAATCCCTGCCGCTGCGTCGCCAGTGCGCTTCCAGCTAGTCCACCCTCCTCGTCTCCTCCCAGCACTCAATGGATCGAATCGGCATAAGCATTGTCATAGCCATCACAACAATGGGCCAATACCTTCAGGCAACGACACGGGCAGGGCGAACAATGGTAACACCAGAGGGCGTGAATGAGTGATCGTCGATCCATCGGTGTTATTAAGACGACACGACAGCCTGCAATAAATTGCCACGGAACAACCCAGTAAGAAAAATTGTCATCACTGACCACATCTCATTGACCTTGACCTCAAGCACTTGGACAGTATATCCTCATTTCCAGCTGTCTTTGCTTCTTAGTGTCATTCGGTGCAGCCAAGTTCCAAACATCCGGCCTAGCTTCATTGATGGCAATACCAACCCCCAAGAGCATCACGGGAGGATGCTTGTGTCGAGGAGTGCGGTATCAAGTCGTATTTTCTCCAGAGCATGACTGGAAAAGAGGGGTGCGTCTCATTTCGCTATTTTCACATGTACAGGGCCTCGGTAAGGTTACTTGTATCTATCTCATTCTGTAGTTCGTTCTTCTAGTTCTGTTGATCTCTTCTAGGCCTCACCCCGCCGCCATTGTAGCCCGCGTACTGATCGTCAAGCCCAATAGCCTCACTCTTGTCAGTGCACACAATGCCGGAAGAACTGCGGCTCTCTGATTTACAATTTCCATACTGTCAAGGCATCTGAGATAGAGTGGACGTCACAGTCGACATACGCGGAGTACAACTCATCTCCAGGGTGCTATCGATCATTCTGCAGGAAATGCGGCTCACCACTTGCCTGGTCAGACAGGAAGGTAGGCTTCATCCAGTCCATTTTCCATGGGTGCTTTCTGACAAGCAAGATGAAGGTCAATACAGACATCGAACTGGCCGTGGGAACAATAGACGAGGAGTTCTTAGTCGGAGCTCGAGATTCGGATGATCGTCCCCTTGGAGCACATGGCTTCGCCCTAGCCAATCCAGAGGCTGACCACTTTCATATACGAAACGAGATCTCTGGGGTTACAGATGGAATTTCAGCTGCAGGGACACGGTTCTGGCGGGGTAGCAAAGAGGGGCCTATGACGAGTTCAGAGTAACAACACCCCATCCCGCATTTCTGGATCATGAAGATCTTGCTCCTTGGCTCGCAGAGGCGGCTGGGCCTCAGAGCAAACACGAAGTCCTCCGGATTGCCAAATTAGGATTTGAATGTCATCGTATGTTTGCATCAGATCTGTTGAGGCAGAAGAAATTTCTTGATGTTTTGAAGGTTCTTGGTGGCGTCTTGGACAATTCCTTCCTAACGCAGGTTCCTCGGCATCTTTTCATTTAATGTTTCGATTCTTGTCTTTTGCATGTCTACATTCCACGACCAACTTAAGATTTTATGGATAGCATATCCCTTCAGCATTCTTCCAATCTTCAAGTCCTGTGCTTGTACGATCTATGATATCATAGTCATCTCGGCCTACCTGTACAACATGACTGACTGCCCTGCTCTGCTTTGTCTCAGCCTGTGAATTGAGATGTTGTTGAGATCCACTTTAACACCGAGGCTGCCGAGAAGCTTTGCCCCATGGTTCCTTTTTCGTCGTTGGATGTGGGGGAGATCTCCGCAAATTTAACCTTATGTGAGTTAATCTTTACTCTAGCTATTTTCTTCATCCAATCCGGATCTGTTAATTCAAGGGCTTTCAAGCCACAATTGTTAAATGCCATCAGGCCCTGGTTGAAGCGCCGTTGCAACCAGAAATTGTACCGAGGCTGCAACTTCGACGTCTCCACAATCGCCTCTCGCTCGAAGCCAATTCGAGGACCTTTCCTCTGGCTGCACCCTTCCGTCGATCATTGCCCATCTGCCGTGCATTAAGGTAATGTCCTGGATCCCGACCTTTTTCGGAGAAGTCAGACCAATCATCGAATATATCGAACTTGCTGACCATAACACCCAACCATGAATCTCCAGTTTTTCTCCAGTTTTACAAGGAACAGAAGTATAGCATCAGCTGAATGAGACTATGACAACTAGTTTTCGGTGCTCAGGGAGACAAGTGTAACCCACTTGGCGTCATGGAGGTTATCAACTCTCCGGCAGACCATTTAATATGACGGGAGATATATATTAAGTACAAGAGTTCCCACAAAATTTCTTATTGACAATCGACTTTCCACAAGATCTCTACTTCACTCGCTTTTCAACATGAGATATTCGACGGCCATCGTTAGTGCTCTCGCCTTCTGTGCTTCCGAGGTAGTTGCTTTCCCAGCGGCCGCTATTGAGTATGCTGCTAGAGCAGAGCACGACGCCTTTGCTCGCAGAGATATCGAAGCCGCTATTGCCAAACTCGAGTCACAGCGCCGTGCCCCAGGTTTCAACGCCCAACAGCAGTATGTTTCCACCCATGGCGAACACGCATTTGTCGCACCCAATGCCCCGAACACACTCAATGGAGATCAACGTGGACCATGTCCAGGCTTGAACGCCATGGCAAATCACGGATACCTCCCTCACAACGGTGTCGCAACTATCCAACAGTTTATCGATGGTACCTATGATGGTCAGTAAACTTCCTATCTTCTTCAAGAGCAATGGCTAACATGTCCAAGTCTTTGGCATGGGTAGAGATCTTGGCGGTTTCCTCGCCATCTACGGTGCTGTCGTCGATGGCAACCTCCAAAAGTGGTCCATCGGTGGCCCTACACCAGCCGTACCAAGCGCACTCGGGTTATTGGGTACTCCAACCGGTATCTCGGGATCTCACAACAAGTACGAGGGCGATGTTAGCCCAACTCGTCCAGATCTCTACGAATAGTAAGTTTCCATTCTCTCCAAAATCTTGGTATGAGGCAAAGAAACCAAACTGACACTACATTTCCAGTGGCAATACCTACAAAGTAATCATCTCTCAATTTCAAGAGCTGTTCGACCTCCAACCCAACGCCGCAACCGCCAACTACGACCTCAGCGTCCTCACCCCCTTCCGCGCCTCCCGCTTCCAGCAATCCATCGAGCGCAACCCCTACTTCTTCAACGGCCCCTTCTCAGGAATCGCCGTTCAGCCCGCAGCATACACATTCATCTACCGCTTCATGGGCAACAAGTCAGCCGAGCACCCAGAGGGAGTCCTCAACCAGGAGGTTCTGAAGTCTTTCTTCGCAATTACCGGTACGAGCGGTAACTTCCAGTGGACGGAAGGCTATGAACGTATCCCCGAGAACTGGTACAAGCGCGCCATCGGCGACGAATATACCATCCCCTTCTTCCTGACCGACCTCCTCGCTGCCGCCTTGGAGTACCCGCAATTCTTGAACATCGGAGGAAATACCGGGAAGGTGAACACCTTCACCGGTGTCGACTTTGAGGATTTGACTGGTGGTGTGTTCAACCTTGCTACGCTTGCGGAGGGTAATAACCTCGCTTGCTTCGTGTTGCAGGGCGTGGTGCAGTTCTTGCCTGATAGTTTGCTGGGTGCGGTTGGGGATCTGGGTGCGCTTTTGGGACAGCTGAATGGTGTGCTTGGTGGGGCGTTGAGTAATTTGGCGTGTCCGAAGTTGGATCAGGTTAATAAGGATCAGTTTGCGCAGTTTCCTGGTGCGAAGGGTGCGTATTAGAGGAGAAGTTGAGTGGTTGAAGTGACGAAATGTCACTGTTTCAACGGGAGAATATACCTGTGTGTTCGGAGGAGCGATTGAGTTCTGGGAGGTGAGAAGTCTGGTTCTTGTATATATTGAGGATGGATAGGTCGTTTGGTATATGTCACTGTACTGTACTGGACGTGTGGAATGAAAAGAATATTGAAAGCTATCTCATTCATGATTTCTCGGTGGTAGGTATGTGGCTTGAAAGATGGGCATGTGCATCGAGACCATCAAGAGCTTTCAGACCATGCGAGTGTTTGCTTAAAAGTACTACTTCGCCGCATTGACAACGGCCTTTTCGAAGCAGCTGGAGGTCACCTACCTCTCGAATCACGTGCTAATCATGCCTTTGAGAATGACCTTTTGTACTCCGTATGCCAGGCTCTGTTAAATATTGCAGCATAAGGGATGCTGGGCGGGTCGTTACGAACGCTGAAGAGCCTTACCTAGGTACCTAAGGATCACCCAGAGGGGAGACCTTGCTTCAACCACCACCGCCGACATCTGTTTTTTGACATGGTGAAAGGATTTTGGGCAGAATATTGGAGATATTTGACCGTAAGGCTTTTATATGTTCTTGTTTGGGAGTGGTATTAAATAACTTACATTTTTATAACGAGGGTGGCATAGTTGTCGCCCAGGCCCAGTGTCCTTACTCCGCTTCTGTCTGTCACCCATTGGAGGCTGGGTGGCGCCTCAAATGTGGTCATTCTATCTTCAAAGGTCGACTGCTGACTCACTTGAATTACAGCAAAGGATAGAGGGATCCAAAGAAATGGGACCGACTTTGGCACGAATAGCAGCGGACATGTGAAGGGCGAGATCCAGTTCACAAAGGAGTGGGTTTTGGCTGTGTTTTAGCGAGATAAAACTGTCGAAAACACAAGTACTTTGAAGTTTGAGAAATTGGTATTTGGTAGCTATCTATCAGCAGCTTGCTGACCTAGTATTATATCTCCCTATAGCTCAACAACAAACACACCTCAGAATGACACAACAAGGTCTCCCTGGAATAGAGAGAGTGAATGTGAATCCCAGTGACAATTATTGGACATCCGAGGATGCCAGAGTCAATTATGCCTCCTCCTATCGTCAATTTCCTCCAACTCAATGAAGAAAATGGATCGATTCCAGTATATGCGTGATATCAAGGGAATGGAACGTCTGCAGAAACTCTGACAATAAAGAACACTTCAAGATGCAGTGCAGAAGAGGGCGAAGCATTCCCTCCCCGCTAACTCCAACGCCAATGCAGAGAACGACCCTTCTTACGAAGAAATGCCACATTATTACCACTCAGTAACAGGACTGACAAGTCGGCTATGAAAGAAGTGATCCATTGACAGAGACACCATTCTCCTCCATCTTCTCACCTCGCTCGTCGTAGACCACATGACTAAAGCTATCGAAATCACTGTTGTCAACCAACCAATCGAGATCCTCGTCGTCTGGTCCCAGCTTGGCCATTAGACCATTACCGGCTTTGGGATAAGGAGGACTGGCAGGTGTGCTCTCTCTGCTCTCAGAATTCTCGTTTGTCAGATCAGTGGCTTGGACAGCGAGCTGAGGTGGTGCTGAGGAAGCGTGAGTGAAGGATGGATTGGCGGTTGCTGGAGGCGTGGGCGTAGACGTTGCCCCTGGTTGACCAGGATTGATCTTACGAATGAAGTTGATGGGGGCGCTGGGATTGGCTTCGGCACGCTTAAAAAGCCCTGCGGCGGCAGTGGCTGATGGGGGAAAGGGTACTTGAGCTTGCGTGTTTGTGCGTCCTGGCTGATTGGTATTCGGGCGTGGAGGAGCAGGAACGTATGCTTGTGCTTGGCTCAATTGTCCGGATGGGGTAGGTGGAAAGATTGGTAGGTTAGGATGGAGGATTGTCGCCTGCAAGAGGAGATTGACCAGCTGGGGTTGAGGAAGCGAGTTCAGGTAGGCTCTTTTCTATCCAGCGTCAGACTAGTTCAGACAGTGCTCAGTGAGTCGCGGGATAAACATACCTCTTCGGAACTTCGTCCTTGCCAGCTAACTCCAGCCGTAGTCTCATACCCAGACTTGATGCCCCTCTTTCGGCTACAGTCTACACAAAACCATGGTGAAGTTTCATCCTTGACCACCTCTTCCGACACAACTGGATCGTGACATTGTTGATGCCAGCCCAGGTTACATCCATCACAGAAGACAATCATGTTGTTCTGTGGACTATGACCTCGCTGACACTTCTTGCACAGCGCTTGTTCCTGGGCACGTCTAGACGGTCCTCTTCTCTTATTTGGTGTCTCATAACTGGCCGGAGTGAATTGCGCTGGTTTATTGACTTGTCGTCCGGATTGTGTTATCTTTGGCAAGTCCGGAATACCATCCTCCTCATCATCTGAGTCCGAGTCTCCTCCAAGCTTCGACATGTTGCCATCCGACTCCTCGCTACTCTCCGACTCTTGAGCCCGCTTCCTCTTTCCCCCTGCACGGCCTTTCGGTGTTGGCTTCTTTCCTTCAATAACAGACCCACCTGGAGTCCCAGTTGGAGTAGCAGAGGGACGCCCCGCCTTCTTTCTTGGAATTGGTATGCGCTCTTTAGCAGTGCCAGTTTGGAAGGGCTTTCGACGACCGGTGACCGGAGGAATGAATGGGAGCTCCATGTTCATGGATGTCTTCATGCCCTGGAGGACGTTGCGCTTCATGTCCTCATAGCCAGGTGGAGTGCCGGTAATGCCAATGGAAGATAGGGAAGAGGTAGCTCCCGAATTGATGCGCTTGAGAATCATTTCGGTCGCAGCAGAGAACTGAGGAACATATTTGGGAGGAGAGTCGGAGCTAGGGTTGCTGCCGCTGCCAGACGCAACTGGCGGGTTGGTGGGGTCATTCGATGCCATTTTTGTTCTTAAAATCGGGTTGATGGTATATGCGCCGGAGGAGCTCGAGATCTGGGGGACGCCGAAACGCGATTGACGCGCTGTTTGGGCAGATGTAGTGACTGTGTTGATCTGATGCGACTAAGACCGAGGTCAATGGAACTTATTGAATAAACAAGCCCGCGATGTTGTATATTGGTGTAGGGTTCGTGATAGGCGTGATTTGAAATCTCAATGGAATGTCATTGATATCGGAGACGTGCCCCTTGAGGTCAGGACGGTGCTGCGAGTGAGGTTCTGATGGTCTGAGAGAGCTTGAGATGTGTTTGCATTAAGGTATACGTTCGATCAGTTGACGAAATTTCTGGCTAGTGGTGCACGTGATGCAAGTCACGTGAATCAGTTCGAACTCTCCCGCCTGCTTCTGTTCTCAGGAGCAATGGAATGTCGCAGACTCCATGAATGGCTCTTCAATTCAGTGATTTGGAATAACCATGTACATTTCTCAACAAAGTCATAGCTTCCATCTCCAACTCTGCCCGCTATTATATCTAGATTCCGCTTCTACAGCAATCAATCCCCGGCTCTCAATCAGGTCGGTCAGAGGCTAAATAACTCCATAATCATGGTTCTAACAGTGTATATCTGCAAAAAAATAAAATAACTGTGACCATCTGGGTAACGTGCCAATTCAGAAGTGTTAACAATTTAACCGAACGTCCCCTAGAATGCTAGGAACCAAAACAAATGATTAAGCAACTCCTAATTCCGCGAATGCCACCGTATCTAGCCTTCTCCTTTGAAATTTTCAAAAAACCAGTTGTGCTTAGCAAGTTCAGCGGCAGGCATTCGATCATCTGGCAAAAATCGCATTGCCTTTCTTAATATATTCTCCAGTGCCGATGCCTCCACAACGCTGATAATGGTCCCTGACGGTTCGAGAAACTCAGCAATCGTCACAGGAACGTCAACATCTCCAGACCGGGGTAGCCGTCGGTCGGCTCCAACTTCAGTAGCTGCACCCGCGGACGAAGCAATCGTCGCTGCACGACGTTTTGCTGCACCAGTTGAAACCCCTTCAGACGATATGCTCTTCTCGCCACTTTTCGCACCCGAAGATCCGGATCCAGAACCGCTCTGGTTTTTGCCTGATGATCCAGTACCGGAATTCGTTTTCTCATGGGACGAGCCTGACTTCTCATGAGATGACCCCGGACTGTTCGCATGCTCTATTTGTGCCATTACATAGTTGGCTTCGCTAGTGGTGAGGTCTTCAACCAACGCCATCAAGCGAGTAGTGGTAGTTACATGCTTCTCAGATGAGCAATGTTTTCTTTTCAGATTTCCATCCTCATCTGGGTTGTCGGCACCAAATCCCAGATCTTGGTGAGTGAGTTCCGTGCTGTTAGAGTCTCCATCATGCAGACCGATTTTCATGATTTCGTTAAATAGCGTTCCGGCTACGATTCCAGATAATTGCCCTCCAGGTTGGATCTCGAGATCGTACCACGTACGTCCCTCCTCCCATCGATCCCACCACGCGTCAGGCAATTTGCCGAGGATCTTCACCGTTGCGATCAATATCTGGTCCCGCGTGGGGATGCCTCTGTAACGAAACAAACAAGAGCCAGTCCGGATCTCGAAGATTGTACAACCTAGAGCCCAGATATCAGAGCTTATGCTTCTTGGACTTTCAAAATTGAATTCTGGCGCACAGTAATTCTTCGGTGTCCCGATGTCAATCGAGGATTGGTCTTCCATAAAAGCGATTCCAAAGTCAATGATCATGATTCGGTCAGACAGCCATTGAGGATCTACCAGCTTCATGCTAATGGCGTTGACTGTATACTTGGGGCAACTGTCCTCGCCCGTCTGACCAGCTGCCCTATGAAGAGCATGTGTCTGTGGCGCGCCCAATCGATCGTGAATCTCGTCAACAGTCCACTCATCGATATTGGCAAGTTGCAGCAGAATATTAGCCGCAGTGAAGTCTGATGCAATTGTCAGCTTAGAATTATCTGACGAAGGAACAGAATGGACCTCCGTGAACAATTCCAGTAGAATGTATATAGGCCAATCCTTCTGTGGCTTGCAACGCAACCTTTCTCGCCACATCTCCCCTCAGTCTCCGCGTTCCACTCGTGAATCCTGGGCAATCATTGAATTGTTTTATGCTTGGTCCTCCAACCTCACTGACGACACAAAGGTGGCGACCATTGGGACCATCAATCCAAAAATGATCCAGCATACTCATCACATAAGCCTTGCCCTCATGATCTTCACTGTTCTTTAACCTCCTCAGGATTTCCACTTCGGGACAGTCTCGTGACAATCTCGCAGCGAGGATTTTCAGCGCAACATATCGATCACGACGAGTGTCTCTGGCAAGCCAGACAGTTGCAAAGCCTCCATGTCCAAGCTTATGGACAACGATATATCGACCCTTTTTGAACACGTCGTCCAGATGCACTGGGTGAAAGCCGCCGAGACGGTAGTTCAGCGTTTCGACGCGGGGCGCTCTGTTGGCCATGACGGCGGGAACTGCTTGATTTTGTAAGGGAAACTGGGGTATTGTGGTATAAGGGGCATGGTTGATTGCTGGAGGAGCATTGCGGAGAAATTTGCCACCAATATATCGAGGTGGGATGTTGACCTGTTTGGGTGACTAAGCTGGCTGTATTTCTTGATTTCAACGGCAACCCGCATTTGAGAATGAACCCTGTGATTTGAGATCTGAGAGATAAAAGTGGATTCGATACTTAGGACTTAACATTTCTTGGACAACGCAAAAACGCCTCGGTTGAAACTACAGACTGCTGTGCTTTGTTGATCAACACCATGGAGGTTATCCTGGCGTGAGCGTCACTTTTTCAATTAGCCAAGGCGACCGAGACTCGCACACTTTCAATCTTTGATCTTACTTTATTTTTATCACCTCACAGCACCTTCAGCCTTTAACGCCTCTATTTGACTTTCGCTCATCCCAATATCCCTCAAAATCTCATTGGTGTGTTCACCCAGCATCGGAGGCACGCTTCTGATACTCGGCTCGCTTTCGCTGTACTTCACTGGTGTGTTTACCATATTGATTGGCCCACATGCTTCATGATCCATTTGCTTCACCATGCCTCTTGCCAATGTGTGCTCATGATTCAAAGTACCCTGCACATCGTTCACCGCAGAATAAGGCAGCCCACTTCCCTCGAATATGTCTAGCCACGCTTTAGTGCTCTTCGTTTTGGTAATGGCTTCGATGGATCCATCGAGTTCTATTCTGTTGGCAACACGTTGTGCATTAACAGCGAACTTAGAGTCGGTCTTCCATTCAGGTTTGCCAAGTCCATCAGACAGAATTCCAAAGAGCCTGTCATTCCCGCCACCGAACAAGATGTCGCCATCTTTGGTCTTGTATGACTGGTAAGGGACAATGGAAGCTGGCTGACATTAGTAAGACATTTATTATGTTCAACCTGTAACCTACGGTGAGCAGTTCCCCAGCGCCCAGTATCTTTTTCTCCACTAATGAGGCAACTACTTGCTATATTTGCTAGTGTGGCCACTTGGCAATCGCTCAATGCAACATCGATGTGCTGCCCTCGCCCACTTCTTGCCCGAGCTATAATTGCCGCCATGATGCTGTTACTCGTGTATAATCCCGTGGTTAGATCTGTGACAGCAACTCCTACCTTAACAGGAGGACCGTCTCGACTTCCAGTAATGTGCATCAGTCCAAACTCGGCTTCTACCATCACATCGTACCCGGCTCTGTTTGAATACGGCCCAGTCTGTCCGTATCCTGTGATAGAAGCATATATCAACCGAGGATTGATTTTCGAGAGTGTTTCGTAGTCCATTCCGTACTTCTTCAAGCTACCAGGCAGGTAATTCTCGACCAAAATATCACTCTCGGCAGCAAGCTTATGTAAGATCTCAACACCGGATTTATGCTGGAAAGATAGCCCAAGTGACTTCTTGTTCCGATTAACCTGCTGCCGTGAGCTTATGTAGCTTGATGGGCTGTGGCTCTTGTACCGCAAGGAAATAGGCGCTTTCACCTGGACCCTCTTTGCCCGAACCCTCGATATATTTCGCGTATGGAGGACCCCACGCCCGTGTATCATCACCTCGCGTAGGATGCTCGACTTTTATAACTTCTGCACTGACAGTCGTGAGCTTGGTAATTGTGGTTCGAAGGTGGGGTAAATGGCTACCCAAGATCTCCAAGTATTTGCGTGCAGTACGGCTGTCATATTTGAATTAGCAATTTTTCATGATATGGTATGTCTTTCTGTACTCCTGCCAGGACTCTAGTCATGTCCAAGACTTTATATCCCTTCAAAGGTAGGGTCATGTTGTTGCCGGCGACATTCGCAAAGCTCCTCCGCCGGACACTGTAAAACGCCGAGCAAGAGCCATTGGAAGTTCGTAGACCTCTTGAAGCTCTAATAATTGATCGAGAAGGGATTGTGAAAGTCATGGTGTTGTGCTGATGTTGTGTTGAGGTTGGGGGAAGCTTCGAGGTTCTGGGGATGTCGTCACGGTCCAAGTGCCGAGGTGGATCGCCATCTCGATTTCCGGCTTTCATCCTTCCTCCCTATTTACATCAAATTACTCTGAGAACCGCAACGATCGATTATATACTATTTACGCTTCAAATGGCACTTCTTGACGGCCAGATATCGTGTTGCGTCAAAGTTACTTGCTTTATTCGTCATACGCATTAATTTGAGCACTTTTGAATGGCCTATACGAATATCATATCACGAGGGCTTCTTGGGAGAGCAGTCCTACTTTTAATTGTCTATCTATAACACTAAGTGGTGTTAAAATGGAGTGTCTATTTGAATCCCTTTGTCCTTTTGAACTCCCAAACAGATCCCGCTGAGCCACTCGATGGGATAGGATAATAGCCAAGTACATTTTCAACAAATGCAAGGACCAGCATAGCATTCACTTCTCTCCCTCTGGCGGCCTCGAGAGTCAGCGTATCATGCAGAAGTCCTAGTCCAAATGCAGACTCTTGAAGTTTTATCTCCACCGCTGGAGGCTTCACCACTGGTCAGCTTGCAAGGAATATTTTCAGGGCTGTGTAAATTATCGAACATACCCTATTTACTCTCGAAGTATCACCCCTACACCACCTTCTCAAGTACTCGTCGAGACACGCCAAGCTAGGTGCATGGCTCCCCTGAATTGTTACATTCATCCTGCCTTCTTGCCTCACCACTAACCAATACGGTGGTCGACGAGCGAGATCTTCTGGTCTCGGAATCGTCGAGGTTTCCGGCATCATATCCTCCATTTCTGCTCGGGTCATGGCCAATCTCGTCTCAATGTGAGCATGTGGAGCTATCTGGCTCTCTGGAGATCCAAGATCAAGATCTGCCCAGTCGTCCGGGTCAGTGGGCAATGCGGGGACATTCCCAGGAACGCTTGCAGCCTGATGGAGTGGAGATTCATTCAACAGGTTCAAGAAGTCGGTAGAGAACCCAGCCATTGCTGTATGGTGCTGCGGTAGTTTTGCATTTGGCAGTGCTATGATAAAGCAGCATTTCCTTTTCTGCCACGTTGTTGATGGACGTTTCGACGTCGGTGAGACCTGATTTCATCAGCTCAAGTCTACCATTTCTTGCGGTAACTCACCTCAAGTACTATCTCTACCTTTGATCGGGCCTGTAAGAGCTCGAGCAAGTTATCCACATTTTCTTCACTCTCGCTCTCGAGCCATTGGAGGAAAGAATCACACCAAGCCAATATCACCGTTGTAATATTAGGCACAAAGGTTGTAGAGTCTGAGTAATGAACCTGGAACGTCTTCCACAACATGCTCCATTCTGGGTCAATGGAGATTGGGTAACCAAGAGTGCTTGTCAAAGCTGTGGTCTTCACAACCAGTGGGGAAGTAGAGGATGTAAAATGATCCCGAATGTTTTGTCGAATTCGGGTTGGACTACGGTTGTCAGTCATCAAATCTCAAAAGTCTCTGGCTGAAGCTTACAGTGCCGCCATTTTCTCGTTTGTTTACACTCGTGCACCCCAAAATACTCAATTATCCCACAATTCAATCTCAGTCTTGCCTTTGGGTCGACTTCGTTGCTCAGGAGATTCTGCACCTTCAAGTGTGGGGATATAGCCTAGTTGTCAAGACTCCGCCGCAATTCGAAGTTCAGCTCGCGAGGCTAGCCAGGAACAAGAACGCCATGTTTCAACAAGTCTGCCACAATTTCGACATGCCGTGAAAAGCTCTTTTCCGTTTGGCTACAACTCTATGGCGCTCTCGACGGATTCGATCATGGGATGCCAAGGTGCACACCGACTGTTGCTTTTGGAAGTCTTGAAGGCTATGCAAGGCTACGAGCATTTGTGGCGTTCAAAACTCGGCATGGAATTAATCTCCAACCTCGTCACTTTGAAAGTACAAATAGACGGTAATTTCTCGCCGTTTCTTCCAGATATATTCTTCAATCAAACACTTTCATTGTTTCTGAACTTCGAAGAGTAAGATGTCTGCAGAGAAAGCACCAGCTGAGAAACTCCCGCTTGCGGTTCGCAAGAACGGTACGTCAAGCGCTGTAAAACCGAAAACAATTTGTCTGAGAATAACGCTAACATTTGAGAAGTTCGGGATGGATGGGAGGGCAAGAAAGGGGATCTTGAAGCGAAACTGCTGGAGCAGCTAGGTGTTGCATGGACTTTCGATGTCAACCCTCTCGCCATTTATCCTTATGCAGAAGAAGGATCCTACGGTAACCACTCTTTGGGAGACTGTATCTTTGCGTAAGGGCTCCTCATCTACTAAAGACATCTCAACAACTTCTGACATTTGTCTTGCTTCCAGCTACTTTGATGGATTCATCTATGGTCTCAACTACTTCCTTCAATATCATGGGGACGCTGGTAAAGACGAATTGAACGCCGTCTGCCCAAAACACACCATCACGCTCGTCCCATCTACCAAGTTCAGCTACTGCGGTACAGAAGTTGTGGACGGTCAACTTCGACTTCTCTTCCACCCCAACAACCTCGGGACAAACATCAGCAACGTCGCCGAAAAGCTCGCCGATACGCTGTCCACCGCTCCCCAGCCATCCGGTGCGCCGTCTCTCAGCTATGCAGCTCGTCACTCTATCAAGAGTGATTACGATCCTAAGATCGAAGCTGTTCTTGAAAGCGCTCGCAAGAGTCTGCATAATCCCAATTTTGAATTCCAGCCTGATTTCGATGCCCTAGGAGAGGTGCTGAAGAAGGGTGGTAAGGATGTGAGAGACGATTGGGAGTCGAATCTTGGAAGTTTTGCATTGAGCTATTTTGAGAGTTTTGTGAGCGCGCTTGAGAGAGAGAAGTTTGTTGATGATGACTTGTTGAGAGAGGGTTTCGAGGAGGGCGTTGAGAAGGGAGTTGTGAAATTGAGAATTGTGGACAAGTTGACCAAGGGTTCTTATAACGAGATAATCCTTGATGATGGGGCGGCTGTCATTCAGGTATGTGCTTTCCCTTTCCCATCCTTTCAATTATTGCGACTCAAGGCTGACTTGATGCAATAGACCACACCAAATAACTGGGGAACGAACATCTACAACGCAGCCGAGAAGCTCGTGGATATTCTGTAGAGTTGTACTCCCATCCTGACATCCTCGAGTATCAAAACTCTGACCGCTTGCCATCTGTATATCCTGCCATCGTAGATATAATATAAATCAGCTCTGCCAGTCTGCTGAATTGAGTTCAATAGTTCAGCCGTGTTCATGCATCATGTTCCTGATGGCGTTCAGCTCCTGCAGCCACACTTTGCCGAAGAAGGCGGGACCCTGAATTGCAACCTGCAAAATACCGCATTGATACTCGGCAGTTGAAGCTTCTATCATCCCCAGAGAAGATAGCCAAAGGGTGTGAAAGCAGTGTCAGAAACCAGATTCTGGAATAATTCCCCTCTTTTGTGATTGTCGAGGAGAATTCATCGAACATTGCATGACTGCTGCGGATACAACCACTTGAATTAAACTTCTGAGAATAGCCCACAGGCTATACTACATGGAGCAATTTCAAAAGGCATCGCGCACTCATTACTACTCCGCCAAACTGTGGAACCGAAGTCCGGTAGCTCCCAGCCACCGTAAGCGAATCACGATATTAATTCAAACGGGTTTCATATTACAGCATTTACGTTGTAATCACACAAACTTATAGAACCTAAACAATACTAAATAAAATGCAGGATACGTACAGTTGCACCAAAGATGTCTCTGCTGAGCAAATCTGCGAGGCTGCACGATTCTTCAGCGCTCATTATGGAGTCTGGGGAAAGTCGGCTGTGGAGAACATGGGAACGTCAGTGAAAGCTGGTAAGCGCTTCATTCTATGGTGAAGACGACAACAGAAAGAACCACCAATTTCTAAATCCGGAAATCACGTTTCCAAGTGGATATTTCGGAATGCTGACATGAGATTGTCTTTAGGAGCTCGCGTCAAAATATCTCCGAAGCTTCTCTATACGAAAATCCTACCTGGAGATAGAGACAACAGCTATCTCAGCATGAGACGTGGAACAGAACTCCTCGGTATTCTATTTGCAACGAGGTGGATGTACCAAGGAAAGACCATTCTCTGGGTCACGCAGCTTTGTGTCCACCGCGAGCACCGAAATGAAGGCATTGCAAAGAGGCTGTTAAATACAGTGAAGAACGACAAGGATTACGCTGTCGGCATACTCTCATCCCACCCATTTTCGATATCAGCTGTTGCGCGAACTTTCGGCAATGGAATTGAAGGTATCGACCTCGATGTGATGAGATCTGAAGCTAGAGACATCATGGGTACTTGCCCTGTGACGTATGTTCGAGAGGCAAAATTGCACGGCGCGCTATTTGAGGATGGTTCTGCAGATGGAACTATTTCGTGTGCCGATACTCAGTTTTGGGTGGATCATCATGAGCCGGAGGCTGCATTGCAAACTATCAAGGACAAAGGAATAGTATGGCCTCTTGGGTACCTCCCCGAAGGTCATGAGTACCTGCTTTTCGTCAGGATCTAGTACGGAAACGAGCTGCAGGGGGTCAGGTCATAGTGTTTACTTCATACACTAGAAAGAGCTGCTGCATGGAAATGCCACTACGTGCATAGTAGCACATGCTAGTTGCCGCGCAGCACTGGTTTGTGCGGAGGGGGGGGGGATGGGGGGGGGGGGAGGGGGGGCGAGGTGGTGCTCAGAAGCCGGGTAATACATGAAGTCACGCATGGTGGAAAGTCGTTTTCTTGCCGCGTAGTCGAGCTTCCGAGTCTGATTGAAACAGTAGCGTCATATGATCATATCCAGCACGGAATGTGCGAGGGTGTTGCTTACTCCTCAGAATATCTAGAAGGTGGAAAGGAATGTATCCCTTAGTGAAGGTAATCCATTCAGCTTCTGAGACTTCCATGATCTTGCTGCTCCGAAACCGATGTGCTCACTGGAGCAACAAAGATTGGTGCCTATATGAATGTGAAACAAAGATAGGATACCGGTGAAAGGCCTTTGATCACAATGAATGAAGTCCACACTGGAGGTTTGTGTTCTAGAGGCGCATAGTCAACAAGCCGGGACAATACACCGCATTGTAAGAATCCAAGACTTGACGTTGGGGTTGTATAAGAAGACCGTTCCATTTCATTTTCATGTGCTCCATAGACGAAGCCTGAAGATCAGCAAGTAGGCTGCAAAGGTCTTCGAGTCCATGCCCAAGACTCGATCCCGATGTTTGCCAACCAGATCTACGCCCGAAGCACCCATCCCATCCGAAGAAAGCAGGTATCGATCCATCCGTCCCATCCCATCGTACATCTCAGCCAAGTATTTGCGCCATTTCACCCGTCCGGAAGCAAGAAAGAATATGTAACCCGACCCATTCGCATCGTCCATGTCGCATCAGCAGCGTTACCGTCCCCTCTGCCAGCACGTCAAGTCGATCGCAATCACCTCACTTCTTTGGGGTCCCCTTCGCAGCGGCTGGCTTCTTTCCAAAGCGTGCTTCACGGGCAACGCGCGCGCGAGCCTGAGCAGCCTCCTTCTTGGCTTTCTATATCTGATATTAGCACTGTTCAGTCGCGAAGCAGACGTCAAATTAACGCCACAAGTTCTCTTTCGAATACGCGTCAAAAGTAATGAAAGTAACGAAGCTTAGAAGGATGAAAACGGAGGAAAACTAACCTTAGACTTCGCCTTCTCGACGCGTCCCTTGGCCATAGCGGTCGTCGCATTCTCGGAGCTAGGCATTGTGTTGATTTTGTTTGAGGATGTAGTTTGTTGTTTGATTCGTTCTCTGAAGATGAATTGGCACGAGATACTGCCTGAGTTTCGATGAATTTGATAAATTTCGATGGTTTTGGCTATTTTGTGTTTGGTGAAAGAGATAGAGAGTTGCGACCGCGTCGCAGATGCTCAGTTAGTAGGACCCTGGATTTAGCGTCTTTAGCGAGGCGGGAGCTGACTAACCCGCTGGGAAGTAAACAACACCCCCTGGACGGCAGAAGACAGCTGTCGGACCACCATGTCCCGTTCATTTTGGCATGATTTTTGTCCCATCTGACGCGATTTTTATTCATCCATTTCATTACTTCTCAAGCGAGACCTTGTACGCATCATCGTTCTTCCGATCTACATGCCGCTGTGCCAAGATGCCGGCAGATATATCCTAAAGTGCCAAGATTTGTACTGCCTTCCCTTTTAGAACTCGTTTGATCTGGTCTGCAGCACTTCACTTTCGGTTTCATAGCTCATGCTTAGTGTGGTCACATTACTGATTGGGCTTCTTCATTTGGCAGAGATATTACAATTGACCTTCTTCGTTGAGAAAGTATCCCCCGGGCTGCAGCACTACCTGTAACGAGGTACATGCCAGCTGCCTATCTTAGTGGCTCATAAAGAACTCATCATTCTCATCTGCCGGACACAACTCGGTAGTCATATCGTTGATGCTGGGATCGTAGTGTGTTATCTCCAAGAGGAAGCTACGGAAGGCTCGCCACGACTCTCGGTCAAAGCATGTGTGGATACTTCATCCGTCTAGTGGAATTGAGTACATGGTCCATGAGCTCTATCACCAATCAAAATCGACTTATTCCTTTTGATCGTCACGATAGAGGTGATGATAGTGATCACAAGCCAGGAAACGACATGTCTGCACATATGGCAAGAAGTTGGAGGGGCACAACTCCATCATTTTCTCTCGTCAAATTTTCAACTTTTGTTCTTCATTCTGAGTCTCCGTCATGTTTGCTCTAAGGGTGTTTAGTGTTTTGAACATTCTTTACTTCTCGGTGCTTTGCAAGGAAATCCCTGTTGATGAGCAGCGGTCCGCCGAGCTTTATCGCTCTGGCAAAGTTCACGATGGTATCATGGCAGCGAAGATGGTAAGATATCTTACATCATACTCTATCTCAGTTTCAAACTGACAAATACCACAGAGCTTTTGGAAGGAGGCGGCTGATGCAGGCTTGATGGAGTCATCTCAGTACCCAGCTCTGTCTTACACACCGTGCGAGAACGGCATTGCATCAGCCATTCCTGGCGACACAAGAAACACTTTCAGGTGTAGAAATGTATGTTTTGACCATGCTCAACTGAGTTCTGCAGTGAATAACTCAGTGACCTCAGATCGATCTCTACCATTTCCTCAGTCACGCCGAGCTCAACAGTACCGGAAGCGGATCCTCATCGTGGGGTTGGACATCAGATACAGGACGAGAGTTCGTCGCCATTGCTCAGGAGGATGGCACTGCTTTCGTTGAAATTACTTCTGCTGGAAAGATTCTCTATCTCGGCCGTCTTCCTCAATATTCCGTCCCAATCATCTGGCGGGAGATTCGCGCTTACAAAAACTTCATGGTCATCGGAAGCGAGGCCGAGCGCCACGGTATCCAGATTTTTGATATGAAGAAGCTCCTTAACATCAGCCCAACCAAGCCGAAAACTTTCGATGCAGTCAAAGATCTCACAGGTCATTTCAATGGGCTTCCAGCTGGACGTACGCACAACGTCGTCGTCAATGAAGAACTCAACTATGCCGTCGCAGTGGGAGCGCAGCCCCGAAGTTCGACATGCAAAGCAGGACTCATCTTTATTGACCTTACGGACCCTTCCAATCCCAAAACTCCAGGTTGTGCCACGCAAGATGGCTACGTACACGATGCTCAGTGTCTGGTATACCGAGGTCCGGATAAGAAATACCAAGGACGAGACATCTGCTATGGCTACAATGAGGATAGTTTGACCATCTACGACGTAACATCCAAGAGCAAGACTTCAGTGATCTCTCGAACATCCTATCAAGGTGCATCATATACCCATCAGGGATGGGTACTCGATACTCAGAATCAAGAATTCTTGCTGTTAGACGATGAGCTTGACGAACAGAATAGAGCAGGACCAGCAGCCGATGGCTTCCCCGTAACATATATTTGGGACATCCAATCACTGGAGCAACCGAAGCAGACTGAATACTACAAATCGAGCGTTCGATCCATCGACCATAATCAATACGTCGTGAACGGCTACAGTTATCAGTCAAATTATGCTGCTGGTCTTCGCGTTTTAGACGTTAGATCCATTCCTTCTGACCCCACTGGAGCGAAGGTGTGCGAGGCGGGGTTCTTTGACATCTACCCTGAAGATGATAATTTGCCCGGTGGGGGGAACACCACTTTCGTGGGAACTTGGTCGATGTATCCGTACTTCAAGTCTGGGTATGTTTTCATCAATACGATTGAGAGGGGTGCTTTTGTGGTAAAGATGACGAGTAAAAACTGCAAGTGAAGAAGGCGGGGAGGAGTTCAAGGAGGCTGTGATGGACCATAGTAGCTTTGTTAACGACAGTTGAGTGTTCTTTTTAAAGACTTAGTGTGAATTTTGTGTGTTTGTCAATTATGGTTGTCATTATTTTATGTGTATATTTGTTTCTGCGAGCTCTTCTGCTTCTGTTTGTTGGTTTGTGACCTCGCCTGGGGTTACCCATTGAACATCGACGAACTCAATGGCTTCTTGACTAGAAGTGATTAAGAACCCAGTAGAGCTCTACGGCCCGATGCGCCTGCAAGGTAGGTCGGTAATCACCTAAACAGTAAATCATCAAGCGAGACGTGATTTTAGGCTGCTGAATTGGTCAGCCACTCATATTCTCCCTTTCCGCCTCAACAATAAGCAATGGACCAATACTTTACAGACTTCATATCATCTGCCCTCAATCTAGTTCACGCCTACAGCTGCACATTCGGCAGCTTTGCGGAAACAATGCTAGCTTCCCTTTACCCCCGAATGGTTCATCCCAGATGATGAGACCAGCAATTGTTCCTTTCTCGCTCAAGTAGCTCCTCTCAATGTGATCTAATCCAGCAAAGTTTTGTACGACTTTCGATCTGCACTTGTAGGAACCACAAGAACTCATACCTGTGTGTCCCATTTTACGACGAATCTTTCAAATCAGAGCGTTTCGCAGCAGGATTTCTGGTCTTTCTTCGCTCACTTCGCTGCACGAATGTCAAGGGATGCTTCGAAGTGCTCGGTCTTTCGTACTCGAGCAAGCCGTTATCTTTGGCAGAAGATGTGTTTTTCTTCGACTAAATGATTCCTACTCTCTAAGAGTTTCTCCATGAATTTTGGGGCAGGACCTCGGCTAAATTCGTTCCTGTTGGCTGGACAGCCGCTCTCTGGAGGTGTGCAGTGGCGGTGTCTTTTGTTCTTCACCCGATACGCATTCTTTCGTACACTGAAGAAGTTTATTGTCGTTGGGGACTCTTCGAAGGAGCTGCCAGCTTTGCATATTATTGAGGGTGTGGATTTGAAGGAAATTTCGTCTCTCACGCCCCTGAAGTAGACACATATCACCTCTTGTCTCGATCAACGGCTCCTTGATCTGGGACAGAAGATCAAGAAATGGAAGGTTGTGGCGCTGCCCCGCGATATAAGAGCAGTTTCGGCATTGATCAAGGCAAAGGGTGTGGATATGCTCTTGGACTTCTTTGATGATGCTCCGAAGAACCAGCGAGAAAGTGCAGGACTTTGAGACTTTGATGATACTGGATAAAGGAATGGGTTGGCAACGGGAGAAATCTTCTTATCTTGTCGTGTATCTCTGTTTCATTTTGTAACCTACAAGCTCTAGAAGGTGGCTGAGTATTAAAAAATTGATTTTGTCGTCTCGCTCATTGGGAAAGCAAGGAACGCATTAGCTGTTCGATTCGTCAAGAAAGGCTTCGTCACCTGACGCGAAATGGCGGTCATCTCAGCACATCCAGATCTTCAGGGGAATCACCTCTCAATAATGTCCTGCTTTCTGGATAAGACTATAGAGTCAAAAGAGATGCAGAATGGGGCGTATTTATCTTCCTACGAGGTTGTGGTTTTACAGTCCTTAGCGATGTTGTTGTTTGTTATTGCGAGCACAGCCATGGCGCCTTGGATACAGTTATCCGGTCAAGAGCAGTGAGGGTATTGAACGTTTCATTGCGCCACCGCGAATAACAGCGTAAGATTAAACAACTCGTTCAATGTTCAATTGTGGCTTAGGCACTTCGAAGTTACTTGGCGATACGGCATAATTTGGCCGCACTTGCAGCTTGGCACGAAGCATTGCACGTCACCATCAAATCTAAGCGGAGCATCTGACATCTGATCATCATATTACTACCCCGCGTAATATTGGAAGATGTCAGTACTGACGGCATTTACTCATAGTTTCGATGTCAAACTCGTGGCCAACTTGTACCTGAATACGCATTGCATCGGAGAGATACTTATACATTTCGGCTCGCTTAAGCACGAAATCACATTGACAGCAATTTAAGGCGAGCAGTACGTATACATAGTCTTGTCCGCAAAGCCCGCAAAGCCCACCGGAGATATAATGAATACTTAATGAATAAATCATGAAATTTCTAGTCAGTTAATCTTCAGGTAGGTACATTGCTTGACATTTGGCACCGAAGCATTGTTAGCATCTACGCTACCCCTTTGTATCCTGATCCGGCGTGCCAATGCTTGTCCATCAGCATTTAGACCCACAACTACACAAGAAGTGCTGTATGCGCCACGACGTTGCAACCTAGCATCCAAGAATCTTGGGCGATATAAAGCTAACTTGTTGGTAGATTTTCGACACGTCATTGGTAAAGCGTGAGACCTGTCTCAAGGTGAGAGCCATTCCTCCCCCAGCGCGTGGATTTCCTCTCTAGCAACGCCAATTTCGCCAAGTGGCCAACATTCTCGATAATTCCCCAGATACATAGCGCAAATTTATGCTCCTAGTCGTTGAAGTCCTGGTAAGTAGGTAAGCCAAGCCCTTATGAGGCAAGGACTATGTCAAATTACAGACCACAAGCCTCGACGAAACTGCACAGCCAGGTAAGTTGACTTTTTCTCAATAATGCTGTGTTTCTCCTTTCAGCAAGCACAGAATCCTCTCTCCGCCACGTCCGCACAAGAATGAGAGACTTCCTATCAGGATGTTTCAATACAGCTGCGGGTTCGGCCGGTGCAGCTCTGATATGCACGGCATTAGCGCAGCATCTCGCCACAAAGCAGACCGAGATCTGCTCCGAGATCTGTTGCTGGATACTACTGCCATTGCTCATCAGGGCTAGAAATCAATCCGAGTATGGGATCATTGCAAAATCCAATACTGATAGGACGTCGAGGTCTCCTTGTCGCAGAACACCCACGATATCTCTGTGGGTGGTCGCTGTATGTCTTGCCGCAACATGTTGCTATAAAGCGGAAATAGGCGAAATTGGACTGCTTGTAAGCGAGTATGACCCTTTTGAAAGATTTACAACTGACTATATACAGCCGGTATTGACTCCCCTCATTCTGATAGTTGAGCGGAAACCCCGGGATGTTCATAAAACTTCAAATTCGCCGGATCAGTGGTCTTTCTCACCACTTAGCAACACCATCTGGGGAACAGCCTTCACCGCGTTTCTATTGAGCTTCGTTCTTTCAAAATGGACCCTAATAGAATCTGCTCTATCTGCCATTCCAGTTGCTTGTCTCCTCCTCGTCTACGTTGCTCTGGTCCCAAGGACATCTACCGACAGCTTCCGACTTCCGCAAATCGATATCGAAGAACATGTAGTCTCACTCTCATTTCGAACCATAATTTTCCTACTCGCTGCGCTCAGCATACAAACCGTGCTGTTTGGATTTCCCAGCGGTATTTATTTCTCTTCAGTACTCTCCGGCACAGCTAAGGCATTGTCTTGGTACTGCACCATTCAAGCGGTTTGTGCTCTCTCTTCTACCGTGAACATAATTAAGCTGACTATACTTAGGCTAAGCACACTTCATGGTCAATAGCGCCCAGAATTGTAACATTCGGGGTCATGTCCACACGTAATCCGTTCATGGAGTCTTCAGGACCACAGTGTGTTCTCAACATCATATCAACCTTTCTCGCTCACACTCAAGTCATCTACCTATGTCCAAGAAAGACTAAGTACCGACCTAGTCTTTGGATACTGGCACTCATATCTGTGATTCCATACGCTGCAAATATCTACAATATCAGGCTCGCAGAGCCCTCCACGTTGTTGAGCTTCGACAGCTCAATGATACACCCTGTGGAACAGCTCATGCAACATGCTAAGGCCGACTTTGCATCTCTTCTACAAAGACAATCCCAAAACTACACATCTGCTCACGCTGAATATCGGCGACGATACAGCATAGATCCCCCTCCAGGCTTCGAAAACTGGTACAACTTCGCAGTCCGGTATGAATCACCGATCATCGACGAGTTCGACATGATATTTGACACCATTTCCCCCTTTCGGAAACTCAGCGGTCTGGAAGTCAGTGCAATGATGGATCGAGCTCTGAGTACACCGGAGCATAACCTCTGGTCTTGTGTTTTTTCAGGCAAGAATGCCGAGACGAGTTGTACTCACCCGTGGCGCACAAACGACAGGCATATCTCCACTTCATTCAATGCTCTCCTAGGAGAATTGCCTGGAATATTACCGGATCTCAAATTCCTCGTTAACCATCTCGATGAACCTCGAGTCTTGGTTCCACCAGTCTCTTTGCAAGGAGATAAACAGAATTTCAAACAAACGAATATGGCCGAGATGCCAAACTGGGATGTACTTACGAAGTTCTGTAATAGTCAGCAACAGAATAAAACTTCCGAGTCCAAGCATAGAGTTGAGCTCTTTGATATTCCATTCATCGCAGACAGAAGTTCGGCTATAGACCTATGTCAACATCCCGAATACAGTTCTATGCACGGTCTCTTCATGAGCGCTACCTCATTCCAGCTATTCGAAGGCTTCGTCCCAATCCTATCAACAGGTGCCCCCTCGACAATGGGAGATATACTATTCCCCAGTCCAGCATACAACGAGTCCGGATTCCAATACGACCCCTCCCACGATATCCCCTGGGAAAAGAAGAAAAACAACCTCTACTGGGCAGGTTCCACAACCGGCGGTTTCGCCACAGACAAGCATGACCGACCCGATGAATGGCGCCTCTTCCAACGCCAAAGATTCGTAACTCTAGCCCAGAACCTACAACCAAAACAACAACACCACTACCTCCGCCCCAGCCACGGCCTAATCAAGCGGATCTCCTCATCCTTCCTAAACCTCAAACTCTACAACGTAGGATTCACCAACCTCCTGCAAACCACCCTCTCAACCTGGCATTCCCAACGGCTTTTCTTCCCGCTCAAACCCTGGGCAGACAAAGACCTCGCATTACACTCTCAACTAGTCTTCGATCTCGACGGTAACGGGATCAGTGGGCGGTACTACAAATTGCTTGCGTCGCGGTCGACGCCATTGAAGCAGACGGTGTTGAGGGAATGGCATGATGAGAGGTTGGTGCCGTGGGTGCATTATGTGCCTGTGAGTTTGGGGATGCAGGAGGTGCCGGAGCTGGTGATGTTTTTGACGAGTACGGGGAGGGGGAGGAGGGCGGCGAGGGAGATTGCGGAGAATGGGAGGGAGTGGTTTGGCAGGGGGATGAGGGATGTGGATAGGAGGGTTTATGTATATAGGTTGATGTTGGAGATGGCGAGGTTGCAGGATCCAGAGAGGTTGGCGTCTTGATGAGAGTGTGGAGGCAGAAATATAATATTATAATTGCATGGGAACATCGCTATCGGGAAAATGAGCGGGGTCATTTGGAAAATATGTGGCCCTGAGAACACAAGAGCACAATTCATCACATCAAATCACAAGCAAATATGGAATAGAAACCGAGAAATGGTTCAATAGCACATGTCATGCAATACAAGTCTATCAAAAAAGCGCCCGCACGCATGCAGTCAAAGCAGCAAGTAGCAGAAAAGTCCAAGTGGAACTAAAGCAACCCAGCCAGCAACGTACAAAAGGACCACGCAAAATCCAGTTCAGCTCCGTGTCTGATGAACGGCTGGAAAGATATCGATGATATCAATCCGTTTTGCAAATCCGGGTATCGTACCACTCCCAACGCCATTTTGTACGCAAGTCAAATCACCATGTGGGGTCCCTCCGGATGTCCGTCTTCCATCCCCGAGCCATGCACCGGATTTGTGTACACCCCAGTCTACTCATCGTAATCGTCTTCTCCATATTCATCCTGTTCGTCATCATCTCCATAACCAGTATTATCACCAAAGGCAGTATCATCATCTCCCAATCCACCAGGTTCAATACCTCCGAAATCCTCATAGTCTTCCTCGTCCTCCTCGAAGTCTGCTTCATCACCTTGGGCAGCAGGAGTCTGAGATTTCTTGAGAGAAGAGCGCCAGTCTTCTTCCTCATCTGCCTCACTCGGAGCGGGCTCAGTGGCAACAGGCTTGATATAATCATCGTCGTCCATGTCTTCTCCTTCGTCCTCGTTGGGCTCTGGTGTAGCGACTTTCTCAGGAACTTCCTTGGGCTTACCCTTGGATTTTACGCCACGAGCTCTTGGCTTTGGTCCGCGGACGACACGGAGGTCGTCGCCCATGGCTGAGCTGGCGACGCTGCCTGTGACGGATGCGGCAACAGAGGACATTTCGGACTCGTTGTCGGAATCGCCTATCTCACTTCCGGCTCGAGATGTGATTCTACTTGTAGCAGCGCTTCCAAGAGCACTCTTATCTCCAAGCGTATGTCCTAACAGGTTGTGGATGGCGTCGTAGTTGATCTTTTTGGAGAAGGAGCGGAGCTTGAGAGCGTTGACGGCTGCATCTCCTGGACTGCTTGCAGGAGTGGTTTGTCCTTCACCGATTCTAGGCTTCTTCTTGCGGTTACGTCGAGCCTTTGGTGGTCCATTCTCGGCTTCCTTCTTTGCCCACAACTTCAACTGTTGCTTGCGCAGCCAATCCTTATTGGCGTTGACCCAGACCTTCTCTTTTCGGGCAACATCCGCAGCAGAGAGTAAACAATTTGCAACTTCTGGATCGTCTGCAAATTCATTTTCGTCAATATATGCATCCATGCTGATTTCCTTGGCAGGATTGATCTCTTCAGCAGCGCTCATATATGCAGCTACATTAACCTGCGCCTGAGCGTATTGTTCCGCATGTTCAAGAGAATGTGGGTCTGAGACTATCTCACCAATTTCTCTCTCCATTTGTGACTCGACTGATTGCCAAGGCTCAGGTACCAGGATTTCCTTCTGCACGCGCTTTCGCTTGAGCGGATTTGATGCAAGAACTGCAGCGATTTCAGCATCGATATCATCCTCCTCTTCTTCAGCTGGCACTACAGTATCATTGAATGATTCATTCAGCCTCTCCAAAGTGGTGCCGGACTGTTCCTCGATAGCACTCTCAATAAGTTCAGGATCGATAGGAATGTTATGCGACTGAGTAGGCTGTGGTGGAATTACGAAACCATCAGCATCGCGACGGAGCTCAACAGCCGGTTGAGCAGACTGTGGTGTAGAGGCTGGAGTGGGAGATGCTTGATTGTCTGTTGCTGTACCGGAATTGGATGCAACTTCTGGATTGGCTGTCTTTTGGCGCTTATTTGGGCTTGGGCTTATGCTTTCACCATTCTCGCTGCCTGAACCATCTTCATCCTCATTCGCCCCATCATGGCCTCTACGCTTGCGACGCTTCTTAGTCTTTTGGAACTCCTCAGTCTTCTCATAGAAGGATGGGGGATCATGAGCGGATTCCAAGAACTCATTGTGCAAAAACTCCTCTACGGTCAAAGCGCTGGATGGCGTCTGCTTGAACTCTTCGAGACGTTTCTGGATGGTATGCGTAGTGACCTTAACAATGTAGACGACCTCCGTGATTGTGCGTCGAAAATTGTTCATTCGTGCAGCAAGGATAAGACAGGCTCCACAAACGCCAGAAGGCCGACGGCCCATGACCATCCAATCCATACTCATACGCTGGACCATTCGAATTGCATCTTCGGCGACCTTAGTCATCAAAGGACCGAATTCGAGACGCTTTGCAAATCGAAATATCAAGTCTTCAGGGAGAACTGGCTGGATGCCTTCCTTGGCGATAGTAATGGCTTCATGGAGTTTCTTGAAGGTGTGGCCCAGCTTGAAGACATTGGCCTACGATCGTCAGTATGTTTCTAGAACAATGAAGAAGAGATTACACTTACTTGAACCAAGTCGGCAAAATCAATGAGCATGACTTTGCAAGGGGTGGTCTTTCGGCAAGCACTGTAGAGGCACACCGCAGCGACCATGTCCATTCTACGACCTTGAATAAAGTTGCTCATGGCCGCGAGCTTGAATATCTGCATGCCAGCTTGAATAGTTGAATCGTTAATTTGGAGCTGGGTACCCATGGACTGCATGTAACGACGACCTGAAACCAATTAGCCAAGCAATGTCGATATTGCATATATTAAGACTTACCATCACGAATAGTAGATTCTCGGTCTTCTCCTCCAGTTCTCTTGAAGGCGGGACCGATGCTTCGGGCACCACTCTGATCGGCACTAACATAACTTCCCTGAACAACAGCTGCTCCGCTGGAATTCTCACCGAACGTGACTTCTGAGACGATGCTGGACTCCTCGACGATGAAACCACAGTTATGGCAAATACCATCAACTACAGTAGGGGCGGAACATTCTTTATTGGGACAGGCCCGTTTGGTGGGCTGGGTAGCCGCTCGGGCGGCGGCGGCAGCAGCTCCAGCAGCAGCTTGACGGACCAGCGTAGGAGGAGGTGCTTTAATAGGAGCTCTATTCTTGAGGGGATTCGCCTTGCGGACAGGCTGCGGCTTTGGTTTAGGAGCCATGGTGATATCGACGGCGACGACGACGATGAGGCTGAGATGACTCCCCCACTTCGACCCCGCACCTGATGATGAATTCGAGAGAAGTCAAAAGCAATAGAATAGAGCAAAGGTTTTCGCGTGTGATATAATAGTAATAGCGCTGCAGAGATGCAGGCTACACGTGGTTTGAGGGACGTTGGGAGCTGATGAGGTTGATGCGCTGTGTGTGTCGCATTGCCAAAATCAATCTTTTGGGGAAATGTGGGTGGGTTTTCAGGTCGATTAAGGCGCTTCAACACCAAACGGCGGGGCTGCCGTAATTTTTTTACGGCTTCAGCTAAGCGAGAACTAATTCCGACAAGGCCGATATGGTAGGTGACGACAAGAGGTAAATGAAATGTCTCTCAAAGCATTCAACTTGAGCAGTGCCTAATCGCATGACTTCCAAGAGTGTCTAACTTTAACTCTCGTATCCATATCAGTTGCATCTCTCATTCATTTCTGGCTCCCCTCGGAGGAACTTCGCATTCTCTGTGATTCAGAGACCATTGAAAACATCACATCAGCAACTCTCTAGACATTAAGCTCCATAGTCACTTCAACACAAGTCCTAACCCGAAGTCTCCTACAAGTAAACATCCTATATCTTCGAGTGGAGTTTTTGAGGCTTTTCTTACGTCCAATTCTCAGTCGGATGGGCATGGGCGTACTGGAGAAATCCCGCGCCGACGCCAGGGTGCCAGTCCAGGCCGGTTCCGGACTAGCGTGTTAGACCCTCCAAAAAATTATGAACTTTTGGACTTGACCGCCGTCCACTGCTCTGCCTCACGCGATATCGATACATAGTCGTCTCCTTCCTCTTCCTCTTCCTCCTCACGTCACTTGTACACCCTTTTGTGCAGTCCCTCCTTAGTACTACCTATTTTGTTCTCTAAACCGTAATCATGGCAGACGACAAGATGAAGGGAATGGAGCATTCCGAGGTTCACTACTTCAACAGGTATGTCCAGGTTTTTGGTCTTAGCTTCTTAAGGAACAATACTGATTCAAAATAGTTATAACCACCATGGTATGTGCGAACCTGCGAAAGGTTAAATAAAATGGATACTAATGGACAGTGAAGGTATCCACGAAGAAATGTTGGTGTGTACCTGCATAACATGATGCTTCTTTCCACAACAACGCAGCCCCACTAACAGCCTTGCAGAAGGATGAAGTGCGAACAAGATCATACATGAATGCCATTGTACAGAACAAGCACCTATTTAAAGACAAGATCGTCCTCGATGTTGGCTGTGGAACCGCAATTTTGTCTATGTTCGTCTACCATTCTCTTCCAAATATCCACCAGCAGAGACTGACTTTCTCCAATTAAGGTTCGCCGTCAAGGCTGGAGCAAAACACGTCATTGGTGTCGACATGTCTACTATCATCGAGAAGGCAAAGGAGATCGTTGAGGTAAATGGCATGTCCGATAAGATCACCCTCCTGCAAGGAAAGATGGAGGAGGTCGAGCTACCATTCCCAAAAGTCGATATCATTATCTCGGAGTGGATGGGATACTTCCTTCTGTACGAGTCCATGTTGGATACCGTGCTATACGCCCGTGACAAGTACCTTGCGCCACAAGGTTTAATCTTCCCAGACAAGGCCACCATCTTCATGGCTGGTATTGAGGATGGAGAGTACAAGGATGAGAAGATTGGATGTAAGTTTTCGCCGCGCGCAGAGCCAGAGCCAACCTAATACGAGAAATAGTCTGGGACAACGTCTACGGATTCGACTACTCCCCACTCAAGCACACCGCCCTCACCGAACCTCTCGTCGACACTGTCGAAATCAAGGCCGTCGTCACAGACCCCACCGCCGTCCTAACCCTCGACCTGTACACCTGCACCACCGCTGACCTCGCTTTCTCGTCCCCCTTCGTCCTCGACTGCCGACGTGACGACTTCGTGCACGCCCTGATCGCATGGTTCGACATCGACTTCACAGCCTGCCACAAGCCAATCCGTTTCTCGACCGGCCCACACACAAAGTACACGCACTGGAAGCAGACCGTCTTCTACTTGCGTGAGGTGCTGACCGTTCAGCAAGGAGAGCAGATCAGAGGTGTCCTGGATAACAAGCCTAATGAGAAGAACAAGCGTGATTTGGATGTGAAGATCAGCTATAAGCTAGAGACAGATGATATTACACGGACAGCTGAGGGAAGCTGCGAGTACAAGATGTGCTGATGAATGAATAAACGACGAGCATGACGGGTGGATGTTGGGAGGAAGGGTTTCTTTCGCGGCTGAGAGCGCAGACCCTGGATGTGCGTTGAATTATAATTGACGCAACTTTCTTCTCTTATTGGGCTACCTGACTGGGTGGGATGCATGTGGCGGAATGGTATCTGAGCGACGGATGAATGTCTTTTTGTCTCTAATTGGCGTTCGAGATGGTACAAAGCATAGCAGGCGTGGCGAGGGCTATACGGGAAATGAATAAACTAAATGGAAGCCATTTCAAACTGTAGCCTGTTGTCTTTTCTACGTTTTGGGCAGCCCTCGAGAAAGGCAAATCTGAGACTATTTTGATTCATGAGGACTGGTAAGAGCTTTGAAAAGTGAGCACTGCCTGCAGGAAATTCTATAAGTCATAGATTCCTGTTCCCCGTTGAGTCTCTCTGTTTAGTCCGGCTTGAACGGCGATACACAAGCTGTAGTTCTGCTTATTCATTCGTTCGTTTCCCCTCACATTATACTCTTCTCATATTAACCAGTTATCTCTCCCTCACATCTCACATGTCGTTCTCCCAAACTCACATCATGTATGTATCCATTTATTCCTCCGAAATGCATTGCTTGTCATCAATGCTATTATATGATATTGTACAAGCCTTCCTGGCCAAGTGGTACCTTTGTCAATCGCTCTCCAGCCACCTTCTATTTACTTATTCTCCGCATCATCCTTCGGCAGGCTGACGAAGGCTGGGACAACGACGCTGTTGAGATTGCGAAATGCCTACATCACAAACGTGAATCAGCCTATTACTTCCATTCCTTCAATCGTGTTGTTTAGGGAAAGGGTGGAACTCCAAGTGAAGCAAAGCCACTCTCATACTCTCAAAAAGAAGAAAGGAAAAAAAAAAGAGAAACTCACAGTAGCAATCGCCCCCTCAGGAATACTCCCATTCCACCTATCCTCCACACCCGTGATCCTCTCCCCCTTCTCATCAGTATGAATCTTAATCACACTCTCAATGACCTTCTCAGCTCCAATACCCTTGACTTTGTATCTGGTCTTAAGATCCATGGTGATGGGGTTGCCGGAGGAGGTGATGGAGTGGTGCTGTTGCTCGATCTCGGAGAAGGCGGCTTTGAGGCCCCACCATTGCGCTTCGTATTGTTTCCTGCCTTGGGCTTTGGTGAGGGGGTCGGCGAATGTGGCGGTGTCCTGGGGAGAGTGTTAGAGTATTATCGATTGGGAGATGGGGAGTGAGGAACTTACGGTCCAGAGAGACATCTTCTTGTGTGTTGGTAATCCCTTGAACAGCTATCATAAAGCATTAGCACATATCCGCATTCAATATCAGCTCCCCCAGGCTCTTCCACATCTCTAACATCATATTCCTCGCTTCTCCACCAACATCCTCATCTCCATAGCTCAACCCAAAAATTACAGGACATATTTCAGAATCAAGTCAAATAGTACTCACATCCAAAACCCCACCCACAAGAACCCTCTGCCTGGGACTCAACTCCACCCCAGCAGCAACCTTCAAATTCGTACTCTCAATTCCATAGCTCGTCGACTCGCTCTCATCCCCCGCAGCTCCCTCCGGCCCAGCAGCCGTAGAATTGAATCCTGCTCCTGGCTTAGCTCCTGCTACTGGACCAGTGGCGGTACCGACTCCCGGTTTGGCAGTGAGGCCTTGCGCTTGGGAGGGAGGTTGTGTTGGGTCTTGAGTGCTGGATTGAGATTGGGGTTGGAGGGGGGCGGACATGTTGGTGAGTTTGGGGGTAGATTTAGGGACGGAAGTGCTGAATGGTCGGGATGTTTGGGGTTTGAAAGGTGTGTTGACTCTTGCTCTTGTGAGGAGGCGGGTGGTGGGACGCATAGAACTTCTTTGCTTGATTTTGCTATTGAGTTTCTTAATGTTGACAAGTGAACTAGTGAATATGAAAATGGTAATAAGTGAAGAAGGGCTTTTTTTATGTGGATTTAACCTGATTTGAAATGCTAGGACCTGGAATCGATTCACGTCACGACTTTGCTTGTAGAGGGGTGAGACGCGGGGATGTGTTGACATCATCACTTGAGAGCTGCGGTCCGAGCCGAAGCCACCTGCTTGATAGTAGTGACCCGTGGACGGCACGCGGATTTCTGGATGGGATTTTGGAAATCCCATTAGAATGTCTATGGCTTGCAAAGAAAACGGTAGGTTGCTTGTGGTCAACTTTGATAACGAATCGACAATGAACAACACGGAAATGAATGGCTGGGAACAAAAATCTATTGATCATACCTTCTACCACCCAAACACAACCCATGAAATCAAGAAATCATATGCAAATACTGTGGAACTTTTGTGACATTCAAATACTTCTAATCAAGGCCATCTACTTCGCACCACCCTCCTGCCTACAGAAACCCGCAACTTTGCTCGCCAGGTCATCAGCCTCACTCCTCGTCGCCGCCTCGGCATACACTCTAACCGCATCTTCCGTCCCAGAAGCTCTAGCAAAACTCCTCCCATCCTTGAACTTCTTCACCAACGCATCAATTTGCTCCTGCAATCCCTGAGGCTCAACCAGTTTGCGCTCTGCATCAGTCGTCTTGAACAGATTCCTGTCACCGACCTCTACGCGGACGAGGCGATTGGGTAGGTCGACGTAGGTGAGGTCCCATTCACGTGGTGTCCAGGACTTGTGTGCAAGGATTGTTTCGACGAGGAGCATGTCTGAGAGGGCATCACCAACGGTTTGGTTGATGAGGTCTGTAAGGGCACGGAGTGTTTCGAGTGCTTGGGCTTGGGCTGGAGATTCGGGCTCCTTGGTCTTGAACGCCTTGAGGGCTTGTTGGGAGAAGACAACAGTTCCGTGACCGTTAGCTTCGAAGTAAACACCGACATCAAATTTGGTGGCTGCGTGATGAAGCCACTTTACTCCGGTGGGCGTGCACACCACTGGGAGGCCGAGGGACTTCTCGACATATTTGGTTGAGGCCCCATTTGCGTATGCAGTTTGAACGACGCCAATCTTCAGTTCGTCTGAGAGTCTTGCTTCGCGAGCTAGATCTCCAATGAATGAAGCTGCCAGAGTAGCGATCTTGTCTCCATCAAGAAGGCGAAAACCGTGCTCTGGATCGTTGAAATAGTAGATGATTCGGTCTGCGTCTCCATCTAATGAGCAGCATCGTTCATTCGGTCCAGCTTTCGAAGATGGAGGTGCTCTCTGCTTTGTCTTGACATAGTCCGCGCCGCACTGAAATGGTTAGGGGAGAAATTCACAAAGTGGCATATCACTTACCTCATGGTTCAATACTTCCGCCTTTAGGACATCATCGTTGAGAATCTTAATCTCAACACCCTCGGATGCCTTTGGCAGGTATTTCAAGAGCTCGGCTAACTTTGGTCCTCCAACACCGTTGGCACAGTCAACAGTGACTGGCCCGACCGTCTTCTTTCCCTTCATAGCCCGCACAAATGCCGCAGCCAACTTCTCATAATATCCCTTCTCACTGACTTCTCCGTAGCTTTGTGGTGTTCCCTCCGTATTCGTGCATCTCGTCAGGTAATGTAATTGAGGAGTCGTGAGAAGCTTGTAATCCGTGTATTCTGCACCAGCAGCCTCAAGCGCATCCACCAGAGCCTGCGCCAGTTTTGGTCCACTTGGTCGGGTATCTCTAGCATAGATGACTCTCGCAGGCGTCGCAGGATTGATCTTCAGCTTCTCCTCCAAGCTCTTATACACCTTGGCGACATCCTCGTTTTTTGCATTGGCTAGCTCCGTTGAGTATGCCTCCCATGAGTTCTCCAACATCTCCCCCATTGGATCCACGAGCTTGACACCATTGTCCTCTGGCGGATTGTGGGAAGCTGTGATCATAACACCAATTGTTTGTCCACCAAGTTTACGGGATCGAAGAGCTGCGACCAGACCAACGCGGAAAACTACACTGTCGAGGAGGGTAGCTTTCATTCGGAACCCCGCAGTGCCATATTGAAACACCCGGTCTGCGGGCTTCGGGTGCTTGTCTGAAGCAGCGAGGATTTTGGTGTCCATGATTGCGATTGACTGTTGTGAAGAAGAAGAAGAAGAGGAAGGGGAAGAGAGGATGAGGTTCTCTTTTGAACAAGGCTGGGTGGTGAGATGTTCGTATAGGAGAGCAGATCAGATCAGTACAGGAACGAGGGCAGGGCAGGGCAGGGCAAAGCAAAGCATAGGGCACAGCCGCTGTCAAAGCTTCTGCTGCTATTTCTGGGCTGAACCACAGATCCGCAGCTTCACCGCCTTGAAGAGAGGGGACGGAGGGGCAACTGCATGAAATGCGCCGTATCCCTGATCCATGCGATGCCAAGCTCTTATCACGTGTACTCGTGTTTACTTTCTTTGGCGGAATCGTTGACGCGACGACTTCTCTTGCGAACATCTTACGAGTTACTCCTCTCCACAACTTCAATTGCTGCACCCCTTGCAAATCGCTCGCATACGATCAATGGCATACGGCACTTCACAGTAGCTAGCTGACTGCTTCCAATCGCTCTCAATTGCTTTCCAGTATCAATTACCAGCTGCGCGGCACTCGTTCACCATGGCCGACTGCGCAAACCAGTTATGGTATACCTTCGCATTCGAATGGCTTACACAAGCCCGGCACAGAAACAGCAGAGGAGCCCAAACCTACAAGAAAGCCTGCGACTCTCTCAAAGCCTGCCCGTTCGAAATGCAGCACCCGTCGGAAGTTATACAACTCACTGGATGGGGTCCAAAGCTCGTTGACAGATTGACAAAGGATCTCCAGGCTTACTGTGATGCCAATATGCTGCCAATGCCAAAGAGACAGACCAAGAGGAAAAAGAAGACAGCTGATGCTACAGGAGAGGAAGCTGGCAGTGATGAGGAGCCAGCAACACCGAAGAAAAAAGCCAGGAAGACCAAGCCGTATGTACCAGGCTTGCGCACCGGTCCCTATGCTCTGCTTATTGCTCTCGCGACACAAGAACGGGGATCGAAGGAGGGCATATCAAAGTCGCATCTGATTGAGCTCGCCCAACCACATTGTGACGCATCATTCTCAGCACCAAGTGATCCTACGAAATTCTACACAGCTTGGAATTCAATGAAGACACTTCAGGCCAAGGACATGGTTTATGAGAAAGGAAGACCGACACGACTTTACTATCTGACAGATGAAGGTTGGGATGCCGCCGATGCACTGTTGAAGACTGTAGATCTTAGCCAGGGACGGCTGGACAAATTCACCGTAGCAACGAGGGCCGCTCCAGACGGTTCGGACGATGAAGATGGTTCAGATGCAGACAGCCCTGTTTGTCGGTCCAATGCCAGACCATCCTCAGAGTCTCCCAAGAAATCTAACGTCCCGGACATCGTCCCGCTCGGTAGATCTGTAGCGAGTGCCGCCGACCTCCCTACTTTCACTCCTATTGTCCTCGAGCCGGGATTCTTCAGCGTGGAACTAGTCCTAGATATCAGAGAGATACGCGCAAAATCAGATCGTGACTACATGCAAAAGAATTTGACCTCTGCTGGAGTCAAGCCGATAATGCGAGCCATGTCTCTGGGAGATGTTTTGTGGGTGGCAAAGTTGCACGATCCTGGTCTGCTCAAACGTCGGGGCGCGGAGGGTGACGAAGTTCTGCTCGATTACGTTGTTGAGAGGAAGAGACTTGATGACCTCATTGGCTCGATCAAAGATGGTCGGTTCCATGAGCAGAAATTCCGGCTTCGCAAATCCGGAATCAAGAATGTGATCTATATCATCGAAGAAATGGCTCATGCTGCTGATCGGTACGAAGAAGCAGTAGCATCAGCTATCGCTTCTACTCAAGTAGTTAATGGCTATTTTGTCAAGAAGACACAGAAGATGGACGACACTATTCGGTACCTGGTGAGCATGACGAAGATATTGAAAGACAAGTACGAAACAAAGCCACTTAACCTTATTCCCACAAAGAATATTACGACTACAAATTACTTGCCATTGTTGGAAGATCTTTCCAAGAAGCAACCAGGCACAGACTATCACATCACATATGATGCCTTCGCAGATATCAGCTCGAAATCGGGCAACTCAACTCTTCGGGATGTATATTTGAAGATGCTTATGTGTATTCGAGGTGTTACGGGCGAGAAGGCTCTCGAAATACAGAAGAGGTGGAAGACCCCAGTAGACTTTTTGGACGCATACAACCGGATCGAGGAGAGAGAAGGCCAAGGAGAGCAATGCCGGAAGAAGAAGATGGATCTTGTGTCGAGCGAGATGAGTAATCTGATTGGGAGGAAAAAAATGGGAAAAGCTCTGAGCGTCAAGATCTCCGAAGTTTGGGGTGATGTACAAACCTGATGAACTCGACTGAAGCAATTATCGACGCCTTCTGAGAGGGCATATACCAGGAAATAGGCTACACGCCAGGGCAGTCCTGGTTTTGAGAAATGGATGTGACTTGGTGTCGAGGAGGAAGCACACCATATCTCGCAGTCTGCTGCATCGAATTGCAGCTCATTCTTGTTGCTTTTCCGTGTACTTGTTCTTGATGCATGCGCTTCCTAGCCGCTTTGAGATGTCTTCTTACAGCTCCTGCCGTTTCTATGGTTCAAGGCGACTTTCTTTCTCATACTCGTCTTTGTTGACTTTGGAGCTGCTTCCACCATACGAAATATTCAAGATGTCGTATCTAAGCCGAGTATTGCGCTTAAGCTAGGTCAGGACCAAGGTGTACCACTTTGGCATTCTTCGTGTCACAGGCAGGGTGTCTCAGGCACGTTCAGATGCGATGTCTGAGCGAAATAGCCAGGTGAATAGAGAAGGGTGTGCCTCTTTCCATGCTCCAGGCAGGGTTTTACAGAGTCAAATAGAAAAACCTCAGCGACAAATATTTTCTTAGCGATATCATCGACATCGACGTCTCAGAAATCAATACCAAATACCTTCTTTTGTCATTCTCGCCTGAGCCAACATTCAGAGCAGCATCCAAACATGAATCTGCGAGTCTTCGATAATCCGGACAGTCTCTATCCCTCAGCTACTGATTCCGCATCGAGTCGCATCATCTTCACATGATATCCTACTGTCATCATGGCGCATGCTACAGGCGACACACCGGTATCCCATACACTTCAGGGTTTGGGAGCCTTGACTGGGAAGCAAATCCGATGTGAAATCATTCAGTACGGCATCACTGTCGATCCCAACGATTTGAAATCGAACCTGCTCCCTATGCTGGCGCTATCTAGGCTGAGAATGATCGACAAGGATCGTGCTCCCGATCCTGATTTGCTCGTCAAGGTTACTAGGTGGTGTTCTTTGCTGGTCCCAGGACTAACGAAGGAGCTTAAAAGCTTGGGCATCCAAAAAGGCGCGAACAAGTGGCGTGATATTGAGAATTTGATACGGGCAGAGTTTGTATCCTGAGGCTTGAAATATGATCCAATTATGCTGACTTATATCAGTCCGGGGCTGCAAATGATAGAGGTGAACAGGGAGGAAGTGTAGGTTAGTAGCTTTGAGTGCCGCTCGGAAGGTTAGCTAGGCTAGATGACCCATGTATCCTCATAGCTCTCTTGGATACGAAGATTATCTAGCCCAATTCTGAGTCGTCTCGCCTTCTCGCCTCGTTTGGATAATACAAGATACCAGCCCTTTCACGAAACCCCTGCTATTTGCCTTTATTTTTATGAAACTTTTCGTAAGTATCTATTTGTTTCTTTGAGAACTGCTGATTCTAAGCTGGTGTGATTTTCTTTCAGAATAAATATTGCAGGTGATGTTGCACGTAGCCCAAACTTTAATTCTACGAAGGTAATTTTGTTCCTTCTCAAGTTGATATTGCATGTTGGGTCTTGTTAAGATCTCGGATCTCGGGGAGTAGATCTTCCGGCTCGCCGATTTTACTACACGCATGGATAGAAATCTCTATTGATGGTCATCTGGATGATGAAACAGCATCCAGGGGTGGTTGATGTATTCAAACAGCCTTTTTCGGATTGTGGAAGATAACGCAACATGTCTGGAATTAATTAAACCCGTCATGAACCCTACTTTGCGGATCTTCTCAGCCTAATGAATATGATATTTTTATTATGAATGAGTTTGGAGCATCCATTCTAATCATTACAGTTGCTCAGCCACTTATTGACCTTTTGCGTGCCTTCCAGCTTGTTTTGCAATTCCAGGGTGTCCATATATCCATTCAATACTTGAGATGCTGCTCCCGAGGTTTTGGGTTCTGCGATAGCTTCTGCTACCATTCTTTCTTCTACCATCTTGGGTGATTCTCCACCATCTAGCGATTCTCTCATCGCCCTGAGGATCAAAGATCCTCCCTGCGAGTCTTTGTTTTGCAACTTCGAATTCTCATGTCCGTTCAATATGACCGACTTGTCCGGAGACTGCGGGTACACCGTGTTAATGATCTCGCCTTCTCGAGTTTCTCCTCCTGTCTCTTTGGGCGAAGCTGCGACATCGATAGCGTATACCGTGATTGGGTTAACCAATGTCACTTGTGAAGCCTCAAGCAACATTTGACTGCTCAAAGGGTCGGCGGTAACATCCTCATGTGGACTGAAAGGAAAGAGGAGATTTTCGTCGTCATATTGCCTGTCCGAAGGATCAGAGCAAGTGGATTTATCTGAGCTCACGGGAGAGATGGATTCTTCTTCGTCATGTAGATTCAGTATGTACTGGCCTTGCCGCCACTTCTCCAGCGCGTCGAGAGCTTCCTGAAACGGCGGATTCCTCGCTCGAGCTTCACGCCTAATCTTATCACATAAGGATTGAGCTTCGTTGAGAAGATCATCCATAAGCTCAAAGTGTTCTGGATCTAACTCGTATTCAATCGCGAATCGTCGAAGATGGTGAAGACTTAAAATGGAGTAATGGTAACGGTTCGGAACGACAGAATCTGAAATCAGGTTCATCAGTCAGTGTCAGTGTATCTATTACCTAAGAATTGTCGCTACCAAACACCAATACGTGTATTTAGTCACATATAGACCCATAGAACTGGTAAAACAGGTTGAATAAACTCACCATCACTCCTTGCCAGAGCTAAACATGTCGTCCCAGAAACAAAACGCCCCGTTCCAGGATTCTCAATGACGTTCAATCGCTTCGCGAAATCTTCCTTTGTTCCGCTTTGGAGAACTAGGCCACCCTTAGATACCTGCAGCCAAAGTGTCAACTATCAACAAACGCCTGGTGTAAGTACACATACCGGTAATCTACAGCACTTCACCTGTAAATTGGACATTTCAATGTCTCGTGAATACGCAAGATCTTCGCGTATATGGGCTGGAAGAGTGATAGTTCTGGGATCGGGGTCACCAAAGCCTCGGGCTTCAGAGACTCCTTTGATCGGGAGTGGTTTTGACCGCATGTCGTGGGGACTTCCCATAGTTATGAAGCTCGTGATGATTGGATGGTGGCTATGTATGAAAGATGTGATCCTGGTGTTTGTTGGGACTCAGTGATAAGTATATGCTAAGAAGGTTATTTGAAGCAGAGCTGGAATTGTAGACTTTCAAAAAGGAAACACTGCTCCTACCGTGCCAATCGAGACTGCCTCGTTTAATGCCCCGGATTAGGCATGGGCTCGCTTAGCTTCCACTAATTTCAACAACGTCAACGTCCCTTCCTTGAAAACAACAAACGCATAACTTATCAACATCGAAAACACAACACCTTCATCGAACGACAAATAAAGTCTGTAAACTATTGATACGACAAGGATAACTATTGGCACTCCATTGTCCCTCCCCAGAAGAACGACGAATGATGTCCTGTCCAGATGCGACCCGCCACGAATCAAGGAGGCGTGCGAGAAGACATTGAGTGCTCGCCAACCCACGAGTCAGCTATGGAAGACAATGACGACCAGGATTCCTCAAACCACTTGAGCGAAGTGACCACAAACGTCCCCAGTCAGAGTAGTAACTCCAATGATGTAGACCGAGTCCGGGATCCAGCTCAGCCACCCAGTTCTGGCCTCAGGCATGATCCACCTTCTGTTGGCGCAAATGTCAACATGCCGGACACTTATGCCAGAATAAAGGCATATAAGCCTCCAGCCTATGTATCGCCGTATGTAAAGTCTACAGATGCCCCTGCACCAGCAGCAGACAAAACCAGCGCCCTGTCAACACAAGTGTCTAGGCCGCGAATACTGTCAGCTCATCAGAATGATCTGCCGTGGCTATGCTGCTTTGCGCAGAGGAGAATCCCAGAATGGAGGAGACATCTTGAGGTGAGTTCTACCTTGTTCTTGTCCCTATCTATGAAATGACTGACTTCGCGTTTCAAGGTATGGAATCCAGGCACAGCAACTGTCTGTACTGTTTCAGTCCCACATCCATGCCAACACGTGCAATGCGGAGACTGCGTGTTGCAGTCCTTGGAAGAAACAATAGAGAATACCACCACCACAGTTGCCTTCAATGCCGAAGCGACTCAGACCAATGTGGAAGATGATGTTAAAGGAGCAGAACCGATAGAGGAGACCGCGGAGGTGGTATCTCAAGAGGAAACTGCACATTCAGAAAACACTCCAGGAATGACACCGTCAAGCATGTTGATGCCAAAAGCAGCGAATTGGGATCCAAAGACAAGACGGCTCAGACTCTGGCCGAAGGACTAGGTTTGCTAGTTCCCCCTTTGCAAACACAAGCGACTGAATAAAGAATTTGATCCAAAAGTGCTACTACTGAGGCTAGATCTGTCAGGTAAGACCACTTCAATATCAAATTAAGCCAGGTACTGTCTCATCTCTGCGATGGCGTCATATCAAAGGAATAGAAATAATGGCATTTGGGCAATCTACACGCGAGGATTCCACTCTTGTTGTCTCGACAAATTCACCATCTAACTTCTTGGCAGAAATACATGATTATATTTATGCTCTCGATTCTTGAAGACGCAATTCACTTCTCCGTATTGGCCATGTATCGTATCGCAACAATCGCCCTCATCCTTGCAGTCTACGGCGATGGCCATAAATACCCTGCAGATCCCGAGTTCGCTCAGTCATATGCTGTACGTGCCTGCGAATGCATTGGTAAAATACGTAATAACTGGGTACTGGCTGAGAATAAAGCTGCGGTCGACCTTCTCTATAACACAATCCAGAATATTGCCTGGAGAGTCATGACTCATCCGCAAATGCGCCTTCTCTGTAGGTTTTCCGGGCATTTGATGTACACGGATCCACTTAGACCTGCAGCTGACGGGGAGCTCACGTTGGACTGGGTTGCTCAGATGAGAAAACGAACGGAGGAGATCACAGGCGGATCGGTGGATGGTCTACAGTCTATCAACAAACAAGACAAGCCTTCCGGTACCTAGGATAGTCTCTGGTATGTTTATAGTGAAGCAAAATGTGTAAGTGTTCTACAATGGGGCATTAGAGTTAGAATCCAGACACCAACAGTAACGAGCAGATTCTTCCTCAACTACTTTTTCCACTTCATTCAGGCATGGTCAGGATCTTTTGATACAAAGGAACATGAACATGACTGGAATGGTCATTTCAAATTCTTCAAGACTTCGAAGGTATATTAGACTTTTTGAAAGACGAGCAGCAAAGATCGCTACTTCACCGTATATTCGATCGACAATTTTCTGCTGAAAGAAATGCATCGCGGTAGTAGCTTATTAATCCCAGACATGTACTTTCAGCTCTTCAGAGATGTTCTGAGCTTCAAGCAGTGGCCGATACGAAGTTCCCTCCTCGCTACTCTGTTTACCCCACAAGCTACCCCGCACCTGATCTCGTATCTATATTCAGATATCTCAAAGCACCACCAACACAACTTGATATACATCTTTGTTTCTTCCATTACCATCCCAAATCAAAACATCGCCTGACTTTACCGAGCCATGTTGTCGCACCAAGGGAGGCAAGGACCCCACACTATCCCATTCCCAGCTGCGGAGGTATACCCTCCGAACTTCTCCACGATTGCGGGGACATCACTCCGTCCAATATCCGATGTAATACCTAAAGCTATATCTCGCTACTACACATCTACTGGGATTCTCCATCTTGTTCGCGGCATTGTTCCTGAATACAGATCAGCCGAAAGGGCAATATGGGGAAGATGATAGGTTGATTGGCGCAGTAAAGTACCGAGATTGGAAAACTAACTGCTTAGAGTTTTTGGGCGGGTGAGGGGTCTATACTCTTCATGATGTATTCAAAGTGGAGGCATGACTTCATTTGGTCAAATTTAAGTATTAAATGCGCTGTGCTCTTTTTCTTTTTGTCTTTTACTTTTTCTATTTACTTCTTGTTTTCTTTTCGGCCATTTCCTCAATTATTTCCAGATTCTTAATCATGAAGAAAATACTCCTTCTCTCATTCCTAGCTCTCACAGCCTCGTCTCAAACCCCACCCCTTGAAGACCCGTCAAAAGTCAAAGACGTCGTAGCCTCGGCGATATCCTCTCTGATCTCCTCGCCCAGTCTCCTAACGTCTCAAGTCCTCCAAACATTTTTCTCTCCAATCAGCACTGTGCTAGCACGCAACTCATACGTCTACCGCAATGGAACAAGTCTGTACCTCAATGGCGAGCGATGGACCGCCAGCGGTGCCAACGTCTACTGGCTTGGCCTTGACGAGAACGTCATACCGCCACAAGGAGAACCGTTTTATGCGCCTTTCAACGCGAGTTATCCTACCAAGGGACGCACGACTGAGATTATGAATACGCTCGTTACGATTGGTGCGAAGCTGATTAGGAGTCAGACTTTGGGTGTCAGTGTTGGAAATCCGTTGAGTTTGATGCCGACGAAGGGAGTGGTTAACACGGATGCTTTTGAGGCGATTGATTGGGCTGTCTATCAAGCGAGGCAGCATGGATTGAGGATTATTGCGCCTTTGGTTGATAACTTCGTAAGTTCTGCTTCATTTCATGCATGCAATCGGGACATTATATGTTAAAGGGATCTCAAGACTAACAACAGTAGGATTACTATCACGGCGGGAAATTCACCTTTCTCCGCTGGCACGGCTACAATATCTCTGGAAGTGCATCTCCCCTCCCACCCGACACGTTGAAATTCTACACCGATGAAGCCATCATCGGCACTTTCAAGAACTACATTGAAATCCTCATGACGCATGTAAATCCCTACACAGGCCTCTCCTACGCAGACGACCCAACAATCATCGGTTACGAAACCGGCAATGAGCTCAACGGCATTGTATGGGGCGACAAAAACGTCCCTGTTGACTGGATAGTGGAAATCTGCACCCTAGTCAAATCCCTTGGGCCTAAGAAACTCTGTATTGATGGCACGTATGGTGTCAATAAGACGCATTTCGTGATTGAGGAGGTTGATATCTTTTCGGACCATTTCTATCCTCTTAACAACACGCTTTTGGAATCTGATATTGCAGCGGTGGAGAGTGCGGATAGAGTGTATATTGCTGGGGAGTTAGGTTGGACCGCGGAGGCTACGGCGAAGAGGGGGGATTCATTAAGGAGTTTCTACGACGTTATCGAGAAGAGGCAGAAGTTGGAGAAGCCTGTTGTGGCGGGGAGTTTGATTTGGAGTTTATTCGGGAGGAATGTGCCGGACTGTGGGGTGAGTTCTGTTCTTGATTCCGCCCTTGGTGCTATCCCATGCTTCTGTGGAGTATCTTGACTGACGATTGTAAATGATGTAGACGTATGTACCCCACAATGATGGATATACCATGCATTATGGCAGTCCGAATAATTCTGCGGCGGATGATGCGCAGATTAGTACAATGAGGCAGCATTATTTCGCAATGCAGGGTATTACTGTTGATAGTTATCTGCCTTCTGTACCTTGTCCAGGGAATTACATTCCTGGGTACGATGCAGAGTACACTTACGTGTAGACGTAAAGACATTCATAATTCGGATTTCGCACTCTTTCTTGTATACTACGAAGAGAAATGACTAGCTTGATCATAGAGAAGCCAGGACGAGAGTATACTGGGAAAGGACCCCAGCCAACATATGAAGATATGAAATGCCATGAAATTTTGCACTAGTCAGATTGGCCTCGCATGGAACGAAGCGAGATCTTCATACACGAACATCCCCCAAGACTCGCGCCGAACCATCAGAGGAAGATGAGACTCGCAACGACTCACCATATCAGACGAGCGCATTTGATGCGACGAACTCATGCGAAAGCGAGTAAGCCTAACCCGATGAAACACGCTCTACCCCAAGATCCCAAAAATACAGCTTCCGATCGCTTCGCTCGTCCAATGATTTCATGGCTGACACCCAGGAAGACGGCTCGTCCTGTCCAACGTCGCGAGATTGTGGATTGTATTCTTGACCTAATCTGGAAATGCGATGCGTACGATATGCATCAAAAAAACTGGTGAGAAGAATGTGAGGCGTAAGCAGTAAAGCATATGATTATATTCTTGAGGCTCGCAAGGAATTGCCTCATTTCGCCGTCTGTCTGCTACAGGAAGTAACTCGGAGCGACGAGACCTTACCAAGCTCATATTATATCGAAATACAGGACCGCGTGAGATGCGTTACAGCCTTACAGGCCGAATCGTCAGCGGGCAAATAAAGCCGCAAAGAAGAAAGTAAGCGGCGAACCACTTACTCGTAACATGTCAGAAACGACGAGTATCGAGGAAAATTTCCTCAACGGCTCGACCAAAAGAAGCAATTCGATGCGATACGAAATGCGATTTGCAACAAGAATGTTGGAACCATGCTAGAAGGGAAATTCGGAAGAACAACTCGACTTATTTTCGTGTTGGTCACCTACCTACTTTGGATAGGGGTATATGGAGCGCACGGGTTACCACACAATGTCAAGATGTGGATCTTATGTGAAATGGAAAGAGAAGTCACCCCATCGCGTCGCTCGAATAGGAAGCCCGTTGCGCTACGATATGCAACAGAGTTGAGTGATTTTGACGATGTGGGGGGGATTTGGGTAAGGGGGGAATGTATGAGGGGATTTGGGATTCGGTCCCAGGAGTTGGATGCATGGTTTGAGAAGGTAAGACGACGATTTTAGAACGTCAATCACGGGACAGCATCTTTGGGGTTCTCAATGTCGTCAAAATCGCTATTGTAAAATGGACCAAAGTCCAAAAGTCGATATTGATATATTTAAACACTCGTATGCAAGAACCTCATCATTGTTTTGAGGGATCCAATGCCCATTCAAAGCCTCCGTGCCCTATCTTACTCACTCGAAATCCAAAGAATATTGAATTGGGTATCTTCTGCAAGCAAAGCAAGCGAACTGCACATTCGCTGGTTCTGGAGCCATAAGTCGACCAAGAAATACGGCACGAGGGACCACAAGCCTCTCCCAGTAGGCCACTGCTGACCAAGTAAAATTGTTATTCTGTCCTCCCTCTATTACTTTTCAAGCCTTGAGTCGTTGTCCTGCCATGTCGTCTTGAGCGTCTTTGAGTAAGAAGCTGTAAAATGTGGTCAGCTTTGGCCCAAGTCATCCTTACGGGAGATACTCACTTGTACCAAACCATGGTTGGACCAACAGTCCCAAGATGCCAAAGACTGTGTGCATCCAAGCATCCAAACAACGGTGGGAAATCAAGCACTTCCAAGCTCATAACCACCATAATCCAAGCAACAATAAATCCTGGCCACATTGCCCAAGTTCGCCCAGACTGCCTGTACTTCTTGTAACTGAACCAACTCCACATCAAATTATGCACCACACCAACCACCACGTTTGCAGCCATGTTGTATGTATAGTCCCAATCGTACCATTTCAGGTATGTGACATGTGCCACGTACATGCTGATGCATAGCAGTGTCCATGCTCGCAGAATCGACTTGGTCTGCTTCCCTCCCTGATCCAACCGGAATAACCGGATCGCAGTATAGTATAAACCATACAGCACGCTCGCACCAGCCGCAAAATAATCCAATTGCTCTGTCAGAGCAAAGTCTCTCGTATGGAATAGCATGCTGAAGACCCAACTTGCCATGCCAAAGTATGCGAACCGGACGTAGTATTTTCGCATCGAGTACGAAGCAGGTATGCTCGAGGTCAATTTCGATAAGCCATTTTGGTGCGCGAGGAAGTTAAGGAGGGAGAAGAAGACTGAGAAGGGTTCTTGCATCCCGAGGAAGCGGTAGAAGGGCCATTTTCCGTGGAATTGGACGATGTCCTCAGACGCGGCCACGCGTTGGTCGGTGATGATATGTTGGCAGGTGTAATCGCATTCGGCTGGGCAGTCCCAGAAGAGGAGCTGGTGTAGTAGAGCTGCGGAGGTTAGTAATACCTTCGAATTGACCGGTACTACCTACGTATTGACGTCGGGTGCCCGCTGGCGCAGTTCTCTTCCTTGCAGACCTGGGAGCTATTAGAGATATCTGGGAGAGGGGATAGATATTAGTACCTCTACGCAATGCTTGAAGCTCGGGAGGCGGTCGCCATAAGAGGCAGAGGCCTGAGTTGCTAGGATTGATAGTAGAAATAGAAGCCTTAGAGGAAACCGGCGCGCCTGTCTCAGAATCATGATGTTGTGGTTGCTGGTTGAAGGTCGCAGATGCGCCCCGAAGTTTAAAGTGTTGACGGCAAGGTTACATGCCAGGAGGAGCGTATGCAACTGCCAACATGGATACCATTGATTGCCTGGCATCTCCTAGAATTATAAGAGCCATTTTTCTAGCATGCCTCTAATATTTACATTCCTAAACAAGTCATAATGTCCTCTTATGTCTCCATTAAGGTTCACTTCCTCCATTCGATTGTACGCAGTAGCTCTTGGCCTTGCCTCAGGCTTTGACTGCGGGATTAGTGTCTTGGCGCCTCGCTTAAGCTCAGGATCAGTGCGGCACCAAAAAACGCTTCAATATGGTGAGTATATCATCAAATAACCATTTTCGAACATCAACAATGGGGCTGTAACTCAGTGGTAGTGAGTAATATCATTCCAGACCTTCCTGTCACGTGCTAATCGACGCCAGGAGTGCCTCGTTTGCAGCAGATACTCAAAAGTATCTAATCTCAGATCGATGAAGTCCGGCGTTCGTAAGTAATACTTATGAAACTGCTCTCAGAACCATGTATTAACATGTCTTCTAGGATCCGCCGCTGCTCCAACAATTATTTTTTGCCATTTTTGCCGAATTTAGGTAAGGGAGGGGTAGCCAAGTGGACAGATGTGTCACTAAGTGGACTAGAGGCTTCGGAGATGCCCGAGATGCCATGAACTCTACTATTCTGCAAAGGATACGGAAGAGATGGTTAGACCTTCGTAGTCATTCCATTATGCTATGACATGAAGTATCTCTTTTGCACACTACAGTAAGAAGTTTTCTCGTGATATGTAAATACACAAAACTTGAATGAAGTTGCATGTTTCAGCTGAGAAGCACCCCACTTTTGTCTGACCGCCATCCAATCAAATCACTGGAATGAGCAACTCCCTTACAATTGGTATGTTCCTGATGAGTAGAGGAATCGCTGCAAACGAGGCTCTACCACTGAGCTACAGCCCCTGAAACAAGCCAGAATCAAGTTCTTGCTGTTGGATGCTCCTCCGCATGACTTGACGGACTGGCCAAAGCCAGCCCACCTGTCACTCCAGTCGCTCCAATCCATATCATTCCATAATAGAATGAGTCTTGTTTAGTAATGCACCAATTGTTTTGTGTCTTGTAGATGTTTTGTGTCTTGTAGATGTTTTGTGTCTTGTAGATGTTTTGTGTCTTGTAGATGTTTTGTGTCTTGTAGAGTGTACAGGTGTTTTTAAGCAGTGCTTTCCCTCTTTGTTTACAATCTCGCTAAACGTCGGCAAAGTGGGCTTTCTACCACAACACCAAGCAGTTGAAGCTACCAAAGCTGCAGAGCTCTCAGAGCATTTGGGAAAGAAGCGAAGCAAGTATTTCTTGCGAAGCCAACCGGTTTCGAGTACATCTATGCCTTTTCCAAGCCACCCATTCCACTCGCGGCACTCGCTTCCCCCTCGGTCAGCCAAATATTATCTGACTCAATCCTTTCCTTGCCACCCCAAGAATAATGCTGCAACTTCAGATAGCTTTGTGTACCCTGTGGTCCCAGCATCGATGATGCTGCAAACGAGCCAGGTAATGTTCGGCGTGACTATGAGTGAGTACCGCTTGAAGGTTCGGGTGTAGACGAAACGAGCGCCCGCTATCGTTCCCGAGGTCATGAATACTTTGTATCTTAGTGAGCGTAGCTAGAGGAGGTTGAGGTTGGAAAGTCGTGCCTACATGTCAGGACATTGGAGGTATCCATCACGGCCGCCATTGGGATCCCGATATTGAAGCTGGTCCTCAGAGTCCATGCAACAAATCAGAGAAGAATCCTAACATGCTAACAACATACAAATCGCTGTTATTATAATTTTTAAAGAGAATAGTCTCTGTGCTTCGTGGCTGCCTGAGAAGAAGAACAACCACTACATGCGAATAGAGCAGAAATAGCCGATCAGCTCATTTACTCAGTACAGGATCTGCTCTGCTCGTCGCAGCAAGGTGTTGGCAAACGGACCAGTTCTGTTAATAGAATTCCAGTTGGCGATTTTGAAAGAGCTAGACGTTCAGACAGAAATTGGAGTCGCAAAAACTCATGTTCAGAGGAAGGAGAAAGTGCACAGCGTGAAGAGCAGAACCTTGACGCCATAGGAATGAATTCAGTGGCCTTGCATATGCCGTAGAGGCCACATTTAAGGCATGGCTAATTATGTGATATCTCTCCTGGGAACGTGAAAAGCGACGATGCAGCTAGAGTGACTGGGTGATGAGCGATTTTGAAGTTCGGGTGAAGTCTAATATGTTGGGACTCACTTAGTGAGGCTGCCGCGAGATTCATTAAAGGTAAACAGACTAATTCAGAGCTTGAAAAGTTAGAACCCAAAAGTGAGACTAATTATGTGTTATAATCTAGAAGCATTTGAGTATTTATATATGCGTTGAACTAGGATAGATTATACAAAACTATACACTAGGATTATATTTATTAATTGTAACTATCTTTAGGTTATTATACTAAAGATATCTTCTTTAAACTTTAATTTATATGGAAAAGATCAAGAACTATAAAAGTTTTCTATAATTAAATCTTTAAAGAGACCCTCTCCTGATACGCATTAGTAGTATCAGATAAATCAAGATTTAATAAATATTATTATTAAACTGAAATGCATCTTTGCAAGATATGTAGTAAACATGTCACAATTCTTTCTAAGATTAGCCTCGGCGACTTTATTCACTAAGATAACGACGGTTCTGTAAAATCCATCGTCGATTATTTTCACTTAAAGTCAAGTGAATCGTGAAAGCCGATTGCTGTACGTAATATAATCACGCAGGTTTGAATCGGGTCCTCAGTCAAGAGGCAGTAAAACATAATGTCGTGCATTAGCACCCGCCAGCGACGGATGCGGCTTACAGGACCCTTCCTGATAATTGATCCTGGATCGCTTACCCACACGTACTCTTGTTAATCACCGCCTTTTTAAACGTATGGTACGATAATGTCTGTTCAAAGGATGAGCCAAGCACCAGTTGTCAGATCACGCGGCTGACATGCAGAACGAGTAAGGCTTACTAGGGAAGGGGCAGTACACCTTTGTCCCGATTAGCGATGTTTGTATCACACAAATAAATGAATCGGGTATAGCTTAGGCTATGACAATTTTCATTCTCAAATATGAGCTGACGAGATCTGTTGAAATGCTTAGTAATTCCCGAATTCTATCTGACTGCTTCTGCCAGCTCTGTCACCTGCTGCAACACTTCAAAGCTTCCAAATAAGATGTCATGGTATTGAGAGATGAAGGTTGCAATGCGGATGGCTGATTAAGCGGACAGTAACGAAGAGGTTTTTATGTAAAGGAACGCCAAGGACGACTGTGAATTCCGATGTGAGTTGGTTCTTTTCTCTCCTCTCGCGGTGCAATGCAGCTTGAGATCAAATAAAATACCGCATTATCACAAGAATTGCGCAAGATAACAACAGCCAAACAGTCGTGCACTGCAATGATGCAGAATATCTCGAGGCTTCTTCCTCAATGCTACGGCGGGCAAATAATATTTCCCAGGGTGGACATATCCTCACGGTGTGGCTCCTCACGCTGTCTCCTTGTGAATTTGGATCTCACTGCTTAAAATGACTGCATGCATCTACTGAAATTGAAATTCAAATCAACAGCTTGGCAAAGACACGAAGACCTCAGGGGTTGAGAATAGATCTGATCTGATGTCAGGTTAATATCGTGACGATGAGGTCGGCAGGTGTCACAACATCCAGCTGAGCAAAGAGGAAAAGATGAGAAGACAGCTCTATGATACATGATCATCAAGACTCCCACCATCAGTATAAAGTACACAGAATTTCCCTCGAACCGATCTCTTCATCCACATCAACAATCACAGCATTCTACTCAACAACACAACTTCAAGCCTTTTATTCACTTCCCACAACAACACCAACCTACTCAATCTCAAAATGCAATTCATCAACATCATCACTGCTTCCGTCCTTGCCACTTTGGCAATTGCTGCTCCAGCACCAGTCGCTGCTCCAGAGGCAATTGCGGAGCCCGCACAGCTCGAAGCTCGTGCTCAGGCATTGATTGACGTCTGGAAGAACTCGTATGCATCCCACTCTGGCATTTAGATTCCATGTTCCACTTCTGACATCTCGTACAGTGATTTCCTTGATCTCAAGTTCACCGGCTCCAGCAACCCCGGAACTTGTGTGAACTTCCCATCGAACTTCAACGACATCGTCTCCTCCGGCAAGGCCAAGCCTGGCTTCCGCTGCACAATCTGGGTTGACGCAGGATGCGTCGGCACTGGGTTCAGCTTCAATGCTAGCCCGGGAGTTGCTTCTCTTCCTAGCTGGATCAACGACAAGGCTTCCTCTTGGAAGTGTGTCGCTGCTTAGGGGGAAGCTCTGGGAGAGCTGGGCTGAGATTCCAAAAGCTTGATTGGATTGGTATAGATGCATGGAATTGGACCTGAAAAGAGAGGAATGATCGGGACTAGAAGACTGCCGCTCGCTTTGTTCTTTGGGTATCTTAGTCGGTTTTGTTTGTAGTCAATTATGTTTAGAACGAGGGTGAAGAATTATAAGTCTTTCTGTCAGACAGGGCCATTCTCAATTGGGCGAAGAACATCTCATACCTTTGAGTGTCGAATTCTCGGGCTCCAAAATAAATCCTACTGATAGTGCTTTTACCAGCAACAATTACTTGGAGAGAGTCATGGATGGCAGCTTTGGGATTAGCAGGGACATCTAAAGGATTGAGTACTGCCAGTTTTGCAACAAAATATAGGACTTGGACGTGCATCAAACCGTTCGGAAAACACCTGCTGTACCTCGGTAGAATTCCTCATTAGGACTCCTTCTTTTTTCAATGGCCCCCAAACACTTCCTTCTGTTTAGATCGGTGACGGATATGAATCCCGAAATAGGTTCCGAGCCTCAGCTGTATTGACTTGGCATGAACCCTGGTCATTTAAATCCAAGCGAGTCCAGTGTCCATGCCTTATTTTCTTCGCTAAGCGTCGATCCACTGTTTTCGGCTCCATCGAATTCACGCTCATAGGTTGTGGTTGTGTTTCCTGTGTGCGTGCTCTCTTCATGAACATGGATTGATGTTGACGCCGCAGCTGGGCTGCTGAGCCCCGGATCGCAAGTTTATCTGAGCAAATACCTCCAGGTCTCCATTTTCCTTTCGTTATGCTCTTCTTTATCCAGCTACTGTCTTTGATCCAGAGGCATTCCGTTCCCGAGCCTGGATGAAAATGATTTCACGACACAGTGGAATTTCTTGGGAAACAATCTTTCACGTCCTGTCTCTGTTTAATATTGCATGCAGTGGTGCGGAGGCCATTTCGTTGACTTCCGCTGCCCCTCAGTTCAACATTTCCACAGTTCCCCAGGTCTCACTTCAGAAGCTTGTATCCGAACTACCAAGATGTATTGTATGACTCTCATAGTACGACGTTGGCTTTGTCGCTGCTAACTCTACCAAGTCCAGCTGCATCTCCTCGCGATTGTCTCAACTCGACTGTGCAAGTACTGACTACGTCTGCTTGTGCGAGCGCTTCCACTTCCTCGAGTCTCCTCATCTCTCCTCCGATGCCTCTACAAATACCTTTGAAAATTGTGCCCAAGGATGCCCGTTATACGCTGGAAGACGTGAGTATCGAATGAAAGTTTGATGTGTCTGTGATACTGACGTATAATTAGGGGCTCCTGGAAAAGTCTTGGATCTCTGTGAAGCAGTCGGAGTTCCTACTGTGGTACTTCCAAGATTCATGGAAAACTCCATGCGAATCTACGGACGACAGATACTTGATGAATCTTCTAGCATAGGCTCTGGGCCATCCACTCCAGCGACCGCCGAAACGGTGACCTCACTTCAGACGGAATTTGGTGCGGCGGCATCGACATCCACAGGAACATTCATCGCAGATCCAAGCAGTTCGTACACCATCGTCTTTGTCTGGCAAGCCGGACCATCGGTAGCGACTGTAGTTTCAACGACTACTGTGGCGCCTTGGGTGTCCCCTTTCACCTCGACAATCACAGCAACGGACTCGCCGGTTGCAACTCGGATTATTGGAGTCCCCTACACGACAAGCACGTCAAGCGCTACAGTCTCATCGAGTCCCACAAACACACCGGCACCTACACCTCCTCCATCTGGCCTATCTTTGGGCGCAAAGATAGGAATTGGTGTCGCGATACCTCTTGCTGTCATTGCGCTCGCTTTAGGCATCTTCATTTATCTTCGGCGAAAACGGAAAGCGACTCGAAAGCACGTGGTAGAAACCCAGGAAACGGACGATGGAGGACTTCCGGAACATATATCCGATATTCCAAAAGTTGATGTGTCAAAGTTTCCAGAAAACCCGAACGGGTTTCGCCAGGTGCATGAATTAGGGCATGATGACCAGTCGGGTGTAGTCAGACGAGATGTACACGAGTTGAACAACGAGACGGCGCCAACGAGGCATGAGATGATCGCTAGGGAATCTCCTGGAGATGTTGCTCTTACTAGGTCTGCGCACGAAGATGGCTCACTGGCATCAACCGGTGTTTCGATATCTCACCCTGGGCATCAAGAAACCCCACCAGGAGTACAATTCGCCCAGAGAAACCAATCACCAAACCTAGTGACCAACCCGAAAGTGCACGACGTAGAAGATGATGAGGAAGTTCGTGAGATGCAACAGGAGATGGCGCATATCCAGGCGCGAAGGGAGCAATTACAACGCCTTCAGGCTTTGGAAGCAAGAGAAGCGGAATTGAAGAGAACGATTGAAGAAAAGAAAGCTGCAGCAGAGTCTCAGACATCTCACCAGACGTAATTGAGTAATGTAAAATCCTGGCAAGCAGTTGTAGATACGCGGATGTGATGTTTTGGTAATCGGGATAATGGGGATAGACATCTTGCATCTGGAAAGGGTTGCTCAAACATTGCATAGGGCATAATGTAGATTTTATGCTACCACAGCAGAAGACCTACAAGAATTCTAACACATATATAATACGAGATAAACTACGAAATTTAGGACTACTTGCCAATCTGAAGAAGCCTCGCTAAGTCCCTGAAGATAGGCAGTCAGTGTTGTTCCCTGTCAAGACTGGGCTACTCCACTCCGACACGCGAACCAAGTTTTCATTCCTTAAAGATAGACTCAAGAAAATATTCTTGCAAATTATACAAGAAACAGTATCTCAGCACGCTTCAAACCTAAATTATCGCTCGTCCAGTTTAGACATTGGGTTGCACCCTTCACACTATTAGTATATATCTCAAATATCCACGAGCCACCACCTCGAGACCTATGTGACCATGAGGTTTTAGACATCCACGGAGATCTAGATACTCTTCTCATGCATCACAAGCCTCCTCTTCTCCACCCTCCTCACTTCGATCAGGCTACAACCTCGGCGTTATGAACAAACTAGCGCTCGCTCAGATAAGGTAACCACCCACCAAAACATCAAATCAGTCTTCCTACGATGTAAACCGCAACATAAACCTCAGGAAATGGTATCAATCTGATGGCGAAACTAAAGCACATCGTCTATGTCTTTTAGCTGAGAGTAAAAACTCCTTGGACAAATTCACGGCAGAGATTAACAGTCAGGAGGATTCTCACGACGATATCCAGCCACACGGCCAACGCTCCATTCCACGAGTACCGCGCCGAATCAAGCATCAAAACCAATATCTAAACTGAAAACCATGCTTTTGAATAACTCCCGAACTAACAATACAAAACTTCCAAACTCAACAACCTTTTTTTTCTTTTCTGGATCTCCAAATTGCACCCCCAAACTCCCTTCGCAGTAAAAAAGAAAAAAAGAACGCAAGAAAGGAAAGAACTTTTTAAGACCACCTAATCATAAGTCCGACTGATCTCAGCCTCAAACTCCTCGTCCGTCAGCTTGTATCCATTTGCCTGATGCTCGCTCCGTTTCTTAGACCATTGATCCCACGACCTAGATCCATCGGGTGGAGACATTGGCTGGCTTGACCAGTCATCGGTGAATTGTACGCCGACTTCCAAGACGCTAGATGGCCAGCGGGGATTCATCTTGAGATCCGTACTGAGGGCCTCTGCTACTTGTTGCTTGGGCTCTATTGAAGTCAGTCTGGGACTTTAGGGCTACAAAAGAACAGAGGAGGAGAAGCAGAATACGCACAGTTTTCCAGCAGGCGATGCTTGATATGCTTCTAGATTTCGGTATTGTGATGGACCTCGCACGGACCGAAGCCTGTTTCTGTTGATCTTTTGATTTTTGAGGAGTTGCTCGATGTTCGGGGCTGGCGGATAGAAAGGCTCTCCCGGACGTTGTGCTGTTGAAAACGAGGCGGTGACGTTGTTTGTGGGGTCATTCAACCATTTATTGAGTCTACACACCGTAAGTATTAACCAAGGAATCAGCTTTGCGAATGAAACCACTCACCTCTGGTGGGGCTGGTGGAGTTCCAAATTTTCATTAATGGAAGAGCTGTCGACAGATTCTTTGTTTGAATCAGGGTTACCAAGAGCAATCTGAGCACCAGAGGGAAGTTGAGCTATATCCATCGAGCTGAACCTGTTATAAATGGTAGCAATTTTCTCTACAATACGAAGGGCAATACTTACGATCCAAGCGCCTGATTCACACCAGCATTGAAGCCATCATGTTGCTGAGATCCCCTTTGGTTGAACATTTGGTTGCCTTTCTTTTGATAGGACTTTTCGCGACTCTGGTTGGGAAGGCTTGCCGGTCTGCGGTTATACTGGTCAATTGTCGGAGTACGAAGTGTTGGTTGAAGGATGATCTTACTGCTACTATCCTCTTTATTGACTGCTTGAAGTCGGACATTCGATACTGGAGTTACTGGTCTAGCTGGGCTGGAGAAGGGTGAAGAGCCATCCGTCATGGGTACTCTTGCCTGTTTCGAAGGGCCAGTGGTAGCTGCCATGCTGCGCTGCAGTCTTAGATTGCTCAGGTCGGCTGAGTTCGGCGTCGGCGTGGAGTTCGCTTCTGTACCTGCAACTTGTTGTGAGCTCATGGAAATTGGTGATTCAACGATACGCGAATCTGGCGTTTGACGATATGCTGGCTGAGCGAAGTCGGAACCAGATCGTTGAGATGTCAAAAGATATGGATTCAGTACCTTAGACGGTTTGGAGACGAAACGTCTTTGAAGTTCACCCTTCTGCGGTTTCGTATTCCAGATTGGGTGAATGGCCTCATCGCGGAGAGGTGGGAATATTTCATCCTCAGAATCTGAGTCGGAGTCCGAGTCAAAGTCTTCCATGAGAGCCTCATCTTGCCTTCTGCGCTCGTCCTCAGTATCCTCTATCTCCTGTATAATACTGTCAGACGGCAGACCCATATTTTTCCTGGAAAGCTGTAGTGGTCCCCCACGTTCGCCACTTGTTGATAAGTCTTCGTTCTGGTCCAAGAGATCAGCGACCCGCTGTTTAGAGTCGGACTCATCTCTGTCTATCAGGTGGATCTTCCCTCGAAAAATGCGAGACTTCTGGCCTGGAAGGAACGGCGTGACTGCCAAGCCGTCTTCACCAAGTAATTCCAAGGTAGATTCTAGCATCGCATCCACTTCTCTTTCCAAGAGCGCATCATGAGACGTTTTCAGAAACTCTAGTAAGGCATACAGAATCTTGCCGACTTCTACCGCCCACTCCTCCCGCACCATTGGCTTCTCCAGAGCCCTCCTGGCGACCTTGCAGAAACGTCTGGCCCAGAACAGGAGGAATTCTCTGAACTCTCGATTCTCATCGAAGAAGTAATCCACGCCGAATCTTCTGAGAATCATTTTGGCCGCTTTGTCTATGTTGACACACATTTCACTTAGAACTCTCCAACTAGGGTATCCCAGCTTCAAATCAAAGTGCATATCGCCCATTTTTAGCTTGTCAAATTCTCTATCCTGTCTGACTGCTTTGTAGATGATTTCGAATATGTAGAGCTTGTCTTCGTGACTCGATCTCTTCTTGAAGGTTTCGTCGAGAAGGCGTTGTTGTACAAGCCTAAACGGAATAAAATAAATGTCAATCAGTTCGTGGCAGAGCCTCGGACTCCCAGGGTTATTGTAAAATACAAACAACTTCTCCTCGTGGAAATAGAAATTGTACGATTGAGAGTTGTCGATTTGTCATCCGCGCTTCTTCATGGTGATAACGAAGCGGGCTTCGAGTTCGCGGGTGAGGAGCGCGTCATACCATGCATTCAGCCAGACCCCGAATTCCGTATAGCGTCTTTCCAATCCTGCCTGGATGATGATCGGCGACATTCCCTCCGACTCCTCGTATGTATCCTCGATACGTTTGCAGTCGGACACGAATCGAGCAATTGTGTTTGTAGGCAGGTCGTAAGTAAAGACGTCGGGACCAAAGGTTTTCTCGATGATCTTGACCTTGTCGCAAAACTTGCGTCTCCATCCCATCTTGAAGATTTCGATCGACCTGCAGTGGTAGGGAGAGCTTGGAGGGAGTTGACTGGTATTGAATACGAGTTTCTTCGATTTGAGCGCTCGATCGAGCATGATTTTGGAGGCAATTTTTGCGCTCAAGTTGATGTTGAACTCGTCGCGCACCCACTTGATGTGGGAAGCGCTGCCGCGACCTCCTGGGGAGGCGACCTCACGCTCCATGGCCATGTTGTTTGGAGCGATGGAGCTACGAAGGGAGCGAGTGGTGGCAGTTGGAGGTGCAATTGAAGTGCTTCCGTTTGGCGATAACAATGTTTGGAATGATACTATCTGTAAGATGCTTGGAGTGCTGGTGAGCGATTGTGAGCGAATGTTGTTGCGGGAGGAAGAGGGCACGGCTGTAGGGGAGCTGATGTTTATGAGGGCGATGGGGGACGCCGCTACTTTCTCTTTCGCCGACCGATTGACCTCACCTGTTAGCAGCAACCAATTAAGTGAAGTGGACTACTAGACCGCTACCAAGGTCTAATAAGAGTTGAGCCAAGGTGATTCGAGGGAAATGGACAATGGATTTCCTCTAGCGCACATACAAAAGAGTGCTCGAGAGTCATATATATCTACCTGTAAAGATGAAGAGGACTTGCAATAAGTAAATAAGCATAATAAAATGAATTAGAAACATTATTCATTCCAACAAACTCCGCGGTGAATCTTGAATCTCAGATGAATCCTCCTATCTTTAAGAACAACAACCTGCGGCTTCTATGACGTGATATGGATCTACTCTCTGTGAACCTACCATGGTTTCGCTCAGGCGTGAAATATCTGACTCCACCAAACATCCACTCTCAAGGGTTACAGAGCCTCTTCTTATTCTCTTGTGTCTTCCTATCAAGATAGCTTCAAAATTTATTGTAAATTTCATGGATAGTTTCGTGCTCGAACATAAAACGGCGCAAGAACTTTGCGGCGCAGGTACACAGGTATTCACTCACCTACCTTACCCACCACCAAGATCGTGTTCAGGACCTCGAATGGAAGGCCTCGACTGGGCGGAGAGGAGCGCTTGCGGTGTCCGTCTCATCTTCGGCATCGACAACGTCGTCACTTCCACACGCTTGATGCCAAGCCTTAACCGAGCCAGCTCAAGGTCCCACCTCAGCTTGGTAGGTATGTTTGGATCGAGCGAGAGACGCAGAGTCAATGTTTGGTAATACTACAACTGCGGTCTGACAATGCAAACTTTTCGAGGGACCTTTCTTCATTGAAATGCAACGGCCGCGGGCAAAAGACTTCGCTAGCTTGACGCAAAGCCAAGTCCGCGTGGGGAATGCAGCAGCATTACCATCATAGCTTTCCTACGCCATGCATTGGAAACAAAATTTCTTATGAGAAGAAATGTAATTTTCGTTGAAGGAAGATGAACTGTATTCACTTGTTCGGAATTATCCGTGTCGGAAGAGACCCACTCGAAATCTTCCACATATTCGTCTGGACGTCACAGCCCGAACACCGAGAATCTTCCTCACTCGGAGGTTGTAATCGGAAGTTGGACGGAAAACAGATACAAAGATATCCATTCCGAGGACTCAATGTTACATCCACAGCAAGCTATTAGAAAATTGCTTCAAGGCTTGGTTGAGGCTTCCCTTCCGTTGAACTGATGGCTGCGATGGTCATGTGACCTCTCTCTCACATCCAGAATCAGGTGATGATCCGGTTGTTCGGTCCAACCCCAAGGCCTGGACCAAGCCGATCAAGCTGCACCGTCTCTTCGTCGTAATACTTAAAGAGAATGTGATCACCACGTAAATTTCTTGCAGCAGAACGCTCGAAATTGTGAAGGGGGACGCTCAAGAACAGACTCTACGACTGAACGGCAGTTAAACAGTTGTACGGAAGTAGAATTTTTCAAATAGACAATATATTAAGAGTAGGAGCGCGTTCAAACGTTTCTGTGAGGTTTTGCGACCGTAGGTTGATTCATAGTACCAAGATCAATGGCCTCAAGGAGGCCAATTTCGAAGCAACGCGAACAGAAAAACGGGAAAGAGTCCGAGAAGCTTAACTCGCAAAGACCAAAGGCAACATTGAAATTGAGCGACGTTCAAAAGTATAATATAGAATTAGGAAGATGAGAAAAACAAAATCGAGGTTTTTATGAACAAATATGAGGTTTTTTTAAGAATCGAAATGTAAGTGGGCTTGAAGTTGCAGAACTGCTCAACCCGCTGAAGAACCATCCTCCAGTCACCTGGATTCAGTGGAACAACTAAATACCAGATGATGAAAGCGGATACAATAAGGAGACATGAATGGCCAGATGAAACCCTTGGATGTCATCTGATATGATGCAACAGGAATTGCCGTAAATGTCAGGAGAGTATTGATTGGAAGACCCACTTGTGTGTTTGTTGACATGAAGGAGGTAGGTACTGTGGCCTGTTAATAATAGCTAGATTAATTAGGGATGTTAAATGTCTCATTTGATACAAAGGGCTTGAAAATGTGAAAGAACCAAAAATCAGGAACTGCATATTTGCCCCAACTTCCCAGCCGCGGGGGAAGAAGAGAAAAGCAGCCTCGGACCTTGCTCTGCCAACCAGCAATCTGCTAATCCATTTGACGAGTTGTTGTCTCAGTTGGAATCGGTGGGAGAAGAGCTTTGCAACCGGAAGAAGATCTTGTTGATCTTAACATGAAAGCATTGTGCTGAGCTGTGCTGTTCCATGAAAAGGGGTTCGGTAAACATGGCTTGGCACGCACCCCTCCCCCTTATCACTCCCAACCACCGCATTTTCTGTACGATGGCGGTTGCTAACAGGGAAACTCCTTTATCAACCAAGGACGTTTGACGTACATCAGCTGTCGTAACCTCGGGACTCGTACAGAGGTCTGCACGGGCTATCCATACAAAGATAGCCTGATTGAGGTAAGATGCCATTAAATCTACAATTTGATCGGAATAGTAAAGGGAGAGTAGTTAGCCTATCACGATATGTGACTGGTCGTTGATTTGTTTGATAGAGCTCTACAAAACAAATGTTGCGGCGGGGGAGCCGAGAGACAGAAATCCGAGACCGCATCATCCAACGCCAACCATTACTATCCCAACACCCTCCTCCAGCTATTTCTGTCCTCCAAATCCTTGTTTCTCGCAGCCTCAAGAAATGCCCCTGGGCATTCCATCCTCCAATCCCAAGATTCCCATCTCAGCCCACGTGCCTCACTAAACCCAATCTGTGGCACGGCAGCACTACTGGTAGTTCCACGCTGCATCCACTGTTCCCTTATCCGGGCCGCTTAGGGGAGTGAGGCGAGATGGAGTGACGTGCGATGTGCCCGCCCTCGCCCTCGCCCCGGCTGGCTCGATGCACCCCAGGAATTCAGGTCCGAGCTCTATCACAGTACTGTAATGTAGTGAGTAGTAGTGTGGGCCGTGGTGGGCAATAATAATGGATACCTGAGTGAGGTGAGCAGGAGCAGGGCAGCGCAGCGCAGCGCAGCGCAGCGAGCTCCATGCGCCCACCCAATGGCAAGTTGATTCCCCTCTCGCCCACCCTCTCAGCTCCCCTTCCCTCTCCCCTTCTTCTCCCAACTTCCCACATCAACATCAACCTTCCATCACCCAACACCTACCACCCTATTCCTCTCAATAACACCTATCCAATTGAACTTTCAATACCCCAATATTAGCAAACATGTCTACAAGAAAGAGGAAGCAGGATGACGAGGAGCTTGTTGCGCTCCCCAGCGACGAGAGCGAGGAGGAAGAAGAGTACGTTATTCTCCCATTTCCACCACTTTTCATCTCATATCGCCTCTACGACTTCAATTGCATGCCCTGCAGCTTCACAGTCCATATCGGAGCTTCATAATGCGATATGGTTGATGACAAGGCTGTATGCGCCGATGCAAACGCGCACATGTCAGCCTCCTGTCTGCGCTGACCATAATATCCGTAAGGACAAAGCTGATGATGCGCAACAGGTATGAAGACTCCGAGCCAGAAGATGTAGCCGGTAACGACGATGATGACAGTGAGGAGGAAGAAGAGGAAGAGGTTGAGGACGAAGAGGATGCTGAAGGTATGCGCCATTTATCCTATCCCTTGACAGCTACCCAACTCCACCAGCAACTGCCATCTCTCAGCAAGTACCAAAACTAACAACAAAACAGAAGCACAACCCGTGAAGAAGAAGCGCAAAACCGAGCCAGAGCCAGCTTCCACCGAACAAGCAGCCCCCAAGGCCAAAGCTCCAGCCACAGCTGAAGACGAGGATGATGAGGAAGCAAACCCCGAGGAAGACGAGGACTCTGCCGCCGCCGACGACGAAGTCGATTCCGTTCCTGCCAAGACCAAAGGCGCAAAAGCTGTAGAGGAAGAGGATTTCGAGGAGGTTGGTGGTGACGATGATGAGGATGACGACTAAGTCATCATTGCCATTACGACTCAATCACACCCTGTGCGACAGCATGGGCACGAGATATGATATGATAATGGCAGTGCTAGAGTAATGGGGTGCAGTATGGTGAACTGGGAAGGCTTTGCTGGATATTATGCTAGGTAGCGGGATGGATATCGGAGGACTGGACTGGAACTGGATTTTGGAGCTGGAATATAACAAAAGGTAGAAGGAAGGAACAGGTCGACGGCAATCTGCTTTTTAGAACTCCTAAGCAAGTTCTCATTCAATTCCAAAAGCTTATTCCTTCAATCCCTTCCCCATGTCCTCATCCGAGCCCATATGCAAATGCTCAAAGTCTCAAAGTTTTCTCTGGCACCTGACACCAATTCGCATTTATTCGTACCGATCGACCAGCTCACATGCCAGTTCTGAGCGAGAGGGAAGAACCTTGCGATGCGGCTGAGGGGTCTTCAGGATCCAGTATGTGAGTCCATATTTGTTTCCCATAATTAGAGCAAGCGAGCTGACTGCTTGCGTGGTAAAGGCGGGTTTCAGGACTAGAAGTCTGAGACACTCCGAATCCCTTCGTGCACGGCTAAACTTGGCAGTACAGACGACCCTTATCAATGCAGATCATCCCACCTCGCCTCAACTCTGTCAGATCCTCCGGATTTCTGGGACACCGCGTCTCCGTCCTTTCTAACCTTTTCTTTTTATTATTTGTTTTTACGTTTGTGACCCGATTTGTATGCTTGGTTTCGTTGGTACTTGGGGCTTGTGAATTGTTGATTTGTTCTCTTCTCGGTTTCTCGCAGGCGAGCTGGCATATGTTGGGCTGTTATTATATGTCACTCGCATTATTCGCTTTCCGAGTGAACTCTGTTTCGTGGTGCGACGACTTGGTGATCACACACCTGTGCTCGTACTTCATCTTCATTTCTTTCAGAGTAACATAGCCTAGAGCTATAGATACTCTGCGAACGCAACGATCGTAGACCGAATTGATTCCGCGCCATTCACGAATCTTCCGCTACAGATCGAATTTCCACCTCACTATACTTCTCTCTCTCTACAGATCGATGTCACAACTTCGAGGCAAAGGACCTACGGTTAATGTCAGCAAGATGGATAAGAGGTTCTCGACACTGTTCCTGGATCCTCCGAGGTTGTCGACAGACAAATCTGCAGATGTCAACAAGGCGCCTTCCTCAAAGATGAAGAAGGTGCTAGGCCGACTCTTCAACGGCCCTCCACGAAGATCACCCAATCCCTCCACGCAAGAAGAGAAAGCGAAATTTGAACACGCCGAGCGACTATGGGATACAGTAATATCTTTCGCGAAGCCCGGTCCAAAGAAGCCCGCTGCGGTCGTCAAGACAGTCAAGCCACTGCCAGCACCAAAACCTCAAGGCGGACGCAATACCAATATCTCGACACAGTCTGTCACAGTCTCCCCGCCTTCCGAACTTCCTAGCTACACCACAAAAGACATCTTCTACAAAGGCAAAGGTAAACCCGTCGTCCATAGCTCTCGGGACTCGAAATTCAGCTCAATCTCCTCCCTACCCTCCCTTAAAACGCTCAACCTCTCCTCACCGACGACCACACCATCTCCCAGCGTGCCCTCTTCCGCGACAACAGTCTCCACCGCCTTGAATGCACACATCAGCCTCTCCCGCTCCGAATTCACACGACTCCAATCCCTCCTCCGGCGTGCGCATCGGCGCCTAAAACAACAAGAATTTCTCGCCTCCAATCTCGCGAACAATTTGCTGTTCATCTTCGCTCGTAAGGAACTCCAAATTCAAAACCTAAGACGCTTCCGCAAATCAGAACAGGCCAACATGATGTCCACCATCTTCCGCACAAAGGAGCATTGTGGGCGATTATTCCTCCGCAAAGCCGCTTTCCTGCAACACTCTTTTGCTTCGCTCGATAAATTGCGTAAGGCTGTGCAAGAGGCTGAGAAAGAAGCGGTGGATGCTATTCCTGAGGCGTGTACGAGTCGTTGGGCGGGAGAGGGGATCAGATTTGTGGTTGAGAGGGAGGTGCTAGGGGATTGGGTGGCGGAGATGGAGAGGGATTTGGGGTTGCAGAGGGGACTCGATGGGGATCTTAGGAAGGGGGTGAAGGAGAGGGCCGGGGAGAAGAGGTGGGTGGGGAATGTGAGTGAGGGGACTATGATGATTAGATTTGTGGGATTCTTGGAGGGGAGGTTAGGCGCTCTGGAGGGGTGTTATGGGAGGATTGGGGAGGTGCTTAAAGGTATCGAGGAGATTGCTAGGGAAGGCGAAGGGACTTCATGTCTGTGATGTGCTATGATGTGGATTGCTAAAATGGCCTGAAGCGGACCGCATCCCATATAAAGCGTGCTGGCGTTGGATTGTACACAAGTGGATGTTCGAGTAGGATTCGGTTTTCAATTAACGATGATACGGATGGTATGGAATTGTCATTAGGAGTATACAGGCAGTCAGCGACCGAAGCTGGCCTTTCAAAAAGAGTTGGAGTCTACGGAGTTCTGTTTCTATATATAGGTATAGAGATGCAAAAGTCATAAGCGAGAAATCTATTTACATTCCAGACTTTCCATACCTAGGTACTGGCAACCATACATTCCTCAACAGGCCCACCCCGCACATTGTCAACAAGTCATCCGACCACACCAAAACCGCAGTCGATCTCGTCTTTATTCAAATTTTGTTACCATACTAGGTCTTCCCATCCCGCGGACCACTCCGCTTACACATACCATCACAGACTCGAACAAAGAAGGCTTCAGCATCCCAACACCTCAGCAGCGAGCACAACATCAAATCCCCAAGGGCCAGGGCCCGCCCGCCACCATGGGTTGTTGCCTCTCCTGCCCATCCTTATCCCCTTTGTCAACAAAGAAACACCAAAAAAACCGCTACCGAATCCACAAACACCAGATCTCGCCTCCCATCCCAGCTCGACCATGTGTCTCCCTCCCATCCTCTTCCCCAACCTGTAGCACCAGCTCCTCGGACTCAGGATCTTCTGAAAAGAACGAGTGCTACTATTACGATCTACCAGCACCACCGCTTCCACCGTTCGCGCCTGTGCTCCAGACTCAGAATCGGTATGGACACCAGGACCGAAAGAGTCCTGCTCGAAAACGCAACCGCAAACAAGAGATGGGCATGAGGATTGTTCGAGACCCACAATTCACAGTCCTGCCACCAAACCCACAGAGATACCAAGACCACCCTCGATCTCAACACCAATATCTCGCTGAACCCCAAGATCCAAGCCCATTTCCACAACCACAACCACAACCCGCACCCTTCCACCTCGCCAGCCCGACCGAAACACACCTCCTGCTCACGAGCGAACTCACCGAAGAGCTCGCCAGCATCAGCATCCTGATCGCCAACCTCGCGCACTCCATCCGCGCGTACTCGTTCACCAATATGCAGGTCAAGAGACAGGTGCTGGGCGATATAGATGGTGTGATTCAAGCGCTGCCGAGACCGCCGAGGGGGCTGCTTGTTAGGCAGAGGTTGGTGAGGTTGAGAGGGGAGATGGGGGGGCTTTGGGAGGCGAAGGGGGAGGTTTTTGAGAGGGGGTTTGGGGGCGTGTTTCTGAGTGGTGGTGGTCGTGGGGGTGGGGAGGCAGAGCGAGACGGGTCTGATGGGAGTTTGAGTTTGAGTTTGAATTTGAGTTTTAGTTTGGAAAGTTTGGAGAGGAATGGGGATGGGGATGGACTGGAGGCTCTGTGGGAGGGATTCATGCGCTTGAGCGATGAAGAGAAGATGAATATGGCGTGGAACCTGACCAAAAAGTGTCCCCTCATGCGAATCTTCGAACTTCTAAGTAAAGCACGGGCAGGGAGTGAAGACTTGCTAGTGCTTGACAACAAGATGAGCAATCTTCTGAAGAAGGAGTTTGACGGTGTGCTTGCGGAGTTGAGGGAGTTTGATGGGTATGGTGGCGTGGATGGAGAGAAGAAGGGAGGCCTTGGAGAGACGCCGAGTATGCAGTGGAGGGTCTTGGGGATTATGGAGGGGAAGAGGAGGGAGGAGTTGAGGGCTAGGATGGAGGATGTTAAGAGGGGACGGGGAAGGGTTAGTGTTGCGCTGCTGGGTGTTGTGGAGGGGTTGGTGGAAGACGGGGGTGGATTTTTTTGAAGTAGACTTTTGGATTGGCCATTTGGAGTGCGTTGGATACTCCCCATGCCCTTCCTCGCATTTGAAGTGCAATTATATTGAAGATTAGATACTAAAAAAAACTTCTTGCAGTGCTTTCTTGTCTCGTGGCGGTCCTCGCTCGTTAATCCTCAACTTCCTACCGAGCTATGAATCCTTTAGTATGAGACTCTCCAAGATACTTAGAAGTTCAACGAAGATGCACGAAAAGTGACTATTAGACGGGAGGTAACCAGTGTAGTCGATAGTTTTGCCGTTTTGTTAAGAACTAGCACTAACTGCTGTTCGTTACTAAAATCCTTAAACTAACTACAGTTAATTATAATAAGTTAAAACTGTAGTTAGTTCAATGTACTAATAGTAAAACGGGTTTGTTTTTAAAACAGACTATTTTTATAACACTTACCTAATAGAAGGCTAAAATTATATTATAATAGTAGTCTTATATACTAAAGATATTAAGAAAAAGTAATTAAGCTTATTTTAAAATCTATAACTAAGGTAAAAAGAAGGTAAAGGAGGTTAAAGGAGGTGTTCTCGCTTAGCTCGGGTTATACCTTCCTAAATAGGAATAGCTAACCGAGCTATCCGAGCTATCCGAGCTAGCTACCTGCCCTTAAATCGTTATATAAATCGCTATAGTTTATTTACTTCGCTCTTAAGAACTACCCTGTTTCGTTCGTTTTAGGCTTTATATAACGGACTTAAGTTAGTTTATAAGGCTTAAAACGCTAGTTAGTTTAAAATCTCGAAAACGGGGTCGTTTGAACGGCCGTAAACTATCGACTACACTGGAGGTAACTACCTTAAAGGAAAGTGATGCTCTGGGTACACTGTCCTAAAGCAGTCAAATCAAAATTAGTTACCAACAGTTACCTAGAATATATTGACATTTCCTAGACGGTAACCTGGTATCGCCGGCGCAACAACTGTAGGTATAATAGTGTACTCGATCTTGCGCTCCCTTCTAGCTAGTAGAATATATCACGTGATTTTACTTTCCTGGAGATATTCCATTATTTATGAACTTCTTGATCATAAATACCTGGCGAATTATAACTAATAATGAGATCAAAACCTTTGAGGTATAGTCTGGACTGTTTTGATAGCAATGGTATCGGTACTTGCTCTAAGTGTTCATTGTGAGTTGCGTCATCCCGATAGTCAAGAAGAATATCACCAGGCTCAATTTTGAAATTCTCGGAACTGCAAATCGAACAACATGGCATCGCAATTAATGATTTCAAAAGACCCTAAGAATGTTCGATATATCCAAGAATGGCCTCACTGGGTATCTGGATAGTTCGATTGTTACTATCGTAACCATCCTCCTGCCTCTCGCCAGTCGTCATCACACGCATCTACTTCCTTAACATGTCGCAAGAAGAAGAAAACGAACAAGGCAGTGGAATCCCCCAAGTTATCACTTTATTTGTGCTATATATCGATCATCTCTTATTATCCTATGCTAGTAGCTATCCACACCAGCTACATCAGAGCACGATCAATTTTCAAACCTCCGACCGAAATTGCAGATGTGTATGAATACGTAGCCTCCATCGTATTCTGCATTCGAGACTTTCAAACCTGCTTGGAGAACTATCTACGCCCCAATAGCCAATATTACACTCCCATTCAGAGGAGCTGAGAAAGATAAAGGAAAAGAGCCAGAAGATACGACAATTCATAAAACAGGATACTGTTCTTTGCATCTCAGTTGTTCGTCATGTCAGCAATTTCTTTGTTCACAGATGGGACATGGCTTCCTCTGGGTCCCAGCTTTGATTTTTTTCTGGCGTTATGATTCCCGGGTCAAAGTTCTGGTACATGCCCCCCTAGTAATTCGTAGAGCCTCAGAGGAACGGCTTGATCGATGAAGTCCACAACTTCTCTCTCTTCACTGAGAACAGATATTGACATGGTTTGTGAAGTCTGAGTTTAATCTCTGTCAAGGGCTTTCATGGGTTCTTTCAAGTGTAATTGTGCCCCAAAGCGTTGTCTTGGCAACCAAAGTATGTTGTCCAACAAAGGCCAGTCAACTGTTTACAAATCCTTTGAGGTATAGCAAAGGCCAAACAATGACTCTTCAACTCCAAGAACGGTAGAACTTTATGAAGATACTCTTATTGGTTACTCAAGCGCATTTTGGTTGAATACAGGCTTCACAAATGTCCCATTGTAGCTCTTGAATTCGGCTTAGTGTTGACTTTGAAATCCTATATCTACCCCCGCCTGGGCTCGAGTCTCAACCTTTACATTAAACGCTACAGTCCGAAATTGAATCAATTCTCTTTACCACAAAAAGTCGTCAACTACATTTTTTGTTATTGCTACAACAGATAACCCCACCGGAGGTGTTATCAAGATCTCGCAATCCACCTGTGGCTGACCTTCCTCGCTTAACAGTTCCACAATGTCTGAACATTCCGATAATACCGGAACCTGGGCCAATCTCTCTGATAACAAGACACCAGCTAAGTCAGACACTGGTACTTTCAAAGAGGAGATCATCGCCAAACATACGACACATGTGAAGGGGGCAATCCGAGTTGCTGACGTTCGTGTTCGCTTCAAGTTTGCCACATTCCCTCGTGTTCCGGTGAAGGACAACTTCACATTGGACCAAGAGCCTTGCGACTGGCATCGTATCTTTCAGTTCGGGTACTGGGAAGAAGCGAAGCGCGATATCACCCACAGCCTGTATGTTTTCGCAAAATCCGAGAATGGTGCCAGTAAGTTGGTATTGGCAATCATCTTTTCAGAGGTTTACAAAAAGATCCGCCCTGTTTTCTGGGAGAAAGTTCGACTTTCTGCTACGGAGATACTCTTCTGCTTTGTCAACGCTCCTGACAAATATACCTGCACGATAAGTGGCATCAAATACTGTGACAAGAATACATTGATCACATCCACTTCTGTTGAGAACGACGGCACTGTGACCTACTCGGTTACCAAAGACGGCGAGGTTCGCTATACAGATACATTGGATCATATGTGGTCTCTGTCCCCAGAGCAGATGTTCTTGGGGACATTGCCAGAGTTGACCGTCAGTGTCCTCTAAATACTTCTTTGGAAGTACTGCACGTACGTCTCCAATTCCTGTTCGCCTTTTGGTTGACCGGTAATCAATCGAGAAATTCCAAAATATCGGATGCTGGTATCGAAGGTCCTATCAATAAAAAAGTACTAATAACCATGGAGACGTTGTTCCCCTTCTGCCAGCCTGTAAGTGATATCTGCACACCTTGGTGAAAGCGGAACGGTATTATTAATCTCCAGCCATCGCCTGCCTCGCTCTAGGCCGAACCTATCGCTGAATAGGCTCAACCAAACTTTTCAAAGTATGGGACAACGATGACATAATGCGCAAACACTTCAATTTAGCTTTGCTTTGATCCGAGACCGCAAGAATCAAGATTCTTCGCGCGACGTTCTTCCCAACCCCACGACATCTATACATACCCAAGCCGTTTTGGTAAGTCTGAACCCTTTGACTGCAGTGTATTTAGCTTATTCTTTGCTTCTATCTTTTGCGTTCTGCTCTAAATATTCTCCCTCTTGTAGATCACAATCAGCGCAATGTCCAGCAGCGACTCCGACTCCTGGAGCATCATCTCAGGAGGCTGGTCTGACAATGAGAGCAACAAGTCGGATGATGAAGGGTTCACAAGGGTAAATTCTGACGCCAACAGTCGGAGAAATTTTCAAGCTCCGAGCCCAGCAAGGAAGGAGCTGGCTCCACGAGCACTGCTCTCAGAAGATGAGTCGAACACAGAACAACAATCAACTCCAAAGAAGTCTCCAAGAATCATCGAGGGCTCTTTGAATCAAGCATTCCCGCCATCTACTGCTGCTTTGAGCACTGCCAATCCAAGCTCTAGCATTATTCAGAGTTCCAATGGAGACTCGCAAGTCGATAGTCTTAAGAGAAAGTATGGTCGAGGCTTCGTGGTCCCGCTTTGGCAGGACATGGACCCCCAGAAACGAAAATTAGCAGGTCTGGAGAGAACGAACCCTCAATTTGTGGAAGAGAAAACTGTAGGAGGAAGAGGGATCAAGACAAATCAACCCAGTCCTCCAGAGACCAACTTCCATGCTCCCCAGGGCAACCAGGCCTCAACTCGGGCCCCCAATAATTCCATTGTCGATTTCTTCCATGGAAGCTCTGATAGCGAAAGTCGGGCCTCCAATCGACGTGGCGCCGCCCAGGTTCCTGATAGTATCTCGTCTATAACAAAGGGTCTCAATCAGGTCCGACTGGAAGATCGAAATACCGATCCACTCAAAGAGCTCGTTCCTCAAGTCTCTGATTCCAGTGGATCTCAAACAATCAGCGTTTACGATTCTCCATCTGGACAAGGGAAACCATCTGCGGTAGGCTCAGACGCTTTGTCTCAAATTCCAAAGATCGTGGGACCATCAGGTCAGGCTACTGCTCCTCGTAGGCCAACACCCACCGAACTGAGACAGATGCAACCGCAATTGCCATGTCACACCTCCGTGTATCCGAAAAATATGCCTTTCTCAAACGGCCCACAGCCGCGTCCACCTTGGGATAGTGATCGGTCGAATCTCTATTATCCCTGGTATTTTTTCAGAGAAACGAATGTTTCGACCACGGATAGAAACCCCGCCGTATCTCCGGACCCGTTAGGATGTAAAGTCTTGCTTAGTCACAAGCCGCTGAAGAGGGTTTTTACCACTCGACCTTCTCAGCACGCGACTGTTGAGAGCGATACAGAAGGATGAGTGCCACCCGTCTTGGAGTCGAGAATGTAGCAAATATGTCTGGCAAGTTTTTACTCTGCTGTTGAGATATCGCACAGAAGTCTACTGCCAGTACTAGTAGCAGAAGGCCTTTAAAAATTGAAGGGGCTCTGCTCAGTCGTAGTGTTACAGGCCGGACATTCGAGAATATTGATTTCGTCATTGGATTCGGCGTTCAATCGGAATTTTCATGATTTTAGGGATTCTACAAGACTGCTATATGCACTAATTGGTTATTTATCTCCGTGTTGTTGCCATTGACGTGCTAATCATTTGCCATCTATTTACTTTCCCCACGAGTTGCTCCACTATTCCGTTCCCCCTTTTTTAAATAACCGAGACCAGCCACACCCTTGGCAGGGTTCTCTCTGCAGATCTCGTGTTCATCATGCATCACTTCCTTGTTTCTCGAGCTCCATGCGCCGCGTCCGCCACATTACATCACTAACAGCTTCATCAGCCACAGCCCCCTCTACGCCCAGATATCATACTTTTGTCACGTATACCTACCTCGCTCCTTGCCCCTCAATCCTCTCATCCGCTGTGTCTTTCTCTCTTTTGCTTCTACCAGAACATTCAGAATGGGACTCTTCAAACACAAGGACAAGACGAAGCCGGATGCATTGAATCTCCAGGCCCAGTCGCAGGCGATCAACAACAACAACAATAACTCCGCAACAGCTCCCTCGGACGGTCTCGCGACTCCACGGCCTCAGCACATGAACAACTCTCAAAACAATAGCTATAACGACTCAACGTACTATTCCAGCAGCAATGTTTCAACAGCAGATTCTAAAGCAAGCCAATTTCCTGCCCAGCGACCTCAACAACCGCCAGGAACTACTGTTACAACTACGACCACTACCACGACGAGTAGGTTCCATTCCACATCATTGATTAAATCTATAAGTGAATAAATACTGATAAATCAATGCAGCAACGACAACAGTCTCATCAGATGGAACAACACAAACTTATTCCCACCCATACAATCCAACTACAGACCCTCCCCCAGAAGTCTCTGAGACGAAAATCGACCAGAATCTTCCCGCAAATGCCGGTGTAAAACCAGGCATTTCACAGCCGATTCCTCAAAACTCAAACCAAACTTCAAATTCAAGCAATCCTATCCGATCAGATAACACACCAAACAAAATGCCAACTATCCAAAGTCAGGGGAGACCAAACCCTACGATCCAGCAAACTGCTCCAACGCCAGGCACCTCAAATCAAAACTCGTTCTTTCAAGCGCCAGCGCGAAAACCCACACCCAAACAACCGGGAGTACAGCAGTCACAGTATGCTCCACCAGATGGACCGCCTCCTCAACGACCGATATTGCAGACATGGAGCAGTGGGAGCAATCCTCGTCTAGATGCTGAGCTGCCTGCTGTTCCCTTGTCTCCAACTACCACTGGAGGGAGACCTATCCCTCCACGATCTGAATTCAGACATTCGCCTACGATGCAGCAAGGTAATAGCCCGTCTTATATGCCCGACGGTCCTGCTTCGCCAATCATGCCTGAACGATCTGAGAGGAGACGGTCAAGAGACGGAATTGTAGCACCGCTGAATGTCAGTCCTGTACATCCAAATCAGAGCCCAAGTCACCCCCCTCCTCAGGTATCTGGAAGTGGGTACGGCAATGGCGCTTCCGGAAACATTATCCACCAGAGCCAGAACCAGGGACAAATACCGAACCAGGCGACTGGGGCGTACTATGCCAATCAAGCTACTGCAAATAGAGACACAAATGAGCCATTCAGTCCCATGAGTCCGACATCAACAGCAGCTGACCCCCCCGGTCGACCTAAGACACCAAACTTTTCTCGACCGGGAGTATCTGGTGTAGGAACTTCACCATCTACGGGTCCAGGACCTATAAGCCCCTCGTCCGGAGTTGCACCAATGGGTACCACGACCACCATCTCTGGCGGTCCTGGAGTCACACAGCAGCAACCTGTTGGGAAACGCCAGAGTTTCACTGCAACGCTGAAAGGACTTCACGGCGCAGGCGAAGCGCTGCGAGGATCTGTCAATGAGAGAATCGCGCATGTGACTCATGACCAGGCAGAAGAGGAGAGGATGCGTGCTGTAAGAGAGAAGGGGATGGGCGAGTGGAGGGGAAGTGGGTTGGATGCTAGGAGTCAGGGGTTGAGGGAGGGGTTCCGGGAGAAAGCTGAGGGAAGGATTAGGACGAGAAGGACGAGTAGAGATGGTGGTGTGCATGGGAGTGAGGGACCGGGTGGATTGGAGGCTGTTCACGAGAGATAGGTCCGGAGATGGAGATGGAGGTTAATGAATTTGTATGAGAAATGAGAGACGTTGTAATTATATACCGCCGTATACACGAGGAGTACCTGACTTGATATCTGGGATTGTACGTTGGATCATGGGTAAACAGTACATAGACAGGAAAAATGACAATATCTTAAACGTTGACCAGTGTTGACTCTTTCTTCATGGCACCGCGCCCGATCTTATGGTCTGAGAGAAAATCCTTTACTCATCGTCAAACAACTTCGGAACACGTTCATCCAGGACTATTCACCACTGCTCGCCATACTGCGCGAAAGTAGTAGTGAAGTCCTCCGCTGAAATCGAAGAATCAAGCGAGATCGTATGGTCCTTCACTCAAAATAGCATCGCCGACAGAGAAGACACAAAAGCAGCCTAAATTAAATGCTACAAATAATCTCCCTGTTTTCCCTGGGATTCCGAGTATATCAGAATTCTTTCCTTCACAGAAGTCCGAACCTTTTCAACCAAGTAAACCCCATTTGCAGATCAAGCAACATCTCAGCGAACCTTCACACTCAAACCCGCGCTCCCATCAGCACCCACCATTCGTCTCAACCAACAACTCCTCACCACCAATCAATCCCAAACTCATAGCCAAGGCCCAAGCGATCAGTAACCCCTCCAGATCTGGGCTGACATCCCCTTCCACCAAACCCTCCCTTCATTGCCACCGACCGCGAAAGACGAGCCTGGTCCCGAGTGCACGACAAAGCGTAGGACGCGGGAGATAGGGAAAACACGCAAAGACTCAGAGAAAATGCTGCCACTCTCTTTCCTCCTCCTCCTGGTCTTCCTTCATCATCGTCCCATCTTCCGCCACCTTCAACACCTCCTCCACCTCCTCGTTCAGCAGTAGCATTTCCTCCAAAGCGAATCATGATCAAGTTGATCGTCAGTCAGGAGACGAACTCATGGCCAGAGCCCGTCTCGTGTTCCAGTTAAGCGACGAAAGAACAGAAAGGAAGAAAAGAGTGAAGGGAGGAAGGAGAAGAAGACTGCCGATGCTAGCAATCGAGTCGAGAAGACCAAGTCGAAGCCGAAGCCGAAGCCAAGGGTCGAGTCTGGTCGAGAGATCATGACTCGGTCACAGACCAAGAAGATGGGATTGGGTGGTTGAGATTTGGGGAGTTCGTTCGTGAGGCAGGTTGTATGAGGCGTTGAGGGGAGACTGGTTGGACGGATCCTGTGCTCTTTTTCTATGGCTTTTATGATTAAGGGGTGTACTTGGAGTCTGCAGGTATTTATTTCTGCGTATTTTGATGTCGTTGTCTTTTTTGGAGGGCAATAAGTGGCTTTTAGATGCCGAATGAAAGGGATTATCGACAATCAATGATGATCAAAGTTTGACTGAATTGACCTACGTAAAGACTTTGATTCTGATGGCTTGCACCAACTTACTCACGTGTTCATTCTAATTGGTCCTGATCGGTGTCAATCAGTCTTAGTGAAGATATAGATCTTACTCCTTTGTTGTGATATTAGAGATTTTCGGTGTGATGGTGAATCAAGAAAGGACTCCATCCTGATTTTCTTGCAAAAGTAAAGACAAATGGGGGTTTTTCATCGCTCTAGCTCTTGAAATATCTGGAAACGTATTTAGTTGAACCTTCCAAAGAAATCTTTGATAAGATCCTGCTAAACGTATTGGCAGTGGGCGGCTTATCGCGCTCAGATATAAGACAGCGTATGGGGACTGATGAACGGCGTTGGAAATGGTAGCCATCAAGTAAGCAAGACATCATACACAAATCATTCGATAAAGTTTACCAAGGACACAATTGTCTGCTTGCACTTAAAGCATCCCTAGTCGGGTTTCGGTAACAGACCTACCAGGTAGTGTTATGTTGCTTCTAGCTGTCTAAGCATATCAGCTGGGCACGGCTCAGATTATAATTGTTTTTACAACATGCACACCTACGCCGGTTGTACCTGTATTTCAGTTAACTATTTGGTGTGCAAATTGCCAATTGCACCATAGGATGATGTACTAGGGTCGATTCCGACCAGCCAAGGCCAACTTGAACAGGCTCTGGCATTTACTTGCGAATCAGCTATAGTAAGTATATTTCGTGCACTATTTCAAGTCTTAATTGTAGGTCTTTTAGTTCTGCTCTGTAAATGGGGAGTTTGGGATTAATGCTTTAACATAATTATGCCAGGTGTACTTGTCCTACAAGCACTCTAAGTATTATTCTGCACTTTATCAATTGCAAGGATCATATCTCGAATCAGATTGTGATATGAAGCACTGAGATCGAGCTCCATGTATTGATCACAGTTGATACGAGTAATGAACGGACGATACTATTGTGATGTTGTGCCGCAATGGCACTTCTAAGAATAGATTTTCAGGGGCTTCTGATTAGATAGGATGATACAGTAAGTACTGAGGTACTCGGTCAGCAACCGAGGTGAAAGCGCAGAGCACGAGATGTTGCCTTCACCACGACGACCTTCATAACAAACACCATCTTCCGGGAGAAATTCTTCGGGCTGCTGGTCCAAATATTTTTATCATCGTCAACGTTCCCAGCTCGCCTATGATCTGCTGCCAGCCACACTAATCATCATGGGTTCTGGCAAGGCTGTCTATCAGCCTCCCCTCCCTCAGCCGTACAGAGACGAACCTGACCATGCAGAGACATCATCAATGTCTTCTGCAGTCCTCCTAGACGATGTCGAAGCAGCTTTCCCTGACGAAGAACTTCCACCATATCAGGACACTCCGTCAGAAGCTCCCTTGGCACCAGCGGCTCCGACGACTTCAACGGCAAATCAGACCTGGGCACAGTATGGCAATTCTCACTCACAATCTATTTTGCTAATAGAACATTCAGCTTACCGCCAGATGTCCCATTCATGACCCACGACCTCAGCTGTCGTGAATTTCGAACCAGCTTTCCCCACTATTCGAACAACTCCTCGGCCCTCTACTCGATGATTTGAGATCAAGCACGATACCCACCCGGATATTTTGTCCAGCTACACGGCACGCACACAGAGACAAGGCGAAACGGAAACAAAGAGACAAAGGACAAGGTCCAAGATTTCCTCGTCTTAGTCAATATTACAAACCTGCTGGGTGGGCTAGATAGTGGCGAGATCCAGCTCCTACCAGACAACAAGCGCGGGTACAGAGGCACGCGGATTCCGTCGATAAAACCTACAGTCAGCGACGAATCAGATGGAGAAGATGGCGCAGATGAGCTACGGAGATGGTGCGACCGCTATGTGGCAGATAAATCAGGCTGGAAATCATTTACGCTCAAACGCAAGATCCTGAATCATGACAAGAGGAAACTCGAGCAATTGCTACGGTCCGCCATTGCAGAGACAAACTATCGTGGCCATCTGTCTGTGGATTTCCCTGAGCAGAAGACGTCCCTGATCGTGTACAGTCCAGGCAAGATCAACGAGTGGAGAATCACGACCTGGATTCGATGGGTATTCTACTGTACATTCCTCTGGCTATTTTCCTGGCCGTTCCTATTCTTCATTACGGCTAGATACGAGACTGTGAAAGTCGTATATAGTTATGCGGATTCGCCACCCGGAGACGATTTGACAAGGAGATGCACGGTCATGACTGAGGTTGAGTGGTTCCATCGGTGGCAGAGCGCGATTAAGAGAGCGGCCGTTGCAAGGATGGTTTGTAAAGACAGTGCGCTTGATGAGGCGTATCGTATTGCTACAGAGAGGGCGGATGCTAGGGGTGAGGCTATGGGGAGCCAGCCTGAAATTCCGAGGACGGGGAATGCGTTTGCCGATGGGGCAATAGGGATTCTTGGGCAAGGATTGAGGTTGGCCTCGGACTATAACGACATGAGGGGTTGGGGTGCCGATTCCTAAATTGTAATGCTCTCCTCTGTAAGGCGTTTGGATTTGGAGGTCTTCTTGCAATGGAGTTCAGGCCCGTTTTCTGGTATATCAGTGTTTGAAGCTTCAAATGCTCGATCTTCAATCAAGTGATGTCAATTTTCAGGCTTCCAACGGAATTTCTCACGAATGCCGGCCGGACACCCCTCCACTTATGTGGCATTAGTAGGGTTGATCTTTTTCGAGATGCAAGTACAGGAGCTGAGTTGCTGAAGTCAGCTTGTGTTACTCCATAATTTATGATTGATTTTTTACGTCCTGCCCTTCGGACCTTGAGATATTTTGCTGCACAGGCGACGTCTCAAACTCAAAAGGTTGGTCTTGAACGGAGTCATTATATTCTTTTCTCTGTGCCAGCCGGTGAAATCTATTGCAACCTCTCGCAGGTTGCCAACGGGTGGGGAATTCGATCTGTCCCCCACCCACGCGGCCCCGTGGTGTAGTCTAGGTATTTCTGGTGGCTCTGAGGGTCTGTCTCTGCGCCTGAAGAAGCTTTCTGGTGCCAAGGCTGCTAAGAATACCAAAGCCTGAGTGGGCAATCGTGTAATCTCATGAGCACAAGGAGCTAGGCATAGAATTCTCTATATTCAAAAAACCTCAATTCAAGCACAATCTTTACGAAGAACTGCATGAGAGTTAACAATTTTTGACTCTTGAGGAAATGTTGACTCTTGAGTCTATTTTGTAAACAAACATCAAGCGCGATTTTAGTCCAATCTTCCAATCCTTGGAACACTATTTGTCTGCTGTTGGACATGAGAAGATGAAATGAAATTTTCCTCCCACAAACTCCGCAGTCCAAGAACCCGTTCGTTTTCCCTACGAGAACCGTGGGAGACATCCCTCGCTTCTTTTGTACTTGTCGTGGAAACTGTTACTAATGAAGGAATGATATACTTTTCAAGGAGAATATAGATCTTGCTCTAAGTTACCCATAATGCCTTGAAATCTTGGCTTACATCTCTCACACTCGTCTTCGAACAAACCATCGACCCAAGGGAAACTCTTCACAGCCTCTAATGCACCATCCCATGACTTCATACCCATCCAGTGAGCAGCCATGGCAGCAGTCTCTGCATACCATTCCTGGTCCTCTGTTCCCCAAGCCTCAAGCATACCCACGAATAGTACCCAAAGCAAGAGCGGCTCAGAAGAGTTCCACAACGTCTTCCATGCCATGGTTGATGCAAGTGACTTCAGCTTTTTGATGAAAAATATCGTTGACACACCGAGCTGCCCACAAACCCGCCGAAGCTTGAACAAGAAAAGTATGAGTCCGATTCTTGTAGTTTCTTGCACAATACTTGGCCCATCACTTGGTTGTGTTTCTGGCCCTTGGCCTAGAACGTTATGAACGATCGGATCGATCCAAAAGACAATGAACTTTACTTCGATCCAGTCTTCGTTGTGCGCTGTCTTAATCTTGGTGTAATTAATAGCTCTGAGCAAATCGTCGAATCCTTTTGTCAACAGGTGATCCCGAGGAATAGCGTTTGCCCAAGGTCTGGGGCTAAGGTTTGGCGCGTGATTTGGCGAGAGCTTCAACTTGTCACGAAATGCTCTTTGAACAGCCTGGATCAGTCGGTCTGGGGGAGGAAACGTTGGCCTGGAGTCTCTTCGACAAGCACCCGAAAGATCGACCCTGATTCTCCAATCAGATGTGAATTCTTTGAAAGGTGTGGTTACTTACCCAAAGACCATGCACCTCAGTGTTGGGTTATGATCCAATGTTTGCATACCCCCACGTAAGCGAATGATATTTGCCAGGCCATCTATATGAGCGTCGAATCCCACGAAGTCCTCTTGGGTCACCTGCACGTCACATCAGTGGTAAACTCCTCTCTCGATCGATACGTGAAGACACCGAGACACCAGAACATCACTTACACAGTAGCAGACAAAAGTGACAACGCTAGCGATCATGGCATCATCTGTGTTACGGGTGGGATCAGAGAGATTACTATTCACAGTTCGCAGCGCGACTGCATGATGTTCTCCTGATAGAGTTCTGCTCCGTGGCTGGCCTCTGGTTTGATACAAATTTAGTGAGACATTAGCCAGAAATTGATGGAATGTAGCCGGATCTTTGAGCGCAGTGGGAAGCCAAGAGTTCCTAAACGTTCTGAGTACAGGCTCTGTTCCAGTGTACACTGAATTGTGTTGACTTAGTAAGTAATTACTGAGGTGTGAAATTGTGGGGGGAAGGTTGAGGGTTATTACAACTCACGCTGGTCTAAAAGATGCCTCTCGTCGTACGACAATTGGATAGGGTAATTTCCAAACGGGTCTACCCTACCGGCTCCTAAAATTGTCCTCGGATGGGTGATTGTTGGTACATTAGGGAGGCGTTGAACCAAAGGAAAGCCAATGGTATTTTCCAAATTCGGTGGAACTTTCAGTCCACTTTCTAGTGACTGCGTGACTAATCTTTCTACTCCCTCGATCTCATGCGTCTGTACTGTTGCTGATTCCTCCTGCTTCGATCCCGGTGGCTGCGAAAATTCCGGGGGAAGCGTTAGTTCGATTCGATTCTTGATGACCCATCTCCTCGCTTTTGGAATACCCTGCATCAAACGTTTCCGGATCTCCTTTTCGCTTTCTTGGCTGCCAGTGACAGTTGCCGGTCGTAAGGCGACTGGCTTGGGTCGTAGGTTTGGTGGTCCCATTCGTGGCTGATCCGGCAGTCGACCACCTGCACCTGCATCCGATGCAGGTTCACGATTCGCTGTATGGCCAGTGCTTGATGCCATATCCGAGTGTAGCTCTCGTCGATAAGTAGAGTATCAAGGGATGCGATCACTGATTTTTTTTATATAAGCTCTTATAGTCTTCACCAATTGCCCCTGCACCCTGAAGTTTGTCAGACGGGGTGGATCTGAATGGAACTCGTGAAGTGGCACTGGAACATCTTATCAAGCCCAGAACACTACAAATCGAGGGTATCCAATACTTTCAGTGAGCTGGTGCCACTTCGTCACTTGGAACTTTTTGCGGTGGGGTTTACTGACTGAACTCGGCGCAAAATTTTGTTCAGTAATCATGTCTGCACGTACATTCATCGTCTTCATTGGTGGGGCTACAGCATCCGATCTCGCATCTGCATAACATGGAATCTCCGAATCCACTTTGAGACTTTCACAGTTCATAGAGCAACTCAGTGACAAATCAAGAAGAAAGTTGGAAGCTTCCCTATTTAACGTCCGGAGGCTCCTTTGCAGCAAAGTAAACCATGGAAGCTTTTTTGGGCAACATTATCTATTGTATCAATTTCAATGATTCAATCGATTGCTTGTTGCTGGCATATCTCCTCAATACCAGGAACTCGCCGAAATGTAAGAATGTGAAATTGCTTGGCATTTCAAGCCTTCAACACACCCCTATATCTGACTTCTCCCGCCTGAAGACGTCTCAAAGCCTCAGTCACACCATCAACTGACAGAGGGAACTCCTCCAAGATGGGTTTCACTCCGTGAAAGGACGCAAACTCTAACATTTTGTCCACACTAGCAGGAGTCGAGGTGCACGAACCAACGAATGAAATCTCCTTCAGAAGGAAAGGGAGGAATGGGATAACCAGGTCCTCTGTTGAGACTGTGAGAGGATATATGTTCCCGAAAGGTTTCATCACATCCATGTACCTGAAGTAGTCAGCACTTAGTTCAGGAAGCTATGGCATGTTTTAGCTTGACTCACGGTTCCCACTTTGGGTGCTGACTTGTTGTAACGAAAAGGTGATCCAGCTTATGATCCACTACAAGCCCTTCAACACCTTTGGTCACCACGAACTCAGTCGCTCCCAAAGCCAACGCCTCATCCTTCTTCTTGTTGGTGCCGGAAAATGCGACAACTTCACAACCCCACTTCGAAGCGAATTGAATTGCCAAGTGCCCCAATCCACCAATACCTACGACTCCCAGACGGTCTCCAGGCTTAACATACTTGAGCAATGGAACGAAGACAGTTTGGCCAGCACAGAATAGTGGTGCAGCTTCAGCATCGCTGAGACCTTCCGGAACTCGATGAATCAGAGTCTCTGGCCAAATGGCATGTGTCGCAAACGATCCTTGGTCTAAGTCAGTTCCTGAGTAGAATCTGGCGGAGTTGATGCAGTGCATATGAGCTCCGACGAGACAGAATTCGCACACTCCACATCCATCTTTGACATAGCCGAAGCCGACACGCTCTCCTCTGTGGTATCAAAAGTCAGCTGAAACTCAAAGTAAACAGCTTCAGTTCATCATTTCTTACACTTTCCACACGCCTCTGATTCCTTCTCCGAAAGCCTCCACAACACCTACGCCTTCATGTCCGAGCACCATGCCACTTTCCAGTCCATGCAAATCCGTTCCGCATACCCCAGAGTAAGTTATACGGATCAGGACTTCATTCGGCGCCAGTTCTCTGCTTTTGTAACTTCCTTCTTGGATGGCTCTCGAAGGTGATCCATGGAAGGTCTTGAACTCTGGAGAAGTGACCATCGTGGACGCTGATCTAAGAAGGTGACACTCAAAAAAGATGTTGTGCTCGGTGTGGTGATGTTGGCTCTGATGGATGTTGATTTAGAACAGTGACAGACACGGGAATTGTGATCGTGCGATTTTTGCCTTGTTATTGTGCTCACTACTCTCAAATGAACGAAGAATACAGAAGTGAACTGGACGAGCGCGAAGACTGTGGTGATCAGGTGAGCGGAGAAGGGGTGAAAAGTATTTCGCATTCACAACCAGAGGATCAACCTGTAGGAATTCGCAGCCTTCTTATGTACAAATTGTAACCAGAATAAGTGCCAACAATACAACACTATGCCAGAGTCTCTATTTCCCTACATCTGACCATCGCGGCATGCGTGCTGCAACCTATGTCGAACCTCACTGGATGCCGGCGATACCTGTGGTCTATTCGGACTTTTCATTCTGCTTACCTCATACAAGCAATGCAATGACTGGGAATAAATCACCACTCTCGTATCTTGCTGATAAATGAGATCTGTACCATCCCAAAATGCGGTACCATTACGATCGGATATTCAATTCGCCTTCATTTGGTGGCAAGATGGACCCCTGCATTTCGCTTGACAGTTCTAAACATTGGCCAATCACAGAAGCTCTAACCTGCATATTGATCAACAAGGGTATACAGTCGAGAAATTCAGTCATTTTCAGAGCTTTACAAAACCCACAATGTGCATGAAAATCGGATGTTTGTTGGTTGCGAATCTTCTAGAAAACATGCAATTTGATTACTCTTCGATTACAAATCTACGAAAGCGGATTTTGATAATGATTATGATCTCACACGTGCGTCCAGTGTTTGGAGACTCGGAGGTACAATATCATGCTCTCGGGTTTTTGGTTTACCTTTATTTGAACCTCGAAGACTTTGGAGCCAATTGTACTTCGTCAACCATTAAATATACGGCTGCTCATCATGTCGTCCCTGGACACTCTGATAAAAGCTCCTGAAGCAAGTCTTACGCCCCGATTGACACTTCCTGCTAACTCCAGCATAGGGCACCAAGCTATGGGTAAGAGGGCTCAAATTGTGTTTGAATGGATGACTGATGATTAGTAGCTCCTCCATGTTGGCGATATGGAACTTGATGAAGCCTTTGTAGTAACTGGGGTCAGTGGTTGATTTTCAGCAACTCTTTTTTACGGTATCTTCAGAACCTATTTTCTCACTGAGTTCCAGGCGAATGTGGGGACTATTAGCAACCCTCACCCACTTCAACATAAGCGACGTCACTTGGTTCAGATATCTGCACTAATCGAGCACCCGACTGAAGGATTGATTCTCTTCGAGACTGGCTCGGGCGGTAACTGGCCAACGGTATGGGGACCTCCATACAATGACCTTTTTGCTCAAATCGACTACAACGCAGACAAGGAACTCCCAGCAGCAATTGCAAAGACTGGACACTCGATCACAGATATCAAAGCCGTCATCCTTGGACATCTACATCTGGACCACGCTGGCGGACTTGAGCACTTCACTGGAACGGATGTCCCAATATATGTGCACGAGAAAGAATTGAAACATGCATTTTATTCGGTTGCCACAGGAAGTGACCCGGTGGTTTACATGGCTCATTATCTTCGTTTCGATCTGAAGTGGAAAACTTTCAACACCGATTTCCTGGAGATTTTTCCGGGTTTGACTATGCGCCATGCACCAGGACATACGCCTGGACTCTGCCTGATGCAAGTCAATTTACTGGAAAGTGGTACTTGGATTTTCACGTCGGATCAATATCACGTGAAGGAGAATTATGAACAGAACCATCCTCAAGGCAAGGTTTGAATGAGTCCCGTCTAGGATGGTTTTAACTGAATGTAGGATGGCAAGCAAGAGATCATGATGATCGGATACATTCGAATCAGATGATACATATGTTGGCCAGAAGGACAAATGCAAAACTTGTATTTGGGCACGACAAAGAGACATTCTTCTCGTATAAGCACGCTCCCGAATTCTATACATAATCCTGCTTTGGAGATTCTGGAGCTCGTTTTCCGGAGACCTGGACGACGTCCCAGACATGCATGTATGCTACTGCTTCTAATTCAGAATGCTTATAAGCCAAGACTTTCACCAAGAACCTTCAATTTCCTCCGCTTTGATTGCTGCCTTTGCTCCCTCTCGCTGTACCAGATTCTCAACTAATGCCGTATACTTTGGATACTTTTCCTTCATCTCGAATTTCACCTCCACGGCCCATCTATAGAATGCAAAAAGGTATGGATCAACAGCTGTAAAGTCTCCTCCAACGGCATGAATGCCTGGCAACCTCTCCTCAACAGCATCAAGTATACCTTCCACTCTCTTCAAAGCACTTTGTTTGATCCCCTCGTGAGCAGCTGGATCATCGGACCATCGATACGGACGAAACACATGACCAAACCCGCCAGTATGGAAATTAATCGCCAGCCAACTCAGCCATTCATAAACTCTCACAGTCTCCATTGGCGTTTTGCCCAAGAGATGTTTTCCCGGCACGAGGTTGGAAATTGCGGTGCAGACGGCGATATTCTCAGTGATTATATCATCGTCGATTGCGAGTGCTGGGACTTGCATCTTGGGGTTGATACGCTTGTACTCCTCGGGCCAGCTTGAATGGCGATCGAATCTTCTGACTTCGACTGCTTCGAAGTCGAGGCCGGTTTCGTGGAGGAGGATGTGTGGAAGGATGGAGCATGCTCCTGGAGCGTAGTAAAATTGCATCTTCGGCATTCTCAAAGATGTAGAGATATCTTCGGAGCTTTACTCTGAGTTGTTTTGTTGACCTTTGGCGTCTTTCTTGGCCGGAGAGCTCCGTCAAATTGCTGAGGTCCGTCACTGATGAGTTCTGTCACTGATGAGTTCTTTCAATCGAATACTGAGAAATTAAGAAGCAATCATATGCTAGAACTAAGATCGATTAGATGTTAGCAGTCCTTGATTTCTCTCCATGTTTGTGAGTCAATTTAAATCAGCGGTAGACAAAAGAATGTCGTGATAGAGAGTTGGAGTTGCTTCGCTTATTTTCAAAAGTGGGAGCCGAGGCAAACACAGCACCTGATTTGCAGAAGGTCTGATTGACGTAAGACTTACTTGGCACATTGACTAATGGCTCCAGATATATAGATGGATTACTGACGATGTTTTAGCTCATTGTTCAATCAAACATGATGTTATCGAAAAAATCCACCCACCCCATTTTGTAGAAGACAGGGCGTAGTGACTTTAAAGGGCGTCTGCCCAGCCGAAGGTACGTCCAAACTTGGTAGACATAGATATAACTGGTCTCGTAGCTAGTGACGCCTACTTCAGTTAATCCAAAATTCGAAGTTCAACATCACTGACCTCCGCCTTCTTGGTGTTCGGAGCGAAGACTTGTCGACGAATTTGACTTTCGCCTACAACGTTTAGCGAGCCCTATCGAAAGTCAATAAACAAGTAGATCAAAAAATCGTATTGTGGTCAGCTATGAATCTAATCTGCGAGCAGGTTTAGTCGACATCTAATTCCGAGGAAGAGAGGCTCTGTACGGCTGGTCAGGGATCCGTGTCACGCAGCTGAGCAAATCACAGCGTGGATTGAAGGTACAAGTCTTAGACAACAAGAAGGATCTTTCATTCTTAACGGATATTTGATTGGGGGATGCCACCTGTTCCTGTCACTAGCAAAGCAACAAAACTATGCAACACATCGTACAAGAGGGGTATGATAGACCGATCATAACGATCAGATCACGTTAAAATGTAGCAAAGAAACTCCAAACACCAGATCCATATGCCTCGCTCACTCCATTTTACCTCTCATCCCATCTCTCATAACTTGTCCCCTTTCTTCAACGCTTTTTCAGTCCCGGCCTTAAAACGTAATCGATACTCTTCAGTACCTCGGATTCTGCCCTAGAGCACCAAGACCTTGATGCAACTCCAGTCTCGGTACCGGCGGTGCTCCTGATCCAGAAACACTTCTGTACTCCGGTGGAGTTAAGCTCCGCATTGCTTGACCAGCCCCTTCAAAATACTCCTGCTGTCCATAAATAGGCTGATCGGACCTCGGTCCTCCCGGCGTAATCAATGGCAAATTGGCATCGCTCGTCATTGGCTTACTAAATCCTTTCGCAGCTTCTACATCGCGCCCACCTCGTCCTCTGGAGCTCGCGACAGCTAGTAATTGAGCTTGCCGGTTCGCTTTGACTTTGTTCTTGCCGTGGATGATCATGGCAATGACGGCAATGGTTGTGGCTGCTATCCCGACACCGAACGCGATTGCCACGACGATACCGGAGGTTGTAAGGTGGTTGTCGCGGCGCATGCAGGAGTTTGCGCCGGCAGCGGCGGAGAAACATATCATACCAGGGGCGCAGGATGCGATCTCTGTGGTTGTTGCGACGCAGGATTGTGTTTTTCCTGCACTGACGAAGCACATGGACGTGGCTTTTGTGCTGGTAACTGAGCAGACAAGGGGACCTGTTGTGGTTGCGGATTGTGCTGTTTCAGTGGATTTTGTAATTGTACTTTGGCTGGACGTGCTTGTTGTTGAGGTAACTGTCGATTCGGAGGAGGTTGAAGTTGTTGTAGACTCGGTGGTAGACTCGGATGTCGTGGTTGCTTCTGTTGACGAAGGAGCTGTTGTAGATGTCCTCTTCGCAGATGCGGACCTACTTGCAGTCTTCTTGGTTGTAGTCTTTTCCTCCGTTGTGCTTTCTTCTGTGGTTGTCTCTTCATCATTCTGTCTCCTCTTTAATTCCTCCTGTTTAGCTCGGCAATCGAAGGTAAACCAAACAGCTTCCGCTGTCGCATCTGCCATTGAACATCCTCCCGAAATCAAGCAGTCCTCAATCTCCTCCAACCATGCAAGGTCGATATCTCGGTGCAAACATTGAGAAATCTCCTTGTTGGTACCGCAGGATATCCGGGCTACCAGGTCATCGAGGTTGCTTTGGGCGCATCCTGTCGCAGAGACGATTGCGGCCGAGGCCAACAACTCGAGTATTGCTGAACGCATAGTGTTTGATGCTACTCTAATTTGGAACAATGAGGAAAGGAAGAGCTTAGGACAGATTGAGACTTGTCGCGTCGCACGCCTGGAATGTGTTGTTTTGCCTGCAGTGTAACGAGGCAAGGGACACTCGAGTACAGCCGCAACCTTTCACACAATGGAAAAGCAAACAGAAAATTTATGGAAACAGAGAAAATTAAGGTCATGGGGAATCTCACGATACATAAATAAAAAGCGGAAAGAACCAACCTTCAAGTGCTTATTTTAAGGTCGGGGCGAAGTTAATTGAGGCTTTAGCTGAAGGTGCACGATAGGGTCTCGACAGGGCCTGTGATAGGCCTCATCATCACGACAATGAGATACAGCCAATCAGCCTGTGTTGGCGCTCTGAAAGGCGCATGCAATTCGTCGGATCAGGCGCTGGGGCATGTGGGATGCCGTGATGCTGCACTGTGCCTCTTCGACTCTGACTCCATTGGCCGCGTTCTCAACGATGTTGGTGATTGTATCAAGTGGACTGACTATCCACGTCCGGTGATACGTAAGTTGAGAAGAAAAAGATTCAAGCTTTGAAGGACAAGCTGATTGTTAGGCGATGCTGGACCGAGAAACATGATCCACTTGGGGCCACGGCGTGACGAGCGAAAGGATGAGGGAGAAGAAGGTGTGTTGGTGGCTGAGGCTGTCCAGAGATTCAGGAGAAGGCTTGAATTGAGGCACAGTTGAGGTCGGCTTGGCGCTATGTTGGAATGAAGAAGGATCGCAGGCTGAATGGGCCGGGCTGAAACAGAATCATTGTTATGTCAGCCTGCGGTGAGAAAGTAGAAAAAGCTTCAGCATCCATCGCTCTCTTCCGTGTGGTTTGGATGGACTCGTGCAGTGTGATGATGAGTTGAGACGAGACGATGGAGGGAGAGGACCATGGATGGCTGAGTGCAGACGCTTGGAAAAACGTGATGGTCACGTGCAATGACAAGACATTACCTAGGTACCTATGTTACCTACCCGCCTGCAGTCTTCTACTTCTTTTGGGCTTCTCATTCTTCCCTACTGTTCTCTATCGCCGCCTCGTTATTGTGTTTCTGATATTTCAGAAATCTTGATTCCTCTCTTTTTGATATTTCTGGCTGCTGGTACTCTCCAATACAAAGACTTACTTGCTGAGCCAGTGTAGATTAGGGGCTTCAGGTCAACAATTAGCCACGAGCAATGCTGAGCAGCTACCAAGTACATTCTCTGTGCCATCAGAAGTACCACACCATCAGGCATGGTAACATTAATCCTCTGGCCACAGCTTGAGATGCTGGTCTCGAAAACTCCTCGATGACTAAGTTGTGGCCTGGTCATCGTCAAGTGCCCAAAATAAAATTCAGGAGCAATTTCATGTAATTTCCTAGTTTGTCCAAAAGTATTTACTTTACTACTTACCAATATTAGCCAAACAAGAAATCTGTAAACAACGAACCTTCGAGACAAGCGAGGCAAGCGAGCCACCAAGGCTATCCATTCGAGACAATCCACCTTCATTCACGCCAAGGCCCTATTTCACGTGTCGTCTTAATACGTCATCCCTCGCCTTCCTAACATCCAAACAAGGCTTCCACTCCCATAAATCAACGACTTCTTTCTCATGAACACTTACACTCGTATTTTCAAAACCCGACATCTCAAATTAAACACCCTCAAACAGACAACACAAACCAAACTCTTCACAACAAGCAAGCAAGTCAACATGCCTCTCGTGGTCCCAGGAATCAACTCCGGTGGCGAGCAGTCCAAGACGGAGGAGTGGATGAATAAGTTGGTTGGAAAGAAGCTTGGTGAGACGAATGACTCTACGGTATGGTATCTCTTGGTCTTTCCCTGCTATCCTCTTTTTAATATCAAAATGAAAGGAATCGAAGGGAAAACCGGCGGCCTTGTGCTGATGATGTATGCAGACCTTCGCTCGCGCCGACCTGCCAAAGGAACACAGAGTTATTGAGCCCGGATCTATCGTCACCAGAGACTTCAAGCCTGAGAGGTATGTCTGATCTCTAGTTTGAAAAAATTAAATATGCTGATGATTGTAGATTGAATGTTCACCTCAAGGAGGATGGAACGGTCTCACATGTTGACCATAAGTAGAGGCCGAGGCTGGTGGAAGGAGGGAAGTTAAAAGGGGCATGAAGAATGAATCGATGACTTTGCAGATTTCTTTTAGGACTTATGATTGTGATATATTGAGTTATCCGTGATAACTCCTGTGTTGTGTTGAGAATCTGTTATTTGTCATTACCCCGCGAAAGTTACGCTTCAGGTCTACCCAAGTCGCCGTATCGCGGGGCATCTTCGACCCCACTACTCGAAACGAAAGAACATTACAAACCACTGCTATCTCGCTATCTACTGTTACAATTTACCAAAGATAGAGGATGATATGTGCTTCTTCTTGATAACGATGACTATCGCCTCGCAAGCTTATTCATGCAGCCAAAAGTTTCGAACGGACCAAAAGGCCTTCCTCTTCCTTAGCGTACAAAATGATGATCTCAACAGTGGAAGTCAGGGCATGGACAAAAAGTCTCCCCATAGTACGTTGGAGTGCTTAGATCCTCTATTGACAGTAACAGATGGTCTCTCAGTGAACAAAAAAATCGTTGTGACTGAGAGGAGAAACAGGAACTCGCATCTTGCAGCTTGCAGAGGGTAAAGTCGCTGTCAAAAGCTATTGAGACTCAGCCAAGGATCTTTAGTATGCTTGAAACTTGTGGGCTACACTATTTCCAGATAATTTCGATTATTCCACGATCATAGAGACTGTCCAATAGAAGGCAGGATGGCAAAGCCTTGTACTTCAGCACTCGAGTCTTTAGTCCTAATGGTTTTGGGATTTGACTATACTGAGAGACCCTTCGCAAATTTAGCGCTGAGTCAAACAGCTGAAATTTGAACCATTCACCCCATCCAAATCGCAAGAACAAAGAATATTATCCCAGGAATAGTAGCTGGCTTTGTCGCACTGGATGTCACGTTTTCTCGTGGTTTAGCGTGAAACGGCCACGTCTCCTAATTCTGCGAGAGATTCTTTAAGAGTTCCACAGCCTACATCACCAAGCAGAAGTTGAGTACTAAGGTAGTCGAAATACCACCTGCGACCCTCATCGGATCTTGAACAAAATGGACACGACCGCAACCTCCGAAGCTTGGGCTTCGACATCTTCCGAGTCCTCCGAAGACCCTGAACCCTCAACGTGCGCGACATGCCAAAAAACGCAGACTGAACTCTCAGCACCACTCAAACGCTGCGGCAAATGTCACATCATCCAATACTGCTCCGTTGATTGCCAGAAGGCAGACTGGAAGGCGCACAAGAAGATCTGCGGAAAGCCAATCGATCAGCACAATCCCGGGTTTCACGCCGTCAATGGACTTCTCGGCCTCAGTGGGAATGATTACCTCCACTCCCTCCCAGAGAAAGAGGCTATCACGCAAGATCGACTGTTACCGTCTGCGAATCGAGGACGAATATAATTTTGGAGGAGATGCTGGTGGGTTGTATGGTGGGGAGGATCCGTTGCCTGATTTCAAGGAATTCTTGAACAAGGCCGAGAAGAAGGAAGGTATTTTGCCGAAGTGGTGGAATAAGGACAAGCGGAAGGAGTGTGAGAAGGTTGCTACGAGAGATGGCTGGGCGAATATCAACCATGCGGTTGAGAAGTCCGATATTATTGAGCATTACAAGAATCCCATGATGCCGATGAAATTGAGGGTCTTAGGAGAGAAGATCTACGGCACAGGTTTCATGTAGGACTGGATGATTAAAGGCTCGCTTTGGTTCTGTGATGGTGAGATTGATATCAAATGCCGTCCTGGCGCTGGCGGTCCGCATTTTGACTTTTGTACAGAGCTCGACAGATACAGTACGCAACTTCTTTACGCAGGCTTGACTTGACTAGCAAAATAATCAAACTTGAAGCCACATGAAACGCCTGACAAGGAGTCAAAATTCAAAATCGAGTACCTTCCACACGTGACATCAGCAACCATGGCTAAAATCCGCTAGTTCATGTGCTGCCTGAAGCAACGAGCAGTTCCACTGTAAATACCAGATTGCAACACTTGAGCGCTTAACAATATTCTCCATTGTTTCGGGATATCTTCATGATGGTAGACCGCTCTTCTTGACTTCCCTGCCATCCTTTCAAGCCACTACCCCGCCCCCCATATCCTTCATGGCGAACTCATTCCCTAACGCCATATCCTGTACCAAGGCGTGCATCAAAGAATTTCTTGAAGCTGAGCCTCTTATTCCTCATCGATTAACCCTTCTCCTTCAAAGTCGTCTTGCCATTCGTTTGACCTACGTCGTTCAATTCTTCACATCGAGCATTCAGCTGGCATACTCGCTTCGATATACACTCCTTCCTGTGATACCAATATTTATTATATTGTAAGCAATTTTAATCATCTTGCAATTAAAAAGTCTGAGTCTAAGCTTTACAGCTTCCTAGCAATACTCTTCACCCCGCTCCCGCAACCAATTTACACGATCCGCATCCCTGGCCCAGAACTGCGTGGGAAAATATCAACCTCTTCTCCTCTGAGACGCGCAGATATCGCGTATTTACAGTATCCGTGGCCCATTTCTGGTTGGATCGAAAGGAGACCTATCAGATATGCTATGTTCGGCTGTGTTGTTGTTCATGAAGGTACTGCGAGATGGCGGGGCTTGATATTAAATCCTAAGAAAAGGGCTGAGGAGGATGCTAAGATGCGAGCACGGCGTGCGGAATGGGAGCGGAAATCTTGGGTGGGAAAGAAGGTCAGTGAGCTGATTAAGAAATTGTCGTATGTTGGGATAGGAGCTAGGTTCATGACTCTTGGGCTTTTCGTTCTGTTGCTCATGGCTGTCTTGTGAGATGCCACGACTCGGAAACTTGGATCCTTTATATTGTGGACTTTAGCTACACATACATAAGTCTCGGTTGTGGATAGCTACTCTCCGGTCTTTTGATTTCTGTGTCCAAAGTTCGACTGTCCATCCTACCCCTGCCCGTCCTACAAGCGACCTATTGGCAAATTGACCTCTACCAGTGCCTCCATTCATCTGGAATGTCGCATGACACCATGAGAACTGTATTCTGATTGAAATGTTGTACCATGTCAACACATGCAAATGCAGCAATTCTCCAATTTTTTCTTGCGTTTTGTGATGAGAAGGATGAGTGCAGTTGACAGTAAATCTCTCAATGACAACCAAAGATTATGCTGTCACAAACCTTGACTGAGACAGGTGTGTGTTTTATCCTAAAGTCAGCTTCCCTAGTGCCTATTCTCAAAGACTTCTCATCCTCGTCGAAGTTTTGGACGATCAATCACTCTTAGCTGGACCCTATCCACGGTCCACTGCTGCTCATGATATTGTTTGTTAGACAACTCAGTTCCAATGCTGGAATAAGATTTGAGAAGATCTGAATATATATACTGGGTGACTGCATCTTTATTGCAAGTGATCCATGTTCATTTTGCTCAAGAGTCAATATATAGAATCTGTGATTGGCGCAGAGCGTTGAATCATTTTCATGAAAGCGTTATATATCGACACTTCTATAAATCCAGCCATTCACATAAACAACGTGCATTTCGTGAATACCAAATTGACTCTTTCGTGTCCTATGTTTTGCTAAGTGCCAGAATTACTAAACATAGTACCTATTCAAGGTGATGAGCAATGTCGTGGATGTGGTTTACTAGAGTTACTTGAAGTCTGCTCAACTCCCACCTATGATGATTTGAGATGGTGAATCGGAATTTAACACAGAGTTGAGTTTAGGATCTGAAAAGTTTCGTAGTGTCTTTTAAGCTATATGTGAGGGACGAAAATGTTTTGTTATCACTGTTCGTCGTGAAAATCGAAGATTGTTTGACGGGAAACCATTGACCAGTCTGCAACGTCCCAAGAGGATTATCACCACTGTGGAATTGGTTGACACTGGCGAAAAGCCATGCATCTTCCAGCACTGGGAAGAGTTCGAAAGTAAGTTATTGTCCATGCCTACAAAGGAACAAGATTCAGTTTCAAACTTCTTCAAACTTTCGCCTCTTCAACATTTGTTGCTGTCAAGCGAGGTTCTGTTGTCGTTTCTACTGCCTATAAGCCCAAGCAAACCCGTCTGAGCAGACATGGAATGCAAATCGGATGAGAAATCTACAGAGATTCAGTATTTATTCGTTTTGAAGCATTAACAGGCAAGTAAAACTGCCGATCGTTGACGGTTGAAGAATCGTCACGTCCTGCAATTAGGCTGTGTTCCATGAGAAAGATTAAATGATTGTGCAGCCGGCACAGAGAAGTCAGCGCTGCTACGTTTCGGATTAATAACCACATATTTTTTGCACTGTTTAAAGTAGAGCGGCTGGTTGGCTTTCGTTCTGCACAACTTGAATAATATGAAGCATTTGTACTTCTCAAGATTTGTATCCCTGGACGAAGCTCAACAACAAGCATGTGCTGAAATATTGATGAAGGAAGACGCATTGTTAAAAGAGCTGCACGCTGTCATATGCCGTAAATCACAGCAAAGAAGCCTCGAACTGACAAGCATGTACGCATCGCTTCCCACACATCAAGAAGGATGTCTGAAATATGAGAACAGCCTTCACAGATTTGAGAAGAAGTCTTCATACCTTCAATCCCTAATATTAAAAATTATGCTGTCTACGTGTCACACTTTTTGGGACAGTCATTGTCCAAGCTTTTCATATTTTGAAAAGTCAGGCCTGCGAAAGAACGCGAGCACCTTTACCAAGCAGAGGAGAGGCATCTGAATCTTGACAAATACCTTTCCTATAAAATACTAACTGTATCTAGCTGGTCCCCTTTTCATTCCCCATTCACCACCCATCTACAGACCCACATCTCTCCCCGTGACCTACCCGCTTGAACAGCCAACCTGAGAAAACAAGCTAAGCGAGCCAGTAGCTTAAGCCTCCATAGCCTCGTCCTTGCGCGTGAATTTTATCTCGAGTTACTAAGCGCGTCATCGCCTTTCCTATTCCAACTCAGCATCAAAGCGTGTGCTTGTGCATTCGAGAATCATATTCTTTTGCAACTCTTGTCTTGGTGGATCTATTTGCGCTGTGCTGTGCGAACGCGCTCGTTAAAGAAGGAAGGTAAACAAAGGCGAAGTCTCGAAGAAAAGGTGGGAAGAGAGGATACGACAAGACAAGGAGAGGGTACATCAAATCAGGGGGTTCTGCGTTACTTGTGCTGATCGAGGGTTGATCGAGACAAATGAGGGAAGAGGAAAAGGAATAACAGGCGGTTAACGCAGATCGGTGCATGGAAACATGACTACACCACCTCAACCACCAGGAGGAAGTCCTTTGTTCTCAGATCAGAATTTACCCCCTCAAGAACCAGGTCAAGCCCCTTCTCTCCCAGGACCAAGCGCACCACAACTGTCATTCTTTACTCTACGGTCGCAGAGAGGTCGTGGTCCTCGTCTAAACGCTCCTCCTCCTCAGATTACAGTCACCGTCTCAGCAGAAGTGAGTGTTAGTCACGTCTCGAATACAAACTCAAGTCCCAATTTGACTCCTAACCCCTTTCCGACTTCGAATAAAAACACTTATTCAGCTCCGAACCCGACTTTCAATACTCCAAATCCCCAAAGCACTCAAGCCATACCATCAACTCAAGCAAATAAGCCGACCAACATACTCCCAGCTCCACCACTGAACATATATCCTACTAGAGGAAATTCTCGCGACGCATCTGGAGGTCGTGATCATAGACCTATGGCTTCGGGTTCAGGATCTGGATTTGGGACTGGGAATGGATCTGGACGAGGTCAAATACAGGGACGAAAATCTTCAGAATTCACACCACCGACTGCATCATTCACCGCCTCTACTTCCACATCTGCTAGATCCAGTTTCGGTCACAGTGGAGGACCAAACTCTGGCTCCAGTGCTGGCTCTGGGGTTTTGCCTGGTGGACTCGTACCTCCTCAATTTCCTCCCGGCCCAAGCAGACCATATGCCAGAGTGCGAGGAACAGGATTGACTGTTACTGGACGAGGAGGATATCAAACATTCACACCACATTCACCGTCACCCGTTCGCGCTGGTAATGTGAATGTACCTTCTTTTACTACGCAATCATCCAGTCCGCTTGGTTCTGCGTCCGGGTCTGGATCCCGAACCGGAGATGATTCATCTCATCCTCAGAGTCCAAGCACGCCTACTCCCATGGGGTTAGGTCAAGGAACAGATTTGGGGACTGGCACAGATACGGGGACGAAAAGACTTACTGCGACATCGACTCCCTTTCAACCACTTGATTTCGCAGCCTCAATCTCGGCTCCAACTTCAGAATACAATACATCCATGCCTACAAAGGACGGAACAGATACCCACAGCGATGTTGCACCCACCAAGACCGACACGGACGCAGAAACAGAACAGGAAGAAGAAGAAGCAGACCTTGGGCCTGACACAAAGACACCCACCCTCACACTATCCAAAGCAACACAGCTCCTCCAACTCTCCACCTCACCCACCATCGCCGAAGCCTCCTCCTTCCCCACACTCTCCATCTCCGTAGCGCTCTACTCACCCCTCGGTTCATTCCTCCCACCACTCCAGCCGCTGATCCTAACCAGCAGCACAACCCTGAAGAGTCTAGTCCTCAAACTACAAGAGCATTTACTGACGAACTTGAGACATTCCGGCTCGCTGGCGAAGTTGTTGGTGCAGAGTATACAGGTCCGGGTGTTTGATCTGGAGGGTATGGATGGCATGGAGAGATTGGGCTTTGGCTTGGACTCTAAGACGGGACGGAGTCTGACGCTGACGCTGCCGAGGATTGAGGGGAGGCTTTCTGGGGACGCGGGCGAGGGTGGGATGGTGGTGGGAAAGACGAAGTGGGTTGCTTGGGAGGCGACGGGTGGGGAGGGGGAGAGCGAGAGATTTTGGGGGACGCTGGTTAGGAAGTTGTTGGTTGATGTTTTGAGGAGGGGGGATAGGGAAGAGGGTGGGAAGGCGCCGATGTTGAAGGTTAGGACTGTGGTTAAGGTGGGTGAGGTTGTGGACGGAGGAGTGGTGATGGGTGAGAGGGTTGCAGGAGGCGGACATTTGTTTCGTGTTCCTGCTGGAGCGATATTACCGGCTAAGGGCATTATTGCAGAGAACATAATTACACCGAGAGGATCCCTTGCTGCGCAGGGTGGGAAACAGCCTGAGAAGAGAGGTGGAGGGGCAGAAATGAAGGACGATAACGGAAAAGCGAAGGAAAACAAAGCTAAGAAGGATAAGCGAGATACCAATTCCGATACGGACGACAAGGCTGAGGCAAGCACACGACGCCATCAACGAGGATCCTCCGATTCGGCAGATAACTTGTTCGCTTCAACTTCAGCTTTAGATTCATCTTTGCAACCTGCGCTCAGCCGAAAATTTCACAAAATTCACAAACCAACGAAAAGATCGCAAGCTCATCGTGAATCGCTCTACATGGCTCCCGCAGATGACAACGACAAGATAGCTTACGCTCATGACATCTTGCGACGAGCTAACCTTGCAGATAAAGCGAATAAGATGGAGGCAGAAATGCTGACGAAAATTGAGGCTGCGTCTGGCCCCAGCCAGATCGGCAAGAAGGGTGAGAAGGGTCATTATGAGAGATTGCTAGGGGGAAGCGCGTCGCAGCAAGTTTGGGTCCAAAAGGGAGGTTACCCTAAGAATGCTCCGTTCGATCCTAACAACAACTGGGGAGTGTTCGCATCTTGGGGTGAGAAGCCAACTGATCCTGATTATGAGAACAGAAAGGCTCTTCACGAGGCATTCCCACTCAGCAATATCCCGTTCAATGGTCCAACTTGTGAGCCTTGGAATCGACCGGGCAAGGAGATCGGTCCCAGCAGTGATGTTAGCGGGGCCGAACAGAAGAACCAGGGTCCGAAGAAGACGGTTCCGTTCGCTGTCCTCGACGCTGAGGAATTCAAGCAGCAATTGGTCGAGGAGAGTAACAAACCAGAGAACCTGCCACTCCACATCAAGCAATACTGGGAGGAGCAAGAGCGCATCAAGAGTATGGACGAGCTTGATGATGATATCTTCTTCCCCGCAGCCAACCCAGACGGTATCGAGAGAGAGCAAGCCAGCAAGGTTTTCGCAGCCAAGGAGTTCAAGAATCCCACCCGAAACAAGAATCTCGACATTATCTCCAAGTTGCAAGGTCCGATCCAGCGTCGCTCGGTCTCGAATAGCGCTTACTTGAACTCACTGATCGCTGACGGTCTCTCAAACCTGTACGACAACATGCCCACTACGGGTTCGTTCCAGCTTGGTCCAGGTACGACGTTGAACCACTCGCACGCCGCTGCCGACAACACCTTCAAGTCATCTCTTCAGGATATTCCCTCGTTCAGCGCGTTCGCCAAGCAGAATATCAAGTTGAGCTCCCCCGATGCCGGTTTCTACGAACTCTCGAAGGCCGTCATTACGCATACGCCTATAAAGGAGCCTGACTCGTTCATCTCGAACTTGCACGGCCCAGATACTCAAGCACACGAAGGTGAACCCAATCAACAAGCTTCGGGTGCTTCGTTTAGTGATTTCAACCCCATGGATTACGGATATGGAGAAACCCAGACTGCTGGTAGTTACAATGGTTTCAATGCCATGTCAAATGAGCAGCAAGGTGATGGTTACATCGTGATGGGAGGAAACATGATGGGCGGCGGTTTGATGAGTGAGAACATGACGGGTAGCAACAACACAATGGGAGGTAGTAACATGGGAAATAGCATGATGGGAAGCTTGATGGGCGGCAGTAATCAGACTCCGACCTCCTTTAATTCCTTCGGCACTGCTTCAGGCGGTCCAAGTGACTTGAGAGGTATTGTCACCCATGGCTATCTTGCAACACCCAACCTGCCCAATTCTGGGTGGACGTCGATGAATACTGGAGGGGCAACTTACAACAGTTTCGGTGGTCAATCCAACTCGTTCAATCCCACTCCTCGTACCACAGCCAATACTCCTCAAAACCGCGCAACCGGAAGTTTCCCTCAATACAGCCAGTCCAGTCTCCCAACACCCACTCCAGCGGGCCGTATGCAGAGCAGATTCTTCGAGCCGATGGACAATCCTCGACCAACTCATGGTAGTGAGCGTTCTGCATTCAACAACATGTCTGTCCCTCATAACACAACTCACCCTGCCGCAGGATCGTTCGTCAACCCAATGACAACCCCCACTAACCAGACCCATCCTGCTGCCGGATCGTATGTTCACGGATCAGTCCACTCCCGTACTCATGGCTTGCACGTTGGCTCTAATCCAACAGCAGCATCCAGAGCTCGCCGAACAGCCGCTATCCCAATTGTCGCTCCTCCTGGACATTCCAGCCTGCCGGGTTTCCAGCTTCCATCTCCTAGTCGTCAGGCTATCGGCTATGGTGTTGGCATTGGTTCCTCAGCTCCGTTGGGACTTGGCACCCCTGGCAACGTCAGAGGTATTTCCAGCCCGGACAAAAAGGCCAAAGATGAATTCAGTGCTGCTATCGCGAACGCTTTCAACGGTCCTAAAGGTAGTCCCGCAGGTGGCAGTAATGCTTAGATGGTCATTAGATGTCGCGGCATGATAGTTTGGATGCTTTACATGCATTACACATTGTTTCCTGTCTTTTTTTTTTCTTCTTCTTTCATTTCCCTCCTCTTACGGTCATGCATGTTTTTTTTCTGGCGGTGGTGCATATGCGTTGAAGATTTCCCTTGCAAGTTGGAACGTCTCGCTGTTCAGGCGCTGCCTGACCTGTTCTGTCAGCCAAACACACTTGGCTATTTTTCACTCTCGATGCAGGGGTGACAATTTCATGATTCATGACAGATAGATATCCATCCTGATGCATAAGGAAGGTGGTTTTGCCCGTTGCTTCTGTGTACCGCATCTTGAAAGAGGCTTCCTTTATGAATAAAGCGTTTCCGGGTAGCAAAAGGCCCTGAGAAGTGTCAGCGACTGCTGATACACGACCAATGAAATCCAATTTGTCAAATACCAAGTTTCGGCAGTTGTGATATGATGCTAATCTTATTATCTGTCGCGGCTAGACCCATATCTTTCTGTGCTTGTGACTTCGATTGACGCAGCTGTGAAAAATCGCTTTGGATCGGTGAACTTGTTGTTGAAGATACAAGTGCTGCTAGGGCAGTGTAGGTGACAGGTATGTTGTACAGGAGATAGTGCAATACTGGCATGCCCAGTACATACGAGGGCATATAAGAAAGAGCACTTCAAGCATATAACATGGGCCTTAGTGGGGTTTTCAATGTCAAAGCTCCACACTCAACCCAAAAGTCGGTAAGAAGCCCATACTGGAGTCAGACGCTTGTTCTGCTCTTAAAAACGGTGACACATACTGGAACGAGAGGCAAATTTGCGAGATGCATGCAAGGAAAAATCAAAAGCCCAATTTCATGCCTGGTCAGATCATGCAGATGAGCGCCATTCGCTGGATCTGCAAGTTGGTTGGAGCCGGTAAATTTGCAATTGGAGGCCACACTCGAAGATCATCCAGTGAGGGTAATTGAAGCTATCTCGGCCCAGCTCAGTGTGCCTGGCTAAGGCCAATACCGTGCTGACGGGTCAACTGGTGCAACATTGTTCGGCTTGTCGTAGAGAGAAGTGCAGTCGAACCGACAACCACAAGAACGATTCGGCTTCCAGTCCATATATCATTTCCGCACTGATTGGCCGCAATTGTGGGTAGTTCCCTGTCGATACAGTCAGTTGATACCAGCTGATCGTCATCAGGAAGATTCTTTGCAATTTGCGAACGAACGCAGGAGTTTTGACCCTGTCAGTGCGCTCGACGGTCATACCTGCCCACCCAATTATACATTCACCACCTGATATTGGTGTGTATTGCAGCATTGGGCAGGTCGTCACAGGCCATCGTATCTGCGCAGCGTCCCAGAATAGCAAAGCACCGGAGACGAACTTTGGTACCGACTTTCTGAGCCTGTAGATGGATGCAAGGAAGGGTGGACAATGCGATGCGAGGACCAGTCAGAGACCTGCTCCCTGTTACTGGAAAGCAGAATCATGGGTCAAAACGGGAATATCGCTCACATTCAACACTCCGGAGAAGTTGACCGATCCTTGTTGCCCTTAAAGACAACTTTTTTCTCGCGATCTCTTCTGCTCCATCCACTCCACTGTTGGCAGCCAATGGTCAATTACATTTCCAGCTCCGGAAGAACCAGGTCTGCAGGAACACAGCCGTGTCACGTCAAGAACGCATGGTAAGCCCGTGACGGTTGTGACAGGCTGGGCTGGGCTTGGTGGCTGTTTTCGAATCTCGATGGTGAGGAACAGCTGATCCGAGCACCATGGATAATTGTGACAGACATTGAGGAGAAGGGAAAAGAAAGTCAAGCATCCATCGGCCGATGACCTGGGGAGAGGGAATGATGGAATGAGGGGACAATGGGACAATGGGACAATGGGACGATGGGGATATGAGAAAAGTGTGGCAGATGAGAGAAACATCCGCAGGGTTAGAGAAGGGCGAGGGGCGACGGTGCCTTTGTTAGCGGGGCGTGGGGCGTGCTTTCCCAGCTGGCCCAGGTTTGCCGCAGCCGCCAACGGGATACCCTTGATACCCTTACTGTATGTACCCTGGAGCGGCGCCCATGCTCAGCGAAACATAGCCAGAGGCCCAGAGCCATAGCCAGAGCAGAGCAGAGCCATGATCCATCCAGCGTAGCCTGGATGAGGTAGGTAGGCTCGGTAGGGTAGGGTAGGAAGGTAAATCTACCGACAGTAGTTTGTTGGTAGGTATAAGTAAGCACGGAGCAGGCAAGGTAGCGTGAACCGTCAACGATCACTGGCTGACAGAACGCCTACCGCCCGGATGTTCGGTTTTTTTTGGCGCTCTCCTCATCCTGGTCTGGTCTGATGTGGTCTGGCTCAATCCACCTCACCTCAACTCAACAACCAACCTCTCCTCTTCTCTCCTCTCCTCTCCTCTCCTCTCCTCTCCTCTCCTCTCCTCTCCTCTCCTCTCCTCTCCTCTCCTCTCTCCTCATCGGCATCGGTATCGGCATCGTGAGCCCAACACCACACACATTGTGATGAAGCCACCATACGAGCAAGCTTCCTTTCGCACCCTGAGTCGTACAAAGTCCATGTCCTGTCAGAAAGCCCCACTGGCTTTTTTTTTGGTCGATATATGCACAGATGTGCTTTCCGACCCATGAGGTCCATGGGTCTGCCCTGCCTCTGTGACTCTGGCAAGCCGTGGCTGCTGATTTTCATGACTATCTCCCTGTTCCCCGGACTGACCGCCATCACACTGTTACTTTCTTAAACAAGCGCGATAGTAAAGGTCGAGCGCCAGCCGAAAAGAGACATTGGCATCTCCATATTTTCCATATTCCTTTTGATATCGGTCCTAGCTTTCCTTGCCTACCGCCGTTTCTCCACCATCATGCCGCCAGTAGTCGATGTGCGTTTGATAGTAAGTACCACCATTAACCAGCACAGCTGCAGGAACCAGATGTGATGTGATTCGGCCATGGCTTTGTTCACAATTCACAGACTGGAGCCGTTGTTGCCATGGCTCACTCTAGGGGCAAGAAGAAAAGCACACAAAGGTCGAGGGATGCCCCCCCACCACACCTCATAGTGATGCTGAGCATGAAGCTGTTGCCGTTCTGTTCCACCAAAAAGCACCTTCGAACGTGATTGTGCAACACGTCATAACAGAAATTCTTCCAGCTTACGGTAACAAAGGCAGCTGATAGGTGTCGGGACGAGCATTGGAGCGAGCGGCCAATTGAGCTGAGAGTTGTAAGCAGAATTCCAAGCATTTCAAAGCAGACACATCTCACTTAGACATTGTGAGAGAAGAACAGACCAAAAAATCTTTCTCTCAGAGTCAGACGTACATCTTGTCGGAAGGCTGCACTTCCACCTTTGCTAGGACACTGCGCTTGCTTCGTATTGGACGAAACGCCGAGACGGACCAGTGGACCCCACGGATATCCAACCACCTACAATAAACACGGCGCCATATTATCCAGTCAGGATCATTCGAACATTTCAGGTACGTGCATAGAGATCCTACTTTCACTTGTTCCATGCCTCCTACTCATTTCGGCCAAATATGGCCTCGCTTGGCATTGTTGTGTTCACTGCTTTCAGTCACCGTGTTCAGGAGTGAGTCAGTCGCAAGCGGGTTGTTTGTTTGTTTGTGTTGGTTTGGTGGGTGACGAGGCGAGATTTAAGCTCAGGGATGTTGGTTTGCACAGAAGCGACTGTAGAGGAAATGTAGACTTGGACTCTGGTTTTCTCTCCTAACTTAGCTATGGGAACAAGTGTACTCTCTAAATTCCCAAGTGTCCCTCACTACATGCTTCCTATGCAGATGAGAGATGCGCACCTTATTCTCGCTTCGCTTAGATTTCTCCGGATATGGTACCCTACGCCAATTAGTCTGGGACTACTCAGTCAATATGCTAATGTATCTAGAGCAGGCGATAATCTCAGACCACGCCCTAGAAATATAAATACCCCACGTCTCTCACTTTCGTACACCTCACCTCAATTGAATTCAACTCAATTCAATTCACCATACAGTATTCTTTTGGGATTTTGCGTCGCTGGCCTTGCCTTCCATTGCTCTGCGTTGTTCTGTCCTGCCCCTCCTGTCCTGGCTCCTTGCTGTGTTGTGTCCTTGACGGCATCAGCCTCTCCTTCTCTGCCTACCTACGTACCCTACAAGTGATTCAGGTGGTCTGGCCTGGCCGCGAGGTCGTGGTCGTCTTTTGTCGGCCGCCTCTCCACCTATAGGTACACCTTTGTCGCATAGTCGTACCTTCCACCTCAAATACAGACACTACGTGCCTATTCTAGGCAGGTCCCTACCTAGCTAGTCCCGTGGGAGAAAACTTCCACAGTCAGCCTCAACCCTCTCGACTTCTTCGCCTCTCAACTTTGCTGTCTGTCAATCTTGGAACCGCCTCCTCGATCTCAATCTCAATCCCAACTTCACCTCGGTCCTCGATAGACCCGCTGACCGTCGTTACTGTGACAGCTGCGCCTAGCTCGCCTTAGCTCTAGATCCGGTTGCCTCTGGGGACCTCAGCCATGATCACAGCAATGGCTCCAACAGCTCCGGATCAGGTATGAACACTCCTCGAATGTTTCCATTTCTTCTGCTTGTTACGACATAGCTGACTTTCCCACAGCTCTGGACCGCCGTCCGAGCCATTCATTATGGCTTCCCTGCCTTGGTATCGTTGTACTTCCTCGTCACGCTCGCCGCTACTGTCTGCACACTACAAACACGCCAACTCCGGGTCCAAGATCAGCCTGTTCGCCGCGATGTTATGCTTGGACTCATATTCGCAGTCGCCTTGACTTACGTACGTTACTTCATCTTCTACAGCCTACCGTTATCCGATTCAGCTGACAATCATGCGTAGTTACTAGAGACATTCACTACTGTTCTCGAAGCATTCTTCACTGGTAACTATCCAGCACAAGATCTGGTTGTAAGTCCTCAGAAGCCGTTACTGGCCATTCTCGCCATTCCCGGCCTTGGTCAGTAGACATTCCTGACAGTCTTACAGATTTACCTCATCGCTTCGACCATTTTCTTCGGCGTTCAGTGTCTTGCCTTGACTGATAGCAAGTTTCCGGTGTGGTATCCATATTTCGGAACGTGGTTCATCGGCATCGCCGTGGAACTTGTTCTGCTTGTTGTCCCCAATGTTTTTGATCCCCCAAAACACCCTTTCGATTTTGCCATTCTGGTGATCCAAATCTTCAGAACCAGCTTCTTCATCATCCTGCCGTCGCTATATTTTGGCTTGCGCAACGATAACAAGCTCTACGAAGACAGCGACGTCGAGCGTCAAGCCCTTCTGAAGAAGAAACTGGGCCAGAAGCCATCCAGCGAAGCATCTACCTTGAATGAAAATGGTTACGGCACGACTACGGATAACTCGCAGGATTCCGACACTGCCGACAATGCCAGTGATACTTCCGGAGACTCGTACCTTGCTGAGCAACGAAAGATGCAAGCAAGAATCGATAAGCGCTTGGAGCAAGATGGCAACTGGTTCGCATATGCCAAGGGGTTCACGGTTTGTTTGCATATGTTTCGATGACTTACATCTTGCTGATACTTTCTAGATCTTCTTTCCCTACGTCTGGCCTTACCACAACAGATTTCTACAGTTCAGAGCCGTGCTTGTTGGATTTTGTCTCTTAGCAACCAATGCTCTGAACGTATTGGTTCCCAATCAGATGGGTGTCATGATCGACAGCTTGACGAGTTATCACAATGGAGGTGAGAGGACGTGCTCTGCTCTAAGCAACAGCGCTAACTGATACAGATAAATCATCTAGCATATGGCTTCCGATCGCCATCTATGCTGCGCTCCGATTCGTCAGCGGTGGTGCCGGAATTGGTTGGCTCAAGACGTGGCTCTGGATGCCGCTCGAGCAGTATTCATACAATGCTTTGAGTACTGCAGCGCATGCACATTTGATGAGTCTCTCGTCTGATTTCCACGAGAACAAGAACAGCTCCGACCTGACCCAAGCTGTTCATGGAGGCAGAACGGTTACGGACTTACTTGATATTGTATGCTTCCAAGTCGTCCCGATGTTCATTGATCTTGCCATCGCCTTTGCATACCTCTGGTCATTGTTCGGTGCATATATGGGTCTCATTATGGTGTCAACTGTCGTGTCTTATCTCTACATCACTACGAAGTTGTATTCCCGGAGAGCTGGGATCCGCCGCGATTTCATCACGATTTTCAGGCGGGAATGGACGTTAGGGCAACAGTCACTTGATGGCTGGAGTACTGCGAGTGTTAGTCTTATCGATCTGAGCTCTGTTATCGGTGTTGCTGACAGCGTTAATAGCTTTTCAACATGATCCCATATGAACAAGAGAGATATTCTGGAGGTAAGCGATCTCCAATCCACGGGCATCCGTCTTGCTAATCCTCCGAAGCTGTAAAGGATCACATGAAGTCAAAAGGAGCTTACGAAATGTCTTCGCAAGCCATCATTGCCACACAGGCCTTGATTCTTACCCTCGGATTGCTGGGAGCTCTCGGGCTTGGGGTTTATCAAGTCGCTTATGAAGGGCAGTCAGTCGGAAAATTTACAACGCTATTGGTCTATTGGGGCCAACTACAAAGTAAGTTTCCCCAAACATTGTCTAGATTTACGTCTAACTAATTTTCAGGTCCTCTGACCTTCTTTAGTACTATGTATAAGCAGATTTCTTACAGCTTGATGGACGCTGAGCAGTTACTGGAGCTCTTCCGAACCAAACCATCAATAGTGGACGCGCCAGATGCAAAGCCACTGAAGCTTGGAGACGGGGTCGTGAAGTTCAACAATGTCTCGTTTGCTTACGATCAGCGCAAGCCTACTTTGGCCAATGTCAGTTTCAATGTACCTTCTGGAAAGACGGTTGCTCTGGTTGGTGAGACTGGCGGTGGAAAGTCTACGATCCTAAAACTCATCGACCGTTTCTACGAAGTTACCTCTGGATCTATCTCCATTGATGACCAAGATATTCGCCAGGTCACACTAGACAGGTAAGTCCGCTTATGCCCAGATTGGTCTCTTTCTAATACTCTGCAGTCTGCGAGAAAGAATCGGTGTTGTACCTCAAGAGCCAATGCTCTTCAATGACACGATCATGAATAATATTCGATACGCAAGATTGTCTGCCTCGGATCAGGAAGTTCATGAAGCTTGTAGAGCTGCTGTAATTCACGACAAAATCGAGTCATTCCCTGATGGTAAGCGAATTAACACTCTGCCTTCAACAGCCACTGACCAAATCAGGTTACAATTCCAAGGTCGGTGACCGCGGCGTCAAGTTGTCTGGAGGCGAAAAACAACGTGTTGCTATTGCTCGAGCCATCCTCAAGCGTCCTGATATAATTTTGCTTGACGAAGCGACCAGTGCTGTTGATACGGAAACAGAGCAATTGATCCAGGAGGGCTTCAAGACTCTTTGTCAAGGCCGGACTACAATCGTCGTTGCGTACGTAATGTCCACCTTCCGTTTCAGTAAATTTGCTGACTTTATATAGCCATCGTTTGTCAACCATCATGAAGGCTGATCACATTGTGGTCGTTATGAACGGCAAGGTTGTCGAGCAAGGATCTCATGACGAACTCATTCATACGAATGGCAAATATCATGACCTGTGGTCAAAGCAAATCTTTGTCAAGCCCATCAAAAAGAGCCGTTCAAGATCGCGAAGCCCTCAGAAGCGTGATGCGAGCATCATCAATGATCTGACACCAAGCAGGCAGAGGGTCGAACTCGTGAAGGCCATGAAGACAACTCGTCACGAAGAACCGAAGAAGGATGAGGTGAAGCCATCGGTTGACGGAGACAAGCCGGACACCGAGACGAAGATCGAGAAGAAGATTGAGGAGATTGGCCACAAACGTGAGGTAAGTGATTGATCAAATATCATCACCTCATCTAGCGAACCTCATCTGAACCCTGGTTCAAATAGCAAGTCTGCTACAATTTTATTCTGTATTGAGTGTCTCTTGCCGTTCATTTGTGGTCTCGACAGCGAAAGACCATTGCATCTTGCTCTGGGCAAAAGAATCGCCGTGATCTTGTTGCTGCATTTGACTGATTCCTTTTCCTTCGTATCGCTATATCATTGTCTTCTAACGATTCGAAGGGTTCGAAGTTGAAGCCAGATGCGCCGGAATTTGTTCCCGGTCAATCCGTATCATTGTCACTGCCAACGACTCCCATTTCTAAGGCAGAGGCGAAGGAAGCTGTCAAGGCACAAAAAAAGCAGGAGAAAGAAGAGAGAAAGATTGCAAGTTTGACGAAGAAAGCTGAGAAGAAGGCCGCCAAGGCTGCCGATAGACATGGAATGGGTAGGTCTTGCCAATGATTGCATCTTTGGGTTTCGCTGACGATCATAGATGGGAATGCTTCCATTGCGGACGAATCCCAATCTGCCGGTATCTCAAATGATATCGCAGAAGGTGAAATATCCCGAGTTGACAAACCCGGAGCAAAGCGCACCCGCTCCTCTATTCGTCGGCACCAAACCAAGAGCGAACCAGCAAATCGTCCAAATGATTCTCTCGATGGTCAGCAGGATTTGGACATGACTCCTGTCAGTTCAGGTGAAGGACAGCCATTGTTGCCAAATGCAGCAGCGGTATGTCACTTCACCACGAATCCTGCTTGATCTACTAACATTGGCCAGCAACGCCGTCGAGTTTCAGCCCCGAGTGATCCCCCTGCGCAGCAGGAGACTCGCAACACTCGACACCGTCGCAATCGGCATTGGAGATTGAAGAATCGCAATGCTGAGAAACTTGGTGCCGGGAGCGGATCAACGGCCTCCTCTTCAGGAACGTCAATGGATGATATTCCCGGTCCTCCACCTCCTCTTCCTTCTCCTGCTGCTGGTATTCCTCAGAAAAGCAGTGCTCCAAAAGTGAGCTTTGCGATGCCATAACTGGGATACCACCCTTTCCAGCGCCGTTGGTTCTTTCACTTCACGGGTTATCACTTTCGAAATGTAGCGTTTACGAGTTATCCTCCCAACGTCGCCAGTGCGTACATCAATCGCAATTCTCTGCATCAGTTTTATACCTTCATCTTCTACATAGTCAGCCTTGGTCCCATCCATCCGTCTGGGAGTGGCTTGTTCTGATTTGAGTGCCATCGCGCAAAATCACCGGGAGGGAATTATGTGACTTAGAACCAGTTATAGACTTCAGCAGGAGGTTATGGAGGTAAAATTATTGGCATGTTAACATGAATTCAGTGGCAGGCAAAACTGGGGATTTGGGTTTCGACTTGTTTAGGGTCGGTATCAGATATTTGGTATTCCTCTCACGGGGACATAATCAGTATTGAAGTTACCTTAGGTAGTCGGCGAAATTCGTGTTTGTATCTTATTTGTAGCAATTCCACCGCAGTGGAACCCATGGAGTGATTTGGGCAGACGTGGGTGACTACAGTGAACCTCCCCTTGTTGTTTCGTGATAGCCTACCTATATACCTTAAAGGAGAAGCCGGATCTGGTCCCACCGTGGGGACGGTCTCTTTGGAATGACAACCTTGCAAGCATCAAGAGATCCTAATCACTATCCAATGCGAAATTGCACCTCTCGCGATTCCATGGTGATAGGGGAGGGGCATTCGGAGTCACATGATCTCACACGCTAAACCACCCCACCAGCTTTCAGTCGAGCACCTTCCATCCCATCTCCTTCTTGACCCCGTTTCCTTGTGCACACCATCACAACAACTTCTCTCCACAAATACTTCGTTTCTTCTTACAGCAGATTGTTTGTTTAGAAGCACTCCCTCGCCCTCGATCCGCTACCCGATCAAAGCAGTCCTTATTCCCAACATGGCTACCACCAAGCAGCGCCTTGCGCTTTCGATAATCGACTTCCTCAGCACCTCTCTTACTGATGGGACCCTCACAGATGAAGACCGCGAGTCTGTTGAAGTCGCACAATCATGTATCGCCGAATCATTCAAGGTCGATCCCACAGACGCCACTCCCAAGGACTCCCAGACTCTCCTCCAAATCTACTCTGTCTATGAAAAATTAAAGTCCAAATCCCCCGCACCAGCAGCAGCAGCAGGACCATCAACTTCAGCCGCCCCAACTGAAGCACAAAAGAAGGAGGCCGAGTCGCTGAAGAGTCAAGGAAATGCCGCCATGGCCAAGAAGGACTACCCCACCGCCATCGACCTCTACAGCAAAGCCCTGGCAATTCTGCCAGGAAACCCCATTTTCCTCTCCAACCGCGCCGCCGCACACTCCGCATCCAAGGACCACGAGTCCGCCCGCGCAGACGCAGAGGCTGCCGTGGCCGCAGACCCCAAATACACCAAGGCATGGAGCAGACTAGGTCTTGCTAGATTCGCTCTTGGAGATGCAAAGGGTAGCATGGAGGCTTACGGCAAGGGCATTGAGTTTGAAGGTAATGGCGGAAGTGACGCCATGAAGAAGGGTTTTGAGACTGCCAAAAAGCGTGTTGCGGAGCTTGAGGCTGGAGATGACAGCGATGATGATGATGAGGTGGCTTCTCGTGGACCTCCAGGCGGTGCAGGTGCCGGTGCAGGCGGTATGCCAGACTTGAGTGCGCTCGCGGGCATGTTTGGTGGTGGAGCTGGAGGTGCTGGTGGTGGAATGCCGGATCTGAGTGCGATCATGAGTAACCCTATGTTCGCAAGCATGGCGCAGAATCTGATGAGCAACCCGGATATGATGGAGAATCTTATGAGCAACCCACGGATACGTGATATGGCGAGCCAATTTGGTGGTGCTGGTGGTGCAGGAGGCGCTGGCGGTGCGCAAGGTGGGAGAGGAGGTGGAGGCATGCCAGACTTGGCGAGCTTGATGCAGGATCCTTCGATTGCTGAGATGTGAGTTCATTACTGTCCTGCCTATTCCTTGACTTCAAAGATGTTTTTATGGTATTGGAGTAGAGTAGCTAACGATTTATAGGGCACGTAACATGATGGGTGGTGCAGGTGGAGCTGGACGTGGAGCTGGTGCTGGTCGAGGTGCTTAATGCAATCAGTCACTTCCATGACCGTTCTAAACCAATCTCGAGTCTGAGCTGCCTTCTTGAGTTTTAGCTTGTGCTTGAACTTGGGTTTTCTGCTTTATTTATTTGCATAGACAGACAGATCTGCAGGATACCATCCATATACTCATACATGCTTTCAGTTGATGTTGTTGTGGGCGAGGTGAGCTGAGATAAACATCAGATCAGACCGAGTCTTTTCATAGCGCTGGATAGAGCAAAAGCATTATTGATAATAATGGATTATGATCATGGTCCATATTCGCCTTCTTTGCAGTGTCTTTTATAATTAAAGTGTATTTTGGCATGTTGAGCTTTGCGATTCTTGTTGTGACTTGTTATCATGTACTTTTGGTGCTATTGCTTTGGGCTGGACTGGGCAACTTGCTCCGCTACTGTAGCCTAAATCGAACACCGTTTCCGAGATTTTATTGAGCATGATGATATTCACTGGCTTCCTCGAAATCAAGTGAGTAGATACCAGTCGTAAAGCTAGGGAAGGATACGCAACTTGGAAGTATATAAACCCTGCTGCTATTCTCATCACCAAGGATTTTCTGAATGAGGATCTCTCAAGTCCCAAACATAATTGAGCCGCAGATTCAAGAACCGCTCCGCTGTCGATAGAAGGAATGGATGGTGAGCTCCATACACTCTTGATGGGGTGTATGGGAGTAAGCGTTTTGTGATTTTCCTAGGAAGATAATTTTGGATGTTCTGCGTGGTGGGATACAGTGGTAGATGGGACGAGAAGAGACGAGAAAATGGGGGTTTAGGTTGGTGGTAGTTGGATTGTTGATAATTGACTTCCTTTGCTGAGTGGGGATGAATGGATATCTCTGAGTCGAGTGGTCAGGGACGGTGGTCTAAATTTGGAGTGTTGCAATATTGAAGGATCACTTTTGTTTTCGTGATTGGAAGTTTCCCTTACATGGTGAGGAGGGTAAGTTGAAGTTGCAGGAGCATGTGTGCTTTCTCATGCTTACCCCTACCAGTTGTTGATGTTCCTGTTGATGTTGGCGTCATTTCCTCCTCCCATTGCTAGGGATTTTAATATTATATATGCAGATTGACTTAAAGATATGTTTACTGGTGCATGTTGCTTGTTTAATTTTCTCACCCACCTGGTTCTGGTATGAAGTGAGGCTGTGGAGAGAGTTTGAATTGAGATGGGAAAGACAAGAGAAGTCTTCTAAGAGGGCCATTGGTGCAATGGTGATGATCAATGTGGTAAAGGTGCATTTATCTAAGTTCTGGGCTGGCAAAGACTTTGGTACCGTATGTCTATGTCAAAGCACACCAAGATAAACATATGGAGAGTTGGGAAGAAGTGTTGGCTCTGCTGAGGGTTCGTGAAGAATTTGTTCACATTTTTCTGATGGGTGTGGTCTTTCGGAGTATGGAATTGGTTTGGTACCTGACTGGATGGTGCAATACTTTGTTGAGAGGTGAGAAAAGGAGGGGCTGTGAAAGGTGGGTGATTCGACAGTAGAAATGTTCTTGACAACAAATTGAACTTCAACCAGCGACGTTTTGGAAGAGAAGTTCTAGTAGTTCTTCTCCAAGTCATTTACGCGTAGATTATTTTCTAGAATGGTGGTGAAAAGCAGCGAAAATGGCATCCCAACTTCCCTCCCATTCCGACGCCGTCTGAATCCTCTGCTTCGCTGGCCTTTCTCTCTACTTCCTGTCATAGATATATATACTTCCATCCTTTTCTTTATTGATTGAGTTTCGTTTCTAGGATAGGTCAGGTGAATATGGAAGAAACAAATGCCCGGCTAACATTCTTGAAAGAGGTCACAGCTTTGGTGAATGTTGCAGGCGAGTTGAGTGTAGTGAAAAATTCTGAGCAGTTCAGACGACAGAAGTGAATATATATTTGTTATTGACTTTAAAATATCTTGATTTATATACCTGCGACGCGCCGGGATCATCGCATCAATAGTTGTGTTTACATGGTCAGTTCTTTGCGTGGTTGTACTGCAAAAATCTCAGGAAATGTCAAGGTTGATTGAGCAGCGGTGCTAAATCCATTCGAGAAGGTCAGAAATCTCCTGAATATCGTGTAAAACATTTGAAGTATGCTCAGAGAGTGAAATGACAGTGATAGAATGCATGACAGCAAAGTTCCAAGTAAAGCAGAAGCAATGGGCATGGCTCTCGCTGAACAGACTGGTCATATGGAAATGTAAACAGAACGAGAAAGGGTATCGTATTACGTACAAATCACCATTAGATGGGTATTTCCTTGCGAATAGCGGTTGAATCAGCTTGATCAGAGGCCTTACTGCTCTTCGAAGTTCTCCTCTATTGCTAATCGCGAGCTTCCAAGGCACAGCATATATATACCAACAATTTGTCGCCTCCTAGTGGTCCATTTTAAACCAATTCGGGAAGACTGTCAATTCACGTTCTAGAGCTATTTTAGTAGGGAGACAGAACTAAATTAAGTTGGACTTGTATTCATTCTCAAGCTATGAGATCGAGTTTGGAGGATTTAGCAAGCTTCTGTGCCAGACTTTGGTTGCCAACGTTGCAATCCGGCAAGATTAGAGCACCACAGCATGCACCTGACAAATGCCGTCAGGTAAGTATCGAAGGCTTCACTATCGAGAAACCAATTTCTACTCATATGAGTTTCTGTGATGAGTAGATAAGTATTTCGATCAATACACTGATCAAACTTGTAGTAAATCTCGTAGCTTTCAAAATCTTGACAAGTGAAGCTATTTAGATGTACTTCGATTATCTTTCAGCCTTACTTTAAAACCCTAGGCATAGCTCTAATATGGCATCTGTTTATTAATTCTAGAGGAATGCGGTACAGACACGCTTGCGTTAGATGTTGCCGACCATCATATTCCAATCTAAGGTTCACTGTCAAGCTCTGTTAAAGCCCTATCAAGTTCTTTCCACCATCCACACTGCAACCAATGATCTCCTCATGTGAATTCAAGTCGTTCTCATCCAGCCATTCCACTCCTATCTTCTTCTAGAACGGAGCGGCCGCTCGACACCAAGCGCTTACTCTATGTCTCCAAACCACCTATGCTTCAAAGCCTTATCTGCCGTGAGTCTCTGTGCAGGATCAAATTTAGTTAGGCCCATAATGAGGTCCTTGAAGTCATCGTCAATCCCCGTCCACAAAGAGATCGGCTTTCGTGGATTGCTCTTGTTGAATCCATCGCGAAGTACCTCTAGAACTTGACACCATGGGCTATCGCCGAGGTACTTCATAAAAGCGTTCAATCCTTCCTCGTCTGCAAAATACGAGATCTGGCGCTCAAGAATCACGGCTAGAGGCTCTTCACCTTCCTCGAGGTCCCCTTCATCAACCGCGAAAATGACTTGCTTTGTCATAACATATATACACTATATAGAAATGAGTAAGAGAGATATTTCGGAACTCGAATAATTTAGAATGGATTACCGCGACCTACCACAATGCCAAAAGAGAAAATGTCGGACGGTTTGTTCACGCGGGCTTGTGTATGTGCTTCGGGACTGCGCCACATGGGGTTGCCAACTTGTATACCAACAATGTCACTGTCGGGATTTACACGAGTAGCATCCTCGAGGTCAGCGAGTTTGACTTGCTGGATAGATATTCCGCGATCATCTTTATTCCAATTAACGAGGATATTATTGGCTTTGATATCTACGACTCATTAATCGCCACGAATATGCGCAAGGTACCTCCTGACTTACCTGTGTGCACAATGTTTTGTTTGTGCAAAGCTGCAAGGCCGCGGAGCATATCTCGAAGAATCCTTTTGATAAGAACGACAGGTAAATCTTGCCTAGCAAGGTTCAACAGATGGTCAACGAAATATCTGTAAACAAACGTCGATCGTCCCAGAACGACGTCCTCGGAAAGTCGAAGATACTGATTGCCATCGAGGCTCCGGTACATCCCTTGGATATGGTCGAACTGAGCCGGCGGTACATCCTTCAGTATGAATTTCTCGTTTGCGTCACTTGTTCAATGACAATCAGCAAGTGGTACCACGGCAGGACGTTTGAATGGACCGACCTGGCGAGACAGACGCGACAAGGGGGATTGCCTTTCTCTTGCAAAATTCGCTCGATCAGGTATTGCCGGCCAGATTCACCTACTCTCCTGGCAGTCTCTGATATCCCAGTCTGTGGACGCTCTCCACGTGGTATTGTGCTGACATAACGAGGAAGATTGACGATCACAGGAGAGGTATGAGACAGACGAAGAATTCCAGCTGCGCAAAGACAGGACCTCGAGATGTGAGGCCTCAAAGTCACGATTGAGCGCGACAAATTCATAGCCGCAAGCCAAGGTATGTATTTGCGTCTATGCAGGGATTCGCGCACGATTGGATGCAGAACCAGGAACTTCTGCGCACCATACCCCTCGTTTGGAGAAATGTTCCTGTTATCGACGCATAATAGTCGGTTCCCCTGTATGAGGCTGCGGGCACTCGCTTATAGTCGGTGAAAATAAGTGTCACGGGAAAGTAAGTGTCACGTAAGGATTTAGCGACCTTATTAAAATTTCGCTATAAACCCTACTAAAATCAGATCGTTAGATTAAATCTAAAGTAAGATATTTCTTAAATTTACTAAAGTATAATAAAATTAGTATTTCGCGTAATTAAGTTAATAGAGCTAGTATCTGACTTTATATTAGAACTCTTTATATAGACCTACTATATAAGGCTAGACTTAAGATATCTAATACTAACTCTTTTCTTTTTATATATATTTCTTATTTTAAATTTTATATCCTTACTTATAAGTCTTTAATTATACTCCTCTTTAAGCTATAGTATAATATAAAGGTATTTAAAGTAACTTTCATATGTTTTACTTATAGCTTTAAGTAGAGTAAAGTTCTTATTAAGCTCTTTATAAAGAATTAAATCTTCTACTTCTAGAAATATACTATCTACTTTATATTTCTCTAGCCTTTTCTTTCGTTCCTTATTCTCTTTTCTAGCTTAAACCCTAGTAATATAAAAAGCTTTAGTTAACTAATTAATTACTTATTAGAAAGCTTTCCGAGCTTTCTATAAAGTTTCCTTACGTTTTACTTTATTATATATTTATATCTTTTACTTTAAATCACTTATAGTTACTAAGGCGCCTTTCTTATAGATACTTTATTATAATATCCTCTTTTATTAATTATCTGATTTAAGTTTCTCTTAAAGTATTATATACTTAATAGTTATTAGATAAGCCTTTTAAAAGCTTATAGCTATATTTATTATAGTCTTTTAGAAGAACTCTTTAGAGGTATTAGAGAACTAAGTAAGGTCTTTTCTAATAAATAATTAGATAGCGGATATAGTTTACTATAGCTTATCTAGTTATAAAGGAAGTAATTTTAGAAGATCTAAGTCTTAATCTTTATTCTTTACCTTTTAAATTAATCTCCTTTTCCTATTATATAACTATATCTTTTATAAGCCGGCTTTTAAGGAGAGTAGCTATATTCTAGAGGTTTTAAAAGCGTTCTTAATTATATATTCTTTTATTATATCTTTCTTTATTTTAATAAGATCGTAGAAGAAAGAAGTAATAGTATATTTAAACTTAAGATTATATAAGGCTATCTGAATATATAAGTTATAGAAATACTTCTAAGGCTAGAAGATACTAATATTAAGAGGTTATAGAATATATATAAGATATAAAGGAAACTAAAATATCTTAATATAGTTTTTTACTAGCTTTAGTACGAATAAATTATATTAATAAGACTTATAGCTATTATAAAATAAAAGCTTCTATAGCTTATTTAAACTAGCGTAAGAGTACTGAATTAAGTAATCTACGTAGTCTATTATAATTCGATTATTAATATAGTTAGTATTAGAATAATTAATTTACTTATCTTTATTTAAGTTCTTATATACCTAGTAGTTATCTATTATCTTCTTTTTTAGCGTAATTATATATAGAGGAAGTGTCTTTTAGTTATTAGTATATATAATCTTAATAATTATAATAGATTTATAGTTTTTAGGACTAGTGATATAAAGCTCTTTTACTTTAATTAGAATAATAATACTCTCTTTAGTAGAATAGCTAACTTATACTCCTAATTTATCTATATTTAGTAGCTTTTTACTTAAATTAATTTTATATTCCTCTACTACTATTTAAAGCTCCTTAAACTAATCCTTTATATCTTTTTTAATATAATAATTAACTTAGGTATACGTAATTAGCTTTATATGAATTATATAGAGAAAGGGGTTCTTCTTTAGCTAAGCGTTAAACTAGTGTTTTAATAGAGAAAGTAGTAGAGGTATTATTTCTGTCTCTAATATTAGTAATAAATTATATAATAAGATATAGAGATTTATAGCTTATAAGTATATAATTCTATTTAAAACTATCTTATAAGTTATACTTAAGCTAGCCTCCTATTATTTATAATAGTATTATTAAATAGCCTCTTCTTACTATAGTAAGAGGATCTTATTATTTTTATTATATTTATTAAACCCTTTTTATTAGTTCCTTTACTTAGGCTTTTTTATATAATATATTAATTACTATAATAAGTCTTCCTTAATAAAATATATATATATAAAGAAGCTAAGTAGTTCCTTAGGATTATAATAGACTGATTACGATAGGCGAGTTATATAGGTAAGGCTGATATCGTAAGGCTATAAGGCTAGAGTTATATAGTGAACCTAGGACTAGCTTAGTTTACTAGTAGCTATATCCTCCTTACTTATTCTTAAGGCTCCTTAGGAACCTCTTCCTCTTACTATCTTTTCTACTTTATATTATAGCTACTAATAAACTTTTATTATATTATTATATTAGAAAAGATTAACTTTACTTATAAAGGTCTTAATATCTACTTTTACTAAATTCCTTAAGTACTTTTTAAGCGTAGTTAAGTTATATCTTTAGCCCTCTCTTTTCTACTTTACCTCTTATACTTTATTATTTCTTTAAGTACTTTCTAGGTATAACTAAGTTATATTTATAACTTAGGTACTACCTCTTACTTTTTACTTTTATACTTATATTTCCTTATAAGCAGTCTTAATCCTTTTTAGAAAGGCGATAGAATATAATATAGTATTTCTCTTACTATTAAACTTACTACTTTACTAATACTAAAGGAAAGAAATCCGCTTTTAACCTCTTCTCTTTTATATATTACCTCTTATAAATATAATAGTAGAAAGAAGAATAATATTATTCTCCTAATCTCTTATAATAATATTATATCTCCTAAGGAGAATAATTCTTAGGACTAATAGGACTATTCTTAGGAGGAATATACTACTCTTATATTAATAGTTAGAGTTATAAAGAGCTTTAAGGAACTTTAGAGACTAGTTAAGTACTAGAAGAAGTAAGATAAAAGCTTCTATAAGATACTAGAGATACTTAAGAACTTAACTTCTAAGTCTAAGAAGTCTAAGTTATTAAGTTCCTAATAATAAGCTTTTAACTTAGGAGATAGTAATAACTCTAATAATAGTAGATTATCCGGAGATAACTAAGATAATACTCCTTAGGTACTAGTAGAGCTTACTCTTACTTACTAAAGATACTATAAGAGACTCTTACCTGAATTATATATTAAAAAGTTCTCTAGTACCTCTAATAACTTAGAATAATATACTTAGTTCGCTTTTATAATAAGTAAGCTAGATATTAATACTAACTACTACTTAAGTAAGAAAGCCTGATAAGCTATAATATATAATTATACTAAGAGTAATACTTAGAGTTACTTACTCTCTTACTTCGAAGTTAGTACTATAGATTTTTTTATAAATACTAAGGAAATACTTAGCTATCTTAGTAGTATCTATAGTAACACCTTTAAGTAATAAGATACTAAGATAGCCTTAAATAAGCTCTAAATAGTAGCTAGTAAGTTATTTATTAAATACTACCTAAAGTTCTTAAAGCTTATTTAAGATACTTATATCCTATTTACTAGGAGCCTTATTACTCGCCTTTATAACTTCTTATACCTAGCTCTTAAGGATCAGGTAGTCTATAAGTTTACTTTTAATAGAAGTTTCTAGGACTTTATCTCTATAGTAGATTTCTTAGATAAGAAAGTATACTAAACTTAGGAATAATATTAGTAGATTATAGTAACTACTTAAGCCCTTACGCTAGTAGTTCGCCTCTTAACTTTTACTTTCCTAAAAAGAGGCCTAGTTACTTTTCTACTCTCTAATAGTATTCTTATTCTTACTACTTTAACTTTAGTAGTAGTTACTTTAAAGGCGATCCTCCTTCCTTCTAAAGTAGTTACGTGTTATAATTATAAGAAAATAAGCTATATTACTAAGAATTGCTTAAAGCTTTATATAATAATAGTTATAGAAGTTAAGGTACTAAAGAAGTACTTTAGTACTAGTCTCTTTTCTAATAAGGAGGTTAATAACTTAGAGGAAATTCCCTTAGACTTAGAAAACTCGGAACTTTAAAAGAAAACTCTTTCTTAAAGTAGATACTTAATCTTAAAGAGATTAATATACATTAGTTAATAAGTAGTAAAAGTTTTACTATCTCTTATATATTATTTTATAATAGTATTAGAATTATATTACTTATACTTTCTAACTCTAGAGTAGGTAGTTTCGCTTTTATTAATACTCGCTTTACTAAAGACCTTATAAGGAAATTCGGTATAAAACTTACCTCTTTATCTAACCTTATATAAGTGAAAGGCTATAATAGATAAGCTAATAATATCGCTTCTTACGTGATCCTTTTAAATATTCTAATCGACTAATATATTTAGAAGAAGATCTTATTTATTCTCTTAGATCTTAGGAATCACGAGATTATTTTAAGATAGACTTAGATAGCTTACTTTAATATTTAGTTAAATATAAAGGACTATTATCTTATTTAGCTATATAATAAGGATATTCCTATAGTCCTCCCTTATTTAATTCCTCTCTCCTAGGATACCTTATAACTATTAGACTTATTATAGATATAAGTAACTAACTAATAAGATATATTCTAATATTAAGTAGCTATAAATATAGAGGACGCTCTAAGACTCTTCTCTTACTAAATAATAGTTTAGATAATAAGGGATATAAGAGAATCCGCCCTTATAAATATACTATCTGCTAAATCTTAATACTTATCCCTTTCTTCTTAAAGATATTATATAACGAAGTAAGAGGACTAGAAGAAATATTATTAGTTAGAAAAGGAATAAGACTAATAATACTAGGAAAATTAGAGGACTATCTAAGAGCCCCTTACTTTAACTTATAATAGCTAAGTATAAGACTTAATTAGATAGATAGAAAAAGAACTATATAACCCTACTTTATATAAACTTCCTATTATAGTTCCGAAGGATATAGTATTCCCTTATTAGTACTTTACTAAGAAAAGGAAGACCCCTCTAAAGATAGATATCACTAAGATTAATACTATAGTATTCTATTATATCTTATAGCTCCTTAGATTAGAATTCTTTATAATAATACTAAATGAAATTAATAAGGTAATTAACTAAGTAGCTTAGAAGGCTAAGTTATAGAGTTCTTCTAAACCTAAGGAATTATATAAGGATATCTTAGATAAGAAGCTCTCTTACTAGTATAAAGAGTTTACTAGCGCTTTCTTAAAAATAACTATTAACTTTCTACTAGACCTTATCCCGGGCTTAGACTATAAGATTAAACTAGAAAAGGATATCAACTATAAGTATAGTCCCTTATACTAGTAGAGTAAAGTAGAGCTCTAAGTGATAAAGAAATACTTAGAGGAGAATCTAGATAAGGGCTTTATTATCCTAAGTTACGCCTTATTTACTTATCTGACTCTCTTTATAAAGAAGCTTAATAAGGGCTTATAATTTTATATTAATTACCGAAGATTAAATAAGATTACTTAGAAAGATAGGTATCCCTTATCTCTTATTAATAAGGTGTTTACTTAGTTAGGATAAGCTAAGATCTTTACTAAGATTAATATCTAAAGCGTATTTTACCGGATCCGAATAGACCTTATATCTAAGGAATATACTACTTTCTATACTTAATATAAGAGCTATAAGTATAAGGTAATACTATTTAGTCTAATAAATAGCTTAGCTATATTCCAGTAGTATATAAATAATATACTTTTTAACTACTTAGATAATTTCTGTACTATATACTTAGATAATATTATTATTTACTCGAACAACCCCTTGGAATATAAGGTATATATTAAGAAGGTCTTATAATGCTTATAATAATATAGGCTCCCTACTGATATTTAGAAGAGCGAATTCTATATTAAGAAGATTAAGTTCCTTAGCTTCTATATTATTACTAAAGGAATTAAGATTAACTCTAAGGCGATAGTATATATAAATAATTAGGAACCTCTTATAATAGTCCGGGGTATCTAGTTATTCCTAGGGTTCTATAACTTCTACTGGAAATTTATCCTTAACTATAGTAAAGTCACTAAACTACTAGTGGAACTTACTAAGGCCTTAGTCCTATTTAAGATAACGCCTACTTAGCTAGCTATATTCTAAGCTTTAAAAGAGGCTATTCTATCCTTTACTTATTTTAAGTATTATAATATATTATATAAAACGCGGATTAAGACTAATACCTTAGATAAGGTAATCTTAGGAGTATTATCGCAGAAGTATAGCGATAGTTAGTACTTAGTTATATTCCTATTAAAGATAATAAACCCTACTAAACTTAATTATAATATCTATAATAAGGAAATACTCGCTATTATACGTTCTCTTACTTACTAGAGAGCGGAGCTAGTATCGTAAATAAGATATTAATATTTCTAGGTATTCTTAAATTATAAAGCGTTAGAATACTTTATAACTACTAAGAAGCTTATAAGATAATAAGCTTATTAGTCGGAGATCCTAGTAGACTTCTACTTTACTATTATATACCGCCTAGGAAACTAGAATACTATAGTAGATACGCTATCGCGAAAGGAATAAGATATTAATAGGTAAATTAAGACGAAGGATAAATTATATACTTAGACCCTAATCTACCTAAGCTAGCTAGACTTATATATTCTAAAGGAACTAGAGAAGCTCCTAGATATATACTACTTAGCCCTAGTCGAGTTTAAGCTAAATAATAAAACTAATCTAGTTATAAAGCTTATCTATATTAATCGAATATATAAAGCTCTAATAGTTTAATAAGAAGAATTAAAGGAGCTCGATTTATAGTATACTCTTCGGGAAGATAGCTTACTCCTATTTAAAGGTTAACTATAAGTCCTGGATATAGATAATTTATATATATAACTTATTTAGTATATTTATAACTAAATCTCTATAGCTTATCCTAGGAAGTCTAAGATGTTTAGCTTACTTCGCACTAGGTACTACTAGCTTAGTATACTTAAGGATATAGCTAAGTTTATATTGAACTACTTAGCTTATAATCGTGTGAACTATTATTAAGATAAGATACTAAAGTACCTTTATCTCTTACTAATCCCTGACTGCTTATAGTAACACTTAACTATAGACTTTAAAAGTGTATTAAAAGATAAGTTTAGGTATAATTCTATACTTATTATAATAGATTATTTCTCTAAAGAAATAACGTTAATCTCTTATTTCTTTACTTATATAGCTCGCGACTTAGTATAATTATTTATCTCTAACTACTAGAAGTTTAATAGGCCCCTGGAAATAATAGTATTAGATAAAGGCTTATAGTTCGTCTTTTTCTTCTAGAATAAGTTTTACTATATCCTTAGTATTAAGGTTAAGCTCTTTATTACTTACTATACTTAGATAGATAGTTAGATAGAGATTATAAATTAATACCTGGACTAATATCTCCAGCTTTTTATTAACTACTACTAGGATAATTAGTCTAAACTCTTACTAATAATAGACTACGCTTAGCTAACTCTTTTATATAAGTCTCTAGGAATATCCTTATACTAGTTAAAGTACAAGTATAAGCTAAGGACTAGTTGAGATTAGGATAAGCCCTAGCTAGAGGTTAAATAAATAGTTACTAAGAAGCTAAATATCGCTAATATATAGGTATTTACCTATTATTACGAATAGGTCTAAAGAAAAGCCTAAGAGTTCTTTCGCGACTAATAGGAAAAGAAGTAATATAATATAAATAAGTTATACTAGGAAGTCAACTAAGAGGTAGGCGATTCTATATAAGTAATAATAAGAAACTAGAAGATATACTACTTAAAGAAGAAGCTAGATAATTAATTAGTAGGCATATTTAAGGTCTTTAGAAAAAAAAGCTACTTATTCTACTTAGATCTCCTAGCCTTAGTTAAGGTCTATCTTATATTCTCTGTAGATAAGCTTTAGTAGTATAATAATAACCTATTACTTAGATAAGTACTATAAGAATAAGAACTTATCTAAGTCGATATTAAATAAGAATAGAAAGTCTAGGATATCTTAAGGGTATACCTTAAATAAGATAGGACTCTATAGTACTAAGCTAAATAAAAGGGACTTAATCCTAACCCTGAATTCTATCTTATTAGAGACTTTATAACTTATTTATATAAACTTCAGGATTTTTATTAAGCTTATCTTATAGAACTAGGACCGCTTAAGCTACTCCCTGAATAGCTAATCACTTAGGAGGCAGAGAATAATAATATATATAATAGACTAGTAGATAATACTATTATATCTAAAGTAAATCGTAGGAAATTTTTTCATAGCTTAAGGATAAGCCTTCCTTAGAGAAGGGGGTAATATAATAGACTAATTATAATAGGCGAGTCACATAGGTAAGGCTAATATTATAAGGCTATAAGGCTAAAGTTATATAATAAACCTAGGACTAGCCTAGTTCACTAGCGGCTATATCCTCCCTACTTATTCTCGAGGCTCCTTAGGAACCTCTTCCTCTCGCTATCTTTTCTACTTTATATTATAGCTACTAATAAACCTTCGTTATGCCGTCACAAGGATACTAAAGAGCCTACTAGCACGTCTTATTAAAAGCTCTATTATAATTAGCTTTTATTACGTAGATTTTATAGAAGTTACTCTCTAAGTATACTATTTAATAATAAAAGTAAAGGAATTAATATAATTAAGTATAAGGAGTTATAGTCGCGATAGAAAAGACACGCGTTATAGTAGTAATTTTAGTAGAAGTTCATACTTCAGCTATCTTTTGTGTGACACTTACTTTCCCGTGACACTTGCTTTTACCGACTGTAAGTGAGTGCCCGTAGCCTCACATAGGGGAACCGACTATTATACCGTAGTCGTCATTACTCCAAGAGCAAAATTGAGTCTAAGCACAACATGCTCGGGCTAATTGAGGTTTGATTGGGTGAAAACTGCTTGCACAACATGTCTATATATACAGCTCTGTACCCTTGAATCAAGGAAGAGACAAAACTTCCCAAGGTTGCATCTCCTTTTCCAGAATCATTAATATACCAAATAAAGTCCTCATCCCTTACTAGACAATCAACATGTGTCAAGGTCAGTCCTCGGTTGGAAACGTCAGGTGAATCTCTGTGGACACGTCCGGCGGATTTCTCTGCAGCGAAAACGAAGGATGGGTCCGACCAGTTTGTAAAGTACTATCGGGGTTACTTTCACAAGTGCTAACAGTACTGAAGGCGTCCAAGTCGTTCTTTGGTTTTGTTAACTTATTTGAAGTACCGGCAATCTTCGACTTTCCAACTTGAAATCCAGACACTTGTTAATTCTGGCGGCTGTTCGTCTACCTCGTGGGCTGAGTGAGAGTATTCAGGTTGATTTTGGTGACGTAGTGGATCTGGGGAGAGTATGCAGTGTGGATTCATGTTTCAAGGACTGAAAATGTGCTGGGAGGGACTGGCGATGATACTTCATGAAGATGGTTATGGAGAAGGTTTAGAGTGGAGTGCGTCATTTGGTAGACGGATGGGACGAATCAATGGACAATTGCGAGACAGAGGCAGCTTTGCTTGGATTTGGATTTCATTTCCATAATCTTTGGTACTTCGATTCGAAGACCAGGGTATCTCCCACCACCACTATCACTAATCTCAAGCTGATAGACGGATAGTTAAATCATCGTTGTCAGCAATAAGCGATGAGTCTCAAGAGCTATCACCGCAGCGGTAGATAGAATAGAACTCGTTGTACAAACTCAGCATTGTCATTCGATTATCCCTTCGCAGCTCCAGCTTTGATCAGGATGATATCACCATCCTCCACCACGTAATCCTTTCCTTTCGTTTGGATCTTGCCCTTAGCTTTAACCTCTGCTTCGTCGCCCAATTCCTTGAGAACGGAGAAGTTGTAGACGACAGCCTGGATAAAGGTCTTTTCGAAGTCACCGTGAATGACACCAGCGGCTTGAGGTGCCTTGGTGCCATTCCGAATGGTCCATTGTCGGACTTCATCGGTACCGGTTGTGAAGAAACTGCCCAGGTTCAAGACCTTACGCATGACAGTGATGAGTTTGGGAAGAGCGGATTCAACACCAAGCTCCTTGAGCTCCTTCTTTGCATCTTCGCCTTCGGATCCGCCCTCAAATTGAGTGAGACGCTCCTCGAGACAAATGGAGATAGGTAGGATTGGGTCACCGGCAGCGTGTTCCTTGATCCATTCCATGACCTTTCCAAGATGCTTGTTCTTCTTTCGGATGTAGTCTTTCTCGCTCAGGTTGATGAGGTAGACAACAGGCTTGGCGGTGAGGAGGAAAAGAGGGTTGATGTACTCGATCTATGTATAGGGTCAGCGTCTGGTGTGGGAAGCGTTTCCATAACAGTGTAAGAACAAGTAACTAAATCAGAACGTGTTTCATATCTCAGTGTGCTCTCTACGTTTTACGTGAGGCATTCGACGAGCTGGGATTATCAGGCCTCATGGCCTTTTGTCATCATGATAGTGGGTAAAGGGAAAACTGAAGGATGAAAAATTTTCACATACCTCTTTTGCAGTCCAGTCGCCCTTTCGGACATCACCGCCACCTTGAAGAAGAGCCAGGACCTTCTCGATACAGGCTTCTTCCTCCTTCAGTTTCTTCATCTCAAGACTTTGACCACCTCTTCGTGTCAACTTCTTGGATGCCTCGAGAGCCTTTTCAGTGAACTCGATATCCTTGATCCGCAATTCCTCGCTGATGATGGTCAGATCACGGACTGGGTCGACATCTCCCTCAATGTGAATAATCTCAGCATCGTCGAAGCATCGTACGACTTGGAAGATAGCATCGACGGCACGAATATGTGACAAGAAGGCATTTCCAAGACCAGCGCCGGTGGAGGCACCTCGAGTCAACCCAGCAATATCGTAGATGGTGAGATGTGCGGGAACTCTTGACTTGGGGTTGTATTTTTCGCAAAGCCAGTCGTAGCGCTCGTCGGGGACAATGACACGAGATTCCTCAGGGTCAATGGTTGCGAATGGAAAATTCTGGTATTGGTCAGAAGGGAGCGGTGTGTAGAGAGTGGATATCGGTACTTACGGCGGGGTTACCAAGGTGGCATTTGGTGATAGCTTGAAAGAGAGTCGACTTGCCCACATTTGCAAGCCCGACCTGCAGAAATTGTCAGCTGCATTGATCGAGAGCTATGGCGGTAGCAGAGGGGGAATGGAGCTGCATACAATTCCACTCTTCAAATTGTTGCCCGGCCTGCCCAGCAGGAGCTTCTCCTCCTTGACGGCCTTCTTGGGACCCATTTTCTTCCTTACGGCGAAGAAACGTTTTTGTGTGGTTGTTGTGGGTGTAGAGGAACCAGGAGAGGTGAGTAAGACCGTGCAGCTAAGCAGGCTCTGGTGTTGATATTGGGTCGCAGTTCTTGCCGCGGACCGTTGTAAAGAGAGGGTGAAAGAAGAGAAAAGACGCGGGGCAGTGAAGGACGACGTCGTGAAGAATGAGGGGTGGGCTAGGGAAGGCAAGGTAAGGTAAGGTAAGGTACTTCAGCCTCGTTGAGTGCAGAGTGGGAGAGATGGATAAACCAAAACCACCTCTCTGCTCTCCTGCGCGAGTGTTGTGCGACGAATGAGAATTCGGGCTTCTGCCCTGACGAGCGAACGAGAGGGACTCAAAGGGAAAAGCTCTGCGAATGAGAAGAGAATTTTTATGGTAGGAAACAGTGGGGGCCTCGCTACATTCACGGCCCGTCTTTATGCCCGGACGCGAGCCCTCACGGCTCCAGTTCGGCTCTGGCCCGGGGCTGATATCATACTTGCGCGCTCACTGACGAGGTTCACCTTGGCGATAGCATGGACTTCCACCTCGTTTTACGTGTGGCATTCTATCTTCGCGCTTTCAGACGCCGATTGCAGAGCAACTTGGAAGAGAAAACTTTCCAATAGTCTTCCAATCAAAGCACAATGGCTCCAAGTAAGAACTCGAGGAAATCTAATCATCGCTCCACGCTCTCGCTACAGAAGACAGAGATAAAGATCAATGTCTACGACTTACTTCCAGTAAGTTACCCCTCCTTGGACATTGCGTCAAAACAATATTCCCATGTTCAAATCAGCTTCAGCTTCATCATTTAGTCATTTAATGGGAAGCAAGCTTTGAGTTCCATCATCACTGGGACCGAGTCTCATGAGGATCGTGCTAACTTAACCAGCCTGGGAAATTAGCTTCCATATTATGGACAATCGGCTCTTCACTCCTCCACTCCGGCGTCGTTATAAACAACAGAGAATATGCGTATGGAGGACACGATAGAAGAGGACTGACTGGCGTCTATTACACCCCGCCTCGAGCTGTGCCGCCTGGAGGGACATTCCAATGTGAGATCCTCCACGGCTTCACAGTCCAGCCACAAAATGAAATAGACGCAATCATAAAAGAAGCTTCCGACGTCTTTCAGGGCACATCCTACAACCTCCTCACTCGAAATTGCAACCATTTCACGGCCTACCTCTGCGAGAAACTTACTGGGCGAGCTGGGCCAAGCTGGTTGAATAGAGCTGCTAGTATTGGCGTTGCGCTGCCTTGTGTGGTTCCGAAGGAGTGGATTGCTCCTCCAGATTTCGAAACTGCGGATGGAGAGCTAATGGATGACGAGGAACGACATGAAAGTCATGAGAGGTCGGGGATGCTGAGGGACATGGATACGAGTCTGCAGAGACGGAGCGTGGATTTCACAGAGGATGACGAATGGGATAGTGAGGAAGAGAGAAGACAGGGTGGGAGTGGGAAGGGGAAAGGCAAGGTCAGAGATACGTCCGGAAGGGTTGTACCTCCTGCCGAGAGAGCTCCAACCAAGAAGACTAGGGCGGCAAACTTGTCATAATCTGGCATTTGGTGCACAGGCAAGTAATTCGTTTCCCCGGCGTTCAGGACGGATGATACCAGCCAGATTCTATTTTATGTTACAAGTTTTCTACAACATCCCATGCATATAGTGTACACTTATCGATCCAACCCAAAGGTCCATCTAACCCAGACGTCTTGGTTTCTTACTCCTCGTTCCACCAAACTTCAGTCTTGTAGCGTCCGATACCTTCACCACCTTCCCTCTCAGATATCTGCCCTCCGTACCCAACAATGCCTTCGTAACAGCCTCACGTCCAGCTCCAAACCCTCTGAGGAAGACTTCTATCTCCTTAATCCAAGAGTTCAGTCCAGATTCTTGCATCCGGCTCATGACGTACGACGCCAATTGGAACGCAGAATCGTAATGCTTCCTCCCCGACTTCCTGAACCCTAAATTCCCAGCTGACAAAGACAGAGCCACGGTCCTGTTATCCCCCTTCTCAGGATATCTCTTCCCTGTCGAAGGATGGTACCAATTCGGCGGCCTCACAAGAGTGATGTGCACATTATGTCTGGTAGCGTAGATATGCAACTGCCACGCAGTGTCGACATGCTCCCCTTCTCTCGCCATCAAGTTTCCACTTCCATCAGAGGAGAAGTTCGAGTCGGCAAACCTCATCGTCCGCCTCGCTGTGTCGTTTGCTCGCTGGCCTTTGTTCTCATCGATCAGCTTGCTGAACATGTCGGCAAGACCAGTTAGGTCGGAAGTAGCTGCTTTTGGGTGGATAGAGGGCGAGGCAGCGCGTGGGGCTACGGCAGGTTTTCTAATGGCGCCGAAGGATGGGAAGGCTCTTTGGGCTGGAGCTGGTTTGGGAGGATCTCCTTCTGCCTTTCTGGAGGTGGTTGTCGAGAGTTGACGGAGACATTGTGAGTTGATCCGAGGTGCCGGTGATGCTTCGAGAAATACATGTAGAGGCGATTGGGCCAGCAGGCGCCTCGAGGCTATTCGACTCATGGCTGCGTGTTGTGCAGTGAAGCTCTGAATATCACGATGCACTGTTGACGAGGTTCTTGAAGAAAGTTGATGCCAAGGCGGATAATTCCGCGACCCTGGAGAGACGAGAATCTGTCGGCGAAAATGTTTAGAACGCCGCTGTCGCTTGCTCTCATCTGATTTCTTTGCATGCGACCAAATCAAACTTCTGTCTTGCCTCAGCCACTCTTCGTCCTCTCCTTCTTGACAGTTTGATTCGACTTGAAATCTAATCTTGAAACATCCTGCGATTGTTTTTCTTGTCAGTCAATTCTTTGAAGCAAGCACACTTGGTCGACATGAACAGTCTTCGACACACAGCGACAAGGACGCCTTCCAATGTCCAGTTCCTTTTAGTAGCAAGGCCTGCTGCCCATGCGGCAGTATACAGACGACTACTGCAGCAGTCCCAGAATTCGAGTTTAAGCTCCTTGTCATCTAATTCGAGATCCGCAACGCCCTTACAACCATCGCCTCTACGGTCAAGATTCCTGCCAGACGAGTTAGCAGGGCCGGGGCTTGTATCCTCTAGAAGTTTCCACCAGAGCTCAAGGTTAAGAAAGGAGGAGAAGCGAGCAGAGGAGGCCTCGAAAGGAGAATCTACTGAAGGAGATTCTGCAAAGAAGGCTTCGCCTGAGGAGGCGGAATCTGCTTCTGGTGAGAAGGACAAGAAGGAGGGAGAAGGTGAAGGCGAGGAGGGCAAGAAGGAGGAGAAGGAGAAGGAAGCTCCTCCACCACCTCCACCGCACGGAGACAAATCGCCATGGCAAGTCTTTACCGAGACGCTGCAGACAGAGTTCAAGGCGTCGAAAGAGTGGAATGAATCTACGAAGGCTTTGGCTGCTGGAGCTCAACAATTTACTGAGAATGAGTCTGTAAGACGAGCTCGCGAGGCATACGAATCTACTACTGGGGCTGTTTCATCAACTACTGCCAAGGTGTTGAAGGGTACTGCTGGAGCTGTTGGAAAGGGAGCTGCATGGACTTGGGAGACACCTGTTGTTAAGGGCGTGCGAACTACCGTCAACGCCACCGCGAGTGTGATTGAGAAGGGAACCCGACCAATTCGAGAGACTGAGGCATACAAGAATGTCAAGAATGTCATCGATGATGGAAGCAGTTCCAGATATGGTGGATGGGTGGAGAAAGAAGAGCGGAGAAAGAAGAGAGAATTGCGGGAGGCACAAGAGGCTGCAAAGCTCGGTATGCACGGCAAACGGGTTGAAGTCGCCCAAGAGGACCCAGAGTGAGTATATATTGAAATTCCTTTATGTCTACCATTACTGACCAGAACAGCGCCGGCACAAACGTCACTCTGCACAAAGACGCCGCATGGAAAGAATCATGGCGAGATTTCCGCGACTCGAACCGAGTCCTACAGGGCCTCTTCTCCATGAAATCTGTGTACAATGAATCCGAAAACCCCCTCATCTCCACCGCACGCAGCATATCCGACCGAGTAGCTGGCTTCTTCGCCGAAAACGAGACAGCTATGGTCATCAAAAAATTCAGAGAAATGGACCCAGGCTTCCAAATGGAGCCTTTCCTGCGCGAAATGCGCGAGTATATCCTCCCTGAAGTCCTGGACGCTTACGTAAAGGGCGATACCGAGACATTGCGACTCTGGCTCTCAGCGGCTCAGTTCCAGGTCTATGACGCTCTGTCCAAGCAATACACCACCGCAGGCCTGAAGTCCGACGGACGAATTCTCGATATCCGGAACGTGGAGATCTTATCAGCGAGAATCCTTGAGCCAGGAGATATCCCCGTGTTCATCGTGACGTGCAGAACGCAGGAGGTGCATGTGTACAGAAACGCGAAGACGAATGATCTCGCTGCGGGCATGGAGGATAAGGTTCAGCTTGTTACTTACGCCATTGGTGTCACGCGGGTTCCGGAGGATGTCAATAACCCTGAGACGAGAGGGTGGCGCTTGATCGAGTTGCAGAAGAGTGGCAGGGATTATATATAATCCTTGGACTTGGACTCGTTTCTGTTTCGTTCTGGTTCCTGGATTTCATGCATATCACCACTTCTCCTTTCCCACATGAGGTTAGGTGACTCTTGGGTAGTGGCTGTCGTATCAAGGGTACTTTCCGTTCCGCATGCATAGCGATGAAGAGGAGAAAAGAAAAGCTGTCTTGGTGCTGGGAAGCGTGATGGAAAGTTATCGATCGCTTGCTCGGCTAGGCTTGTATGTGTAGTGTATGTTGTGGTTGTGTTTTCTATACGGCGCATGGAGTTCGAACGGTTGCACCACGGAGCCTTTATGGGGCTCTAGAGATGGATTGGTCTGATCTGACCGATTGTTTTGGTCGTTGGTCTGATTGTATAATAAAAATTTCCCCTTCACGCCACTCTGCGATGAAAATGAGACGAGAGAGATATGAGAGGGGAGGAGAGAGACATAGCCAGGACTTGAAAGGATGAGTGGAGGAGAGGATAGGCAGGATGGGATGGGTGGGGAGGAAGCTTCTTCTTCTGTCTGGGTAACTAGAAGGAACAAGGTGAAGCTTGTAATATTAAGTGTATAAATCAACGGCCTCCCGGCTGGTGTTCAAAATTCTCTTTGTTTTTTGCGAGTCTTGTCTTCATGTCGCTGCTTCTGTGGTGTCTATACTTCCCCTGTCCTTTTATTCCTTTTCTTAGTGGTGTTGATTTCACTGAATGCTCGTCTTCCATTGACATTGTTGATTTAGCTAGGCGGAACTTCTTGAGTGATCTTTGATTTATGTGTTACGAGCACGGTGAAGCTTATGTCCTAAAGCCGTGGAAAGTTACTCCGTGTGTTTCTAGTCTTCTCCCTCTTTCTATATCTCGTGTCGGAGCCGTTCAGTTTTGCGTATAGGTCAGGTGGCTGTTTCGGCTGCTTTGGATATTATGCTATTTACTAGAACAGAGCTGTTGTCTCTGAATCTACGGCGGAGACGATATCTTCGATGTATTACTGCTTTCATCTGCGGAAATCAACAAGCAATGCCCATGTGAGGTGTCTGGCTCCGAACGCAGATGAGGTGGGGTAACTGCTAAGAAACAGTCCGAGTCATAGTTATTATGCTAGAGGCAAACTCGTGACTTGGGTAGCTTTAGTCTCATCTACTCACAAATGTCGTAACTTGCCGCTTGCCACACAGGAGAAAGTATAATCTTGGGATTGGAGACCACTAGCCTCCGGCAAAGCTGCTGGAGGACCCACGATTATCTGGTAAGCTGGCCTCACAAGTTGTGACCAGCTCCTTGCCTCGCTTGCCAATGTTTTCAACGTTGAAATAAACTCTCGCGAATCGCCAGGAGTCCGGTTAACGGTTGGTAGCTCCAGGATCTTGAATATCGGACTGGAAGGGAATGGGTCTGTGTGGTCTGCAAACTTTCTGCTTGCCGTTTCAATTCTCAGCGGGGAAAGTATAACCTGAGCTCTGCGGTGCCGTGGATGCGCTTTGGGCGTGTATTTGAACAAGTCATGCTCATCATGATATTTTATGAGATGCTTGAAACTTGGGATCTTTCTTAATGGCGAGAAATCTTAATTCAGTCCCGATAGATTACCTTCAATCCACTTCCTTTCTTTGAGCAGATTTGCCACCTATTGATTAATATACGACACCAAAAACAAAGCAGTTTCCAATCTTGAGCCCACGACTTGGGAATGATGGTTCTAAAAGCATGATGGGTGGATCTGGATCTGAAGGCCTTTCGTCGACGTTGTCCTCGACTTCAAGGGTATCAATTGAAGCGAAGCGTCCGACTACTTCCACAGCTTCAACGTCGCAGCCTCAGACTTCGAGAATAACACCAGCTCAATTAACTGGCAGCGTGTTTCTCATTTCTTCTAAAGGAAAGACATTGAATCTTCCCATTCCGGCGAAGTCTCCCCACGATCCGCTGAATTGGACCGCCCGAAAGAGACTGGTCTCGTTCCTTGTCCTGCTGGTCTTTGCAACGGTGCCACTGTTGACGATACTGGGGCCCAGTGTCATGTTCGAGGCGCTTGCAAAGGACCTTGGACCAGATGTAAGTATCAGGCCCTCTTTAACAAATTGCTATGTGAAGTTGGGGATGATGAAGTCTCCGAAGTTTTGCTAACGCTCTTACAGGCGACAGTTCCATTTGATATCACACTATTGCTTTCGGCCCCTTCGCTGTTCCAAGGCATGTCAGCTTTCCTCTGGATTCCGCTATCGCTGGCTGTGGGGAGGAGACCTTCACTGCTTCTTGCAGCCTTCGTACTGGTCGTTGCGACGATCTGGGCTGCTGTATCGACCACATTCTGGTCGCTTTTGGCGGCGCTTAGTCTCGTGGGGACGGTCCAAGGTGCCATGATGAGTCTCGTAAGTTCAAATACTCAAAGTTACTATGAACTGTGTGTAATAGATCTAGGTGCCAGTCATTGTCATCGACCTCACTTTCATCCACCAACGACCCCAAGCAATCGCCATGATCTGGTCGGTCGTAGGAACCGTAGGTCCTGCACTCTTATCACTGTACCATGCTGTCAACCCAAGATCACAATGGCGGCAATTTTACTATATAAGCATTATACTCAGCACCGTTTCCTTCATGCTCGTCTATTTCCTCTTCACTGAGACCTATTTTACTCGTCCGACCGTCGCCTTCGATGGACACATTATAGTACAGAACTCCACAGAAGACATAAAGATCTATAGTACATGGGAGTCTGTCCCCGGTGCTGTTGGGGCGCGCGACCTTCCCGACTTGCCTGGTCAAGGAGTATGGAGATGGTCAACAAAGGAGCTAAAGCTCTGGGGCAAGACGCCTGGTGGATGGAAGGCCATGTTTGCATGCTATCCTCAGATTCTTCTCTGTCTGCTCAACCCACTCTTGTTCTGGGTGACATTACTACAAGCTGCTATATTCGGAAGCATGGTATCCCTCGCGCAGACATATGCACACATCCTCCGCTCAGAACCCTACAATTTCCCTCCCCACGTCATCAACCTCGTCAATATAGCACGCGCGATCGGATCAGCGCTTGCGTGGCCTGCTGCTGGGTTGATGGTTGCGCATATTATGAAGAAGTTGGCGATGAGTAATAGAGGTGTGAGGGATGCGGAGCATTATCTCTCTGCGTTTGTGCTACCAATTTTTACGGGTGCTGCCAGCGTGATTCTTTATGGTTTGACCGCACAGCACCAGTGGCATTGGATTTGGATATATGTGGCGACTGTGTTGAATGCTTTTAGTTTTGCGGCGATGGCAACGGCAAGTACGCTGGTAGGTGGTTGTTTACTTTTCCGATCCGTTTTCGCTTGTTGGATGGAAACACTTTGCGGAGCTACGATGGCCTGCTCATCTTCCCATTACCCTCGGTGATCAGAGAATATACTGCTGACAGTTCAACTTCCAGTGGATCACAGAGGCTTTCCCACGCTGGGCAGCGCCAGCGATGGTAGCGGTCAGTGGCGTCAGCTATATCGCCAGTTTTGGTATAAGTTGCAGTATTATGCCCTGGGTGGAATCCCAAGGTTTTTCCAATGCCAATATGGAGTTGGCATGTATCATTCTGGGTGTCGGCCTGATTGCTGTTCCGATTGCTTTCTGGGGGAAGAAACTGAGGCAGTACATTGATGGAAAGTGGGCGCTTAATGAGATGGGGGCATTGAGGCCACAGTAAAGATTGATAGATTGGTACCGACAATACCTTGGTGGGTTCAGCGAGGTCCTTTGGGTTGTTTTGAAGGTTGTCGCTAAACTACACATTTCCATCAAAATAAGCATCGAAGTACATTTGTATTTCCTTCATCTACATGATTTCATCTTGCTTGTCGCAATTTTACGCTGCTCCAGAATAGCCAGCCCACAACCCCGAGGTTAAATATTGATGGCAATAAATACAAATATGACAGCGGATTGCTTGGGCCAAGCCTAGTTTTAGAGTACGACGTTGGCGCGCCTGCTATCAAGGTCGTGTCTGAGCTGCAGTCAAGATATTCAATACCCATAGTGACAGCAGTGACTGCACCTAAAGCATCCTCTAAACTGTTCGACGAACCTGGAAACACACCTTTCCGAGTTTCGACGGGATCGCCCCCATGAAGCGAACGGGATGACGCGGCAAGATACATCAGAGTGTCGAAATACCCATCGTCGAAAGAGTTCTCCACGAGCAGAGGCCACGAAGCTCCAGCTGCTGTAGCAAGCATCCCAGGGTACTTAAACTGTTCTATTTCAATGTCCTCGTCCGAAATCTCATCCACCATCTTGCAAGTGTCATTCGAAGTTGCTGAGACTTGGTACCCGTAACCTGATCGGTGTACAGGCTGTGATTTATCTTGGGTATTGGTGCTTACTGGAGCTCTCAAATCATCAACACGTGAGTAATTCAACGACCGAAGACCCATAGCACTGGGGACATCAATGGTACAGGTTGCAGAGAACTCGCGGCCGTCCAAAGGGCTTAGATCCAGGGCATCCTTGAGCTGTTGTGCATAGCTACCGTCTTTGACAACCAGTCCGTTCCTTTCGAAGCCGAATATCTCATCAACTGCACCAATCAAAATGGTAGCGGTGCCAATGTCATGCTTCGCTGTGCATACACCCATGACAGTGGCTGCGTTGGTTGATGGCTGTACCCGCAGTGCATTACTGGTCACTGTGCAGTCGCCGTTGCTGACTGTGAGTGTCCGATTCGCATCTGATACTGTAACGGTTCCGCCTTGTTTACAGCTAACAGGATTTTTAGTCAAAACGGGCAGGCATCTCGACGCCCATCTGAACTCTGGCGTCCTCTGCGCGCCGAAGACATAATCCACCAGATCCGAGTCCCATGGCATACCAATGGCGCTCTGGGTGATAAGAGTATCCTCAAGAACATACGCAGCGTTGCTGGGAAGAATTTGTGCGATTCCTGTAGTCAGAAGGTCGATTGCAGGTCGAGGGCTACAATATGAACGAAGGTTGGTGGTGTTCTGGTCGAGACCAATTAATGTGCCATCTGGTAAGGTCCAGGAAAATAGCTGTCCTGCTGTTGATCGTCTGGCAAATTCATTCGTGCAGAAACCACCTGTGCTGGTGCATATGTGACCAGGAGTTCCAATGTCATTTGCTGTACAGAGTTAGTTCATGCCGTGAGCGAAATGTCTCCCAGATATTTGCCGAACTGAAGAGACTCAGTCGAGAGGGTCAACACACTTACTGGCTGTTGCTCGGGGTGTCAGCGCAACAACAACAACAGTGGTAGCCAGTCCGACGATCAAGAACGCAAGGAATACCGGCCAGGCTGTTATTTGCTCTCTCCACTCAGCGAGGCCAGTTAGAGCACGCATCTGCGATCGCCCTTTCTTGTCATTGCTTGATGTCGTCGGCTGAGAATGGGAGATGCGATTAAACCACGCTTTGCGGATGCTGCCTATCGTCAATGCAGTAACAATAGTAGCTAAGATAGTCGTTCCTGTGGTATATAGTAGGCGTGTTCTTTCGGTCCATTCAGACCAGTAAGGAAGAATGATGTCTACATTTATGACTGTAAGGACAAGGGCGATGACGGCAATTTGAAGAACGGCCGCTGTCGCTAATCCCCAGAAGTCAGAAATAGAATAGGTGACATCAAAAACCTGTCCTAGTCTTTCCGAAGTTACAGCATGGTAATCGACTTGAGAATCGTCTTTTGCCATATTTGCCGAAGTCAATCACATGGAGTTCCGTGGCATTTGAGAAGGTTGCCAGGCATGGGGCCAGAAATTTCGAGATTCAACAAGTTGCTTGTACATCACAGCAGGCGAGGGGCTGTCAAAGACTAAATTGAGTGGACGAAAGTCGAGGCTCATCGATGCTTCGGCCCCTCCGGGGTGGCTTTCTGAACCTCGATGTCTTATTCGCTTAGAAATCAATAAACCCTAAAGACGCCACAAGTTTCTCCAAAGCCTTTCCGAGCAGGAATGCGGCTAGTACAAGACCCTCTCGAGACCCTGAAAGCCCACACTTGCATCCTGGTGCATCGTGTGGCGTCCTATGACATTCCACTCCACATATCAGGTGCCTGCCTCATACTCACTCGCAAGGCTGTGTGCCACGACGTGGCTGTAGCTTGAGGCTGTCATTTCATTCTGTGATAGTAGAATGTTTTCTATTGGACGCCATTTAGAGACATCTCCAGCATTAGTTGCCGATTTAAGCTCCAGTTCGCGACGCCAAGCAAAGCTGAAGACTGACGCCCTCGAACGACGAATCCAGACCCGACCTCCAGACCATCCCAAGTCTCAGGGCACGGGTAGTTGAGGAGCCTCACTGTCTCAAGCCTTTGCCTTAAAGCTTATGCCAACGCAAGAAATCTCAGTTCACCCAAATTTCGTCACTCTGCTCTTGCTTTTCGGTTTAGCGAAGAAAACAAAGTAACCATGACTTCTTTTCACACCTCACGAAAATTTGCGCAAACAGCAAAAATTATCTATAGTTTTCTATACATCTTCTCAATCCTCGAATTTACCGTCGGTCAACTCACAGGTGCCTGTCAACGTCCCGTTCTCGGACAGTCATCCAACAGAATTCCAACCACTGGACAGGTCAATGTCAGCGTAATATTCATCGACTTCCCCGATTCGCCCACGAATGGGTCAGCAGAAGCTCTACTTGAGACTTTGCCATTTTCTCAAGTCACGAACTTCCTGAATGAAAGCTCGTTTGGACAACTAAACCTCAATATTACTGCATATGCCGACAAATTCTATCATATGCCTGGTGCAAGCACGTCCTACCGCTATGCTTTTCCATTGACCACGGAGGCCCATCTGGCATATGCTTCCGATGCTGTAGCTGCCGTGGGTACGAATATATCGTTTGACGACACACAGATTCTTTTCATAGTGCCTCCACCTGCCTCATCGATACCTTTTTCCACCACGGCTTTCGTTCCATTAGTTACGAAGAGTGGAAAAACGATTCCTAGATTCGTTACATTTGGCGCTGATGCCTTCACGAAGTCCACGAGATTTGATGCCATGACCGCAGCGCTGATTGGCTATGATCTTGGACTTCGGCCAGCATGCCCTCCTGCGGCAGGACAAGGGGCAGGCGACCCGAATCTGGGAGGATTTTCTCCGTTTTGTATTGCAACTCCTCTGGTACCAGATTTCCTGGCTCGGCAGAAGTGGACGCTTGGGTGGTTAGATGGCGAGACGCAAGTCACTTGCGTTGATCGTAACGGCAACAGCTCAGATACAGCGGTGAATAGCACTGTGACGATCGGTGCTGTGGAGGTCGTCGAAGACACGACAAAATCTCAAACCAAACTCGCGGTAATGGCTTTACCAGGCGGGTTGAGCTTGTATGCTGAAGCTCGGACATTGAAAGGACTGGATACAGGCTCCTGTCTTTCCGGTGCTGGGGCTGGTGGTGTTCTTCTCTATTACGGCCTGGCTACCAGCGATGCAACTATGACTGATACCATCTATGTCATCAATCCTCAGCAGGGTAGCGACACAGCAACAACCGGACCTGAGACTTGCGCCAATGGACTTCCTGGTTTCCTGGCACCTCTTGGGCTGGCTATCAACCAGGTCAACAATTTTACTATTCCCAATACGGGAGTTCGTGTCACTGTGCTTTCGCAGAATCAAGAAGAGGGTACTTTTGATGTTCGGTTCGAATCCCATGTACAGGATACTGCTAGTCCTACGACGACAACAGCGAGTTCGAGTACGAGCTCTGCGACATCAACTTCTACCGCTAAGTCGGAGGCGACGAGACTCCCGGGGGCTGGGAAAGTGTTGACTATTGTGGTGATTCCAGGGATCATTCATGTTGCAAATTCGCTATGGTAAATATGGTGTAATTGATTCAACCTGGTGATTTTTCATTGATTCGGTCTTCTATCATAATAAGCGCTATTATCCTCCATTGAGTGGAATACTTAATATGAACTCGATATTTGTCATATATTTCAAGTCAGCATGAAAGCTTCGACTCAAAGTCAACAAATAAATCTCGGTAAAGTATCCAAGAAAGTAACACGTGATACACTGTATTTATTCTGCCTGAGGAGGCTTACTACCAACAGACCTTCTCAATATATATCCTGGTTTTCCTACCAAATTCATATGATTGACGTTTCACTAGGCTCTATCTGGACGTCGTTAAGTGGTGTATCAATACGCACCTTAATTTAAGCGAGTTGTATCCCATTTGGATCCAACAGCCACATCTGAAGCGAATGATCTCATCATCCAAACCCTCAACTCAAGAAAAAAGCGCGGAGAAAATAGAAACCATGCGCATCCAGCTATTGGACCTTGTATTTCTCCCACTTCGAATAAGTTTCAGACAGTTGAGGATGAGGGAGAGTAGAACGAAGGTAAGCGAGCTAGCACAACTTGGCTTCGGGAAGTGTGAGATTGAGTGGAAGTTACAATTCATTTGTATGTAAGGGGTCTATCGAAGTGCGGGGATGTAAAGAACAGAGCTTCCAGCATCACTTCTTCAACATAGCTCCCTTCTCGGCTGGCATCACTGCTCCAGCTTCAGGAGTGTTTTTACTCTTGAAGTCGTCTGTCATCTTTTCGAACGTGACCCATTCCACTCCTTCGTGCTTATTAATGTGATCGATGATCCTATGCGACTTCTTTAGCATTGTAAAAATGTCTCCGTGAGGTTGACATACCTTTGGTGCATCTTGAGCACGTGTGGCCGTCCCGATACATCAGGATGGATCGTCATAGGAAAACAGAATTCGTCATAGTTCTCATAGAAGTAATCAAAGTGATCCATCCAGAGTTGCTCTACCACTTTAGTATCTACCCATCCATGCGAATTTGGCGAGTTCTTGATGAACATCATTGGAGGTAGATCATCGATGTACCACGAAGCGGGAATCTCGACCAGGCCCGTGGGTTTGCCCTTTACCAGCGGCTTCATCCATTCCTCAGCCTTCTTTGAATAGTCAATTTTCGTCCACGTGTCTCCGATTCGTAGCCAATACATCTGAGCATCATCATGGGACATGCTGTGATCGTATTCGATGCCATAGCTCAGGAGTAGCTCGGCGCCTTCTTTACTTGTTTCCCACCATGGTGCAACACTTCCCCTTGGCGGCTTTCCACAGAATTCAGAGAGCATACGATATGTCTTATCGAGGACATCTCTCTGTTGCTCGAGGGTCATATCGGCGGGATTTTCATGGGAGTATCCGTGAAGCCCAATCTCATGACCACCGTCCCGAATCAGAGCGCATTCTTCGGGGAAAGTATCTAGTGAATGACCTGGAATAAACCAGGTCGCTTTGAGTCCGTTCTTGTCGAATAGCTTCAGGAGACGGCGCACTCCAATGGTGCCTGCCCACATCCCTTGTGACCGTGTCAGTGGCATACTTGCAATCACCGAATTGAAAAGTACCTCGACTAATGTCACTGCTAGAATCTTCCCCTCCATATGAACCTAGCCATCCGGCCACAGCGTCAATATCAACCCCGTAGCCTACCAGAACTTTCTTAACCATTGTAGCTGCAAAACAGAGATAAGAGAAAGGAATTGTGAGGACTACGGGCTGAAATGCGAAATGTACACAGTGCTACTCGAGTAGAAGGAGGAGATTGCTGGCATCCGCTTGGATGAGGGTTAAGAGGAAAGATCAACTTCGTCAAGGAGGGGTAGAGCTATATTGACTAGTACATGACGGCCACTGCCGTGACTCTAGCGAGCATGGCATACCTAGGTGAGCAGCTCATCAGTAGTGGGGAGCTATCAAGGTCCAACAGTGGGGGACCAATTGTCTTAAAGATGAGGAAGAAAGGATATGCTCGAGGTGGTACAAGTACTTTAGAAGGACAGGAGCAGGAGTAGGAGAACCAACAAAGCGAGTTGAGGGCGATAACAGCTGTTGATGTCAGCGTCTGGAGATAAGACACCCCGATTCTTGGCACCAAACATCACATCACATGCTGGTGCACCCAATCCTGCCCCTGCCCTGCCCTGCCCTGCCCCTGCCCTGCCACGGCTGGCTGCCCAGGCCAGTCCAGCCCGAGCCAGTCCTCCTCCGCGAATAATAGGTGGAGATATCAACAGGAACGAGACGACGTACGAGTACGATTCAGGCCTCCAGCTTTAATTCTCAAGCTCCTCACGAACGAACGAACGAACGAACTACCAGCTCTCCAGCTGCGTCCCTCCATCTCCCTTCAGCATTATCAAAGCCGAAAGAAGAAGAACAAAGAGAACAAACAGCCCCCGAGCTGCACCTATCATTCGATACTATCCAGTATCCTGCATCAGGCCAGCTCCCTTCCCACCACTTGCGCGCATCAGATACACGGCTTGCGATATCAAGATCCCGGCTTCACCACCTTGCAGGACAGCACGCCCTGCAACTGTTCATGCGACGCGCGAATGTCGAATGAATGCAACCCTTAAACCCTTTCCTGAGTGCCTTCTTCAAGAGTGCTGTGCCCTCTCAGTGTACACCTGTCCACCACCATGTACGCTTCACGGAATCACCACGATGGCATTCTATCGTACAAGTAGCTGACCAGATCTCCAGATTCTGCTAGTACCAACAACTGAAGTCCTCCTCACCTCCCGCGATCGCGAGTCTGGAGTCCTATACGCAGACCTAGCCGGATCTGAGGAATTCCTTGGTAGCCATGTCTTGCGAATACCAGCCAACCATGCGACAGCGGGAGGGAAGGATGCGCCGAATATGCGAGAGAGTCGGGGCAAGGCGAAACAGTATACAACGATCAATGGCAGAACAGTGGTAGTGAAGGACGCCTATGTGTACAGCAATAAGGGTGTGTTTCTTGACCTTGCAAGCGGGCAATGGAAGCTGATATGGCCTTGTAGGATTTAAAACCCTCAACCAGGCACAACTCTTGACAGATACACTTTGGTACCCGGACTCATTGGAACCAAGGCAATGGCTCATATACTACATTTCGAGGCCCTTGCTAGGCATATACGAGGAGGTCAAAATTACACCTGCGATTATACCGAAGCAAGCTCCAACTAGCAGACCAACTCTGCCAATGCGGTCGCCCTCTCAAGCCGAATCTCCAACATCGCCAAGCAGTCTTCCCAAGAAGAAGGATATCAGATCTTTCAATGACTTACTGAATAATTTCCCCATGATTGCGAGACAGATGCAACCTGGGCTCGAACGGCTTTTCAAGGAATTCAACACCGTCTTCGATAAGCCTTTACCTCCCCCGCCATCTGCTTCGAATATACCAGATCCAGTGCCAGATGGGCCAATAGCTACGGCAATGAAGAAGGCGAGGTCCAATAGCACAAATTCCGCGCCAAGCTTCCGATCGAATGGACATGCGGACAGAAGGGCGATAAAGGACTTTTATGCTGAAGATGATGAGGATATTATGCGAGGGGCTTTGGAAACCGCAGTCACAGCTGCCATTGATCTGTTCCAAATGGTCGACAAGCAACAACTATCCCTGCTCGGAGCTACAACGGATCTCACGGGACCAGTCGTGGAGCGTCTGATCGAGAGATACGTAACCGAGCAAGTCCATGATACCGTGTTGTACCCCCGATTGTGTGCTATGAAGCGGCCAGAGGATCTTGAATTGGAGTCCAAAATCAGGCAAATGGAATTCGTAGACATTTCGCAAGTCGGCATACTGATTCAAGGCGGTCAAAGAGGGAAGCACGAACTGACGCTGAGACTGGGACGAGCTGTGGAGGAATTCCGGAAGCTTGGAGTCGCTGGGAGCCCTCAGCAAATGATGGATGTTCTTTTATTGACTCTGAAGACTGTTACTCAACTTGCCGATGTTCCAAATGTCGCTTTGAACGGTTCGGGTCCATCCTCCGAGAAGGTCAGCCCAGTCCTGACTATCAATGCGGATACCCTGGTATCGTTACTTCTGGTTGTGGTTATCAGAGCCCAGGTTCGGTATCTGCAAGCTCGTTTACTGTACATGCGACACTTCATCTTTATTGATGATGTTGAAAGTGGCGAGATGGGATATGCTCTCAGTACTTTTGAGGCCGTCCTTTCTTACCTTGCAAGAGACTCTGGCGGTCTCCGTAAAGCCAGCCGAAGGAATCACAAGCTGTGGCAGGCAACGAAGAAGGGGGATATCAAGGATATGATGACAATCATGGAGCCGGAAAAAGGCTTTTCTGACGATGAAAGCTCTAATGAGGCAATCATTGATGATACTATTGACGAAGATGCTCCTTGGACCTCTTCAGCTACTCACTCTAGGCGAAACTCTTCGCGGTCGGGCGAATCAGGGAGATTCTCTCAAGCGTCGACGTTGAACCACGTGTTTCCATTCCAGATCAAGCACGAAGACGAGGAAGAAGCTCGTCTCCCACCTCTCCGGAGACCCAAACAGGTTACAATGGATATGCGCAGCATGTCAAGTAGCTCCGAGATGTCATTTCGATCCCGAGCAACAACTATCGATTCTACAAGTAGTGGCATAGAAGGCGATACATCGATTGAAAGACTCACGCAGACGGAGGACTCGTTCGGAGAATCTGTCCCGATGATGGCTATCCAGAACGAAAGACCTGAGTCTCTCAAATACTTATTGTCATTGCGCAATTACTTTCCACTCGATATGATTCTGGACGATACAAATAATGAGGGCACCACTCTCCTCAGTGCAGCTGTTCAGCTTGGGCATACAGAGTTGATTGACATCATTCTCGGTTTCGTGTGTCAGGCTGAATCTGAAACGATTGTGGTGGAGTACCTTGCAAAGCAGGATATTAGGGGTCGGAGTGTTGCGCACTATTTATTCAATGCTCCAACATTGATTCCTCGTGTTGGACGACTCTTACCTTGGCGGCAGAAGGATAGAAATGGTCAGACTCCACTTTTCGCCCTCTGCCGTTCATATGACCACGCGAACTACAGGGCCATGGTAGAAGCTGGTCTGGGTGCTGCCACAGCTTCTCAAGGAGATGGACAGCAGCTGCATTTGGATGATCACGTTGACGCAAAAGGCAATACCCTCCTGCACATCGTCAATGATCCCCAAGTTGCTTTGCGAATCCTTCTGCACTGCGATTCAGACGTGAATGCCACCAACGACAAGAAGTTCACGTCGCTGATGGTTGCAAGCAAGTATGGGAGGTTAGACATGGTTCGAGTTCTGTTTGGAGACCCTCGAGTCGACCTTTTTGCTAAGGAGCTTCGTGGACTTACCGCTGTTGAGCTCGCGAAAGACGACGATGTCCGGAATCGCATCGATGATTTGATTCTCTTCTCTGGCCAGCCTGCTGCCGATGGAAGAATCACGGCCGTCGTCCGCTCTTTCTTCGTCGAAGATGCTACAATTCGTCTTGTCGTCAAGTCCGGTGCACCCTCTGTCAACCAAAGCTTCACAGTAACGACTTGTCGTCGCTCACTTGCTGACTTTGAGCATCTTGCAAAGCTACTTGCACTAGAGAATCCGGCGTCATGGCTACCTTCAATATCTGGAATGCGTTCGCCTTTCCAGCTTCCATCAAAACCATCAAGAGCTGTTCTTAGGGATATCCAGATTCGCCTTGATGGATTCTTGAAGATCCTGCTCGCCCACTCAACATTCTCAACACATGAGATGCTGTGGGAATTCTTTCTTGTTCCCGATATCCAAGCAGACATGATGGAGCAGCGCAGCAAGTTGAAAGCCGAGACAAGAATAGAGACAGTCAGAGAAGAATATGAGCCCGTGGAAGATGGACGAGATGTCGAGAGGTTTGTTGATCATGCCAGAGATATGGTTCGTAGTGTCAATTACTCCACTAAGAGCGTTGCACGACGAGCCAATATGGTGCGAGCTACCACCACTGGTAAGGCTCCCTATCCCCATGCAGTGCCATGCTAATATTATCAGATCTCCACAATGCATGGCATCTAGCCTCACGAGCAATTTCTACACTCGAAGGTCTACCCACGACTCACACATCAGCTTTGGCAGCTTATGTGCAATGTCTCGCACCTCCATCGACATCGCCTTATTCAGCATTTCACTCAACGATACTTTCTATACACAGCACAATCATCGCGATGTTATTATCACTCTCGCGTCCTACATCTCTCATATCCTCCATCAATTCTTCCCGCAAAGCCATAGAGCGCAATTACAACTCCTTATCACGGTCAACTCGATGGCCTCTTGGCCTACTGGATGAGACTCGTCAACGACTGAATGAGGAGAAAGAAGACAAGATGAGAAGAACAAAGGAGGAAGCAGATGAGCTCGGCAGAGAGCTCAGATACACACAGCAAGTTGTCGCAGGCGAGCTCGCAGGATGGCAAGATCTGCACGAGAAGATGGGTCGGAAAGCCATTCGCGACCTTGCAAAAGGAATGTTAATCAAAGAGCGAACAACACTGGAATGCATGAAGCGTGCAATGAGGAAGCTGAAAATCACCCCGGTTGTGATTTCCGCAACTCCTTCAATCATGAGTGCGGAGGTTGAGGTCAATGGGAGTAGTAATGCGGGTCCTTCCGGGTCACTGTGAATAGTAATTAACCTGAGGGGCTTGGTTGAGGTTGACGCTGTAATTGGATAGACATGTGAATGGCGTTTGGGACCTTCCTGCCTGGGTCACTGGATGGATATGATATGAGAGCGGCATTTTGATTCTTGAAGCGTGAAGCGTGCAATTCAATATTGTTTTGGTGGTGGCTCGCATCATCTTCATTGTGCTATGCCCCCGTGAAATATGGTAGAGCTCGAAGAAAACAGTCGCAAAGAGATGAATTTCATTGTCAAACTTGTACATCAAGCGTATATGTTTCACAGCCTGTCTTTGCGCCAGGGGGCTGAGCTCGCTTACATTGTTTACACCAGCGTGTGAGCACTTTAAGTGCCAGCAGATCAACAGCTTGAAGCTGTGCATTGCTTTTTTTATTTTTTTCTTTGGCTTCTTCTTCGTGTGATGATGCTGACTCCATACCTCGTATTTCCTCTCAGGAGCTTTTCCATCTCTCTCAATGATGGTACCTCAGACAATTACTAGTTTGACAGGCTCAAGTCTGTCAAAGAGCTTGTCAAGCTCCTTGGAGGCAATGATATCATCAAACTGATACAATGCATCGACAACCTCGAGTTGTTTCCCAGCGTCCCTTACCATAGTACCTGCGGTGACGTTCTTTGCATCATCTTCAATTTCCGTATCGTCTTCCGAATCTCCCGCCCGATTGGGATCTGGCCTGAGCTTGTTCTGCCTATTGCTGATAATCCTCTCTATATCCTTCCACATACTTTCCTTCAGGTCATGTGTCATCCAGTATCGCATCTTCAACGCAGGTGTATGCTTGAACACTATAGTCCCGATACGTCGGAATGTCTCTTCTGCACCATCGACATCTTGTAGTAGGAGACAAGAGAGGTCTCGGCTTGCGCTGCTGTCAAACCACTGCTGAAAAGCGACGAACAGGCACCAACAGTCAAGAATTGGCTCTTCGAGCTCGCTGTCAAGACTCAGGACACAAGCTTCCCCAAAGAACTCGTCCCAGGAAGGCCCAATCTCTCGCCAAGTTTCATAGTCGGTTTCATCGTCATCGTCCTCAAGTACTTTGACGTCAAAGTCTGGCGTTTCTGGATCTGGGAATAAGATCTGCAGACGTCTGAGAATCCCTTCAACCTCCAAAGCCCCGCTGTCAAGAGAGCCATATGGATCGTTGTTCTTAAGCGTGGTACTTACATTCAGGATTGTGGCAATTGGATGTTTTGTGGCGATATTGGATCGGTTTGCGAGCTTTACACCAGTACCAGATGATAACCATGACCATGAGGGGGCGATAAACTCTAATTCAGGCTCCTTGAATCGTGTGGTATTCCAAAGGAGACTGTGTGGTAGCGTTGATCGCCAGAGTCCCGCAATGTATGTATCCCCTGGAAGGACATTGGCGAAATCTTTCGCAAGGCCGGAAAGTACCATGGGCATGTCCGAAGGTTTTGTCAGATCCTTCTCTGAGAGGTTTTCACACACGTCGTTCCCTGAATTACAGGTGATTTAGCAATCGCTCGACTAAGAATTTCGCGGTCAAAGCCATAAAAAGCTTGCAAGCTGAGAAGAAATGTTATCAGACACTCACAAGTGGCGTAAGTCTCCTCGTCACCTTCCATCAAACCCTGTTGCAGCCTTCCAATTTGATATTTGTGATCCATGTTGAACAAGCCATTCTCGAAGGGTGCGCCACCAGGAAGCATCTCGCTTGCAAATGAAGTTCCCTTGGTACCGCAGCATTCCCAAACCAACTCTCCTTCTGTGAAATGTAGAACGCGCCTCGCAAGCTGTCGTTCTCGATGTATCCACGCCCGAGATAGAGATGTAGCTTGCGACATCCAGTCGAACATGTACGTGACATCTGGTAGAACCATCCACGTCTTGGAGATTTGCGGAGAGCTGATCTGAAGAGGTGTGATGTCAGTCTCATCACGTTCGGTAAAACAGCCTGCACGAGAATCTGCGCCAATATCTGCTGATGCGTTGAGTTGTGCGTTTTGGTAGATTTGAGACATCATGCCAGCTTCATGGAGCCAGTCCTCTTGAGAGTCTTGGATGATACACAGACAATCTATCCATAGCCAATTGACTGGCGGTTTGTTAGTGTGGATATCGTGGTCAGGAGTAAACTCGCCACTCACTTCCGAACCAGCCAGCTATTTCGATGGCATCTTGGAATGTCTGTGGAAGATCGGCTACCTTCAATCCAGTTTCCTGTCTCTCTTTCAGGTTACTTTTGACTAGAATCGGGTTTTCCCTGGCGCCCCATTCCCCCCAACAGTGACTCAGGGTCATCCATTCGCGGTCCTCTGCAAAAAGTTCTGGTGTGATATCTGAACAGACTAGCCGCAAGAGTGACTTCTGTTGCGCATGTCGGATGTCGAGAAGTCGAGTGGGGATATAGTTACTGTCTCTCTTGTTGCACTCGTGATGCTTCCCATCCTTGTTGTTTTTACATTGAGAAAGCCATGAATTGGCGATTGTTTGAGAGTTCGGGGAGCCAGTGCTAGTGAAATCCCTTAGACTCAGTTCTGACAGCTGAGGGATTCCATTAAGATCGTTGCCAGGTACAGGGTCGTAGTGACGAGGAAGAGAATCAACTGACCACGCTTCCATTCGATAGAAATGTGAGAAGTTCCAGTTGTCAACTGGTTTTGACGGATCAGTCATGACGAAATACAAAATCTCTTTTTGGTCCATAATCACTGCTTGAGACCAGCACAGCTGTGTGCGAAAGTCCTCGTAGTTCTGGGCATGCAAAGAGCGGCCAAACTTGAAGCTGATGTTCTTGAGCAGTGTCTGGCATAGCCAGCACTTGTCGATTGTGGCCCATGCGAGCAAGGAGAAAATGTTGAAGTGATGCACGACTGCATTGGGAAGAGCGAATTCATTCTGTTTTTCTTTTGGCTGATTTTGGTAGTGCTTTTGAGGCTCGGTGTTATTTATCAAACATCAGCCAAGGGCAGACCGACGACTTACCTCTAAGCGAGCCTCCTTGTATCGACAATAGTAGTTGAAGACATCACAGCAGGCCTGGCACATATGGTGGTCCGTATCCAGTTTGAAAGAGTTCCAGTCATACTCAGGTAACTGTGTGGCATTATTCAATGATAGAGTAAATACTCCTTCGGCGTTGATCGAATATTGTACACCTGTGTGAGCTGGAGGCCGCACTTCGTATGGGGCACGCCGGACTTGAAGATTGCCTTCCCTGGGCAACCGATAAGATTCACTGCGATTATCATAGGTCATGATATCGTAATCCAAGGGTATTCCACGCCGCTCCATCATCTCGGCACCTTCTCTTTCCATCTTCACGGCTAACGTGATCTCTCTTCTCGACATTCGGGGTGGCCGTCGGCCAGGGAGTAGGGTACCCATCTTAGGTGCTTGTCGGCTCACTGATGTGGATGAGAGCCTTTTCTTTCCAGATTCTCACAGACCTGAATGGTAAGGATTTATTATATCATCGTACAATAAGATGCCAGTCCAGGCAACACTGAACTGAAGCTGTCGATCAACCAGCCTAAAAGCTTACACTCGCTAATGCACTTGAAAGGCGAAGCGGGGCATTTTTAAGACTAGTAATAATACTTGTTTGAGCTTTCAATCTCGCCGGGTTGTCCATCTAAAAACCGTTCACTCCTCTATGAAGTACTTCTGTTTGCTTGGTCAGGCGAGGCTCAGTATAGTGAATTACGGCGAGAACGTGGCCATTGCACCTTCACAAAGTTTGCCGAGAAACGTATGCATTTTCAGAACGCCATTTCAAAATCCATCGGTCCATGAGAGAATGGTTGATGTAATATTTCTCGGAAACACCCACGCTTGATCTTACAAAAATGGTGCTGATAGAGCTACCGTAGTACCAGGTGCGATTTCATAGCCTTACGCAAGTAATGCAAGGTAGCAATAAACGCCTCCATATGCCCTAGACGCCGACCCAAGCCCCAAATTACCTGCCTCTGCATGCTCTGCTTACTTCTTTGGAAGTGGTGGGGGAGCCATGTCTCCCTTTCCTTTGCCCGTATCAATTTTCTTGTTTGGAGGCAAAGCAGGTGGCCCCATACTGCCACCTCCACCGACCTGTGTGAAGGTTCCACCTTTGAACCATCGATCTTCCTCGGCCTTCCGCTTGCGGCTCATCTCAGCTTGCATTTTAGGATCAACAAGCTCCAAGCCTTGGACGGGTGTGAAAGCCAAACTTGATGCCGTTCCAGAACCTGCACCAACAGTGGTTCCAACACCAGAAGCACGTAGACCCTTTCCACGAAGATCAATGCCGGAACCAGCACCTTGACCAAAGCCTCGCAAAGAGGATGCAGAGCCCCCAATTGGTGTGGCGCCTCCCCAACCCTTGTTCTTTGCGCTGAGTTTTGCTCTCGTGCGCTGATCAACTTGTAAGTTACGGATCCGACCATCATTCGCCTGACCAATCATGCCCATTCCTTTTGTACCTTCACCAGTGCCGTAACCGACCTCTTTCTCTTCTTTGCCGAATACCATTCTGTTCTGTGCCTTTCGCAGATCTGTCATCGCAGTTGCTTCCTTAGCCTTGCGAGCTCTACGACCACCACGCTTACGGGCTGGCTTGTCATCTGGTGCTGGCAGTGCTCGCTGGCCTTTATTTGGTGGTGGTTCGGTAAGCTTCTCTAGACGTTCTAAACAGGCGGCTTTCAATTCTTCTCCAGTAGAGCCATCCCGACTGTTGTGGACGCGATCCACCCTTGCGGCAAGAACTACTTTCGCGGAGACGATTCGCATGGCTTGGCGCTTGAGATCGTTTGGAATGCCTTTAATTATAGGAGAGTGGTAGAGGAAGCCTTGTTGACGGACACCAACATTGGTTGCGAAGCCTGTACCGGATTGTTTCTTGGATCCTAGGGGTGGGAGATTGCAGGCTGGTGTTTTGGCCAGACCTGTTAGGCCACCTGCGAAGTTAAGAAGTTGTGCCGCTGTGAGGGAGCCAATAAGTGCTGTGAGATTAGGGGCGAAAAGATTCATACGGGATTGCACGTAGTCAGTTAAAGTCCTCTTGGCCTTATCCAGAGCGAGAGTCATATCGCAAGCTTGCATAACTCGGTCTAGCTCTACTGGTGACATTTCCCTGCCCTTGGTTGTGGTGGCCTCGACTGTAACAATCATAACGGAGGGTCCATCCAAGACTGATCGTAAAGTGACTCCCAGTCTGTTGTCTTTTGAGGTCTGAAGAGCTTTGATACTGTCTCCGTCCATCGGGCCATTTCCAACAATGGTCACTACTTTTGCATAGTCCAAGGGATTCGTAACCAAAGTCTCTAGCTCGGGAAATCGAATCGAATAATGATCGCGTATGAACTTGTGGACGATCATAATCTCTGTATCAATCGAGGTTGACAGAGTATTTGACAGCGTCAAGAGGTGGTATTCTGGATTGTCCTCGATCGAGCCAACGAAAGTGGTCTGTTTCTCCGGAGGTAACGATTGAAAGTGTGCGATTTTCTGTAAAATCGATTGCACGTCAGGGCTAATGCGCAAAGGTATAGATGTAAACCTCGTGTCTCTAAACAGATGGGGAGGGAAAATGAGAAATGTACTGACCTCAAGAACTGGCTCCAAAGTCTTCATCAAACGCGCAACACTCCGTACATCGTCAACGCCACCCAACTCCATCTTCTCCACCTTGGCTTTAGTTTCTTCTTCATCTTCCACATCGGGGCCTGTGTCGGCGACACCGCTCATCTCCTCGTCTTCGTCAACTTCTTCCTCATCGCCATCCAGCTCCATACTGCCGTTTGCGCCTGAGTATGGCGCATTGCCGTTAAGGCCGTCCTTGGCGTCTTCATTGTCTGGAAATAGTCCTTCGTTCTGTCCCTCGCCCTCTGATCCCGAGTCCTCGAAGTCCTGCAACAATTCATCTGCGAGAGTCGACATCTTCAATTTGGCGCGAAGTTGAGGCGTGAGCGTGCAAGTCGAGGTTGCAGCCTCGAGTAATTTATTTGGTAGCTGCACTAGCGTGCATTTTAGCTCAGCCTGATCCAAATTTGACATCGCAGCCTCCTCGGCCAGACCTGTAAACATCCAACCAACTATTCACCACAGCGCAGTCTTGGAACAGACTTAGACAGTCCTTACTACGAGCTGGGGAGACTTTCAGATCGTAACGGAACAAACCTCGATCTGTGCACATCTCAAAAACAACCGCCATCATGGAGTCTTCTCGTGGCCCTCCCCGGGTGAAAAACAAAGCCCCTTCCGCAATCCAGATATCCGCTGAACAGCTTCTCCGAGAAGCTGTAGATAGACAGGAGCCAAAAAATGATGCACCTACTCAGCGCTTTGCTGATCTTGAAGAGCTTCATGAGTTCCAGGGCAGGAAGCGGAAGGAGTTCGAGGACTATGTGCGGAGGAACAGGATCAACATGAACAATTGGATGCGATATGCGCAATGGGAGCTGGAACAAAAAGAATTCAAGCGTGCGAGATCGATCTTCGAGCGAGCTTTGGATGTGGATGCGACGTCTGTAACATTATGGATCAGGTACATTGAGGCGGAGATGAAGACGAGGAATATTCAGCATGCTCGAAATTTATTGGATCGCGCTGTTACTATCCTACCTCGTGTCGATAAGCTATGGTACAAGTATGCCTACATGGAGGAAATGCTAGGAAATATCCCTGGTACCAGACAAGTCTTCGAGCGGTGGATGTCCTGGGAACCAGATGAGGCTGCCTGGAGCAGTTACATCAAGCTAGAGAAGAGATATGGCGAGTTCCAGAGGGCACGAGAGATCTTCCAGAGGTTTACAATGGTGCATCCGGAGCCTAGGAATTGGATTAAGTGGGCTAGATTTGAGGAGGAATATGGCACGAGCGATCTGGTGAGAGAAGTCTTCGGGTCTGCTGTTGAGGCATTGGGCGATGACTTCATGGATGAGAGACTTTTCATCGCATATGCTCGATACGAAGCCAAATTAAAGGAGTACGAGCGGGCCAGAGCGATTTACAAGTATGCCTTAGATCGTCTTGCGCGATCCAAGTCTATCGCTCTTCACAAAGCATATACGACTTTTGAGAAGCAATTCGGTGATCGTGAAGGAGTTGAGGATGTCATTCTGTCCAAAAGAAGGGTCCAGTATGAGGAGCAAGTCAAGGAGAACCCCAAGAACTACGATGCATGGTTCGACTATGCAAGATTAGAGGAGACAGGAGGTGATGTGGATCGCATACGAGATGTCTACGAGAGAGCCATCGCCCAAATCCCTCCCACGCAAGAAAAGCGTCACTGGAGACGATACATCTACTTGTGGATCTTCTACGCCGTCTGGGAGGAGATGGAGTCCAAGGACACAGAAAGAGCTCGACAGATCTATCAAGAGTGCTTAAAATTGATACCCCACAAGAAGTTCACATTCGCCAAGATCTGGCTGATGAAAGCTCAGTTCGAGATCCGTCAGCAGAATCTTTCTGCCGCAAGAAAGACTCTCGGCCAAGCTATTGGAATGTGCCCCAAAGACAGGCTATTCAAAGGCTACGTCGAGCTGGAGCTGAAGCTTTTTGAGTTCACTCGCTGCCGAACCCTCTATGAGAAGCACATCGAGTGGAACCCAGCAAATTGCCAAGCCTGGATCAAATTCTCTGAGCTCGAACGTGGTCTCGATGATCTCGAGCGAACACGCGCCATCTTTGAACTCGCCATCGACCAACCAGTTCTCGACATGCCCGAGCTCCTCTGGAAGGCTTACATCGATTTCGAGGAGGAAGAGGGCGAATATGAGCGTACTCGGAAATTGTACGAGCGTCTGCTTGACAAGACGGACCATGTCAAGGTCTGGATCAGTTACGCTCACTTCGAGATCAATGTTCCGGATGACGAGGAAGAGGAGGCCGAGGACGAGGAAGAGAAGCCTGTTAGCGAGGCGGCAAAGGTGCGCGCCAGGAAGGTGTTTGAGCGTGCATTGAAGAGCATGAGAGACAAGGATCTCAAAGACGAGGTAAGCACAAACACTCCCGTCTTGTCATACTTACCAGATGACGGTACTAACGATTCACAGCGCGTTTCTCTCCTCAATGCCTGGCTCTCATTCGAGCGCACTCATGGCTCGGAAGAAGATATCGAGAAGGTGCAGAAACAGATGCCGCGCAAGACCAAGCGCCGCCGCAAGCTGGACGACGACAGCTACGAGGAGTACATCGACTATGTGTTCCCAGCCGACGATGTGCAGACGGCGAAGCTGTCGAATCTCTTGGCTATGTCGCAGGCTTGGAAGCAGGCTGGTGGAGGACTTACAGGAAATGGTGCGGGTGGTGGAGAGTAAGATTATGATTGTGAGCGCGATGAGCTCTTAGGGACCGGATAGGATGGGAGGATGTGTATTTGTGTAAATTGAGAATTTATGGCACTTGGTACTCTGTGCTTGGTGCCCTTCCTGTGTATGTCGACGTAACCTCTGCTTGATCATGATCGTCACTAGGAGTCCTCGGATTGCCTGCAAGCCAGCCTGAGCTGACGGCGGACATGCAAGTGAAAGCGATGTCATCCGACGCGACCACGACTCTCAACGCTCGTAGCACTCACTCACATCCTAGTAATTACGCTCTTGTACCTCGAGTATTATCTACTAGGTTGAAGACAACCGGTGGAGTTTGCATGAATCTCACAGCTTGTTTTCACAGCTAGTTCTTATTATCACTTTGCTTCAATTGAGTGTATGCATCAACAAAGCTCTTGTATTGGTAAAGTCCCAGGTCATCTACAATCATATATTCATCAGGTCACAAAGTCTGTCACACCTGAGCCACAAGTCTCAATTCATCTTAGTAAAGCTCAAAATGATGTTGTGGTATATTGCTTGAAGACAAATAGACTAACGCCTCTACGCTTTCCCAATCGCTATCTCTCAAAACGCCATCCAGGCGATGTCAATGAGTGGCCGGATTTCGGCCGCTCATTCACTTCTTTAGTTCTTGAAATAACGCCACCGGTGGTATAACCCAAGTATGCAGATGCCCTCGCTCCCTCGTCTCCTTCGTCCGCCATATGCCATCCAATCTCAAAAACCCCCCTTTTCTCGCGAGATGTAAGAATTACCCAATATAAACCGGCATACGACTCCCCTTCAAATCCGCAGGCACAATTTTCGCATCTGCCTTGTCAAAATCATGCAACAGCAGCCAACACAACATTCTAAAAATGAGCGAAATCCAAATAACATTCCTATCCTCCTCTCCCTCCTTCGGGCTCTCCGTCCCAACAACAGCCGGGCGAATAGTCTGGAAATAGTATGTCATCAGCGCGTCCTCCTTGTTGGCCAGCACGATGACATTAAGCGGCGAGACGGGATCATCGAGGACTTCCATCACTTTCGTGATATGAGCTACCACCACAGCGAGCACTTCTGCCTGGCTGATGGAGAGGAGGTATTCGGTTTGGAGGTCTAAGGCGCGGTGGATTTCCTCGCGGACTTCGAGAGAGAGGTCTGCTTCGTCGGGGCAGTCCATGGCTGTGATGGCTGTCCAGATGGCGCTGATCTTGGAGAGGCGGTGGGTAGGGGGAAGTGAAGAGGTTGTGATGAATTTGGTGAGTTGCGAGTGGAAGATGTTCATTAGGGTGGTGATTTTCCAGGAGGCTTTGGGGCCTGGCTTTTTGAGCCATCTGTCGTTAGTGGGATTGGGGAGCATGCGGAAGTTCGAGCCGCGGATGCGAAAGACTTTACTGAGCATGCCGATTATTTCGAAGGAGACTAAATTGCCGATACGTTAGACTTCTTCCATGAACAGTTAAGGAGTTGGGGATGTACCTGAAAAGATATGCTTGTGATCTTTCCGGTATCTTTTCAATGTCTCGGCTTGGCAGCCAATAGACTCCAATGTCGTTTCAACATCTTCAGGAGCTCCAAATACTAGGTTCAGACTCTGTGTTTGCGTGTCCCGATTCAAATACGACTCATCGTCAAAGATATTGGGGACAGTTCCGAAAGTCAGCTCTTTCACAGCCTCGCATGGGATTACCCGATTCTCTTTGAAGCTCGACTTCCCCGTCGTAGCAAATGTTACCATGACCCCGAGGCCATGGACCGTAGTAGAAGTCAGAATGAATCCATTTCCTTCAGCTCGCAGGTTCCATATTGATTGGTCGAAGACTTTCCAATATAGACCTAACATTGCCATCATTTCTACTAGATGACACATTGCCGACGTGGCGTATGGTTTCGTGATCGAAGAGGGAATAAAATCCCAGGACCGGGTCTTACGTTGAAGTCCGACTGCAACCTTGTATTTGGGATCCCCGACCTTCAAAAAGCCTGCTCGCGGTGGAGATTTAACGCTCCACTCCTTATCCCACGCTCTTGACTGCTGCTCCTTCAATTGGAGAGCAGAGAGTAGATTGACCCATGAAGCTTTCTCATCATCTGCGGTATGCACTCTTGCCGTAGCTTCTTTGTCGGCCTTTTCCCTGGCTTGTGGCAGAAGCACCCGCGTATTATCATAGGACTCGTCCGTCCCATCAATGTAGTATATAGGCCTTCCAGCAATTGGACCCCTCTCGTTCGTAGGAGGCGCCACGAATATGACGGGAGTTTCGAAGATAACTTCTATGCGGAATTCTTGCAGTCGAAGCTTCCGCTTTGTGCCATTCGACCATGCTCCCATTACTGACTCGGCACATCGTCGATACCCCTCAGCGCTTGAGAAGTATTGCTGTAGCACTTGCAGGACGGTCGTGAGGAGGGCGACGAGTGAGACTATGAGTGCTGTGAAGCCGAAGACGTTCTGGTTAATGTTGTCGAAGGCCATTGTGAGGCTGACGGTGTGCGGAAAGGAGAGTAGAAGGAAGCTGTCTGGAAGACGATCAGCTGGAAATTGAAATGTGTATCTATACTCATTATTCTCAACTACCAGAAATCATGAGGAGAAGCTGCAATTGTCTGTTGAAGACATGAACAAAGAGAATTTGGCACGGCTCTGGCTTTGCGTTGTTCAAACTTCCAGCCCCCAAATGCAAGTGCTCAGCCATTCCTAGTTCGGAAATTCATCTGCAGCCACAGCGGCTGAAGAGACAAACACTGCCCCTGTCTTATAATACCGTCACTTGGGCTTGGCTATTCTGTGGACGAGGTTGATTTTCTGTACAGAATGTACATCATGGCTTTGGAACATGATGATATGTTGGGGATTGAAGTGCTGAGTTTGATGTCTGGAATTTTGATGGGTAGGAGCCGGGTAAGCTTCAGGGCCGAGCCTAGCGTCTCGGACTAAGCCTGGCATTCCTATCGATGCGAGGTGAGAGGTTCACAGCTCCGACTTGTTAAGGCTAAGAAACATGGGGCAGGTATAAACTTCAACGGCCAGTCAATTATGTTTCAGTATCGGTATAGAAGATAAAAAGGGCAAACCAAAATTAGTTCGATCCCAAAAGAACTTTAGCTTTGAATAGCGACAACAAGGCAATATGATGATTTCGAACATGTTGACAAGAAACGTAAAGGTTCCGAGGTATTAAATATTATTAAGTAAACTTCCACAACACCATACTCCATCATTCATGCATATCATCATTGACCTCCACCGAATTCATTACAAGACAATCATCATGCCAAGCATTCCAATAACGCCAGCTGCTGCTCCAGACACACCAGTTGGGACAGATCCACCAGCAGTAGACGATGAGGTGCCTCCATTCAAAAGACTGCTAGCCTGGTCCACAGCGCTGGACGCTCCGCCAATCAAACTAGTGATTGCAGTCGATGCCTCGCTTGCAACACTGCTTCCACCAGCAGAGATTGTTCCGGCGACACCAGTGACTCCAGTCGAGATATGGCTGGCAACACTGGATCCTCCACTTGAAATCGTTCCTGCAACACCAGTCACGCCGGTAGAGATGTGACTAGCTACACTAGATCCTCCGCTAGAGATCTCGCTTGCTACACTAGCAGCTCCAGTGACAACGGTGCTGAATACTGAAGTGACGCCGTCAACAACTTGAGTGGTAAGAGCTGAGTATGTGCCTGCAGCGGCTTGTACTCCGGTTGGTCCAATTGATGTTAATTGATGCTTCCGAAAACAATACGGAGTAGGAACTTACGTTGAGAAGGAAGTCGAGCTTGTAGTAATGGTATTTCCATCAGAATCCGTTGTAGTGACTGGAACGACAACTGGGATTATACCGCCACCGGGAGAAGCAGCGGTAGGACGGAGGACCTCGATGCTTCCCTCGAGAGCAGCAAATTGGCTTGAATACTCTGTTGGGATTGCGGATGCTAACCAGGCAGGTGCGCTCTGAGCAAGGATAGCTTCATACAGAAGTGATTTCGCATCACCTGTAACTGAGGCTGCGGCTGCTGCTGAGCTGACCGCCGATTCGAGACCAGGGAGCACTGAAGAGGGGATGTACTGCTCAATGACCTGGCTTGCTGCGGAGGTGAATTGTGCCCCGTCTGTCGCCTGGCGTTTCTCTGGCTGAATTGCAAGGGTGGTTGAGCTCAGAAGAGCGAGAGTCAAGATGGAAGACAACATGATGAAGAACAACTAGCTACGTGTTTGAAGACTTGTTGGAAAGTGAAAAGTCCTGAGGCTGATTGATTGACTAATGATAGGTAGACGATTAAGAAAAGAGAAAAGTTAAATGAAAAGGCAGGCATCTCATTGAATTTAACATCGTCAACTCTGCTCCCAGCCAAGGTCCTGCAAGTTCATCGCCAAAAGGCGTCATGGTCGCGGTGAGGTGCAAACAGGGTCAATTCAAGGTACCATGCAAACATACGATCATAACGATCCAATTGCAGAAGGAGGGCATCGCGAACCGACGAACTTATTGCCCGAACCATGGAATAATGCTGGTTGTACCTGCCTTGCAAGCTTGTGCTATTTGTTGGTTCTGGGGAGGGGGTTGGTGGTGGATCATAGGAAATCTGGTTTTCTGGTTTTTGATGCTGGATAAGCGAGCTCCCCGCTGTGGCGCTGGACTTTTAGGTGTGGCTGACGTGTCGATGGATCTGATTTCGGGTTGCTCCATCAGATCTCATCGGAAAACCAGACAGCGGCAAGGTGAGAGTGAAGTGAACTGGCAGACAGGTCGAAAGTGAGTTTATAAAACGTGGTACACTGGACACACTTCCTTAGCCATGTATCAATGTGCGAGTTCGCTACTCGTAGTGCTGAGGAGTACCGAACCGAGACAACAAACAAAATACACCAACCAGGATTACCCCTCCCCCGCAATTCTGCGACTCATGATGGATGTTTTCGAACAACGCGGAACACAGGAGACGGAAGAAGTACATACACACGAGTAAACAAACCTGGATGCGTCCTTCTCGAAGAGCCCAAGCCTGAGCCCTGGGCAATGGTTGTCAATTTACCTACCTACCTTTCCTACCTGGTCCGATATGGAGGTACAGCAGAGAGCATCAGTCACATGATAAAGTGACGTCACTTGCCTAAGTCTCCCGCTTTCAAGAAGCCCCCGCCTTCCTCACACACCCTCACCCTCACTCTCACCCTCACCCTCACGGCCTGAGCAATAATGAGCTTGTGATGTGCTCTCATGGTCTTGACTATATCGAAGACCCCAGCCTTGTCAGTGCTACCAACCCTCAAATCTTGTGAGAAACAGAAACATCTGTCTAGGACACAAGTCTGAACTCAGCCATCAAACGAGGCGCAGTGTGGCTGGCAGAAGACCCCTCCTCGTCAACAGGCCAGGAGCCAGGCCAGCCACAGCCCTCAGCAGTTGATCCGTTGGGATGATTTAGAGCATCCGCAAAGCGTGGACACAAGCATTTTAGTTGCCGCGAATCTGCCGCAGTCAAGTCAAATAATGTGTCTGTTTGTCGGTCTCTGCCTGTAGCCGTTTCTGTTGCCGTTCGTTCCCGCTTGCGTGACATTCGAAGTGATAGCAGAGCCCAATATATGGTCCATGACGTCCGCGGCCCTGAGCTGAGAATTAAAGCTGCAAAGGAAGCCCCAGAGAATCGGGACCCTGATCTGTACTCACCTTACTGTAGGTACGGTACGGAGGTAAAGTAATCTCTGAGGCTACCTACTGTCCGCTTAGGGGTCTCTTAGTTGCCGTGAAAAGGAAAAGTGGCAGTGGCAGTGGCAGTGGCACTTGGCTTTTTCTCCCCATGCACGATGATGATGATGCCCGTGGCCGTTCACTACTGTACAGTACCTACCTACAGTAGGTAGCACACTCGCTCCCTTCAGCTGTGGGTTCGAGGTAGACCACTGAATAGACGCTGAAGCTGGCCGACTGGGACGACAAGTACATGCCCCAAGAATGAAACCACAGGTAATCGAGGCAATCTGCGCCTCTGTGGATAGACCCTGTCAGCTAGTCAAGGTCAAGGCTGCCCAATAGTAACTGCTTCTTTGTTCTATGCGATGCGATGCGTGCGTGGAGCGCTGTGCGTGCCCAACCTCCCAACCCAACAGCTGTCCATCGAATGAAGGCAAATCAGATTGCTACTGCCCTGTACTCGGTGGAGTTCGGGCTCACGTCGAGTTCCCCAGCCCCAGCCACCCGCACCTGTCACCTTGCCTCACTTCACCGCAAAACCCACCCCTCTTCTCTCCCCTCCTCGTCATCGTCGCAATCTATTATACCAAACTTCGCTCTTCAAGACTCACGATACATCAACAAACCCGACAACAAAACAAAACAAAACAACACATTTGAAGGAAGCGGTGCGGTAAATCAAATCAATAAAATTGGAGAGCGGCTTTACAACAGACAAGACTCAAGACTCAACACTAAACTAGTCTTCCGATCTTGAAGTTGAAGCCAGCCTGGGCAGGGACCATAACCTCACCTCTCTCTCCTTTCCCATAGAGAGCAATCCTCCTCATCAAACATGTCGACTATCGATCCCTACGACCGAATTGATGACCGTCGTCGGTCCCATCGCCATCGCGATTCCAGAGATGAGCGTGAGCCACGTTATGTCGAAACTCAAGAAACCTACGTTCGATCACCCGTCTCTGCTCCTGACCCTCCATACGCAGTTCGAACCACCGACGTTGTTCGCCGCCCAACTCGTGAAGATAGCGACATGTCGGTCGAGGAAGTCAGAAGGGACTTTCCTCCACCCGGTGCGGGCACTTACACCCAGCGTACCATGGTACGAGATGATCGGTACGGCCCGCCAGTTCGATCTCGCTCGGCCGAGCGTGGCTCACATTACGGAGGAGCATATCTCGATCCGCGACGATCGCACAACGAGCTAGACAGACGTGATACCCGCGGAACATATGTTGAACAAGAAGTCATCAAGCCACGTCGTCGGTCGCTATCGAGAAACCAGAAGATAATTGCTGCAGTTGGAGGGGCCGCGCTAGCAGTTGGTGGCAAGGAACTTTGGGACCGCAAACAAGCAGATGGACGTCCAATTCAACGGAACCCTCTTCAATCCGCAGCTGTTGGTGCCGCAGGTGCATTTGCTGCCTACGAAGGTGCCGAGCTTTATGCCAAGCATGGAGGCAAGGCAGAAGAGAAAGTCAAGACTTACGTTGCTCACCGAGGTCGGGACGGCGAAGTTGCCGAATACTATGCTTCTGACGAGGAACCAGTCAAGCCAAAGAGATCAAAGAGCCGTCGCAAGTCTATTGTAGAGGGCGCTTTGGGTCTCGCTGGTCTCGGTGCTGCGGCAAAGGCTACAGGAGGAAGCAGAGACAAAGGAGGACGTAGCCGCCGCGGAAGCGACAGTAGCTATGACTCAAGAGACAGATCCCGAGGAGGACGTGGAAAGTCTCCTGAAGGAGCCGCCAAATTCCAGCAGGCTGCAAAGGCTGCTCTTTTAGCTGGTGCCACCGAGGCTTTCCGTGTCCGAAACGAGCCTGGTGGATGGGGAGGAGACAAGGGAAAGCGAATTCTTACCGCGGCGATCGGAGCTGGTGGTATTGATGCAGCAGCTGATCGTGACCCTGACAAGAAAAGCAAGCGTCACATCCTTGAGGCTGTGGTAGGAGGTCTTGCCGGAAATCGACTCATCAATGGTTCAAGAAACAACATTGAAGACGACGGCCGTTCAGTCAGATCTCGATCTCGGTCTCGTTCTCGATCAAGAGGCCCAGGTGGTGGAGCATCTACTGGTCCTCTAGCTGCTCTGGCTACTGCTGGTCTTGGAGCGATTGCTGGCAAGAAACTTCTGGACCGATCCCGCTCAAGATCTCGAGGAGCTTCAAGGTCTCGCGGTGGTCGTGGTAGCTCTCGAAGGCGCAGGGACAGTTCTGATTCCTACGATAGCCGAAGCCCGTCTCCCAGACGAGGTGAAAAGAAGGATCGTCACAAGAGAAGCAAGAGCGTGACAGATTACGCTAGGAGTGGTCTTGCAGCTCTCGGTATCGGTGGAGCCGCTGCTGCAGCAGGTAGCGACAGGCACCGTGATCGTGGAGTCGTAGAAGAGGAAACTACTGTTCGACGCACCTCGCGTCGCGGTGGAGGATCCGATGATGGATATGGTGGATCGAGACGTTCCCGAGACTACGGATACACCGATTCTCGTGATCCATACGGAGACGCAAGATATGCTGATTCACGATCGAGCAACGTAGGCTCAAGGAGTGGAGGAGGACGACGCAAGAAGGATCATAAGAACAGAGATATTGCGGAAGGCAGGAGGGACGCTTCAGACTCGGAGAGCAGTCTGGGATCATCGTCAGGGGATGAGAAGAGAATCAAGAAGATGAGAGGTAAGCAACTTCTTACGGCCGGTTTGGCTACTGTCGCCACCATCCATGCTGCGCACAACGTGTATCAGAGCATGGAGAAGAGAGATGCACGTCACAAGGCTGTTGCGGAGGGAGACATGACCCCAGAGGAAGCACGAAAGCTCAAAGCCAAAGCGACTCTACAAGATGTAGCATCAGTTGGCATTGCTGCACTTGGTATCAAAGGGGCATTCTCTGAAATTAAGGAGGCCAATGAGATGAGGCATGAATGCAAAGAGCTGCGAGAGAAGAAAGAAGAACGACACAAGAAGCGATTAGAGCGACTTCAGAATTCCCCTCAAGGGTCACCTCGCAGAAGCGCAGGCAATGAAATCGCCAGACGCAGAACCGAACCACGCTACGCACCAAGCTCAGCCAGTCCTCGCTATGATAACTACGGACCTCGCTATGTCGATGACAACCCGTACTCGGCAGCTTTACCGGCTCCTCCTGTTGGCTATGACAGGAGGTAACGGCTCTTGGTCACGGACACTTCTTCTTCCTTCGCTTAGCCATGTACCAACAGCCGTCGAGCTTCATTCTTCGCTGTAAGGCCTCATGGGTCACGACGTTACGAATTTACGAGGTCACGATAGTCATGATATTCGTTTTTGGCATGAGGTCGCTTGCAGGCTTTTGATGATTGATGAAACAAGATTTCTTCACGATAAGCAAAGCCATCCATCTGCCTGCCTACGCACACTTCTTCTCCTGTTCTGATACATAACTGATACATTATACCTTTGTTTTCCTTCACCTTTTCTTTACGTTCTGGGCGGCGGCGTTCGTGGGGTAGGTCAAAAGATTATCAAGAGAGAATTGCCCATAGACCACCCACCGCAAGCAAGCCTTCTACCTATCTAAGAAAGTCATGTCATGTTCAAGAGAAGAAAGAAAGAATCATAACTGATAATTACCAAATGTTCACAGCTCCACGCTACTAAGCATCCAAAAGAACTGCAAGTGACCTGCCTCACCGCAAGCTTGTAACCATCACACATCGCACAATTTCCGAATCGGGCACGAATCGAGGGACGGAAACGATTGGTTTGGACTGGATGAGTACACGATAGTGGATATATGGACCAGCGGGTAGATTGGGGGATATGCGACGATACACATACGCGATACGACTCGGGTTGGCTGGCTGGATGGGTCAATCGGGAACGGCTTTGCATTAGTGTGGTTGGTTGGGGGGTTGGTTTAGGATTTTGTCGGAACGGAAGGCATGGATTGGGAATCAGGAACGAACGAACGAACGCTTTACGACTCTCCTCTTATTTTTTTTTGTTTCTACTACCGGCAGTTTATCTATTTTCTTATTTTATTTTCGTTTCCCTTCTTCTCGTGTTGGTATTTGAGGGTGCGAGGGCTTTTGATGACTGGATGTGTGCGCCGCAGTGCTTGGTCAGGAATTACATGGATATGATATAGTCCTAGATTAGGAAAATAACGAATGAAATGCCCAACGAAAGGCAAAAAGCACTTCACGAATCACGATGATGGTGATGGCGAATTGGAATGGCGGTCAAGGAACGCTCTAGTTTAGCTCCACAATACCTTGGTAGATAACGTGGCGGTCGTGTCTAGACTCTACCTAGACTCCCTGCCAGTAGGTGTGACGGCGACGGGCTTGCCTCTTCCCGTTGATAGTGCCGATCTTTTAATGCTTGTCTTGTTTGCTCTGCACTGCACGAAGGAAGGAAGGAAGGGAGGAAGGAAAGTCACGCTCTTGATAGTTTGGCAGAGTAGTATTCGGTTGGTCTACTTAAGAGATAATAGGTTGGGACGTATGAGAAGAGGGCGAGTAATCGAGTTGTGTGATGGGAAGCGGAAGAACAGGTGTGTTGTGTGTTGTGCATGAATGATGACGACCTTCCGTAACAATTGCCGCAACAGTCAGGGTTGGACGGCTTCTGGTTCTTACAGCACAGTATCACGAAGCTTTTCAGTACCTCACCTAGGTATCTACTAATGGGATATCTACCTGATTACCTCCTCACACAGTCAAGTTCGTGTAAGAAATCGTACTTACCTGTGGGGATAGACATGAGGGCAGAGACGTGATGCTTCACCTCGCTTCGCTTCTCTCTTTCCTTTTGCGGACGCAGATGTGCCTGATTTGAAATGCATAATGTGGGGCAGTGAAGTGACTGGCCCACTTAAGACTACGAATGGAGAGAGTGATTCGTTGTAGGTTTCTGTTTCTCGGAGGAGAAAGCACTTGTAGCTTGAGGACGAGTCGGTCTAGTCACTAGTTCAGATGTAGATGGAGATAGCTGTAGCTGTCTAAAACTATACAGCATACTGATACCAGGAAACGCATAACCCCTGGTAGAACATACTTAATGGAAGCTCAAAGCTCAATATACCCATTGCTTTCCAATCTCTTACTCACACCCTTCAACCTCGGAATTCCCCACACAGTTCCGGCTTCTTCATCCCATGTTGAAGACGGACATTATATCAATACCGATATCTGTATACATACCCATATTGAATATGTTGGAAATGCAATGCCATACTTTTGAGAATGTGGTAGTTCCAGATGCCCACTGTAAATATGCAGTCTTGTGGGTAAACCCTTATCTCACCGCCTCTTTGTGGATTCTCTCTACCTGCAGTGCGTTGAAATGGAGGGGTCTGGGTCTTGGGTCCGGAGAAGGTGCTCCTATCCCAGTCGTTTGTGCATTTGCTTCCAGGACTGCGTTCACGATGCTTTTCTTCCTTGTTCGCCAAAAGATCTTTTCATATGAGGGTATAGTCATCAACTCGGATCTGTGGTTGAGAATGCCGCAAACTCAAGTATCGGCTGTGAAACATAGGAATAGACACAAATAATGTAGGACTTGGACTTGGGGATAATGACCCCGCCCTTCCTGCATTTGCCTATGTCATGGATGAGTTGGGAGTGATGGCTCGCTGTGAAACTCGTTCTCCTTGGTTGAGTTGAGCGTAATTACACACTTTTCGTCCCAGTCATTCAAAATGAAGCTTGAATATCAAGATTATTATTCGTTAAAGGGGAAGGAGTCTAGGTGAGCTCAGGCGGGCTCGGCTACGTCATTCTAACCCCGAAATCTGGGGAAGGTCACCCATCACATCTTGGCACCGGAACTTCTGAATCGAAATGCCGACATCAGTATCAAAGCTTCAACTTTGAGCTTCAAGCTCAACAGCGACTCACATCTCAACCACACAATGAGTTTCGGAGCACCAGGAGGCGGAGCTACGAGTACGAAGCCTACTCCGTGAGTAATTTACTGCTTCCAAGCGGGGTCTATGAGAATTTGAAGGCGCAATGAGCTAATGCGCAACAGCCCTGAACGTGGAAGTTTTCCTCTCGATCACGATGGTACGATGCTCTCCTCGCACCCCTAGGTCGACGATTGACAACGACGATATACGAAGCGTGGTTCTTTGACTTGATTGAGGCGGGCAAGGGAATATGTGGCTGATGTAAAGAGATAGGAGAGTGCAAGGATGTCATGATGAGCTATCTTTCGTGCATCAAGCGCGTGAAGGGCATGAACGATCCCGAGTGTAGGCTACAGGCCAAGGAGTACTTGTCCTGCCGGATGGATAGGTGCGTTTGGACCATAAATTCTTCCTTCTTAGCAGATTTAGTTGGGGAATCTCGGAATGTTGAGGGGCGGATTTGTGATGGCGACTATGGACAAGATGATTGACTGATTTTCTGAATAGGAACCTTATGGCAAAAGACGAGTTCAAGAACTTGGGGTTTGGCGACGATAAACAAAAAGAGAAGGGGCAGGCTGGAGTAGAGCCAAAGAAAGATGAAGAACAAGGTGTGAAAGGGGAATTGCGGTGGTAGCAGGGCGAGAACTCTCGAGCAAATGCATACTCCGAGGTGTATCATATGCGGCGTTTGGGGTGGAATTGGTCAGCCTTTGGGTTTATATCTATGATCACGATGAACATTACACGGATTTTATAGCTTCTCTACTCATAAGTTGCAGCTTGGATGCTAGGTGTCAGTGCACTTGGAGTTCGATATTTTGCTGGTGGGTCTTATATATGACCGCCTTGTTACAATCGATATGTGGCGGAGTCGTCCGATACTCTATGTAAATAACTCTTTAAAGAACTTTTCTTGAGCACATCACACGCTATACGGCTCCATGTTTGTAAACAAGGAATATAGGGGTATCTGGCTTCTATCCTGGAGAGTTTCTTTTCGGCCCAAACTTGACTAGCTCCGCGGTCGCTTCGATCTCTGCAAGGGTTTGAACGTCCTCGTCCTCACCTTTACCTTGAACTAATGTGCAGCATCTCGCAATTTCCACATGCTAGCTCCATCGGTATCAAGCAATGGCCTACCCTACGGCAGCGATGGAGTCAGGTCTGATTGCAATTGCTCTAATCATCAGATCTCGAGATGGCCCACGCTTTGTATTTCACTACCCTCCACACCCTGATACCAAAACCTCCAAACGAAGAGGCCTCTACGGAACTGAGCTCGACGAAAGCGATTCGGAAGATGATGCACCGCAAATCGACAACTCAGATCTCGATGATGGGAACATCCTCGCTCATAAAGCTCACAAGCTAGATCTGAGCGATTCCGCAGTGACAGAGCCTAAAGATCACGTGGAATCTGTAGAGGAAGATCTCGATGAGCATTATGACAATCCCTCTGGCGAGCATGTTGTTCCCTGGGAACATCTATTTGATTTCCATACGACGGACTTGGAGAGTATCCTGACGCCGTCGAGGGCTTATCATAAAAAGAAGTTCGAGCTCTCGTTGGATCCGCTGTATTTTGTTTCCTGCCCTATGCATATCCGTCCGGATGGGCTGTGGAATAAAAGGAAGCCGAAGAAATCTAGGAAACCTAAAGTTACTGATACCGAGACGGTGGTTTCAGGGAAATCCAGGTCAAACCAAAGTGAAAGTAAGGATAAGTCTGGCACTGCTACGCCGGCAGAGACCATTTCAGAGGATGGAGAAGATCATGGTGGGATGACGATGTTCAATATGGTGTTCATTCTCAATGTCCCGAAGGATGAAGCAGATGAGCGTATTGCTACTATATATGACCATGTCATCAAAAAGCTCAATAAGGCTCTAAAGCATGGTCAAGCGTCTGCAAATTATGTGTGGAAAGAGTCCGAGATGATATTGTTGATGAAGGAGAAAGCTCGTGAAGAAAGTAAGTTGTGCATTTGGTGCTCAAAACACAATTTCTTACATTTGTGCAGGACGTCCCATGAGCTGGCTGTGGAGTGAGGTTCTACTCAAATCCACCTTGGCTGCTACGATGCGAGACGTGTTCACTTCGATATCGAAAAACAAGATTGCTACTTTCCGCATCGGAAGTAAACCACCAGAGGACATCTCACTTCAAATCCCGGTTCCCTCATTCTTAGTGAGTATCCCAAGTTTCGCAGAGAGAGGAGTACCCGGTCTTCTTCTCACAACTGCAAACCCGTATATCGATGAGGAAGGAGTTGAGGACCCAGCATATATCAACAAACACTTCGCACTTCTCCTCCTCGACGATGAAAGTAAGATCATCTCTGAGATCCAAAATGACGACACGGAACTCTCAGCACCTCTGATAGAATGCATACGAATCTGCAAGCCAACACTTTCCTTCCTCCAAGTCGCTCAAGCCCATTCCATAGAAATAGGCAGTCTCCTCATTCTTGCCAACCACTTAATGCAATACCGCCGCGCAGTCGCAATCCCACCTCTCCATCCCCGAGAGATATATATCGTCTCCCCGAACTGCGACAACCGCAAGTTACCAGTTGCGAGCATCGCCTGGAAGAAAGCCTTTCCTCTTGCTCCATCCCTCTCAAGTTTTCTCGCAACCCTCTCGCTCGTCCCACGCCCATACAAGATCCACGCGCCTAGCAAAGATCACAGGCCAACCTACTTGGACATGCTCGCCTGGCTGATCCGTGGCGGTTGGGTCACCCAGCTACGTACTTTCGCGTGGATCCTCGTCTGGCCAGAGATAATCTACGAAGTGGAATATCAACTCCGTGCGGAAGCTGTCGAGAAAGCAAAAAAAGGCATCAAGTCGAACAACGGATCCAGCGAGTCGACAGGTTCAACGGACGATTCCGGCCCGGATAAAGGCAGCGACGTCGATCCCAGTGCACCATTAACCACCGAGCAGGTAGCTGAAAACGCCCGCTTAGAACGCCTCGCCTCCAAAGTCGCTAAAGCCGCCGCTGAAGATGCTGCAGAGTTCTCGAAGATGCCTAAACCTGAAGCTACGGATAATCCTTCGAAAAACACGGCGGAGCATCTGAAGAGCATAAGCCCGTACATTATCAAGGATCCGCACAAAGTGAGCCATGAAGAGAGTCTGTATATTGCGGCTTTGGGGAAGAGGTTCAAGGAGCAGAAAGTGAAGGAGTGTTGGTTGAGATTTGTGAAGTATTTTAATGGGACGGAGGCGCTGGAGATGATTGCACTACGGGAAAATATGAAGAGGAAGGAAACGTGGGGGATTGTGATGGCTTATCAGGAACATCTTTTGGTTTGTAGGCATTGGTGATTGAGAGAGGTAGTGGGTAGATTGAAGGATTCGTGAAGTGTCGGGTTTGATGCGTGACAGTTATTAAAGGCCCTGAACTCTCCGTTCAGGGAGCAGTACATAGATATACCCATAAGGAAGCTATGAAGAACAATTGATATCTGATTATATGAGACTTAATTACCAGTATTTTATATTTCTGGATGGACTGTGTATCAAGGAGATAGTTGATTCTGAGAGAAGGTGAGTATACTCAAGTAGGATATAATTCTGAGAGCGCTCTGTGATTTTTGCACTCAAAGGCATCTATCTCAGTCGTCAATTATCAGCTCTTCATCCGCCTTGTATTGCATCACACCACATATCAGTGCCTACCTCTCCCGTTCTTATCACCGTATCGTGTTTCTATCCCGTTCGCCCACATACCTTCACAGTCTTCTATCTTCCGTAGTCTGACATAACCTCTGTTCTGCTAACTAGCATAACTGCCGAGGCCATCCTCCTCCTTTGGCTTCCTACACCTACCACAACTCCAAATCATCTCATCTACCGCATTCCAACGTCTCCCTCCAAGACAAGCATCGTCATAACTCACCCCTCCTCAACCCTTCTCTCACCCCTCATCACACGCCTCACCTTACCTTAACCCCCCTCCATTCCTGTTCTTATCCAACACCCCCTTTCCACCCACCCCTCCCTTATCAGTCCACCGCACCTCAAAACACCCTTACCATGCTTTCTCAAACAGCATTCCAGTATTCCAAGATGAAACACACACATCCCACGTGCCCACCCTATTCCCTCCGAGTCACCTGGGGGGTAGGTCACATGCCTTCGTGAAGGATGCAACTGAAAATGTATTGTGGGTGTGGGTGCGTGATGAGTCATGACATAGCTTCCAAGATACCTTAGCAAGAGAGAGTGTGTGTGTGTGGTGTGGCTCAAGCCATCAGGAAGCAGGGAGGTGAGCAAGCAAGCAGGCAAGCAAGGGAGTGAGGAATGTGCCGAGCGGGATTTCTGGTTTGGGGAGGATGGAGTGGGACTTTTGAGAATGGGAGTGGGGTTGCTCGTCTACGGACTGAGGAGGTGAGCGCTTTAGTAGCCAAGATCACCGAGAGGTGTGTATTGCTTCGGAACCGAACATATTGCAGTACCATATTAGAGGAGGCGTTTGTTTACTTCAAATGGCGTCATTGCAAGACACTGGAGATACTCGAGTACGGAGGAGGATGAGAACGGAGTAGAGCGGGATTGAGGTGATATATTGATTATCAGCATATGCCTGTCTGCATATGGCAGACAGAGATAAGATGAGCACAAAGCAAACTGGGCACCTATTGCTAGCTAGCCGGAGCGAACGGTGAACCGAACCGAAACCCAAGGGGTTAAAAACAATAATAGCAGCAAACTACAGAAAGCTAAACGCGTATGCAAAGGTATCATAGGGGCACGAATGCCAAATCAATCAACAGGACAGATAAGGATGCAAAAGGAAATAGAACCGTGAATGCCATAAATCCTAACCAGGAATCATCGAATGAACAAAAGAACCATCCAAAAATAAACCCCTGAAGATGTCGTACCCCATGCTAAGCTCGTATTCTGTAAGCAACGCCATCCGACCCACGCCCGTACTCAAAGCTCCAAAACTGCCTCCAAATGCAAGAACGCCCAGATAAAGTTAAAATCGATACGGCAAATGGATAGTAGAGAACCAGAAAATGAAACTGTCTTGAGTTCCAAGCAAGCCAATATGAGCCAATAGGCAGGAAATCGCTAGATTGGTCACCGTGCCCAACGCGGTTGAAGCGAGAGCAGCTATTGCGTGAGGTCCATTCCATATTCATCTTCTTCCTTGAAGCTGATGGATCCTGCCCCGCTTCCTCCACTATTGTTGTTACTCCAGTATTGCCCAGGTCCGCCCATACCAGCTTCTCCTGTGCTGTGGTTGTCTGGGCTGAGGGAGTTGTCTAATTGACCACCCTGACCTAAGCTTCCCAATGCATCACCTCTAACATCGGTGTGTTTGGGTACACGCAAGCCTGTACCTGGAGCTCGAGAGTACTCAAATTTGGATCCGTCATTCTTCACCATGGCATCCATCAACTCGGTATGCATACGCTTCTCATCTTCGGTCGGCTGGAAAGGGAAAGTCCCGCCCAGAGTCTGAATTAAATCTGCAAGTTCTTCTTGTTGCTGAAGCTTGGTGTGAAGCATCCACATCAGATCGCGAGTCCAGCTCACAGCACCGTTGAGAATGTCTCCCTTGTTTGGCCCCTTGTCTTTCTCTTCAATGGGGATACCGGTTGTGATATTGCCAGCTGTAGCTCGTCGGGCACCTGGTCCAGCAAGACCTGAAGTAGCTTGGGGAGGACTCATCCCGCCAGGCGGAGCTGAAAGACCAGCAAGTGTAGGCGATAGTGGGGAATTGTTTTGAAGTGCTTTCCGAACTTTCTCGTCCTCTAGACGATGCATTGGAACAAGGTGACTGAGTTCTTGAATACGTTCATTGATGTTGTCTCGCCGACGACGCTCTACAAGGTTGTGAGATTCTCTTCGTCTCCTCCTCTTCATCTCCTGCGATTGGAGCGCGGGAGCACTGCCGACTGAGTGGCCATTGTTCAATTTGGTTGGCATCGACGCTCCTTTCAGAATATCCGAGATCTGAGGGTTTGGATGTACACCTTGAATTGGCGAAAAATCCGAGCCAGGAAACGATGTAAGACTACTGGGTGTCTGATCCCACTGACCAGAGAGCGTTTTTTGATGCCTATGAGAGGAATGGGTCCGAATGGGTTGCGTAAAATTCGAATTCTCAGCTGATCCGATGTGAAGCGCCGCCATTGTGGAAGTAGTCTTTGGGGTGAGAGGACTTCTAGTGGAGCTCTTCCTTCCTAATGAAGCATTCAGTCTTGGTCGTTGTTGTTTGGGAAAGCCCCCATCTGCCAAGCCATTGTTCATATTTGACCCAGCAATAGGTGACCCAGTATACGAACCTGAATGTAAAGAGTTTCCAAAGTTCTGCTGGGGGGCCATATGTCGGAAGTGCTCATGGTTGAAATTGGTGACGAAAGGGCTCTGGATCGGATCTCCATCTGGGGTGTTCGAGTACCCGTTAATGTGATTTGGGTCAACTGCCAGTCCAGAAGTGCCGTTGTGACCAGCGTAAATCGGATTTGGTGTATAATCAAAATCCAGTCCGAAATCTTGACCATTACCCTGCATTCCAGACTGATTCGAGTGCATATCGTTCGTCCCAAGACTGTCGAGTAGTTCATCATCTCCGAAGGTCGAGATTCCTTTGGAAAAGCTTGCATTAGGGTTTGAGGCCTGATTGTTGTAGTTGTTCTGGTAGGACGATCCATATCCCCCATTTGGAATAGCTATGCCATTTCCGCCCATCGTCAGGTCATTTGGATTGATGCTACCACCGTGCGAGTTTCCGAATTGATTGAAGTGCTGCTGAGGCTGAGGTATGTTGTAGCCGTTGCTACCCAAGAATCTTTGATTGTGGGACGAGAAGAATTGGTCTTCTGGCTCGTCCTTGATGAAAGGGCTGGACGCGCCGGTGCCAGCCATTTTTTAGACCTTGACCTGCAGATGCTTATCGAGAACTATGCCACTAGCAGTATATGATGGCTAATTGTTTAATTGTTTGTGGGATCGGTGAGGGTAGAAGCAATCGCTGATATCTGAATTGCGTGTCAAACATTAGCCATCGCTCTAAGCTCAAATGCGGCATGCAAGGAAAAAAGCAATCATAGAAAAAACTCTAAAAAGCCTCTGGCTACGACGAAGGTAGCAACAGGAGCTGGCTCCTAGGTTCTGACAAGACATATGCTCGGGGATTGCTTGATAGACACAACCTGCAGCACTCCTTGCCGCCAGAAACTTGATGGGATATGCGCATTATACTCGATAGAAGAGCGCACTTACATCGGCCGAGATTGTCGCGACTGTCGCCGGGGCGAACTTGATGTATATTCTGCACAGCAATTCGTTACAAGCTTTTTCAGAGCTTGCAGAGTCTATTCGTAACTTCCTATGCTGCCACGAGGGATTGCGTGTCTTGGCGAGGGTGCTGTCGAAGTTATTAAACCTAAGTTATACACTCCCTGGTCTTTTTGGGGGAGGAGGGGTTCTTGTCTAACAGACCATCAGTTAGCGCTTCAGAACAAGACCAGAATTGACAACTCTGACGGGACGCCGGCAACGGTGACAATGGCATTTGCGGAGGTTCAGGTACTTACCTATCTGAATGTGCCTGGAAGGACCGATAACAGGAATCACTAGGAGCGGGATTATGTCCAAACAACCGCTGTGTTGGAAGAGTAATCCCACCACAATGAGGCGGACGAAAGATACGGTGAGGGTCGCGGTTTGGCTCGGCTTGGAAATACCGAGCTGGGTGATACAGTTAACGATAAATTGCGGGACAGCAAAGTGTGGAGATGTTGATAAGATGCGATGCAGTACAATGCAGTGTTGTGTGCTGTTCTGTGCGACAGCGATGGGGACGTTGAGAGGAGGGGGGGTTGAGGAGGAAGAAGTGATGGTGAAGGGCTTCAGCTGTCCTCGAGAGACGGAGTTTCGGAGGCGGCAGACGTAGTCGCAGTCGCAGTCGCAGTCGCAGTCGCGCAGTCGCAGTAGTCGTTGTCGCAGGGCGCTCGAGGATACGTGGGAACTCGGCGGTCGGTCGTGGGTCGAGCGTGGGATTTTTAAGGATTCGGAGAGATGCAGGTCGACGAGGTGAGTGAGGTGAGGTGAGGTGAGGTGAGGTGAGTGTGGGAAGATACAAGTGCAGTGCACGAAGGCAAGGCGAGGCAAGGCGAGGCAAGGCGAGGCAGGGCCCTTGAAGGCACTACTCCCTCCCCACTGCTACTGTACGAGTATGAGCACTTGCCTGCTTGCGCGTGAAGTGAGGGCGGCGGGCGAGCGATGATGACTCGCTAGGCTTCGGCTTGGGCTTGGGCTTGGGCTCGGGTTGAGGTAGCCAGGCGGCCGGAGAGCGAGCGAGGATCTCCGAAGGACCACTTCTCCACACTCAAGGGTCACTTCGATTTCAAACACACACCCAGAGAGAGAGAGAGAGAAAGAGAGAGAGCTCGGATATAAATGTCAACACGGCTTTATAACAACCTTAAGGGACGAGGGTCTCCTCTCCTCTCCGAGATGTTGCATGCACCGTACAGTGCTTGCAGCTGGCAATAATTCTCGTTTGGGTCAGAGCCGTCCTCGCTTTCGTATTGGGGCAGGCCAGCAAGGCTGGACGGAGTTGTGGCGACAGGATAGGCTATTTCGAGATGCAAACCGCGGGGCTTGATTAATTCTTACGCCCACAACCTGGAGAAGGAGGGCGAGGCTCGAGAATTATAGTGGTTCTCTCGTAATCAATAATCCGCTCCTGATCGCTTCTGTTCTGTTCTGTTCTGTTCTGTTCTGTTTCGTTCCCGTCAGTCAGTTCTCCGCACAGTATCCGTCCAGCAACCCTCTAGATCTTGGATCAAGATCTTGCCTCCGCACTAGCGTCTGGAGTCTGAGCTAAGTGTTTAGGCGGCGGAAACTACGGCTATCAGAGTTGATCGAGGGTACGGTACTTACTGATGATGTGCTGCCTCGGTTTGGATCAATAGATAGATGAGAGACGGGTATTTGTGGGTGACTTCGGCGGTCGATTGGGAGATGCTCTTCGCTCTGGCCCAGTCGACTCCCAGATCGTGGTCTGTTAGCTCAAGTTCTGGAACAAGTGTAAGCTTCACTATAGATGGGAATGTGGTTTTGATTTACGAGTAAGGTTCGGCCGGGATGTCGAGCAGTTGAGGACACCAAGCCGGATATTCAAAGTATTATTGGTCTGGGCTCCTTAGACTGCCTCTGACTCGGGCGTTGGCGTATGGTATCTCAGTTGGTACTAAATGAAGGGTATAGAGTTGCGATTGATGGAAGCGATGGACGAAGTGAGCACTGCAACTTAGATTGGAATATATTGACACGGTCGAATGAGGAAGCTGGTAAGCTTGATGCTGTATATCCGTATCTTGTCAAGATGACCGGGGAACGATAGATGATGGTACTTCGGATACTGGATATCAGAGTCGTACGAAGCGCTTAGTATGGTAGCTTTGGGGCTCTTCTTGAAGTGATGGTGCAGCCACTCAAAATGAAGGCAAGGAAACGGGATATCTGCAAAATGGGACGGGAGAGAGAGACGGATGGGAGCATTGCTTTTATGTCGAAGATCCGTTCCTGCTTCGATCGAGCATCATGGATCCTCCTGATTACCTTTTCAAAGACGGGTTTCTCATTACTCAGATGGCTATCAGACCATGGGGCCCTCTTTGGGAGTCCAGGGTCTCAAAATGTGAAGGACTCTGGCAGATAAGGGGGGTGGAGGATCAAGGAGATCCGAGTCAAAAGCAGGCTAGAATAAAAATCGCCGCTCAAACTAACTCCCTTCTCGCAACCTCTCTCTCTCGGTCATTGTGCGAAGGGCATCATATCCATTTCTTCTCTACCAATGATGGTTGCCATGCCCTCCTTTCTCATCCCCCTCCATGGTCTCTTTCGGAGACTTTCGCTAAATATCAGTCATCAGCCAGTCAAGTCAGCCTGGCAATATGTCTCACCAGCCTCGATCCTCCCAGGATACATGTGCTTGTCTTATCGCGATGCTGCGGACCGCTACCGTACGGTGCGGTACTGGTTGTACCCTTCTTTGAACGGTGCGAGCCGACTGCCGGAAGGTTGAGAACTGGAGTGGACGAGAGCTACCTTAAGGTACTGTAGGTAGCTGGAGCTGCCCAGGTGGAGGTGGAGCTGGAGCGAGACCTGGTCCCGGTCCTGGTCCTGGTCCTGGACGTTGCAGGTGTGGCTGAAGCCCTCCATGATTGGTGGCAGCGCTCAAAGGCTGCTCTGACCCCCCAGTCTACGCAAGGCGCGGCAACTTCACTTCACTTCACTTCACTGCACTGGCCAGTTTGTGAGACCTCCAGACCTCGCCAGACCTCGCCAGACCTCGCCAGACCTCGCCAGACCTCACTCCAAATATTTCTGGCTCGTTGCCTTCACACCATCACACCACATCATCGCGCACACGTACTCTGCCAACATTCCCATCTCGAAAAGATTGGCCTTTCGCACTTCTGCCTACCGCCCAGATTCCCTACATATTCAAGTTCTCTGTCTGCGACCAAAGCCCAGCGCCGAGAGCTCCATCGTAAACGACCAGACCAGCCCATAGCTACCTACCCATCTCGACACCCCCTCTACCACCTCTTTCGACGAGAGAGCTAGGTATCCAAGGATCATTCGGATCACGAGTCCAACCTTCAGCACATACACACACTTCTTGTTGCAGCCCATTCGGCTCTTGTGGTCATTGGGCCCCTCCCCAAACCAGTCGTATTCATTCCACGCGGTCGATCGACGCATAACATACTTGCAGCGTATTCCGCAGTACGACCGATACAGCGTCCTTTCTCTCCCCACGAAGCAACCCCACCTACAAATCGCCTGCAGATCTTCTTCCCACAGGCCACATCTATCTAGTAACACGACTGGCTCGACCAGGTTTCTGCAACCTTAAATCTACGACTACCGGCATCTGGAAGCTAGCACAACTCGGCCATGGCATCCTCGTCCTTCAGAGATTCTATGAACTCCCTAGGCTGGTCCCGCCGCGAGTCGGACCTCCCCGTCAACACCTCTCAGCAGACCGGTCTCTTATCGTCGATCAAGTCTTTGAATCCTTTTGGAGACAGTGGTTATGTCAGACTTCCAACCGTTGAAGGACCTGGAGCGCCACTCCCTGCTCGAAATAGACGAGAAGAAGATGAGGCATGGTTTGCTCGTGAGTCAACTTCCTACACCCCCTTTCTACGTTTCACCACCCCTGCGCAAGCCTATATCATGGGCATGTGCGACATGCAGCACCTGTGGCTGGATCTTGCTCGTATTACTCTGGAGAGGCACCGAGAGGCTGACCTGTGATGCTATTCAGTGAGTCGATGGGATCGACTTCTGATATTTGCGGGGTGCAACATTGGCGCCCTCGCCTGCTTCGTCCTAGTCTTTGCGTTGTGGCCAATAATGATGGCCAAGCCCCGGAAGTTCGCTCTTCTGTAAGTCTTATTATTCCTGTTTTGCTGTCAAATCTGCAGCTTGTTGCTCGAGACAACCCCCCTCATCGGCAAGCTCGGTTCATGCAGGTATCCGCCTCGCATCATGCAGCTCTAGTAATATGCCATTTCTAAGCCACCATGATACCGATGGTGTGGGAATCCAGAAGCTCTCTCTGATCTCGTCCATCATCATGATTCATGATATTCCTTGTTTTCTTAGACACTGACTGGATCTTGTGACATATCAGATGGTCTTTAGGGTCAGCCTTGTTTCTTGCTTCATGGGCAGCCATGATGGGACCCTGGACATACGCCTCGCACCTGATGTCCTCACAACGATTACCATTTACCGCAGCCTACTTCGGATCAATAGCACTTACGCTATATTTCAGTCTCGGTGTAAGTTCATCCTAACTCTGATAACATTCATGTACTAATTTAGAAATTTCTCCAGCTTCAAAGTACTATCTTGACTTTGATATCGGCTCTCATACAACTAGCATGCCTTATTTGGTACCTTGTCAGCTATTTTCCCATGGGCTCAAGCGGGTAAGTCTCCCGCTTTGCAATAATTTTGCCATCAAACCGTTGAAAATGGAGGCGTCATTGTCTAACACCTCAGCAGATTACGACTCGCTACGAGTTTTGGTGCTCAAAGAGCCGCAGCCTGGATGACCGGTTAAGAGCTCGAAGTGGAAGCTGCAATTGTCAAGATAGCATGTACATCAATACACACCACAATTTTTTAAATCACTTTCCACTTGCTTTTCCTTGCACGATATTTCTATATGTTTACGTGGAACGAGCCAAAGAACTCGGAAGGCACATCTGATATGATAGTGATCAGTGATATCAATATGCCACTCCATCTGTGTCCCAAGCTCCACCTGGCTATGACGCTCGGTGTGAGCCGCGACGCTGTAAAAACGCAAAGAACCCTTTTTATCTTCCTTCATACCCTTACAAAGCATAACTTTCTGTAATCCTTAAGATAACGAGACATTGGGAGGCGTATGAAACCCCTGAATCCAAACGTAGTGTCAAGATTCAACTCTGGTGTCCAATAATCCACGGTCCATTCTAACAAACGAAAATTATTACATGCTGTTCCGATACGTTGAAGGGGAATTTCAAGCTTTTCTCGGACGAGCGATGTTATGCCGAGCCTCAACTATGTTATCACCTGTTTGACTGATGGCCGCATGAAGATCATGCATGCTATGGGGAAGTATATCCTGAGATCCTGGCGACAGAATGATTTAGGAAACAGTAGCCCGTGATGACCGTCGCGACAGATTTGTAAAGCAATAACGATAAGATTTGACTACCAGTAGCAGCTTGTGCCCCCTCGACGCCATACCGCTCTTCCTCTCACTTTAAGCTCGAGAGAATATCTGGAGAAGAAAAGGCTTGAACCATCATAACCAGCCAATGCCCAAGTTCCAGTGTTGATACCAATAACGCCAGTCCTTGCTTTATTTTCTCCAAAGATCTGCAGCCTTCGTGCTCTCTTTGGCCTGGTATATGGACAAGACAATATTCTCCTACGGACCCTCTCGAGGGACTGCGATCGTGCATATCTAAGCTTGAAACCTATTGCTTTGAAGAGCAGCAGCAGCACCGTATAGATGCGGAGATGCAGAAACGTCCCTAACAGTTGCAGCTAGATACGCAGCGTCATTAGCATCGGTCTCTCCGATTGCTGCTCGAGTTGGAGAACGGATCCAAGAATCTCGGTCATTAAGGATGGACTCGCAATTGCATAAGCAATGTTCTCCCTGTGGCATTTCCAGTCAAATGCGAAGGCCCGGAAACACATGCAGCGATAGCTGCAGCATCCCGAACAGACTCAGCGACAGCTCGGAATGAATGCCCTAGTTGAGCAACGAGTAGGTTCCCACGTTAGGAAGTGGATGCAGTAACGGAACAGAAGACGTGCGTTGTGCATGCATCGCTGCTTCTGAGACATCTGAGCTTCTCCCCCGAGCAACTGCTTTCAAGGCTTTCCATCTATCTCACTCTTCCAATCGATATGGCCAATACAGCGTGGCCCGGAGTCGTTTTTCGTGAAATCATACTAGATGGTCAGCGAGACTATGGTGAAAGAGCCGTAGTGCGATAAATCCTTTCCTGACATGTCTTAAAATCTAGTATGATTTTCAAGACTGCCGCTCGGAACAGCATTCCCCTTGTCCCAATCCCATGCAAAGCTACTCATCCTGTTGATCAACCAAATCGACCTCGATTCTTCAATCAGCCTTCAACTCACCCTAAAGTGGAAACAGCATGAAGCAAATCGCATTGTATTATCCATGCCGATGCCAAAATGATTTGTATCTCTACACGCAATTGACGTTAGCCAACTCCAGGTGGAATTAAGGTAAGGGGGAGTTTTTCCATTAGAAAGGCAGACCGAAATTGCAGTAACTTCCAGATTCTTATGATCTCAATGTCGAGCCGAGGTCTGTACGATATGTACCACGAAATTTAAACTGGTCAGTCACCTTGCCGCTGCTGCTGCCTGTTTACAGTCAGCACGGGAGCTCTCAACGCCGCGGTCAAAAATGCCAGGCGTCTTCTTGTGCTTATTGGATATCGGCCTCAAAAGATTCTGGAGAGCAGCGCCTTGTTGCCCTCTTAGGTAACATCAGAAGGCTTCCCTTCCTTTCCACCGCCAAAGTTTAGGCTGCGTCCAGTTCTTCCCGAGGCGTGAGACTCACTGCTGCAGGGCTTTGTAGCATGCAAATAGGGTTCGCAGCAGTAGTTAATAAACTTCTTGCAAGCCTGAAAACGTCCGTGGCAAATATAAATAGAATTTCTTACTTTGCAACATACTCTGTCAACGGCAAAGCGGACCCCCTAGAAGCTTTCACAGCTCAGTTATTCTGTCCCTCGCTAAGGCCAGAAGGAGCCAAGCCCGCAGGACCGGCAGACGACGTGGATCTGTGAAGTTGCCTTAGTGGGAATGCCTGTGGCCGACATCTTCCCAGCTGCTTTCGTTTGGATTCTGTCGGGGATCGTCAATGATTGTATTCTTTTGATTCGATTCGATTCGATTCGATTCGACATATAATGAATCGGTGCAAAACATATATCAGCGGGAAAGGATACCTATCTAGGTAGGTAGCTCTTGCATCCGAGGTTTGCGAGTGTTGTTGTGTTGTAGTACCTTAATTACCTTGGAGGTATCGGCACCGTCTAGCCGGAAAGCACCTTCCAATTTCCCACCCAGAGGAGAGGGACGAGAAGAGAAGACAAGGGAAGAGAAGAAAAGAAAAGAAAACTAAAGGGCCAGGCAACTCGCCGTACTGTCAGATGGCAATACTCGTACCTAGCACCTTAGGGTTGAATTCGAAATGTCTCACATGGCTCAACACAACTGCAAAAAAGAATATAAACAAAAAAAATAGGGGGGTGATTCACTTCCATATAATAGAAGCAAATTAGTTGCACGATAGAAACCGTACCGTATGTCCCGTAATCCACCGTCATTCACCACCTCAGTCCAGCCGAGTACCTTAGGCTTAGGGTAGTTGAGTGGAGAGGAGAGCAGAGCAGAGCAACGGAGCAGTGGAGAGGAGAGGAGAGGAGTGGGCCGGCAGAACTGTCCGCCCTAGAAATTTTTAACGAGGAGAGGCTACAACCTCACTCTCACTCAACTCAGACTCTTTCTACCAAACTCTCACCAAATTCCGCCTCCATTTCTCCCCCCAACGTCGCTCAGCCCAGCCTTTCCTTCGCCGCTGGGAGCTTCGAGAGGCGTACCTTTCCTTCGATCATTCGAGTCTTCTCGACATTTCCCACTGCCTCTGTCTGACATTTCCTGCGACGAGAACGTGCGACCAGCCGTGGTACTTGTCAAACGCCTCGAGAGACAGACTCCTACTGCATTGTCGACTCTTTCGCCGCAATCGTGGTTCACGAAGCATTTCACATCAACTGGCTTGCTGGTATTGAGGTGTTCTGAGGTGCGTTCTGCTGTTTTCTGCGACATTTCAAGCTTGTGTGCGTGTCTCGTTATTCGCGCAGCACTGCATGCCCTCGGCCTTTACTCAGCCCATTCACAAATTGCCTGCACTCCCGTCTCATAGTCATGCTACGTTGGACCATTCAAGCTAATATTTGTCTTCAAATCAGGAATTGTGCGGTCCTGTGGTCGTTGCCAGCATCATCCGTGTCAACAGACAAACCACTTCGATCCGCCCACGCGAGCGGTTTTCTCGATCTGCAAATTTTTTCGACGAGCCGTCCTTGATACCCACTCCGTTTAATTCATCTCTTCCGGTATCGTTTTCTCGAAAATCGCGCGACCACTTTCACCGATCGTTGAAGTTTTACCCCTCCAACGAAAAACCCGACGACAACCAAGAACCTCGAACCCGAACTCACTGTTCGATTTCGCAGCTCCATCCGCCACATTTCCACCCCGGTGATATCGGCGTAGTGGGAAATCGTGCGGAGGGGTCATATAAACCTCTCCGGACATCCAAACCTGGTGGTGATTCTGAATCACCGTCCAGTACAGAGAAGTCGAGCATTTGGTGAAAGCCAACCCTTCTGCTCCGTAGACGCGTCCTGAGATATCCCCATTGATATCTTACGTGTCAATCATAATGAGTACCACACCCTCAAGACCAAACGGCGATGCCGCGCCGGCTCCACCGGTATTCTCATATGCACAAGCTGCCAAAGGCCGTGCTGCTGCTCCTACAGCTTCGGCCATGCAGTCACACCAATCAACCGCATCCGGGGTTAGTACACCAGCTAAGGAAGCACAATCTACAACCAATACTCCTTCTGCGGGCTCCGAGAGAGGTGATAGAAGTGTCAATGGAAGTGTTGAGGCACCAAATAAGGTCGATACCGCAGAACCTAGTCACAATACAGAGACCAAGGCTTCGGCTTCATTAAAAGCCACTTCTTCTACAGCATCCCCAAGCTTTGGCACTGCTTCAACGTCCACATTACCGAAGGAGGACAAAGATGATGATTTTGTGTTAGTTGGAGGACCTGATTCGCATAAAGACCGACATAGTTCCGCCACAGACAAGGCTGCTGAGGGAGGTGAAGGTCGGAGACCTAAGAAGGGCAAGAAGCAAAAGAATGCCGAGAAAGAGGCCGAGAAGGAGACCGAGAAAGAAAAGGAAGAAGTCAAGCCGGAGGTTTTCATCCCCGCTCCGCTACCGACAGTGAACTTCTGGCAGCAGCGAAAGGAGGAGGCAGCTAAGGTAAAGCCGAGCCCTGTGGTCGGGCAGAGTCCACAGACCGGTGGACCAAGCTCAGGCGACTTGTCCACGCCACATAGCAAGACAGCTGAGAAGAAACGAGGAAAGAGTGAGGAGGCTTTGAGTCCAGCGCAAAATGGTACATCGAAGGATGCGCCAAATGCCAACAAGGGACAGAAGAAAGGAGGTGATACTCCTGGAAAGAAGGATGATCAAACTGGCAAGCGTGTAGGAGCTCGAGGCAGCAGAGGGAATGAGAAGGATGAGAAGGCACCCACGAGCCATTTACCACCGCCAGTAGAGGATGCTACATCGTGGCCTACTCCTGAAACAGCACTCGAGGAAGAGAAGCGCAAGGTTCAAGAAAAACCCGCAAAGGACGAGAAGGACGAGAAAGATGAGAATGCTTCCAACAAGCCACGGCCAAAGGAAAAGTGGGTCCCGGTCCCATACATCCCATCTGTCACATTCAGCACACCTCTCCCGACTAGAGGAGGTCGAGGACGTGGTGGAGCTCGCGGTGGCAGAACAGAAGCTGGTGGACGTGCAGGCCATGCATCAAATGGCACAGGTGAGAAGCCGCAGGGGGCTTCCACCGAAAATCCATCGGGTGACCGTGATGCTAGATCTAGCTCTGTTCCTCCTACCACCAAGAACCGGCCATCCAACGAGCAAGCAAGTACACGTAAAGCCTCGGTTGCACAGGGAGGTGACAAGTCAAAGTCCAATTCATCCAAGAACGAGTCTACCAGCGATATTCGAAATCTTCCCAATGGTGGTCAGCCAGAGCAAACTTTCGAAGTTAGCCAAGACTCGCGTGGTGACAACAAGGGTCAGAGGCAAGAGCAGAGTTTCTTTGAGAATCAGGCTTATCAGCGATCAAGTACTGACCGTAAGGGTGACTCAAACATCAGAGCACCTGACCAGTTCAAGGACAGCTCAAGCTTCAATAAGGATGGCATGAATCAAAATCGTGGGAACGATGGCCAGTCAAATCGTGGACGTGGTGGCTTCCGAGGGAGAGTTGGTCATGGTACTTTTGCAAACGGGCAACCCCATCCCCAGAATGTCTTCACCAATGGCCACGGAGGTCCACCACCACCTAACGGATATCCTGTTCGACAAGCCTCAGGTCCTTACAGTCCACCACTTCAACCTCTCCCCTTTAGCAACCAATACGCACCACCACCTTCTCGTGGAGGTCGTGGCGGATCCCGATCACAGTCGATACCAAACAACAATATGTATGGACGCTACCCACCAAATGGCAGTCTCGCACAGCACATGTCCCCTATACAAACCTCGAACCCAATGTATGATTTCTCGCCCATGCAAGGCCCCATGAGCGCACAGCCATATCAACCTTATATGGACCAAGTATCTGTTCTGGCAATGGTCACAATGCAGCTTGAGTACTACTTCTCCATTGACAACTTGTGTAAGGATGTCTTCTTGCGAAAGCACATGGACTCTCAAGGTTTTGTTTTCTTGGCCTTCATTGCCGGCTTCAAGCGCATCCAAGCTCTTACTCAGGAGTTTGAACTGTTGAGGTTTGCATGCCAGGAGTCCGAAATCATCGAGCTCGTCAGAGGCGATGATGGGCTTGATCGGCTGCGAAGAAAGGAGGGATGGGAGAAGTGGGTTTTGGCCATGGAGGAGCGTGATGAGTCTGTCAGAAATGCCGGCCCTACCGTTCATCAACGCTCGCAACAAAATCAGCACAGAGGATCCATGGTTATGCCAAACCAGCATGCAATGTCTCCGGTAGCATTCCAAGCCAACGGCACTGACGCAGGATTTCGCCACTATCCCAATGGCAACGGTGTCCCAGCACCTGTTCTAGCTAACGGTACTGATGGAGCATACTTTCCCGACACCCCTCTCTCAGCTGCTGTGCCCGACTTCTCCCCTGGTATCATGACTGGCCGTGGCCGTCCTACTGAACCTTTAGACATCGAGACCACCTTTAGTGACGAAGAAGTTGCTCACTTGACTCTTGTTTTCAAGGCTCCTAAAGGGAGTGAGGATTCAAAGCCAAAGTCTCCTTTCCACAGTATGCCGTCAAGAACTTTTTCCAACGGATCAATTGATGGCAGATCGATCGCTGAAGAACTCTATGACGATCAACGTCAAGGCCGATCTCTGGCAAATGGCTCCCATGCGTCCGAAACGTAAGAATACCGATCTCTCTGGAATTCAGCTGGCTAACCTATTACTAGCGGTTCTCCAGATGGCCTACGTCGCTCGAGAAGCCCATTTGGTTCTCTATCCCCCACTCAAACCTCTTTCAGCAATGGCCCCCCAGTCATGTGGGTGAAGGGTCAAAAGCAACAAGCATTCGTTTCTCCTGGTAGCTCGGAAGAGTTATATACCAAGTTCCGTGCCCGTGCTCTGCAACACCGAGAGACCTCGCCACCTGGCGAGAGCCATGCTGACATGAAGCTGCTCTATGAGTTCTGGTCACATTTCCTGTGTCGAAATTTCAACGCAGCCATGTACCAGGAGTTCCGAAACTTTGCATTTGAGGATGCTCAAAGTAAGGCCATGAGCGGTGTAAACAGTCTCATTAGCTACTACGCAGAAGTACTCAGCAGCAAGAAGAAGGTCATTCCAAGTGTCCTTGCCCTGCACTACGTGGACTTGGTCAAGAATGAGGATCCTAGCGGTCCCCGTCCCGCCTTGGAGAAGCTCCGTGTCGCATGGAGAGATGGAGCCCTTGACATGAAGAGCCGAAAGAGAATCGATAATCTAGTTGATTCAAAGCTTAGGGAGGAGCTTGAGCGTGCGCCGCATCAGAAGTCAGATTTGTCTTAATCAATTTAGTTCTTTTGGACTTTGCTGGCTGTGGTCGTCTCTCAGTCCCCTGCAAGAAACCTGGACTACTACCAGGATAGCTCTCTTGCCCTACTTCTTCAACGTCAGCCCGCATGTGCTCACATTTCCTGCTGTTATGCGGGTCTTTGGTTGAGCCACTTACATTGATTGTATCTACGAGTTTTGTTTGACGGTATCACGGCGTTTGTTAGGAGCTCACAGCAAGATTCCTGGTTGGAGATCTTCATGGCATCATCTTCAACTTGGTGTTTACACTCTTCGCCTTCACGGAATGGAATCTGATGGTCATGGGCATGCACGCACTGCTGCACGCTCGGATTGTTTTCCTTGCCGCCATTCTTGTTTGCTTACTGTCTATATTTCTGCATAGCCTCTTCGCCTCCTTAAGTATTTTCCCTCTCCGGCTTCCAAAATCAAAAGTCCAGGCATTCATTCTATTCATTCGGGCAAAAGAAAAGCGTTCGTATCGTACCTACTGCTTTTTCGGGTTCCTCCTGGTCTGATCTAGCCTGACACACACATGCTTCTCTACTCTCGATTAATGGGGTTGAGTTGAGATGGGTTGAGTCTTGGAGCTTTCTCTCACACAAATTAAAGGCATCTACATGAGTTTCTGCATGTTTCGGAACATGCACACCCACCACGGCTGTTCGGTCTTCAAGAACGCGAGTTCTTCAGAGGGTGTGTTAGATAGAGAGGAATGACTGACCGAAAGCATGGAAGGAAGGATGGAAACTCATAAAAGGAATTTGCTGCCACATGTACAATAGCAAGCAAGAATGGAGCCAGCATTCACAGATGCCTCTCTCTGATGGCGTGATTTGTGACTTGAAGATGGCGATCTTGATTCTTTGTTACCGAGACTCGGAAGAAGCACACCTTGCTGACATGTGGTAGGTGAGCAAGTGTTTTAGCAACGTGGATTTTGCTGCATATGATCGTACTCTGTTGGAATTACCGACAACTCCATAGTGAACTTATCCATATATGGCAATCGAGTAAACACATTTCCAGCCCCACGTCGTTGTTCACTCATATGCAGCCAAAACCTAACCGGCCTATCTGTTCCTATGCTCTCTGCCAACTGGCTCGATGCACTGACATGAACAGTATTACCCAGCCTCATTTTAACATGCTAGGTCTAGCCTACGACGCAACATCACAGCAGACTGTTCGTTTGAGGGTGATTGAACCAATTTCCTTAGTCGCCTAGCAGTGTCCGTGGCCCTCCTGATTCTTTTAGACACAGATAAATGCCAAGGAAGCTCCAAGGTGTATTCGCTAAGTATGAGACTCAACAATCCCAAACTTCCACTTCAATTTAAACACATTCTTTCGCATACAAATGTAAGTCGTGGTTGGGACCTCAAGTAGTTTGTCCATTTGAGGGACCACCATCCCGAGAGCTGCGGATACCCGTCCGCGAGAAAGTCGAGGTCTCACCGCGGATCGACTTGCTAATACTTCTATCCTCGGAATAACAGCCATTGGAACGAAAAACTACATCCTGTGTACTTGACAATTTCAATTTCATGACCTCGGACTTGTACTCGAGCTTGAGGTAGTGAACCCCTGTCTCCTGCTGCGCCAATTGGGTTGCCATGCCCACCGGCCATGATGGACCCCTGCCGAAAGTCAACAGCAAGAAATCCCAAGAGCCGACTGCAGGAAACTTGCTTTTGACTGCAACAGTAATTGATCTCGCAGGATTTTGGGAAGTGATTTTTCTGCTTCCGCAATCTGAACAATCGCATGCTCACGAGGTGCCACAATTGATTTATCTCGTCAATTGAAAGAACTCGAGGATTCTCGAGAGTGGCGTGCTCGTTGGTTATTAAGTAAGTGGAGTAGACATCGTGGAATGCATATCAGGTCAGCTAATGTTTGTGGAAGAATGCGGTCCTCAACCACAACATATCTATCTCTGCTCCTCCTGCCAGTATCCGCGCTGCAGATACCGTCGATACTTGCCCCATTCTACGAACCGCGTATCGAGGACTCAATCCTCCTCTCCAACGAGTCACTCTCCACATCACTCGAGGAGCACTCGAACGACCTCCGCAAACGAGATGGAAACTGCCCAATAAACTTCAACTCTTGTAGTACATTCCGTGACTCGGCGGGAGGCGCCTGCTGTACAGCCGGCACATTCTGTACCACCGATAGAGCAAGGAACATAGCATGCTGTCCCACAGGCGCAGCATGTACCGGTACTCTTGACGTCGCAACAGCCACGACGACTGGGCTGGGGGGAGGAGGAGCAGTGTTCGGTACGGGTACTACGACAACAGTGCCTACGACGGCCATAGCGACGATCACAGACGGCGCAGCCGTATCCTACGTTGCGAACGCTTTCTTCCCTTGGCCATACATACCCACCACGTACGCCAACTCTGCGGCTTGTAACTCCGCATACCAGGACTGTCAAACCAACTATGCTGCCTGTACTTCTGCACTCGATGGGTCTGGGGCGGGCAATCTAGGGTTTGGAGTTACAATTGTGGCGCCGAATGGGGGCATTACTGCAACGCCAACGATTCAGAGCCTGGGTATTGCGAGCGCGACGAGTATTTGCTCGAGCCTCAGCTCTGAGGGATGCTATAATATTGTTAGTGAAAACTGTGCGCAGTTTGGGACTGGCACAGAGGTTAACTTCGTGCCGGGGACGACGGTAAACGTTGCAGCGAGGGCGACGGCGGGGTGTTATGCTGTGGGTGTTATGGCGGGTGTTGGGTTGGGGTTTGCTGGGCAAATGATTTAAGAGCGACGGCGGTGTGTGACATGGGAGGGAGCCTAAGTTGATTTGAGTGATGATTTTGCATGGCATGGTGTTTTGGTTTGGATTTCTGTTGATAGGGTATGTGTTACGCTGTCATGAGCTCTATTAGTCTGCCCGAGGAAGGGAATGAGTAGTATATACTTAGCTAGTATGACAGAATTCAGAGATGGCTCTACGTAATCATTATCTTATCAGTGTACATTTAACCTCTTCGGTACGGGTGCAAGACCGGCTAGTGTTGAATCACAACTCTTCAGTTGTCTCGCTGTTCCTTTCAGACTCTCCATATTTCCATCTGCTGTGTAGAATAAGTATTACGACCTTGAAACAATGACAATTGCCACATATTTGACAAAAAACGCGACCGGGAGAAGGTCCTCGAAATCTGGCGTAGAAACAGAAAGGACAGTATCAACAAAGCTGGTTAGAACATCAAAACTTCTCGGCTGTTCCCAACCCTCAGCACAACATGCTAGCAGAGGATGACATATTCACGAAAGTATAACCCACTTCTCATGCTGTGGCGAATCAGTAATCTAAGTGTTATTCACAGGGGTTCAAGGGGCATAAAGGTATCTACAAATGTAAGGATTTTGAAAGAGCATAGAAGGATGTTTGCGGTGAGACGCATTTTGACCCGCACGGGGAAGTGATGAATACAATCAAACTTGTATTTGACAGTAGTGGATCGGAGTGATGATATGGCAAATAGTCCCTTGGTACTATTCTCGTACAATGTATGTCTCGATATTGACGACAGGAAGAAAAGTCCGAACAGATAACTCCGTTGTCATTGGTCCACGAATTGCTTTTAAATGAGCAGCATATTGGTATCTAATCTACTGAGCAGAGTACTGTAATTGTAGATAACTACAAAGTGTCATTCAGGGGCGGAGTCCATAACCACCCCCACAGAGATCTAATTCAAAGCTTTTCAGGGACATCGTGACCCATCCCATCCGCGCGCCGTGTCCTTTAACGTGAAAGAACTCCCTTGACGACACCATCAATAACGTGACGGCCGCTAATAATCACCTCACCAATGCCTGACTCATCACCACTGCCGACTTCTATCCAGCGCTTCAAGAGATCGTTGCTCTCCTTCGGTTTGACATCATCACCCCGAGTACCGACTGTGATGTGTGCGACTTGATTAGTACACTCCCATCCTTCGTCAACGAGTCTAGCAACGATAGCCATAATGCGGTCATCCCACACGATCTGTACCATATTAGTATAAACTAAACGCAGTATTATCACCGGGTGCATACCTTCTCCAACAAGACTTTGCAATGTCCTAGCTTGGTATTTGGGTGCCAGGGGTCTCCAGCAGCAACATGAAGATCGGTGTATTTCTGCCAAAGCTCAGGATGGGCCTTCGAAGATGCACGATGAATCAGGGTCACATGGAACTCGGGCTGGACACGGCGATTTTGCCCCAGCTGACGAAAGAAGCGAGCTTTATTTGATGAGACGGAGCCGAAAGCATTTTCAAGGACATCGAGGATTTGGGACTTGGGGAGTTTGATGGAGATATACTCCAACGGTTTCTGCTTCTTCGCTATCGGAGGTGCTTGCTCTCTCTTTTATGATGGTCGTTAGTACGTCTACATCTTCTTCGAAGGATGGGAATATCTTACAATCTGGTTCTTCTGGTTCCTGTTGCGGTTATTTTCTTCGGCTCCTCGCTCACCAATCGTGTGTCTGATCTCAGGCTTGTACTCGCTCAGTGAGACCTTGATTGCCTCATCGAGATCGTCGCTCGAAGGCATCTCGGTGATGAGCTTAGGGTAGAGATTGTGGAGTTGACCAACAACAGTTTCGAGGTTCTCGCGAGAGTCCAGAGTGGGATCCAGGTCGATAACAGCATCGAATCCGTCGTCGGGTTTGGTCTCCGTGTTGAGTGCTTCGAAGCGGTGAATGAATCCTTCCATGATTCCAACAACCTTTTGCGAGTCCGAAGCTGCCTGAATGGTCTGATGGTTGTCGCCACGGGCAAATACTCTGTCTTGGGTCACCTGTCTGATCTTGGGAATCGAATCTGGGGTATGGACGAAATTGAGTGCAACCAGGCGAACATGAGGATGAGTTAGACGAACGTCTCCGAGGATTTGCTCGCGCTCATGTCTCTGCGCGTTGTTCCGATCAGCGAACACCACTGGAACATCTTCCAATTGAGCCAGCACCTCCTTTGTGAATCGAGGTGGTCGGCCCTTGCCAGTGATGTTGTCATTTTGGACATGGCCCCAATTGAAGAGCTGGGTAAGCGCGACAGCAATGGTTGTCTTACCGCAGCCGAGAGTAGCAATAGGTACCAGGATGATGTTCTTAGTGGCATCTTCTGGGGCACCTCCAATCTCAGCATATTCCGCCCGGATTATGTCTGAGCCCTTCAAGTTCTTCTCTTTTAAAAAGTCGTCGCGCAGCTTGATGATCCCGTGGTTTTGTCCGTAAGCCTTGCCCAACCGAGAGTTCTCCGCAAGCATCTTCCGAGCATAGAGCAGATATTCCTCGGTGATCTTGATATGCTTCTTGTACCGAGGTGCCTTCCCAGAGATGATCGCCTTTGTACACTCACGCCATTGTCGGTACATGAGGTATGGCTCTTCAAACTTGTATTTGAAGAACCAGTCTGTGAATCGATTTGAAGAATTCTGGCGAGCCTTACATCGAATGACAAAGCCCTCGATATCTCGTCCATTGTAGTGACCAGTTTCAGCAACATCATCGAGAAAAGTCTTTGTTGCATCGATATCCTCATAGATCAGGAAATCTGTCTTTCTGAAGCCCCATTCTTCAGCGAACGCCTGAACTTGAGTACCCGAATAAGTCATGAACTCGGGCAGGTTGATGTTGATACCATGGAGGTACAGTCCAGCGTGCTCTCTGTCGTAAGCAAGGATGTGCTCTTCGAACTCGTCATCACACAGCTCGAACACAGCAGTTGCATTCCTAGCTCGCAGCTCCTTCGCAAGATCCTGTCGAGTCTTGCCGACTGCTGCCAGATGCTTGTCAACCCATTTCTCGCCTGCCATGGCATGGCTGAGCTCTTCGTTTCTAGGACCAGTTGAGTGCTTGCTACATACCAGTAACGTGCCGTCGTGAACACCGCTTATGAAGATGATGCAGCCGTTCTCTTTCAGACTCAGCTCGTACGGGCCTTTGGTAGCTTGCTTGATGTTGTGCCACTGGGTGGCATGAACCTCACCGGTGTTGAAGAACTTGTCATAGCCTCTAATGGAGATCTCAGGTTGACCCTTTTCATTCTTACCGGTGAAAAGTCCCCGGGCATAGGTAGGAAGGTCGTCACGCTTGTAATCCCAATCTTGGAAGCGCCATGAGTTGACTACAAGGCTCCCTGGAGAACCCTGAACATTGAAGCCAGTTTTCTTACAGCTGTAAGTCTTCTTGGGTCCTTTCTTGGTGAGCCCTGCCTCAAGATTTCGTAGTAAGGTTTGAACTTCTTCCACATTCTGGGGTTGATAGGGAATCTGCCCGTTGTCCGCCATGATTGCAGGTCGAAAGTTTCTGCGGGAGATTGAGTGAAGCACTTTGCTTGAAGTGGAGTGTTGAGGAGAGATGCGGGATGATGTGTTTTCAGACGTTGATGTAGAAGGAGCAGTGCAAACAGAGCGCAGAATCTGGAAGATGAGTTTGACTCCCTGAGAATTGTGAGAGCGAAACGCGTGCTTTAATAGCAGCATCAAAACAAGAGCTAAAGCTGACTCTCCGACCGACTTTATAGTAGCCTCGACTCTTGAAAGCAACAGCTCTGCAGTGAATATGAAGGAACTTGTGCCAGAAAACCACCGTTGGAGTAAATGTTAGTCACGCCGGTGGGGGGCCTCTTCCAGACAGAACAGAAGTCCGCTCCAGGAAAGAACAACCTGTATAGAATAGAATAGAATAGAGGTCAGGCTTGAAAGAAGTGGAGGAGCCAGGGCGAGGCGAGGTGAGGCGATGAAGGTCAGACCAGAATCCACAGCCCACAGCCCGCAGCCCGCAGCCCAAAGCCCAAAGCCCAAAGCCCAAAGCCCAAAGCCTAAACAAACGGACGTTGTGGTGGCCCGGCACAGGCGAATGACTCTTCGGTAAGGTAAGGTAAGGTACGAAAGTACTTTCGTACTGTAATGGAACGAGGGTGGCTCGGGTGGGCAAACTTCGCTTCGTGAGGGCAGGAGGCAGGAGGCAGGAGGCAGGAGGCAGGCTAACGTAATGAGCTGGAGCGGCCGCCTCGCCCCTGTACCTACAGTAGTACAGTACAATACTGGACTGGATTGTACTGTATTGTATTTTCAGCCTTGTGGCGCGGGGCAGGGCACGCCACGCCACGGCACGGCAGGGCAGGGCAGGGCAAGCATGGCTTCAAAAATTAAGATACTGTCCATCACATCTCTGTCTCAGCTTTCCATTGCCGCACGGCAGCACAGACCGAAGCCTCACAATACTCTTCCAACCGATCACTCGTACAGTTACAGTATACATCATGAGCGCCACTGTCAACGTGCTCCTCCTCGCCGCAGACAACCCCGCCAAAGTCCTTCAGTATTTGCAAGAAAACCCTTCGAGTGCATCTATTCAAGACGAGCATGGCTACTCTCTCGTACATGCAGCCGCATCGTACAATCACATCGAGCTTCTGAGAGCAGTAGTTGAAGATTACCATGTCGACGTGAACATCAAGGACGAAGATGGAGAAACTGCTCTATTCGGAATTGAGACAGTGGAGATCGCAAAGATATTGGTGGAAGAGCTACACGCGGATATAACAGTCAGAGGCGAGCCGGGACAGTCTGCAAGAGAGCGAATTGCCGAGGATGGCGATTTCCCCGAGGTCGCTGTATACTTGCGAATGAGAGAACTCCAGGACCAGGTCAATGGTGCTGGTGGACTCAGATCGCGCAGTGCTATAACACCAACATCTCAACCAGACAACAGCATCGAGCGACCTGCGCCTCTTCCTGAAGGGATGTCTGTAGAATTTGGAACTATGGTACCCGAAGATGCAGGCGAGCTAGTGGACCCAGAATTCAGGCGCAGGATCGACGAATTGGCCGCTAGGGATGATTTCAACGAAGAAGAAGGGCAGGAAGCCTTACGGAAACTGGTAAAGGAAGCTCTTGGGGGTGAAGTGGGAGAAGAGAGAAGCAGTCGCCAACGAACAAGTTGATTGGGTACCCTCTACGCTATCTCCCATGAGACATACTCGTTCTGGGCATCTGGCAGCTTCAGTATCGTACAATGTTTGCCATAACCCGGAGAACCCTTGCCAAATCCGTCCACGAAATAAGCAAACCATCCGGACTTAGGGGTCGCTAACAACATAAGCACAAATATTCTGTGTGCCCACGTTGGGGACAGAAAACCTCGCCATGTGACCCTCACCAGCTTACATGACGTCTGAGTATCTCCTGGAACGACATAGCGTGAAAGATATGGATCTATCTTGTCACCGGGTGTGATTCTGGGACTGTTGAGTAGGATGAGAGAGAGCCACTCTTGGGTCTCAACGGCATAGTCCTCAAAGTCTCCGCCGTACGACTCGTCTGGATCTGTGGGTGGTCTAAGCGATGGCGTATTGACATCCATCTTCTGAATCCTAGGAGATACAGTCTTTATGGCTGGAAAATGGGCTTCGACGGGACTGGGCATCGGGGCTACTGTATGTTAGTATTCACTGAGAAATTGAAGTTAGAGAGCAATTCCATACTGTCTGATGCCAGGTCCACAAAGAGCCATGTGACGGGTCTATTGAGAACGTTTTTGAAAGCATAAACAATCCTGTCAAAGCCCTTCTTACCATGCAACATAGAAGGAAGACGGAGCTCTATCTCCACGACTAAGTCGATGTCAGCGTAATCTTTTCAATGAAGTATTGCAGTCCCCTACTCCACCGAGGTTTTGTCCCACGTTTACCCTTTACACCATCTGGCCTTCCCACTATACCAGCTCGTTCGTAACTCTCCTTGTCCAAGTGCAATGTTAAGGTTCCTGGAGAAGGATGAGCATTTAACTTATTATCAAAGAGACGTTGATCTATTGCTAGCATGATACCTTCTTGAAGCGAATACACGTTATCGGTATCCGATCTCCCCTCTGAAAGCATCAAGATATTGCCTAAAATACGTTAGAAGCCTAACATTAAACCAAAATTTTGAGTTTTGGTTGTTTGCACTCACCTCTCTTGATATATTCATTGAAAAATTCGCCCTCCAAAAGAGCACCTAACGGTAGGGTAACACGGCTGTAGACAGGCCCGGAGAGATCCCTCAAAACGTCCTCCTGAATAATTTGATAAAGCTCTTCCGGTAGTATAAGCTCAATCTACCTCTCCTTGTCAGCTGTGCTATTCATGTAGGGACTGTAACTGCTGACCTTCTGGATGAAACTCTGGCTCAAAATGGCCGCGAAAGGTTTTCTCTTCACAGGAGGCTGGCTGGGGTCCAAATGGCCCATAACACCGTGCGTGACATTGCATTTCTGTTCATTTTTCGTTTCAGAAGGAAAGCTCAGCATCCTGACCTGTTTGTCTGGCGTTCTGAATATTGCGCGGAGTGATGTTGTTTTGAGGTCACAAAAGACCCGAAGAAGCCTAGCCGATCATTTTCAGGGTCTTGCGCTAGCGAGGTGGCAGCTAAATTTATTTCAACCGGGTGTGAAATGCCTAGTACCTGGTAGGTACAGAACTCATGATTCAAGTGAGAAAATTGGTTCCAACCCAAATTCAAATTCACAAGGGACTTTGAGATCTCATGGACATTTACAGCTCACCGAACTTTACACTCATCGGACTTCACGATGGAGTATATGATCAGATTCACACAAACTCATGAAACTTTTCGTCTCGCGGAAATCAAAGCCTTAGCTGTGTATGAGGGTATTGACCTAGAAATATTATCTTATAGTCCTAGCGTAAGTCTTCCCTCACATAGAATAATGGCTACACACTCACAGTCTCACAAGTCGCCATACTGCTTTATCAAGTTAGCCTCAGAAGATGAGGCCATCAGACTTGTCCGTCGAAGCATCCTTGCTAAATCCATCTATGAAGTCTGGGGCAATGGATCCACCTACGACGACCTGCATGACAATGCACGAGGCGTGTCGCAGCACCTATGGCCTCTTTACAAAAAGTGTTCATTCAAATTCGTTATTGACTCGTTTCAAGGATCTAGATCTACTACCGAGCAGAGGAAGCTTATCGAAGGCTTCAAGTTCCTGGGATTGGAAGGACCGATTAGGATGAAAGGTGCTGAGCAGGAGTTTTGTCTGTCAGAAGAGTGGCAGTACGATGCTGCTGCTCTGGGCGTTCACCAGCCGCAGTCGGTACATCTGGGCCGCTTTCTGGGTGGAAGTGATAGGGATGTCATACAGAAATATGATCTCAAGAAGCGAAAATACATTTGTACCACTTCTATGGATGCTGAGCTCGCTCTCATTACAGCAAACATGACATTAGCTGGGCCAGGAAAGCTCTTTTACGACCCATTCGTTGGCTCCGGCAGTTTCCCTGTCGCATGTGCGCATTTCGGCGCTCTTGCTTTTGGAAGCGATATTGATGGACGTAGCATCCGTGGAAAGGGCAAAACGAGTTTACATGCAAACTTTGTGCAGTATGGCATTACAGATCAATTTGGAGATAGCTTTGTTGCTGATCTTACAAATACACCATTGAGAATCGCTAGGATATTCGATGGTATTGTCTGTGATCCTCCGTATGGTGTAAGGGAAGGGTTGAAGGTTCTTGGCAGTAGGGATCCGACGAAGGGAAAGGAAATCGTGTATAGAGATGGGAAGGCTCATCATCTGTATGATTATCCTTGCTGTGGGCTTTGTGCGGCACTAACAATCTACAGAGAGGAGAAATATATTCCGCCCAAGAGACCTTACAGTTTCCTAGCCATGCTTGACGATATTCTCGAATTTGCAGCACACACGTTGGTTGAGAATGGGCGATTATCTTTTTGGATGCCAACTGCGAATGATGAGGACCAGGAGATTCAGACACCGGAACACCCCTGTCTTGAGATTACCAGTGTCTGCACCCAGGCCTTTAACAGATGTAAAGTTGCTTCCATAGTGAACTATGAATAGCAAAATAACGTGTTATAGGGTCGAGGAGACTTATTACATACCGCAGACTTCCGAATTCAGAAGTCAAGGAAGCTCCTGTTCGTGAGGAGAGAGCCAAGGAGAATGGTGTGAGCGCTGATGACCTCAATCCATTCAGAAAAAGCTACTTTACGGGGTTTAAAGCGGCCTTCAGGTAAAGATTAGCCATAGCTTGGGATGGAATACATCAGAGCTCACTTCAATACCTGTTAAATCCAGAGACTCGGCTTACAAGTACATCGACATTTGCTCCGCCAAGAATATTGTCACGAGCCTCGGACAGCTGTTATTCTCCCCACACAGTTAGTAGTAAGATCATAGACAGTAGCTTTCCGTCGGTCATCTCGCGTGTACGAAGGAATGCAGGATGGCATTGTCCAGTTCATTGAAGGTTGTACTTCAGAGTACAAGATCATTTGTAGCCCAATAACAATGCATTGAAAACCTTCCAAAGAACTCTCCAGTTACAAATTTCAATCTTTGGACTTCAGTCGGTGGTTCGTGAAAACAGTCTCCTCACACTCCCTCTATTCTCATATATCTAGGCCAACTAGCAACCAACATCTCAGATCATGCCAGTTGCTAGCATCAAGTCGTATCAAATCCGTCTGGAGATCTCTTCTACACGTCTTTTGGTCATCTTTCTCTTCCTGAGCTCCAAAGTCCTACACATCTTACAGTTTGAACGCCATACGCCATCTAAATAGCCCTTTATGATATCCCATATCCTCGACTTCAAATACTGACGCATGGCTTATGCTTGCCCTTTGCTCTTCATCTTGTGTCCTGAGGTTTCGCTTCCAATACTCCTATATTTTGCCTCTATCCCTCACCCTCCCTATCCTCTCCCTCTCCCTGCTAACTTCCTCCCTCACCCTCCGCGCTAACCTACTGGCCTCCTCGTCGTCAATCTCACTCCTCATCCCCTTCCCAAACATCGTAAAGCTCCTATTCCTCTCTTCGCCATTCAACTGCGGCCTTGGAATCAAATGATAGTGCACATGCGGCACGACCTGGCTCGCCGCCGCTCCATTGTTTTGCACGATGTTCCAGTCCCAAACGCCGGTTACATTCGCGAGAGCGCGGCTGAGGAGGGAGACGTAGGAGCCCAGCGAGCGAGCTTCGGCGTCGGTTACGTCGGAGATCTTCTCGCGGTGTTGCCGTGTGGTTATTAGGATGTGGCCTGGGGAGAGGGGCATGACTAGGAGGGTTTGTTAGCTAAGCTGTATGCTGGTTCTTTCAAGCGTAAAAATGGACAGGGCATTTGGAGTCTATGTAACGTATAAGAGGGGGATGCACAGTTCCTTAAATCAAACTTGTAATGTTAAGTAAATGGAAGCACATACTATCAAGAAAAGCAACAACGAGGGGCGCACTCAATACAACGAAGGCAGAGGGAGATATGAGTCCATAGTCGCCTGAGGGATTGTCGGATGGTGGCCAGTGGGTTGCTATGTTGCAGAATGGACAGTTGGACATGGCGTATACTTCACTCGAGGCTCATGCCCTGCAGAGGGACAATATGTTAGGAGTGAGGTCGGCGCATAGTGAGGTGAGGGCTGGAAAGGGTAATGGAGAGCATGGATTGCTTGCTGCTATACTTATACACCAGTTGAAGCGAGCCGAGGTTAGAAGGAGACAGGCGAGACAGGGGTGGGGAAATCTTTGGTCTGTTTACGGAGGTACAGTAATTCTGTCTCGCATTCGGTAGCTTCGCGTCTGAGAATAATTTGGGCTTCCAAGTTTTTACTCTTTGAAAAGTGTTTAGAATATGTAGTATTGCAATTTGTGAAGTCATCAAACTATTACTTACGACCTGGTGCACTGGGCCGGATTCAAGTTCAGCATAGACTGAGCATTTGCTACAGCGATCAAGCTCACGGATGCTCATCAATTGTGCACCCTTTCATTTTTGAAGAACATCGGCCAAAATTCCTTCGGTTTTAAAGACGCCAGACACTGCACCGCTTACACACACGTACTCCTTGTTTGTCTTTTGGAACACTTGTCGTTCTCGCGATGTATTTTGTACCACAAGGAAGCAGAGATGGTTACAGTATTGGCTCTCTCTCTCCAGTTGTGTCACAATTTCCTCCAAACCACCAAAGGTCAAGTTGCTTCGGTATGTATCCTTGTCCGTCAATAATCGTCATCTTCATCAGAGCCATAATCCACCAATCCTGAGGCGGGTTTGGGAGCATCCAGTGAGCGCTTACTCTCAGAAACTGCTATTTGGGAATCTAATGGCTTTTGGCTTCCTTCATCTTGAGGTTGTAGCTTCTGGGACTCAGGTTTCTCCTTTGGCGACTGCAGGTCGGCTCCAGTAGGCTTCTTCTCGGACTCCGTGGATGTTGAAGCTCGTCGTATCTTCACACCCCTCAGTACCTCCTTCTCCTTTGTCCTCTTCCGTTTCCTTCCACCGGCAATCCAAGACTCCTCTTCCGCTTTTTGCGATCTTTCCTCAGGTGCACCTGTGTTGCTTCCAATCCGCGCTTTCCTGTCTGCTTCTTCCTGTTGTTGGCGAAATAATGCGAGTCCTTCTGCTGTCTCTTTCTTCACCCGATCTTCTTCGGCTCGAGTACTCTCTAATACAGAGTCCAACCATTCTGCCTCATCTTCGTCGACACCGCGGAATTGGTTTTTGAGTCTGTTCGCTTCTTCGAATGCTTCTTGCTTGGCGACTGTGTCATTCAAAGCACCACTACGTGATCAGCCCATGATCGGAGGAGTGCGGAAATCGAGTGTCCTGGAGGTAAATACCTTTGTTAGCTTCCAGTGTCTCGTACAAGCTCTTGCCGTCCGTTTGTCTTGCTTGTTCAGCTCGTCGCAGGGCGTTGGCCTCGATCTCTTTCTGAGCAGCCAGCCATTCGTTACTTCGCTCTAGAGGAGCATCGGTGGTGCCCCCGGATATGAAGCCAGAAGACATGGTTGCTCAGTTATTGAGGGGCGAAAGATCAACTGCAATACAAATAATCTCAAGATGGACTGCAGCGTGCCCACTTACATTCGTTACCTCCCGTCGTCTGAAACAAAAGGCGCCAAGAGTACTCTGAATCACGTGTGAGGGGCAAGCCGCCCAGCCAAATTTCGCGCACATCAAGTAAAGGGGGTGGACACATGATATTCATAGTCAAAGTTAAGGACAGCCACTGTTGCTCCTCTGTTGCTATGAAGTAACCCTTAAAAGTTATAATTCTCAATATCTGATTCGATGAATTGCTTCCCGGCGCCGCGTCTTTTAGAGTTTGGCTATGAATATTCTGTGTCCACCCCCTTTACCTTATCGAGCTTATTTTGCTTCACCCCGGGTAATGGTCCTGAGCACTGGCGTCGCATCTTGCAACCCGACGACAAGTACTCGTACAACTGCGACTTCAGGACAAGGGCAAGATCCGACATGCTTCTGCTCATGTATCCTCTTCCTCCGTACCTACCTTAGCAGTTCTTGTCCGAGCCGATTCGCGCACGAATCAGACAAAAGCAATGTTCGCAGCCCCAGAAATAAGTACCCCGCCACTGAAGACTTAACCTAAACGTCACTGGCGCTGTGTCGACAAGGGCCCCAGTGCTTCTGCTCGTTCATTCGCGCGCATGGCCTTTTTCTATTTAGGCTGAAAGGATCCAGGTCCACCCTCCGCTTGGGTTGAACAGGAGTGGAGGGAGGGGTTGTTTTCCGGTGGATTGACTGCTTCTCGAAGCAGCGTAGCTCTGCTGCATAGTTGCGTTTCGAAGGCCCTTCTTTGGCGCAATCGAATAATTTTTGTTGGAGCGGCTTGGGGAAGCTCCTGTGCTGGAGTGTATAAGTAGCAAGACATCTCCCACTCTTCCCTTCCCATAATTTCGCTCTCTCCTCTTTTCTCGACGTACTCTCTATACTTCACATTTCATAGCAAAAAGCACCACCAAAATGGCTTCTCCCAATGTCACCTCGTAAGAATTACCCCCAATTCGCACCCCGCACTTGATTTATGTTTGGGAGCAGAAGTCTGCGCAGGCTGGCAACCCTCTCTTCACAGCTAGCCCCAGCTCGTCGCTTCAGCTCACAATCCTTTGCTACCAGAAAGACTTTCACTTTGAACACTGGCGATAAGATCCCAGCTCTTGGTCTCGGAACCTGGCAATCGCAACCCCGCGAGGTTGAGAAGGCAGTTGAGATTGCCCTCCGCAGAGGATACCGTCACATCGATACGGCTGTAAGTTGATCACACCCCCGGATTGTGACCACCAGAGCTTACCAGAACAGTTGGCCTATGGCAACGAAGCTGAGGTTGGGTTGGGAATCAAGAACTCCGGCGTCCCCCGTGAGCAAATCTGGTTGACCACCAAACTCGACAACCCATGGCACAAGCGAGTCCAGGAGGGAATTGACTCGTCACTCAAGTCTCTCGGAACAGATTACGTTGATTTGTACCTCATGCACTGGCCCTGCTCTACCGATCCTACCGATCTGAAAAAGCACTTGCCAGACTGGGACTTCGTCAAGACATGGCAAGAACTGCAAAAGCTAGTCGGCACCGGCAAAGTGAAGAATATTGGTGTTTCCAACTTCGGCATCAAGAACCTGGAAATTCTACTCAACGATCCTTCCACAAAGGTATGTAGACTGCCAGAGAGAAAAAACAGACGGAATATGACCGTTGCTATCACCTGAGTAAGAAACGAGGCTAATCCAGTCACTCATTCAAGATCGTCCCAGCAGTCAACCAAATCGAACTCCACCCCAACAACCCCTCCCCCAAACTCGTCGCATACAACACCTCCAAAGGTATCCATAGCACTGGCTACTCTTGCCTCGGCAGCACCAACTCGCCCCTCTACAAAGTCGAGACTCTCCTCAGCCTCGCCAAAGCAAAGGGTAAGACTCCCCAGCAGATACTCCTCGCCTGGGGACTGCAAAAGGGCTGGTCCGTCATCCCCAAGTCCGTCAATAAGGAGAGAATAGAGACAAACTTTGAGCTGGATGGTTGGGAATTGACCGCGGAGGAGGTCAAGAAGTTGGACAGCCTACCAGATCGCTTCAAGGTCTGCGGAGATGCTTGGTTGCCGATCAAGGTCTTCTTTGGGGATGATGAGTAAAGAAATCCTTTGTATCTGATAAAATAAACGGACAAGATTGAATGAAACCCGGCATGGTGCTTGTTGGTGCATATCATATATTTGCGATGTAAGTACTGGGAAACTTCTGGCATTTTAGTAGCCGAGTTCTCTGTCACCCCTTGAAAACCACTACTTGTGACTATGTGCTTCGAGGAGCATCAGAAGGTCGTTCTTCATTGCAGTATAGTAGTTAAATCTTGCACGGGGTTGGAGTTCGGAGTTCCAATTTTATCCTTGAAAGGTCCTAGCGCCACGGAATTCTGCCGTACGAAGCCTCGTGATCGAGTTCGTTTTACAGGATTCGAAATTCTACAATTGCGCTGGCCGTTCCTCGGTTTCTAAATGTTCACGTGCAGAGTCCAAGATCCAACTTATGTGGTCACCAGCGGCGGACAAATATGATGGAATCTTAGAAGAATTTGAGTTTATGAGTGCCTCAACATACTAAATAATCACTAGATATTGGATAGCGGAACGAATGTATTCCCTATGCCTCATGCTCGGGCATAAAGACGACCCGTAGTCAAACTGATTCCCAACCATATCTTACCCTACCTCATCCGAGAAGCCCAATTCGCTGTAAACTAACACAGTCCAAACAAAGGAAGGAGGATATTTGTAGATCATATTCGTCGCGAATTATCGCAGTGCTCCAAAAATCGATAGATGCCTTCCAAGCCTTCGTAGTCCGAGGAGTTAGGCTGTCCACTGGTTTTGGTGAAATATGCTGATTCTCCGTCACTATCGTTTTCGAGACTCTCGTAACCTTCGATCCATGAATTGTGTATAATGTCTTCCTCGAGCTCTTCATAATCATACTCGAGGTCGTGGCCTGTTTCGGATCGTAACGAGCCGCCAGGTGATGAAAGAATATGTTCAGAAGATGGCGCGAAGGGGAATAGTAGAGCCATGTGAGCTCCCGCGCTGGACTCAAAGTCCTCATCCTGCATGATAACACCACGTTGGACGCCAACTTCATCGCATAACCTATCAACAGTCTCGGCATCGCATCCTGGAAAACGAACACGAAGAATAGATTTCTGCTCCAGGGTTATTGGTAGATCGCCGAGAGCCGATAAGCGCTTCAGATCATTCATAGTAGCCGCAAGATCCTTTAAGGCTCGTGCGAAGTCAACAGAGAGAACATCCAATAATCCCTCAGTATTCAGGTTCGTTGCTGAGGCATCCATGTTAGAGCCGAAAGCAGCACCAAGAGGAGAAAGAGCAGTAACTGTTGGATTGACGTGAAAGTCGATGAATGAGCCGGGTGTTGTTCTTGGGACCGATTGCATATTTCGTGTAGCCTGCTCCTGAAGGTTGCTGACTCCACGATATCTCTTCTCTCCAGCTGGAGTCATACCGTCGAACTGAGCCTTCTGACCAGACAGCCAAAATGCTCGCACAGCAGCGGACACATTATTCACTACTTGTACTGGTGCAGCCGGGGTATGAGAGAAATAGCGCGCCCCGCCAGGACGACTGCCTCCGAGACTGTAGCCTCCAGAGGTTCTTGGTAACGTACCACCTGTAAGATTCGGTCGAAGGGTCGAGGAGAATGGTGTTCGGATGGTCAAGCGCGAGACCGCAGTAGCAGTAACAGATTTTGGTAAAGCTGCTCGATTAAATCTTGTACCCTGGGTTGGCCCAGTGCTCATAAACCGACGAACAGTGGCGTTAATGGTGCTGTGAGTTGTGTACCATCTTCCTTTGGACTGACGAAGAGCTGCGTTTGGGTGAATTTGGTGCCGCGGAGCAGATCGAACAAGAACTGGTTGAAGTTGGCTATCGAGAGGTCTTCCGATGTTTGCAAGGCGAATCCTTATAAAGTTCGACGTCTTCTTGAGAGCGTGCCTTATTAAGTATTAGTAGGTGCGTTATGGGATATTGACATAGCGGACAGCTGCGTCAGTCCTGGAAACTTGCTTTTACTTACCTCATGACTTTTACGGCAGCAGGGCCAAACATGCCTGGTGCCGGTGCCATATTTGAAGAACACTTCAAAGTCGGAGAGACTGTTAATTGTTGATTGCATGAAATGGGAGGCCTTAATCATATACTCCGCATGTGGCGAACTGTGGCGGTGCTCAGAAAGCAAGCTTGTCCTGATATTTTCTAGTGGACTTTCCGATTAGCTTGGCGCTAGCGGCCGCCTTTCTCAGCAAAATACTTCAAAGCATTTTGTTCCTCAGAAAGCTTCCTTCTTTTCCCGCCAACTCAACAACCACCTCCAACACACTCCTTCGCGCAGCTTCAACGGCTTGCCATACTCTTTCTTTGCCTTCACTATGCTCCATGGCCGCTCCTACTTACGTCTACATTGCAAGTGCCTGACCGCATAATCGTAAGCTTCCCAATCCCAATTCTCAAATCCCTCGTCATCCACCGCTGTTAATCCATCCGATGATGAGAGTAATACATTTTTGAACAATCCAACTCTTATTTTAATATGGGGAGAACTATATACCATTCTGAGTCAGGATTTTCAGCAAGACAGCGTCATTCTTCAAATATCTCGGGTCAAAACGCAAGCTAATCTGTCTTCAGTCAACTCGGCATCATGTGGTCACGATACCTGCATCAAATTACAACTAAAAGGTTAGCACATCGAATTTCTTTTCTTTTTCTTCCGTACGCCTCGAAGGGGGTGATGATGAATCGACACAATAGGAATTCCTCATTCTGAAGATATACATGTTAGATACTGTCAAATTAAGTTTCAGCCTTGTCTGACCCTTCAATTATCTATTACTGATGTCAATGGAGATCACAAATGAATCTTGCTAATCATCCAATTCAATAGGTACATACACACTCCCTCTCCGATATTCCCATAATCTTTCTATACCATGATGAACTTTGAACGAACGGGCGGACATAAACGCACTCCGGCTCTGCTCTCATCAAAAGCAAGGCGTACAAACCTTGTGAGGGTAGCTGTTAGGAAGTGATTGATGAGAACTCGTCACCTGATATATTGCACGATGTTTTGGGATTGATGGAATTCGCTCGAAACCAAACATCTTTGCTGACCCTCTGTTCCTAGGTAATTATAAACACTTCTGTCTCTTCACTCCACAAGACCAAAATGCATCAAATGATGAAACTGTTATTCACACTGTTTGAGCAAATTTTATTTGCAGATGAACGTACTTACAAAATTCTGATTTAATGAGGTATGTTCTCCCGCCCCAAGTTTCTGAAGCCAACTAACTGTCCCCAGCCTGAAACCTGCTTTGGTTCTTCAAACTTCCTTCAAGAAGCAAATCATATTGTACCTCGAGCGCTGCTAATAAATGCCTTCGCCTAGGTATGTGCGATAAATGACGTCGAAATTTACGCAAGCCCGCTTGGTAAGCCGTCTCATTTTCTTGTCCACGTCGCATCCTTCCATAGCTCTGATGAACTCAAATATTCGCTGTGTTCTTTCTGAATCAAATCTTGACGAATTATATATTTCACCTTTGGAGAACTGAGATAGTTAGCTCACTGTTCTGTCTTGATCTTCTTGCAGTCTACAGAAAAAACTCGTTGCTAATTTTCTTCAGGCTTGTCCTCGTAAGTGGAAATTGGAATAGAACAAATGACACCGAAATGTATTAACAATTTCTATCAACCCTTTTTTGCTTCGCTCGTTGTTATGCAGATCTTGTGTTGTGATTTTGGCCTCTGTCTTTAACATCCCTGAGATCGTGCCTTCCTCTGCCCTATTCGCAGGCTACTGTCCTGGCCAATATCTCCTGACTGCTTTCTTTTCTGAGTGGTATATCAATCCTGAAACCGAGCGTACTTGCCATCCAGTATGTCACGATCTTGGAGACTAACATTCACAATAAGGTCGAGATGAAAGCTACAAAAGTGGTGTAAATCATGCCTCTCAATGTTCGAGTAGGAATTAAACATTGACGCAAAGAAACTTAGTCCTGTATAATTGCCAGCTGCAAGCCAGCAAGAACGCTAAATTGCACGACTCAAGCCAGACTAACGAAGTGCAAGGTTTGGTATTCATCCCATCCACTCCTGCCATCAATCGAGCATTTCCGCAACCCAAGCCGTGAATACTTTCATCAACCTCGTTATAACGCCGGGGTATTACCCAAGTCCTCACTTCGTACGTCAGACCAAAAATAAGAATAACTTGGCATGCTGTGCACCATGCCATGCTTATGCGCCGTTCGTCCTTCACTCTTTGTCACCGTATAGAATGTGCACACTCGTGCATATGTACAGTAGCAGCCCTCATCCAAGTACCAAGCCATTAAGGACGTTCTGTTCTTCCCAGCCTTGGTCTTTCAGTGTTTTGTTGTCTTTGAGGATCTTGCCAAGGTAGGCTATGCGGATGTGTTTTGGGGCCTCGAGCTGGTCTTTTTTTAGCCTGGTGGTAAACGGCAAGTTGGAAGGAGATTCAGTCAAACTTACTCCTGACTCCTCGTAGATCTTCTTCGTCACTATTCGTACAGTATCTTGTTTGCTGACTGAGACAATAAGCGGTCGATTGTCGCGGTCACTGAGCTTCACCTTGATATCCACCATGTCATCAAGATTGACCACCGCTTTGCCTCTCCGAATCTCATCTCTTCTCAAAAGCTCGGCTTCATCAGCGGTCTCTCCGTCTTCTTCACTCTTGTCACCTTCATCGTCCTCCGTTCTGGTGGGCATTTCAACAATATTGGTAGGATCGCAGACGATATGTTCTGGTAACTCATATCGAGCCCCATTGGCATCATACACAGCAGCGGTCAAATCGCCACTAGGAATTGTTACGCCAGCGGCCCTTAAAATAGCTTGGGCAGTAGCCAAACCCCCGTCATTATCTTCAGCATCGCCCCCAGCCCACAGAATTTCTAGGGCCGTGCGGATAGCCTGCCATGTCTCCTCCCTCCCACTCGTCCTCGTATCAAAGAATTCGATGCGTTCTGCGTCTAGCTGATCACGGGTCCATGTCCGAGTCTGGCTCTTCCAGACATGCAATTTGAGGTCCTTGGTAGGGTGTTTCGTGAGATCTCGATTGGGTCTATGGTGTGTTCCACTGTGAGTCGAAGCATTTGTTGATGGCCGTGTCGGAATCATAGCCTGCGACGCAGGTTGCGACGAGTTTATGGCGCGAGAGGAGGAATTGCCATTATTGGGGTTCTGGGCGGGGTATGGATTGGCCTGGACGGTGGAGGCACAGCAGCCCTGGACAGAACGTTAGATTGATGTATTATGATAAAGCATTGGGAGGATTAATACCATGGCTGGCATTCGCCACAGGGCAGAAAATTGCGTGCGCAAGATATGAATGCTGGGTCGTCGTCGATCAGCAGTGGTGCTGCCCACGGGAGCAGTGTGTCCAGCTCGAATTTTGGTGACAGTGAATGGATACTTTGAGAGGTATGGAGACTAGAACCCTGCTATCGTGAAGCCATCTCTGGGTTCCAAGCAAGAGACAAAGAAGATATCAATGGGAAAGAGAATACGGTATCAGGAAATCAAATCTCAGTCATGTCAAGGTCCAGAGCTCAGGTCCGCGGCATGGCATGCCATGTCGTTGTGGAGATAGACAAGGATCATGACTCCAACCCCGCTTGGCAGTGAATTGCCATGGTCCGTGCACTGGACGCCGGCCGCTATGCTCCCGGGTACCGGGTGAAGTGTATGTCCGCCCGGTGCCGGTCCCGGTCCCGGTACCGGTCTCACTGGAATCATGGCTTGTTTGTGTTTGTCTTATCTTCTCCCCACGACACCAGTTTAACACTCAAATGACAACACCGAATGCCACAATGGTTACGTGGCACATATTTCTCACTGTCTGTTCTCACGACAGACGCTACAAGTTGCGTAGATCCTTCTCGCTGGCGGCCCGTATATTTGCGAGATTCCAGCCCATCCATCATGCTTGCGGCTCTGGGCTTGACTCTCGGCGTTCGTACTATGCACTTTCGGATTACATGTATTTTTCTCCATTTGTTAAATGCTTGTGGAATGGTCGGTGCTGTCTTCCTTAAGGGCAGCAATGCTCCCGTCAGTAGGTGCTCCATCAGTTTTGTTGAATGCAACTCGCGGAAATTGGCGACCCTGTTGTTGCGAAAAAGGAGACAGATAGTTTGGTCGTTCTTGACACCCAGCTCTTGAACGCGATTCCTCACTGTCGATAGTCGATGTACACAATTGAGGGTACATGAAGCAGGGCAAGTGACAGCTGAGCTCGCATCAATTTTCTAACCCAGACGTTGATGGAGACATGGGCAAAGAAGAAGGTCTGATTCAGAGTTCTCAGCCTAAGCAGCGTGCTATAAAGCTCGGCAACAGTCCAAATTCATAAAATATACAACCACAGCTTGACCATGACGAGAAGCTGAACCCCGAGTCCCTCCCCTGGGATTGCAATGTATTGAATACGGAGGATTCAGCTGGAATAATGGCTGTCAATATGAGGAAAAGGGTCAAAGCAGCTTCGCAAGGACTGAACAGCTTCTGGCGCGCGAAACAGTTTCTGATGATCATATTGCCAGCCCAATACCACCTCCAGCGATTTCAGTTCGGCACTGTATCGTTTTCTGTCCTGCAAGCAGATAGATCATGCCTACTCCCTGGAATTACAATCCCAGACGCATTCCCAGACCGTACTAGTCAGATGCAGCATTTGAGTTCCCAATCCCCTCCAATTGAGCGATTCTGTGTTTCAATGAGACGTCACGAGTGTCGCCAGGTTCATGGTCGGAAACAGAGGTCTCATGAATAATAAGTTCAAGGCACTACATATATCACAGGTCTTGCCACTAGTATCGAAAGCGTATTGTAAACGACAAATATCAAGGTGTTCGCTGTTCGCCGGTGGGTCCATCAGTACTGCAGATTTGTAGCGACACGCAAAATGCAATTCATGTGTTCCGATCCTGGACATTGATATATACTCAGAAACAAACAGAAGACGGCTTTAATCTTTCGTACCAGGCAGGTGTTGTTGCATAGACCTTGCTCGGCCTGCGTTGCTCACATTGGTTGTTCAGCTCCCTGAGCGTTTGTCAAATTGGGGCTGGCTGCATGGTGTGCTCTTCCTAGCAGCACAGTATATTTAATTTCAAACAAGGGCTTGTTTAGAATCGTTGTTGCCTCCAAACAGGCTCACTCGTTACAGTTTCCCGTTGATATCGATCGCGTTGTTAAATAACTTGAGTCATTTACTCATCTGGGGCATCCAAAATTTAAAGACTCTAGAGCAGATGCACAGTGCTGTCACGGCAGATCATTCCACATTTGTAGCACTGGTCTGCAAAATCCCTAAAAGTGAACTATTCCGTCAAGCTACAATTATCCTCAAAGTTATCTACCAAGTTCTGGTCTGTCAACAAATTTAATTGACTGGAAGCACAGTCGCAGCAGGTGGCCTTCAAGGTGTCGGGGTACGCGCGAGTCTAGAGGCTTTCAGATGAGAACCTTGAGTTAATTTTGTGATTGGACTGTACAAGACTTTGTTAATAGTGGGCATATATTGGACAATCTGGTGCCGGGTAATTTCGGCAGAAAGTTCGCTTCGACAGGTAAACAACAGATCACTTCGTTGTTTCCAAATCCACAATTGAACTCGAAATTGCATTGACTTGTCAGATCCTTTAGCGTTAATATCCATGAGTAGTACCGCAATTTTACGACTTAGACCGGTACCGACTTTACGAGAAGTACTGCACCCTCGCGCGTGATAAGAGAAAAACGAGATCTCTCTTCGAATCGACGTACAGAGATTGAATGAAATTGTCCGCGCCTTTCAATGTTTCACTAGTGGTGTATTTCTAATAAATACTACCGGGTCATGGTTACTCATATCAGTGGGGATCTCTAGGACATTGGTCCAGCTCGGTCTTTGTAACCTGCGCTTCAGCCGATCGCCAGTTTCATCTCCGCCTGATGACGCTTTTCCTAGAAGGTGACTTGCACAAAGTCTCAGCACTTATGTAAAGATCTATTCTGCAGTACTCTGTATTACTCTGTATTACTCTGTATTACTCTGTATTACTCTGTATTACTCTGTATTACTGGTTTCAGAGAAGTAATCGAAAGCGTGCTAGTGCACTCATTCAAGGCTTGTCAACAAATATCTCCACAGGAACTCAAGCGCGCCCATCTACTTACAACCACCTACCTCATTTTAGCATGATAGGATCCAGATTGGAACATGCAACCCAACTTTGCTAAAGCGAAGACACTTCCAATGGCGCCATAAGAGGGCGAAAACATTGTACGAGCAGCTCCCAGCAATGCGGGGAAATTCGGTTGCTCAAAAACAAGAGTAGATCCGAAATTAATGGACAACCTTGAAAAGGAAAGAAAGGTTCTAGACCGGGCCGCCAACACATTTGCGGCGTTAGCTTTCCTGCTCTGTGATTCTCTTTATACGATAGCCCGGGCTCGTTCTCCTTGTGTTAGGATTTGGTCTGATCTGTAACATGTGAGTAGTACTGTTGTTATTAGTATGTGCTTTTCTATCCCTTGATAGATGACACGCACAAGTTAAGATGGCTTGTTGGAGTACTTATTTTTGGCTCATCTACTAAAAATTGATTCTATGCACATAATTGCTAATCCTTTACTGACGGTTCTTCTTCCACCAGTGCTCACGACTTATACAAATCGCGAAACGCACTGGGCCGATTTAACAATACCTGAGGGCTATCGAACTCCTTCAACTCCCCTTCACTTAACAAAGCAATCCTATCAAAGCCCAAAATCGTATCAAGGCGATGTGCAACCGCGATGATCGTACACTCCTTAAACTCTTTTCGGATAACCTCCTGCATCAGCTCGTCGGATTTCGTGTCCACATTACTCGTTGCCTCGTCGAGAATAACGACTTTGCTTTTCCGTAGGATCGCCCTTGCAAGGCAGAATAGCTGGCGCTGACCGTGCGAGAAGAATTCGGCGTCTAGTTGGGTGTCGAGTCCGCCTTTCTTTGAGACGATACCCCAAAGGTGTACCTTCTTGATAGCCTCAGCGATTGCTTCGTCGGCATGTCGATGCAGAGGATCCGCGTTTGCTCGGACGGTACCACGGATAAAGAAGGGCTCTTGAGGAATGGCGTTGAGCCTTGATCGAACAACTTCCCTAGGCAGTTTGGTGATATCGATTCCATCAATGGTAATCGAGCTGTCTGCTGTGACTTCTAACATCCTGAAAAGGGTGGTAATGAGTGAGCTCTTGCCACTACCACTGCGTCCACAGATACCGATCTTCTCTCCCGGCCGAATCGACATGTTGAGATTGCGGATAACAAGATTGTCATCAGAGGTATATGATGCCGATACGTTCTTGATCTCGATAGATCCATGCATAGGCCAGTTCTCGGGAACAAGTTGATTCTCCCCTGGGAAGTTCTCAGATGCAGTGTGTCCGGTAAAGGCGATGAGGCGTGAGATAGCTCCCAAGGATGTTTCGAGCATAGTCCAAGTCTTGATAATGTTGGCTAGGGATTCGTTGAAACTCATCACGTTTAGTAATGCGAGACCTACAAATCCTGCACTGATCTCGGATCGCTATGAGATAGTCAGCATACGTCATATCCAATCTTCGAGGATGGTTTTGGGGTTATTTACAAGTTTGACGACGAGAGACATGAGGATTACTGCGAGTATCGTGACCATCAGATCGAGGGCAAGTGCCAGCCAGCGCTGGATGCAGAACAGAAGATAGTAGGGCTTCTGAGATATATCCAGTAAGGCGAGATTGCGTTCCTGCATGTACTAAGTCAGCTCGGCCACTTACAACGCCTGCATCAGGTACGGCTTCAAACTGTGCCGAGGAACTTACTTTGAAGTTCTCACCCCAGCCGAAAGCCCTGATAGTCACGAGCCCTGAAAGAGACTCGATGAAGTGAGAATACAACGGAGATTTCGCTTCGAGGTCGAGAAGACGCATTTGACGAGAGGTTCTCAGATAATATTTCTGCAAGACTATGTACCCTCAGTAGGCGCCCTTGTCATTGTGAGAGGTAAACTTACTCCAGACCAAGAGAATGATGGGTGGCACTGTGATGGCAAAGTAACCTGCCGAGAGGCACATCTGACGGACAACGCGTCAGTATTTAGTCAATGGAATATCGCTAGGAGAAAATATGACCTACAAGGATGGCACCCATGATAGTAACAATTACGGACAACGAGAAGTCGATTAGAGAATACGGGAGCTCGGTATCAATAATTGTCATGTCCTGGGAGAATCTGGACACAGAGTCAGCTAAGTGCCGGGCATCGACAACTCCAACTCGCCTGTTGGTAGTGATTCCAGTGTCCGTCGTGGTGAAGAATGACAGTGGTGCTCCCATAACTGTATTGAGCAGCCTCTCGTGTAGGAGCTGTGCACTGCTAGGCACCATCCTCAGAGCGAGAATGTAGGCAGAAACACAAAGTCCAAGCATTCCCGTAATAGCAAGCATGGCGTAGAGGCCCAAGTAGAATCCGTTGGCTTCATTCCCCCTGGATTCAACTGCCTTCGTCCAGTAGGTTAACATGAACTCCGTCATCTTTGTTGCAACACCAAATATCACCACACTCCCGAAGAATGCCACGGTGTTCGGCCATCCGGTGGCCTTGAAATAGTATTTGTAGACTGCGATATCACCGGACTGCCTGTTCAGCTCGTCTTCTGCTATGTCCAGCTCTCCATCTGCTGAAGTGGAAACAACTTTTGGAGAAGCTACATTTCCTGTTTCGCTGGCCTTCGCAGTTCCCTCACTTTTTAGCTTCGATGCAAGACTTTGGACGTAGCCTCCCGCGCTCCTTAAATTCTGGAACGATCCTTGTTCAATTACATGCCCGGTGGAGTCCTGGGTTTAGGTCAGTTTGCTCATCGTGATGCTTCAGAATGCTCATTCATTGCCAGAAAGTGCACTTCGATATTTTCAGCTGTCGCGGACATTCAAATGGTACACAGGATATGGCGAATGATTTCAAGGAAAGTTCACTCACAAGCGCAACAATGTGATCAGCGAAACCTAGTCTCTGCACAGCGTGGGTTGCCAACAGGACAGTAATGCCCATCGATCGGAACAGACCATCTTTTCCAAGAAGAGAGGCACAGATGTGATCCTCAGTGGACGCATCGAGGCCAGAAAACACATCATCAATGATGATGAGCTCCTTCCGAGCGTACAGTGCTCTCGCGAGAGCCAGTCGCTGCTTCTGCCCTCCGCTCAGCGAGATCCCTGCACTCCCAACAGGTGTTGCTGGCATAGTGTCAGTATTTATTCCGGCCCTTAGCACGAGCCGAAATGATATCTACTAACCGTGACCTTTAGGGAGGATCGCTATGTCGCCCTCCAGTCCACAGGCATGGACGACTTTGCTGCTACAAGAGGCATTAAATTAGCGTCGCTACTTCGGGGGATACCTAAAAGCGCCGTAACAGAATCGCAATGTGTGAAGTGAGACCTGATGGGAAAATATTAAATCGGCAACACTTACTACCAAGGCTCTTCGAATGCTGAAATACCCAATATGTTCTGCTGGATAGTGCCGTTCCTTACCCATCTGCCACAGAGGTCAGTCAGTGTTACTCAGTTCGAATGTCTCGAGAAGCTGTATGTGATGTGCAGTACTTCAAGCTAATAGAACAGGGCTTACGAAGTTTGATCGACAAACGCTGTGTCGGGCGAATCGCTGTAGATAAAGCCCTGGGATGAAGGAGTCTCGCCCAGCAAACCCTTCAGCAACGTGCTCTTGCCACAGCCGACAGGCCCTATGATGAAACATATCTGATGTCGTGGCACGATCAAGTTAAGATCTTGGATAGCAGGTACACCGCCTTCACTCCATGCAAAAGTAGCATTCTGAGCTAGCAACAGAGTCGACGATGAATCCCGAGTGGTCGATTTGAGCCCCTCGAGCTCGATGTCCCCGTTCTCTATCGACATCGAAGAAGTTTTACCGCTTTCGAGAGGTTTTACCAGGGGTAGTCGGTGGTCTTTCCGTGCGTCTGACTTTAAGAAGGTCTGTATACGGGTAAATGACGCCATCGCAGCGTTCAACAAAGGAACTGACAACACCTGAACACCCAATTAGCAATATTCTTCTGCTCAAAGAGGAGAGAACAGACTAAGGTATTCATCGGCTCTGCCTGTCATGATGTTAGCACCGCTCTTCGTGGAGACCTTGCTGTTATGTTTGGGTGATTGGGGTTGGGAGGTTGGGCACAGTGTCGCCACAATAGGGGATGTACACGTACCAACAGTGTAATCAGCGACAGTGCCGTGTAGGCAGAGGACGTATTCAAGGTCTGGCCAGTCGTACTGGCAATTATAACGAATATCGCAAACGTTGCTAGTGGTGCAAGTGTTGAAGTGCTGTTACCTGGAAAGGGCCAGGTAAACATTGGCTCGCTTAGCATTTTTACGTATCTTTACCTAAAAACACACGCACACAGAGAAGTCTTCTGAACATATTCGATAATCTCACTTCGGTAACCCGCAGACCTTGGATGACATCGGTTAAAATGCTAGAAAATCCGAGCATCTTGCATGGCTACCTATAAGATCAGTTGTGGGCGCACAATATCGGAACATGGAACTGCGCATGCCTTCATCGAACCAAGCATAGAAGCTGTAACGTCTACTCTCGTCTGTATACCCTCCATCCATACTTTCTGTGCCCGGCCCTTTGAAGATATTAGTCATGGTCACGTTCGAATGTTCTAAGATCCCCTGACGACATTGGAGGCGCTTGAACGCGATTTGAACCAAAGCAGACCTTGCCCGGACATACTCACCATATATTTTGCCATGGCCAAAATTCCGACCGTGGAGAAAATTGCAACAGCTGCAGGGGCCAGAAATGCAAGTCCCAGTTGCCGATGGAGCAAGAAAAGTGCTATAGCTAGCTCAATAGGAACTGCCCAAAACTCATGAAGAGTCCGGTAAGACTGACATATGGCTTCTAGTAATGGATATTAGGTAAGATGTTGGACATAGGCCGAGAGACATACCTACCTGTATCGTTTGACATCAACGTCACAGCAACGGACTCATCAAGAGCGGTTATACTCAGATCCATGGTTTTCGCATAGATGAGACCTACGAGCGATCCCCGTGTGGATGTGACAAAGCGGTAGTTCATGTGGTAGTAAGAGCCACTCGAAATTGCTAATCCTAAGAAGACGAGACCGAAAGCTGCGGTCAGCGCCCAGCCAACTCGGTCGGGGTCCTTAGAGTTGTTGGCAAACTCAATTGATCGTTGTAGGAGGAATGGCTGTGCGTAACGGAATCCCATCATACATATTCGAGGAAAGACGCAATACAAGAGAGCTGCTTTGTTCGCCCTGATCATGGCCCAAAATAGTGCTTGTGCGCGCTCTTGATTGGCAGACTTCCACGCCATGTCCGCGCGAGCCAGAAGAACACCCGATGCCATATCGTCGTCAATAGGATACAAGTCATCGTTTGCAAGAACCTTGGAAAACCCAGTCCGCATCAAATGGTTGAGCCAAAAGAAGAAAGATCTGTTGTAGATTCCACTGGTAACTTCTGGAGAAATGTAGCGATACTGGTCTAGCAGGATATTCCGCTTTTCAATCGCTTCTGAAATGAGTATCAAAACTTTTATGGCCAGAGCACTGGTAAACACAGCGCCAAATGTCTGTGTCGTCTCATGTGTCAGGAAAGTTCTGGCCCTGGCGACGTCAAAGGGGAGCGTGATGATGAGATAGACATTGATTATTGCCGACGGTCTGATCGAATGCATATGTTCCATATGGGATAACAGACATAAGCCAACAGCATCCACCAGCGTGAGAGATGCGGCAGCAATTGACGAGGGATTTCTGAGAATTGGAATTGCCGCAGTCATTATTAGAAGTGCGGTCTGCATACATGCAAATGCCATGAGAAACAGCTGGTTACTCGGTTAATTTAGGGAAGCAGCGAGAAAGGAAGCGAAAACGAACCAACTTGTTCTCGTACAGGAAGCTTTTCGATACTTTCCTAGACTTTCCATAGAGGGCAAATATTCGAAATGGAAGCACAATGAGTAGTAGACTGGATGGTAGGATAGAGAGTATAGTGTTTTCGAAGAGGATAGTGAAGTCAAACTCGTTTGGGACAGTAGGACCAAATGAGTTCAGAGAATACTCGAGTGACGAGTGATTCGAAGCCATCATGGCTTACTGGAAAGAGGTTCGAAGAGGAGGCTCAACTCTACAACTGGAAACCGATGCATTTAGCAAGACAGGAAGGATGAGGACCAATATAAAGCCGACGAGCGGTGTTCAGCTCCGAGCACCGGGAACGCAGGGCTGCCTTAGTATACTGCCTGTCGGCGACAGGTACGCAAGCAGGCGAGGCAGCAATGAATTAAATTCACTCTAGTCACTCTAGGTTATGGAACTTTAATATTACTCGGTGATGTTTTTAATAAGGGCCGAGCTGACGTGATCAAGTAACACCAGAAAATCGCGCATCGGAATAATACTAATTCTATGTAACGTTTCTATCTCGGTCGGTGTTATAAGTATAGACTCGTCGGTTAGTATCAGCTATAAAGTAAGGTAATAAGACACTCGATTCTTAATAGGAATTAAGACGTTACAAGCAGTGGTAAACTAGGTGTAAACTTACTATTTAATTTAAGCACGAAGCTCTACTATCTAGGAAACTACTTACTTGTTATATAGAACTTCCGACTTCTTATATAAGCCGTGTAAGATATCTTATAGGGCGCGTAAGCCTGTAAGCCCGTCTAGTAAGCTAGTATATCACGTGACCTATATCTACTATAATTAATATAACTATTATTATAATAATAAGCGTAGAGTATAGTACTACTCGCTAATTTATACTATTCTCTTATTAGTGCTATTCTCTTAATAGTACTATTAACCCTTTAGTACTAAATACTGACTAGTGCTATCTACTTAGTAGTACTATTAGTATTATAGTACTAACCCGTGACTTATACTAAGACTAAGCCTAGTTCGTGATACTATCCCCTTTCTAGCTTAGCGTATCCTTACGCTTAAGTATACCTAAGGAAATATTAATAACTACTTATAGCTATCTTCTTCTTTTATTATACTACCTGAACGCTTAACTAAAAGAGTTGATTATATTACGCTTAGGTAACAGATTAAATTAAGTGGAAAAATTATAGCACCTTATACTAGATATGAAAATGCGAATTATAAAGACTATATATCGCCTTACGATCCTAAACTAACTCGGTGTAGTTAATATGCCTGTTTAAATAAGATATATGATATACGTACTATGAACTATATACTAATAGTATTAGATTAGGAGTCTCTTAACTCCTAGATTAAGAAGTTAGATACTAAGAAAGAGGAGGTAATAGTAAAAATCCTTCGTTTAAAGAAATAGAAACGTTTCCTCTATAAAAGGCGGTAAAAGATAATTACTACCGGGCTAAACTTAATAGAAGAGCTTAATACTCTTGAAGCGTTAGAAAAGGAAGCTAAAGAGAAGCGGAAAGCAGAAGAGGTATAGAAAAGTGCTAAGTTAGTAAGCGCGGAATATCCTAGTTCCGGCGATATCGACTTCTCTTATAATCTAATAGTCAGCTTTCTCTTTAACCCTAAGGACCTGCTTTAAGTAGACCTGGGTTTCGTTAATAGAAACTAGTAAGTAGCTTTAGGTAGTGAAGGTTTAACTTAGGTTCTTAAGTGTTCTTGAATTATAGGTAATCCTTCTATTTCATTAGGTATTTAATAATACTATACTTATACTAATAATCTAGTAGTTCCTCTACTTCGTATTCTTTAAGCGGATTAATAGGTTCTGCGATTGTTTTTAGGGCTAGTAGTACGCCCGGTGGTACTTTTTCTAATAAGGATATATAGAATACTAGGAATACCTTTTTTATTATATTTAGTAGTTAGAGTTCGTAATTTAAAGGTCCTTTAACTTACTTAATCTTAAATAGTCCTAATTTCTTATAGTCTAATTTATCGCTTAGCTACTACGTGTTGATGTTTTTCTATAAAAGATAAACCTTATCCCCTTCTTATAGCGTTAGCTCCTAGCTACGTGTTTTATTATAGTAGTATACGTTTCTTTCTACTACGAACTAGAGTTCCTAGGATAATTCCTTATATAGGTCCTAAATCTTCTAGACCTGGATACGAGCTATATTATTATCCTTAATTATTAGGTTGGGTTCTCTATATATAATAGGTTCATAACTATAGTTAGTAAAGAATAGTATTATATTAGTTATTTCTATAGTCGAGCTATTATAGGCGAACTCTATAAGTAGTAGTAGTCTTACCTAGTTATCTTATTAGTAGTTAATATAGTATTATAAGTATACTTTAATAACTTAGTTTATCTGTTTATTTCCTTTATTTGTCTAAGGGTAAAATACTATTAAGAGTTTTCGTTTAGTTCTAAGGAAACTTATTAATACCTTTTAGAATTTAGATATAAATAGCTTATCTTAATCGGATACTATTTCTTCTAGTACTCTACGCTTAGAGATTACTTCTTTAAGGTATACTTACACTAGGTCCTCGGCTATAAGCGTTAATTTAACTAGTACTAGGTTTATATATTTAGTAAGTCTCTTTATAATAACTAGTATTATATTATAGCTAACTCCTATAGCTGGGTCTTTAGATATAAGTAATAGTCTAATAAAATCCTATAATATCGATTTCTAAAGTTATAGTAGTATAAGTACTATAATTATCTACTTATAAAGTATGTGCTTAGTTAGCTTATTCCTGATACAAGTATTATAATTTCTAACTACCTCCTTAACTACTACGTGAAGTCCCTCGCCTTAGTAATATCGCGAAATCCTTAGGTATATTCTTTATACCTTTTAATATCTATATACGAGTAATTTATATTATTCCTGAATATATTCCTTAGTTAGGCTAAGCGGGAGCTATAGCTTCCTATTTACTCGCACGTATCCTTTCTTAACTATAGTATAGTTATTAGTCTTTAGGAGAGACTTTTCGAGCTCCTAAGCTTTCTTTAGTATTTCTACTTAGGGTCCCTTAAGTTCTAAGGCTGCTACTTCTCGGATATAGGGGATTAAGTCCCTATTATCTAATTCCTTAAGTAAGGCGGTTTTATTATAGATCTTATCTCTTTTGTACTTTAGTAGCTTACTTAGGGCGTCGGCTCTAGCGTTATCTTTTCCTTATATATACTTGATTATAAGATTAAAAGAGGTAAGTTCCTCGACTTACCTAGCTAATTATCGATTATTTAAGACCTTAGTAGTTATAAAAGTTCGAAGATTTATATAATCGGTGTAGATAATAATTAGATACTTAGCTCCTTATAGATAGATCTTCTAATGTTTATATGCTTTAACGATAGCTATAAGCTCCTTCTTATATATATTATAATTTTATTCGGCTAGGGATATTTTTTCGGAATAGTAGGCGACTAAGTGTAGTTAGCTTTCCTTGTCTCGCTGTAGGTGAGCTGCACTAGTACAGGTATCTAAAGTGTCGGTTTCGATTATACTTTCCTTTTCCTTATTAAAACTATAAAGGATTAGTTCCTTAGTGAATTCCTTCTTGATTCGTTAGAAGGCTTCCTTGCACTAGCTAGTTTAGGTGAAAGAGATACTCTTCCTAGTTAGGTTAGTAAGCGGTTCGGCGATTTTAGAGTAGTTTCAGATAAACTATTAATAAAAATTAGTAAATCCTAGTTAGGATTATATATCCTTAATATTCTTAGGTGACTCCTACTCTTTTACTGCTCTAACCTTTTCTAGGTTAATACTTATCTGTCCTAGGTTTATAATATATTCTAGGAAAGTGACTTACTTAACTAAGAATTTATACTTTAATAGTTTTAGTCTAGAATCTACCTTATATAGGGCTTCTATAACTTATAGGACATGTCCTTAGTATTCCTTAATAGTTCTTAAGTAGACTAGGATATCGTCTAGGTAGTATATTATGAATTTTCTAATAAAGTCCTTTAGAATTTCGTTATTCTACCTTTAGTATATGGCCGGTGTATTTATAAGTCCGAATAGTATTACCGTGTGTTCCTATAAGCCTAAGGGTAAGATAAAAGCTGTTTTCTATTCGTGCCCTCTTTTAATTCGGATTAAATTAAACGCGTTATATTAGTCTAATTTAGTGTATACTATTGCTCTAGCTAGCTTATCCCGTAGGTACTAAGTATTAGGTAAAAGATACACGTCCCTTATTGTCCTATTATTAATTATATAATAGTTACTATAAGGTCTTCCTTTAGGATCCCCTACTTTCTTAGCGACTAATATATTAACCGCGTATAGTGATTTAGACTTCCGAATCTATCTTTTCTTTACTCCTTATTCTTACTATTCCTTAAGTGTCCTTATAGTAGTGTAATTATAGTAGTGAAGCTTCTTTGTAATAGGTATAAACCCTTCTTTAAAGTTGATCTCGTAGTCCTAGGGTTAATATTTAAGTAATACTCTTATATCCTGTAGATCCTTAAATATCTTTACGTACTTCCTATAGGGTACAGGTAGCTATTCTTATATATTATCCTTTTATCTAGGATGACCTTTAGATTCCTTCTAGCTAGGAATCGGACTCTTCTGTGTAGAGTTAATCAGCGTTATCCTTAAGGAGGTAGCGCTAGCCTCCTTTTCACCGGATAGTTAACTACGGCGATAGTTATATCTATTAAAAGTAAGTGTTCTTGCTTTTTAGTTAATACTAGGGTTATAGCTATTTATTTATATAGTTCTGAGGATAATATCATGTCGTCTAACTAGGATAATATCGAATAATAAGTATTCCGTGTAACTATTAGGTATCTTTATTTCGATACTCGCTATTTTATCTCGTACTTACTTATTAATCTCTACGTTTTTCCTATCTAATAAGGTAAGTTTATAAGGGTATGAGTTATGTATAATAGGTATATTTAGTTGTTCTACTAGTTGTAAGTAAATAAACCTTCCTATAGCTCCTAAGTCGATTAGAGCCTTAGCTATATTCCTATTTAGCTTTACTTAGACTACTAGTTAGTCTATCTCTCTAGTAGTAGTGAGTTCAGGGTAATTAAGGTGATCAGGGTACTCTTACGGTTTTACGGGTAAATCCCTTTATTCCTTAATAATTCTTCTTATTATCTTATCTATCTACTTCCTTAAGCCTTAGTTATAACTAATAAGGGTATATAGGATATCCTCCTTAAGGTTAACTTAGCTCTATATAGGTTCCTCTCTTATCCTTTAGAATTAGAGGGGTTCTTATACTTACTATCTTTACTTTTAATACTGTTTTCCGCTAGCTATTATAGTCACGACTTATATATCTTTAACTTCTAGATAGTTATCTAGCTAGCTATATTCCCGAGGCTTAGGTTCTTCTATAAGGCTAGCTATATATCTTTTAGATCGTTAGTCTATA